GGGGGGGGGGGGGGGGGGGGGGAAGGTATTTGTAAGTCTCAGTGAGTAGCTCGAGCACGTCGGGGTTGCTGCCGTCGAGAGTCATGTATAGCTCGTGGCTCACTGGAACATCGGACCGGAAGACGTCGAAGCTTCGCCGTAGAGGAGGGAGATGAGCTGTAAGGGATTGGTCAGTTCTTGTTTTGCCTTTGTTGACACTGAGAGAAGGCGGAGCGAAACGTACAGTGGCGCCGAAAGACTAGACATCGGCTGGGGGCCCGAAGCGCAAAATCAGGGTTGTCTCTGGGCTTCGAAACATGGGTGCCCCTAGCGGGTAGCCGTTCACGGCATACTCGCTGTTGGCAGAAACCGTGTTCCGGAAGTCGGCCAGATGGACGTCCTTGAAGCGCATCTCGGCATCACCAGGACAAATGTTGCCCATGATATTGCTCGGCATCACATCTATTGGCGATTGGTGGATCAGGTGTGAGCTTTGAGAGGCGAGGCGAGACGCGGAGGGCGGAGAGATTTTGGACGAACCGGTTCGTATACCGAACTTCCATCCCAACTCTGGCCCCCTAAGAACCAGCACGTCTCTCAGCCCTACTCTCTATATACTTCTAAATTCACACTTCCCCTCGCAATGTCCCTTCTAACATGTCAATGGCCCAGTTAGAAGAGGCTTGGGGACCAGAAAATCCCCATGGGGCATGGTGCCCTTCCTTTCAGGGAGGTCACCAGTGCGACTCGCTGCCTCAACGACCAATTTTCGATCGCCAACGGGCCCACGGCCCCTGCCCCTAGAAGTGAAATCCGTGATCCCATAATTTACGTAGCTAGCCACCTCCTCTGGAGCTAGTTGGTGAGTTTTTTGATGCTTTTCCATCCTAAAAACTGACTGAAACTCCATCCCATCTGCCCACATCCACAGAGGAAGGGTTGACTGGTGGACACCGCGTGGAGTGATGGGCCCTGTAGGCCGTAGATACGGATAGCTAGCCCTCGAGTATGGCCTATTAGCCTCTTTCAGGCTACTTCTTTCTTCCGCGATTGTTCACGATTTCTAGATTCAAATTCGTTTTCCTCCTTTAGAAATCCTCCCAATTTCACTTGAGTACAAAACGTAGGAGGAAACAGAAGAAGCTGAGAAAGAAAAAATGAGAAGGAAAAAAGATATAAAGTGTAAGAGGAAAAGGATAAACGAGGAAGAAGGGACAGAAAATAAATAGAAAGAAAGACAGGAAAGAAGAAAGGAAAGAAGAAGGGAGAAAAGAAACAAAGAGAGATAGAAGGAAGAAAGGCGGAGAAATATAGAAAGGAGGGGGGAAAACGAAACAGGGGAACAAGAGAAGAATATAAGAAGGGAGGGGGGTGTAAGGTAAGAAAGGCTAAGGGAGAGGACGAGAGAGAAGAGGAAGAAAGGAACCATTTATAGTTAGCTCAATGATTGCCCTCAAGTGTCGAGGCCGTCTCAGAGCGCAAGACACCGTTTAGGGTACTTTGTGATGACATGACGCTAATACGCTCTTGAAGTTTGGTTCACATGTCTTCTTGTTCGGGAAGAGTTTGTCGAAGGAGTTCTCAAAACCACAGTGGCCATCTCATGGCCAATCCCACCGTGTGATCTACCATTCTTACGACGGTAATAGTCATATCTAGGCCATCTTGCTTTGTTGGTCTAACATATTGACTGAAGCAAGAGAAAATGAAAAATCCCAGCAGTTATAGTTGTTGCTCATGCCTGGCCTCGATTCGGGCGCCTAGCAACCGAGCTTGGCAAATCTTGGAGACACCCGGTATTTGAACACGTTGACTCCCTTAGGTATCTGCCTATCTGTCTCCTTCCGTCACCGTACCAGGACTCACTGACGAGCGCGTCGAGAGGTTCTCAATCTGCAGTTCATACGGAATACGAGTCGGGTCAGCCTACGCCACTCTCGAGCTGCCAACGGCTCATGCTGTGGAACCTAGTGCCAGCGGGTCAACATCAGCTGTTCATGGGATGTTATGGTTGTTGGATCGGTTTTGTCTTTTTTTCTGCCTTTCCCTTTTGAGCTCCGATCGCCATGTTGCTCCTTCAAAAAGCGGCGATCTAGGCAAAGCCCTCTTGGTCCTTTTATCCCCGTTCCATTCTCATTCGCAGGTATCCAAACCTGGTACGCGCAGCAACCATGTTGCTCAGAGCTACAATTCTCAGCGCTTTGATTGCACACTCCGTCCAAGCGTCGCCTGTACCGCTTGGCCGACGGGAACTCGGTGGTGTAAGTACACCTGTCAAGCAGGAGTTGAGTGAGCGCACCCTGTCTTACGAGCCTCGTCCCTGGGAACAGGTGCTCATCTGTAACGAGCCCAACGCCCAAGGGCATTGTGAATATGCCGTGTACGAGCTCGACACGTGCTACGACCTGCCGCCAGCACTGATAAACAACGCCGCGACCTTTGCGCCGGACGGCGAGGCGTTCTTCTGCAACCCGTACATGTACGTTTTACCAGTCGGAAGTTGCGGTTGAGGAGAGGATGCTGATAAGGTCCGACAAGCATGAAATGCGACGGCATATGCAGGTCACCCCAGGGCTGCACCATGGGGCCTGTATCGTTCGACTATTCGCACAAGTTCAACTTGACGGCGGTCGGCTGGAACCATTATATCACGTCGTTTGACTGCCACTTGAATCAGATTGCGCAAGGGGACTCGGGTCAGAAGCTTGGTTGATAGACTTTATCCTGTCCACTCGGCATCGGCATCGGTGTTTCGGAGTTCTCGGGAGTTGTCACCGCGATGACGGCACACGGTATGGGGCCGCTCCTTACCCCGCCATCGGGATTCGGCAGTCAAAGGTGGGGGGTCCGGCCGCCCTACCTGGGCCCCGACGGCATGTCTGTGGGCGGGGTAGCTGTCGATAGCGCAGGGAAAGCATCAATCGAAGCTCATAAGGAATCTCGGCAATGATTCGGCCGCCTTCCAATTCTTATTCACTTCAATCCTGCCTGAACACGCTCAGCTCATCCCATACCAGCCCTCAACACCAACCATCATCACGACCCATCCCTGAAAACAAACGCAGCCAACGATCCCCAACATGGCCTTCACAACCAACAAAGCGATCGCCTCATTCGGCGGCAAGCTGTTCAAGCTCTCCCACCAATCCACCACAACCGGCACGCCCATGGCCGTGAACCTCTACCTCCCGCCCGCCGCCCTCTCCTCAACCAACCCGTGCAAAGTGCCCCTCCTAATCTACCTCTCCGGCCTAACCTGCACGCCCGAGAACTGCTCCGAAAAGGGCTTCTTCCAGCACCGCGCCTCCCAACTGGGCCTCGCCATCCTCTACCCGGACACCTCCCCGCGCCACCCAATCCCGCTGCCAGGGGAGACCGACGCATGGGACTTTGGCGCGGGCGCGGGCTTCTACGTCGACGCGACCCAACCGCCCTGGAATGACGAGGGCGGCTACCGCATGGAGAGCTACATCACGCGCGAGCTCCCGCAGGCGCTCTTCTCCGACGCCGAGTACGGCCGATACCTCCAGGGCGCCGAAAGGGTCTCCATCACGGGCCACAGCATGGGCGGGCACGGCGCGCTGACGCTGTACCTCAAGAACCCGGGCATGTACCAGAGCGTGAGCGCGTTCGCGCCCATCGCGAACCCGTCCCGGTGTCCGTGGGGCGAGAAGGCGTTTTCGGGTTATTTTGGGACGGAGGATAGGGAAGGTTGGAAGCGGCACGACGCGACTGAGTTGGTGAGGGGGTGGAAGGGTGGAGATCTCAAGGCGCTTGTGGATGTTGGGACGGGGGATGATTTCTATAAACAGGGGCAGCTACTTCCGGAGAACTTGGAGGAGGCGGCTAGGGAGGCTGGGGTGAAGGGGTTGACGGTGCGGTATCAAGAGGTGAGTATTCGTATCCGAGAACTGGGAAGGCGGGAAGTGGGGAGAGTTGTGTGCTGACCATAGCAGGGCTACGATCACTCGTATTACTTCATGGCTTCCTTCGCCGATGAGCACGTCGAGCACGCCGCGAAGCACCTGGGGCTGCTTTAGGAGGATGGCAAGAAATTGAGCGGTCAAGTGCGGAGGACTGCGTAGGTGGAAGGAAATGGGACAGGTCCTCTGAGCAGAGTGGGCTCGGACACTGGCGGCGGATTAGATGGATAGAAAGGACTTCTCCCACACACGTAGTGGTTACGGTGGGCTTCCATCCAAACGCGTACACCTCACCGCGCTAGCGGGCGCTTTGCAACACCAGTCTATAAACAAGTCCTCACGTCCCATCTGCCACAAGCCCACCGAAAATCCATGTAAAACCACCCGGGGTCTTCGTAGCCGACCTCCTCCTTCGCCGGTGACGACCGGCCAGGGCAATTGGTCGGTGAACTTTTCGATGTACGTTCCGCAGCCTCATCTGCGGCACGACATATCACCGGATCCAATTTCAACCTCGATGCTTTATTCGCACTCCATCCATTGGTTATTCAAAACCAGGGAGCCCAATCGCCAGCGAACAACGGCCCTACCCATACCTCCAACCCAAAGCCCCACAACAAAGCGGCAGCGCCTAGCTAACCCTCTTATCCACCCCCACCGTCACCACCCCAAACCCCGCCTCCTTCTCCTCCACCTTCGCTCTCGCCTCCTCCGCCTCGGCCTCCTTCTTGATGCGCACATAAGCGAGCTTCTCGAACCGGCTCAGCGACCGCCACCAGTGCTGGCCGGCATCGTGCTCGGCAATGCGCTCCAGCAGCTCGGCCGTCTTGTGGCGCACGTCGCGGTCCTTGTGGAATAACCCCAGCGCGACGTAGAAGAGCCCGGCCTGCGACTCGGGCGCCACGCTCAACAGGAGACAGATCTCGTCGTACGAGCGCACGTACTGGGCGAGCGTCTCGTATATTTCGCGGCTCTGCGGTGGGCTGAGGCGCTGCGTGCGCAGGCGGTCGTGCAGGTGCGCTAGGTCGAGGCCCTTGAGCGGACGGATTGTGTAGAGGCGGGCGACATCCTGGGAATGGGAGGATTCGTTAGGACGTGTGTTTGTTTTGACGATGCGGGATTATCTTTCCGCATCAAGGGCAGTAAAGGGAATGTATGAACGCACGCACCTGAATGAAACTGTAGTAGCTCCTCGTGTTCCGCCACCCTTCGATCCGCGTCACGTTGCCCGCGAGCTCCCTCGCCTTGGTCGCCTCGTCGACCCACACGTAGCCGTGACCCTGGGCGGCGGCGCCGCCCGTGAGATTGGCCTCCTGCTCGTCGCTGCCAATGTAGAGGGCGCTGGCGCCGTACACGCTCTCCTCAAACGCGGCGGCGATCCGAGTGAATTTGAGCACCCAGGCCCTCCACTTGGCTCGGACGACGCGCTCGCCGGCCCGCGAGGCGATGCTCCGGTGAATGTCGGCCATGAAGGCGGCGTCGCCGGTGAGGTCGTTGTTGCTGGACGACCCGCTGCCGCTGGTCGAGGTGTGCACCAGGTTCGCGTACGCCGGGTTTTGCTGCTGGAAGTAGACGAGCCCCTCCGTGATCGGAGCGGGCTCGATCTTGCTGCTGATCTTCATCTTGCCCGTCGGCAAGTCGCAGAGCAGATCCCACCATTCCGGGTGGTGCTCAAAGGTTGGGTTCGTCACGCCCGCGATAAACCCGGGCACCCTTAGGAGGTCGTCGACCTTGGTCAGGTCCGTGTACGGGAAGGCGTACCGCGTGAAGCCCCTGAGAATACCACCCGATGCGAGGGCGCAAGCAGCCAGGACGGCCTCGGCCACTTCCCCGGATGGCATATTGTGTCCCAGAAAGATGATGCGCTTCTGCGTCAAGAGCGCGTTGATCAGTACAATGATGGGGTGGGTATTTGGGCCGTTGGTTGTTAGATGCGGATGAAGGGGAAATGTCTGTGGCGTCTTGGAGTGGGAGTCGGAGAAGTTCTGAATTAGCTTGATCAAGGAGAAGTCGCCAACGATTTCGGGCATGACGGCCACGGGAACCTTGATCGGAATAGGAATGCCCTTGTACATGACTTTGCTCTCAAACTCGTGCGTGTCCCGCGGTACCACATGAGCGGCGTGCCCTTCAATGTGCGCTTTGGACCCTGACCGAAAGATGGGCGGCCGCCGTGGGGGGCCGCTGCTGGCATCGAACGGTTGATGAACGTCCACCCCAGACGTCTCGGCTATCCGGGCCTCAATCATGGCCTCGAACTTCTCGACAAAGAGATCTTTGTTCTCGCTCGACTGCAGGAGGTGTCTCTCAAGAAGACTCAACTTCGGCATCAGTGAGAGGTCCATCTCGTTCACGGCAGTGTACAGCATGGCCAATGTCTCGGGCACTGGCGCCTTGAAATACTCTTCTAGGGCGAGTAATAACAGAGGCTGGGCGGGGGTTAGCCGTGGTGAGAGAAAATTAGGGATGGATACTGTACTTTATATATATGCAGAAATGGATGACGGGTGCAAATAGCCATCGCCTTGACCACTGCGCCTCTCTTGACCGTCTTGTCTTGTTTTGTGTTGACCAGGTTGAGGACGTAGACCAGCGGCGGGCCTTCGAGGTCAGGCTCCGAATCGGCCGACATAACATCGTCCCAGTCGTCATCTTCCAGGTCGTCATCTTCGTCTTCTTCATCGTCCGATTCGTGTATTATTCCCTTCGCCCGGTCGGGCTTCCTGTTTCTCCTGGCCCGCCTCTCTTCCTTCGCAAACCTCTCGGCGTCGTCCTCTTCTTGGCTGGTGTCCTTGTGCAAAAAGAAGATAGTCCAGTCTTGGTTTCTAACGTGAGCTTGGTCCGGCAGCATGAGCTCGGCAAGCATGTGCTCGTCGCCCGTGATAGCCACTGGATACTGGTGTTCCATGACCGGGCCGCGGTCGATGTCGAAGGACGCCACGAGGATGTACTCGACGTGATTCTCGGTGCTTCCGCGAGGATATTGGGAGCGTAGCTTGTGCGGCCGGCGCAGGGCGCCACTGTGGCGAGGTTGTGCGTTGGAGGACAAGGAGCTGTGCTGGGAGGATGCGCCCGTGGCTGTCGACGGCGCCTTACTCTTGAGACTCGGGTCGGAAATCCGGTCCGTCTCGGAGATCCTTGCGGTAGGCGGCTGTGGAGAGCGGCCGGGGCGGATGGACGGTATTGTCGAAAGGGATCTCCGGTGCTGCAGACCTTCACCATTGGCGTGGCTGACGGCACTGCTAGTTCTCCTAAGAGCGGGGAGTGTCGACGCCATGTCCGCCTGCCTCCTGCCTCTTTACCAGTAGACCCAATCCAACCACCAAGTCCCGTCGTCGCCGCGTTGTGGCACCCTGCTTTCGACCGCAGCTGTCTTCGGAGGTCGTCGTGGCAGCGGCGGTATATCTAGACGAGGAGGTCGGTATATATAGACGACCAAAATTCTGCCTCGACCGAATTCGATTCGCGAGGGGCAGAAGCAACGTGCGATAAAAGGTAAGAGGGTGATTGACTAGGTAGGTAGCGGAGCAGTGGGCCGTGGCGATCGGAAACGAGGATGGATGGACGGACGGACTTGTAATCAGAGGTTGGAAGATCGGTGCTATGTATAGGTAGAGGCCGGAAGGGCTAGTTGGTGTTCATGCAGCCGTGGAAGCCCTGACGTCGTCAAACAGCAATCGGCTGCAGCTTGGGCTGCAGAATTGGGATGTCAAGCAAAATGCTCCCCGCCGGTTGAGAGACTGCCTGTCGCACCTCGCACGGTAGCTCAGGTGGTGTAAAGCACACCGAATGTTCCCCTTTTCGGTTCTCCTGACCGTGCAGGGATCTGTGACCCTTGCTTGGCGGGGTTGTTGCAGGCAGTTGAAGCCTGGACTGTGGAGGGCCTCAAACCTGCAACAGCCTGGTCCCTGCGCTTTTCGGGTTGAAAAACATGCACCTGAGCTCAGCCCCGCCTTTCGAGCCACAACTGCCGTGGCACAACTGCCGTGGCACACCCGCTGTGGCTTTCGGCACTGCTTATCATCATCACTTGGTTGCCCGGTTGGTTTGTTTACTCACCTCAGGCAGGCTACCTTCCCATTTCCTACACTGTCACAGTCGCTGCCATTGATGCCATCGAACGATAACCAAGTGCACAACCACCCTTGTTAAAGGTTTGCCGCAGTCTTCGCGAACGTTTCAGTTGCTTGGAGTCGCGACGAAAGACACAAGGAAATCAGACGGCAATTCATACAAAACACCTGTGGACCGGCGCCGGTCTATCGTTGCCTACAGAGGGACAATCGACTCGTTCGTCGACTTGCAGCCACACCTGAGTCATAGATACACAACGTAGAGATGGTAGGAAAACCCAGCGACAAAGTAAGCGCGCCCGGACTACTGACCCAAAGACTAGTCCATGCCCTCCGCGTATAAGCCATCTCCGCTTGGATATGGCTCACCACGATCCTCGCCATTCAGGCGCCCGCAGTCGCCAGTATCTCCTTCAGCTCTGCGGCAAACCACGCCATCAACATCACCGACAAAGCAAGGGGTTGCCGATATAGCCGCGAAGTTCATGTGCAGTCCTACCACAAGCCCTGCGCCAGAGCCGCGGACAATGCGTCGACATGCTGCAGGGGAAGACACCCCTGAGCAACAACTCCTACAGCAGCGCACCTATTCAAGGCCGGCAATCGCGAGCACGGCGGTTCACGGAAACGCGTTGTCACAACTGCAGCCCTCACAAGCGCGGACAATGAGGGAAGCATTCCAAATACTGGATCGAGACAGCGATGGTCTTGTCAACAAGGAAGACGTCACGGACATGCTCAATCAATTGGGTAGGACTGCCCGATCGCTGCTCTTCTCTGATGCGTCCGCTGACAATCAACTCCAGGACTACCCTCGAATGCGTCCGAAGTCGCGCACTTCTTCCCCCCATCGGGACCACAAACGATGACGATGGCGCTGTTTCTCAACTCGATAGCTGCGCCGCTAGCCGCCTTGTCGCCCAGCTCGGAGCTGCTATCTGCCTTTTCGGCATTTGACGACGACGACAGCGGCCAGATAGACGTTGAGGAGCTCAGAGATGCCGTGCTGCACACGGCACCGGAGCCCGGCCAGGAGCCCTTGACGGCACTCGATGTCGAGAAGGTAATCGCTGGCTTCACCGGGCGAAGGGCCTTTAGCAAGGTCACGGCCACGGGCTTGGGCAAACGGGGCGAGGTATTCCGGTACCAGGATTTTGTAACCACAATAGTTGGAGGGAACGGAGATGCTGCTCAGGCTGCTTCTGAGGCAGAGGACGAATGAGTTTCGCCTGGGCGCCATGGGCGTTGTGGCTTTGGATGATGCATCAACAGATACATATGAGAATGACAACAGAATTGCTATGTATTCTGAGCGGTTGATAAGGGCAAGGTTGGGTTGGGTTATCATTCTCTGTCATGCTGGGCTTAGCGGGGAGCAACTTTCTAACTGGAAATAACTGAAGGACCGGTTCAGGTTGCGCTGTGGCCGTCACACTAGGCGCCATTGCCTGACATGCACTGGCATATATAATGTGATACCGACCAAGCACTTGTTTCCAACCAAAGAAGACAACGTAATGCAGTACAGGTCAGGCTGTTTGCTTCGACTTGTCCGTGCAGTCGAGCAATGTCCCTCAAGGACAGGTTTCAACCAAATATACAGACGGCTGGACCAAAGCAGCATGGAGTGACACTGGTGATGCAACAACGACAGGACACTGCCAATTTCATCAGCTTGACATGACCCACAGAATGTTCGAGAATTAGCCTCCAGCCGCCGCGAGGGCCGTCTACAATGATCTGCCCCGACAACTGCATTTCTTCAGTTTAAGATTCTAGCTTCCCAGCCTCGAGACCGCCCTGTGAGGGGTGAAGACAGGCGCCGGATCTCTCCCGCTGTCCCCCGCAGCCCCTCCCCACGCCCAGCGCAGGGTGTGTTTGAGCGAATGAGTTTCTTTTGCCAGAGCTTCTCCAGAGCAACGAGCAACCCCAGCCAGCCCAATATTTCTTCGAATCGCAAATCACAGAGGCCCTGAAGCCTCTGTGATTTGTCTGAGGGGCTGAGCAATCATCTAAACCCTTTCAATCATCCCGTAGCGTGATGGCTTGATCAGCCTGCTGCCTTCGTTCGCCAGTTTTTTGAACCGTCCCCGACCTCCAGCCTTTCCCAACTTTTTGCCCCAAACCGCTGCGTTTCACGCACAGTTCCTGTCCCCATTCCAACCGCCGGGAACCCCCTCCTTGTTTTTTCTGGCCACGCGTGCTCAGACAGAAAAGAAGGTTGCCAGTGTTCAGCAATTGCATGCGCACCCACCCACCTCCGTACTCTGGGATACCCAGCGCTTGGTACCCTCGCTCCGGTCCTACAGCCATTTTTGCTCGTGTGCATCGGCAGTGATACACAGCCTGACCTTTATTGGAAGTCACCCGCTTGACGATTCACTTGCGGGACCAACCGCATTGAACAATCCGAATCCCGGCAGCAACGGCTTTTAGCGCAAATACCTTGCAAATGAAGTTTTTCTCCAAAATATCGTCCAAGAAACCAAACTCGGCCGACGAGGACGACGAGGACACGACCGGTTTCTACGACTCGTCACAGCCTCCCTCGCCCACCAAATCGCCCACAAAATCCACAGGCTCCCGGTCGCCCACCAAGAAGGCCTCGTCCACACAGCGCCCCTCCTCGCCGACCTCGCGCGACTCCAAGCCGCAGTCGCCGCGCACCTCGCGCCCCTTTGCGCGGCATCCCACCGACCCCGGCTTGTCTTCGGCCCGCCGAAAGAAGATCGACCCGGACACGCACCCGCTCAACCTGCCTCCGGAGCAGCGCAAGCGACTGTCGGAGCTCTCTGCTATGAGCACTCGCTATTCAATGGACGTCGACAAGGAACCCGTCAACGGGGGCAGCTCGTCCACGCCTCTCCCGCAGCCGCATCAGCAGCCGCAGCGCGCGTCCAGCCCGCCTTCCCACCAGAATTCGTTCACCGTGCCTGTGACAAACGGTGCCGATGCCGCAACCGACGTCATCAACGACGAATCAGTTCCCGCTCCGCCGCCTCACCGATCGCAGCCTTCCAGCCCCGTGCAATCAGAGTCTGAGCAGGCCGAATCATTCAAGAATGAGGGGAACAAATTCTTCAAGGCCGGTGATTACACCCATGCCATTGAGTTCTATACCAAGGGTGAGTGAGTCAAGGCGGCGATCGACAGTCGTACAGTTCCGGTCTTGCGTAACAGTTAGCTAATAAAAAACGGGCAGCGGTCGTCCTTCAACCAAGCAATGCCACCTACCTGGGGAATCGGGCTGCCGCCTACATGTCTGCGGGCAAGTATAACGACGCCCTCGAGGACTGCAAGAGGGCTGTCGACTTGGACCCCAACAACCCCAAGATCCTCCTCCGCCTAGCCCGTATTTACACCAGCCTCGGCCAGCCAGAGGAGGCCATCGCCACCTTCGGCCGCATCCAACCGTCGCCGTCAGCGAAGGACATGGCACCTGCCAAAGACATGCTCCGCCATGTCAGAGCAGCGCAGCAGGCGCTCAAGGATGGCACGGCAGCGTCCATGGTGCTGCACCCTCTGGACATGGCCGAGAAGCTGCTCGGCGTTGGTGCGCTGAAGCCGAGGAAGTGGCAGCTTATGCGGGGTGAGGCACTCCTCAAGATGAGCGATGCCAATTCCCTCGGAGAAGCCCAGAACATCGCCATGTCGCTCTTGCGGTTGAACAGCCAGGACCCCGAGGCCCTTGTTCTACGGGGCCGAGCGCTCTACCAGCAAGGGGAGAATGACAAGGCCGTGCAGCACTTCCGGAAGGCGCTGAGCTGCGATCCCGACTTTCGGGATGCCATCAAGTGGCTCCGGACAGTGCAGAAGCTGGAGCGCATGAAGGAGGATGGTAACACACAGTACAAGGCGGGGCGGTGGCAAGCTGCACTCGACCTCTACACATCCGCCCTCGAAGTAGACCCGACAAACAAGGGCACCAATTCCAAGATTCTGCAGAATCGGGCCTTGTGCCGCATCAAACTTAAGCAGTACGACGACGCCATTGCTGACTGCGACAAGGCCATCGGTCTCGATCCGCAGTACATCAAGGCCCGCAAGACCAAGGCCAACGCGCTGGGCCTGGCCGAGAAGTGGGAGGCTGCCGTGCGGGAGTGGAAATCAATCCAGGAGCTCGACCCGGAGGACCGGTCGATCGCCAAGGAAGTGCGGAGGGCAGAGTTGGAACTCAAGAAGTCGCAGAGAAAGGACTACTACAAGATCCTGGGCATCGAGAAGACGGCGACGGATCAGGAGATCAAGAAGGCTTACCGCAAGCTGGCCATTGTCCACCATCCTGACAAGAACCCCGGTGACTCCGAGGCCGAGGCCCGCTTCAAAGATATCAGCGAGGCGTATGAGACGCTGATTGATCCTCAGTACGTTACCCTTCCGTTGCCATTTCTTGTATGCCGAAGACTAATAAGACGTGCAGGAAGCGCGAGCGCTATGACAGCGGCGTGGACCTGGCTGACCCGGCTGACATGTTTGGCGGTAGCGGCATGGGTGGCGGCATCGACCCGGAAATCCTGTTCTCGATGATGGGCGGTGGTATGGGCGGGGGCAGTCCCTTCGGCGGCGGTGGCTTTCACGGCGGCGGCCCCGGCTTCTCCTTTAATACCCACGGCCGCGGTAGAGGAGGCGGCTTTTCGCAGGGCGGCTTCCACTTCGGTTGACAATCAGATTATGAGGGAGAGCCGACGACCAATGATGATTGGAGTGAAGGTGACGGCTCCGAAGATGGCCACGACAGCGGGCAGCGGCGTCAGACGCAAGGCCAAGGACGGTTCCCGAGGAATGGACCTGGTATCAAGGCGGCTTGGCGAGCCGAGGGCCAGGAGGAAAAGGAAAGGCAGCTGGACCAGCTTCGTCGGTTCTGGCTGCTGCTGGCCGCCGCTGTCGTGCTTCTCCCTCCGTATCTCGTGGGTATGCTGCTGGTGGGAGCTGCGGCTGTGTACGTTTCGATGCGGGTGTTGAGGGGATCCACCGGAGCGCGTTAGGGACGGAACCGGCTTGCTGTTGGGATGCCACCAGCCACCACCATCATCGTCGTCATCCTCTCACCGAAAAGATTGGTTGTCAGCTGTTTTCTTCGGCATAGACTAATTGGCCAGTTCATCACATCATCGGAGGAGGCGTTTTCGGTTTATCATAGTTCTTCGACATGAGTCGTTCCCTTTTCGGCTTGAGCACATCGCATCGTCGGCATTTCACAAATAGACAGGGAGCCGTGTAGCTGGTCATTTTCTTCCCCATGATGACGAGGCATATTCACCTATCCTGGCACTTGTGCTTCGTCCGTGTCTGTCTGTCACGTTTGCATGGCTGCAACTGCCATGGCTATGGCTGTGTTGTATATAGACTTCATCAAGCTGTAGCTGAGAACCTGGAAAAATTCAGCGCCCGATTTGCCTGCCAGAACTTCCAGCTTAGAAACATGCCCGTTTTCCTCAATCCATCTCGATGTACGACAAGGATTGGAATGCTGTAAACTGATTTAATTACTTGAAAATGCGGAGTTCGGCTTTTTTTGATGGTGGTGCAAGGGGAGAGGTGGGGCCACTCCCTGTTTTGGGAACCTGACATGAAGCCAGGGCCCGCGTCCGGGGTTTGCCGTGGGACTTGTGAAGCTTGGACCACTTCTTACATCTGGAGGCCACGATTCACTTGTTGATGGACACCCGTAACGTTTAAAAAAGTCCATGCGGCATACCGGACGCTGGTGGAAAGTGAAGCCGCCACATTGCATCCTCACAATCCCACCCAGGTGCGGACTTCACTCTTTGTCCTGCTCAACGAACATTGAACAGAAGCCGGGTTGAATTATTTTGCGTGCGCGGCAAGCGTTCCGTCGCGAATACGCCACTTCTCTTCAACGTGTTCTTTCCTCTGCCGTTGACGGAGGCTCCTGGATTTGTGAACCGGCCAGGGCTGAGTCCCGGTCCCGCAAGCGCCGGCCATGAGCACCGACTACGCCTACGACGAGGAGGGCTACCTCTGGCCTTTCTTCGTCTTTACCCTCGCCCTGATCATCACACTTCCTCTCACATACCTACTAGTTAATCGGTCGCGAGACCCAGCCGCCTCCTTCCCACGCATCCAAACCAACTTCAAACATGCCCACGCGGACACGGTCGATTCCCTGCGCAAGCAGGAGAAACGCAAGGATAGGAAACTGTGGCTGATCTTCGCCGTCATCACGGGTTGGACCGTCATGGGCTACATGCTTTACCTCATCCAGACGACTGAGGCCCCGACTCACAAACTTTGGAACCCCTACGATATCCTGGGCATCTCCGAGTCGGCTACCGAGAAGCAGATCAAGAGCACCTACAAGAAGCTATCTCTCAAGTTCCACCCCGACAAGGCCAAGCCGGACCCGGCCAAGAACGAAACCATCGACGACCTGAACGCGCGCTACGTCGAAATCTCCAAAGCCTACCAGGCATTGACAGACGAGGACGTCCGCAACAACTACATTCAGTACGGCAACCCGGATGGAAAGCAGGGATACAGCATCAACATTGCGCTGCCCAAGGTCATTGTGTCGGACGGCAACGGCAAGTACGTCGTGCTGCTCTACTCGGTGCTCTTCGGCGTTCTCTTGCCCTACGTGGTCGGGTCTTGGTGGTACGGCACGCTCCGCCGCTCTAAGGAGGGCGTCCTGATGGAGAGCTCCAACCGGCTGTTTCGCGAGTATAAGGATAGCATCGATGAGGGTGGCGTTGTGACGGCTCTGAGTACAGGAAAGGAGTTCGAGGAGCTCTTTAAGGGAGACAAGGCCGATTCGGGCCTGTCCAAGGTGGAATCCAGGATCCTAGCTGAGGGCGAGCTCACCTCTCTCGCCGGCGGTCTTTCTCTTAAGGATAAGGAGAAGCTGGAGGATCTCGAGAGCGGCCCGCAACGAAAGGCGCTGGCGCTGCTGTGGGCATATCTCGGCCGGATCGAGCTCGACGACCCCGAGCTGAACAAGGCCAAGTTCGCCGTCGCTCCCATCGCGCACTCGCTCACTAAGGCCTTCAACGCCATCGCGCTCGCCTACATGAACACAGGCCCTCTCCTGGCGTCTTACTATGCCAGCCAGAACATCATTCAAGCCGTCCCTCCCAGGTCGTCACCCCTACTTCAGCTGCCCCACTTCACCCCGGCCGTCGTCAAGGCAGTCGAGGGCGACTCGCGGGTCCACACCAGCCTTCAAGGCTTCATGGATAGGCCGGACGCGAAGCGGCGTAGTCTTGTGGTTGGCAACGACCTCCTTACCGAGGAGCAATACCGCGAGGCCATCACCGTGGCCAAGCAGCTCCCTTTCCTGCGCGTCGCCAAGGCGTACTTCAAAGTCACGGGCGAACGTTTTATCATTCCCTCGTCCCTGGTGACACTCGTCGTCAAGGGCCGCTTCGTGCCGCCCGGCAGCGAGAACGTGCCCGAGATCAACCCGGCCGACCTGGAAGACATCGACCCGGCCGAGGACGACCTGGACGCCCTCTCGGGCCGCAAGACGCGCAAGCTGGTCGGCAAGGACGAGAAGACGGGCAAGCCCATCTACGAGACCTCGGAGACGGAGCTCGTGGCGCCGCCGCTGGCGAATGCGCCGTACTTTGCGCGCGACCATAGCCCCCGGTGGCACGTCTTCTTGACAGATTCCAAGCAAGGGCGCGTCGCGGTGCCGCCGTTCACGTTTGCGCAGTTTGACCGCCCCGTCTTGGAGGCCGACGGCAGGACGCCGACGTTTGCCATGCAGACGCTCAAGGCGCAGTTCCAGGCGCCGCCGCAGGCCGGGCACTACACGTTCGTTATGCACGTGGTGTGTGACAGTTATGTGGGATTCGATACCAAGATGGAGGTGACGCTCATTGTGGAGGAGGCGAGCAAGGCGGCCGAGATGGAGGTTGAGGATGAGATTAGTGAGCCGGAAGAGGGTGGGTTTTTTTTCTGTCCTACCCCAGCAATAAAACAAAGAAGAAATGGTTACTGATTGATGCAGATTCCATCGCGGGCATCATGCACGCTGCCAAGGGCGGCCAGCCGAAGCGGAGGAAACCACAGGTCGAGGAGGACGACTCGGACGAGGAGAGCGGGACGGACGACGAGGATGATGATACCAGCGCGACAAACACGGATACGGAGCCGGAAAACTAGATTGGCGTTTTCTTGTTCATAAGTACAAGTTAGGGTTGATTGGCTATGCATGCTGTGGTAATTGTACATATTGGCGTTTCCTGTTGCTATGATGGACTGGTGTGCGCCGTGGTTGAGAAGTAAAGCAAAGCATCTACCGATCCGTATCCCTGAAATCTGTCAATTCCTGGAGCATTATTTCTGTGTGGATAGCGTCAAGTTGGTTTGCTCATGGATAAGAATAGAGAGAACTCTCGTATGATTGTATTGCACGGTAGTTACCTGGTCTCGATTACTTGGTGCAGGTCGGGATATGTATGGATGTGATCATGAGCAGCCGTTCCGTCAGTTTCCCAGGCCGAACCCGAGCCGCGAATAAAGAAATTTGTTGCATCTTTTGGCTTCTATTGTGAACCAGACTCCGTCTCCTACCCAGTCCTGACTCAGAGCATGGCCATTAATTCCCACCTGACAACCATCGACATTTGTCTGCCTCAGCAGATGCTGGCCTAATGGTCTTTCTTCTGACCTCGTCCGTGTCCCTTCCTAGGCTATGCTGCTGGGAGCGAAGATGCATAGTGCTGGATAAAGCTAGCATCTCAAGCCGATGTGCTTCTCTGATCGAGACCCAGCGCCGTCGGCAAGGAGATGAGCGGCGGTTATTGCGTTGAACTGGGAACCGTCCTGAAAGGGAGGCACTCATCCCTGCGGGGATTTGCAGGCCCAACGTCCCTTCAGATTAGGCCGTTGACCTGTTAGGAGTTGCGTTGAGGGAAGGGACCGCGAACCTAATATATGCAGAATGGGTGCACGGAAGGCGCGTTCGTTTTTTGGGTGTGCGAGTTAGGGTGAAAGTTCCGGGCATCTCCAACCGGGGGTAAGCGGGCATCGTCGTTCTCCAGCCAGTACCCCTCCTAATTTCGAACATATGAGTACAACGAGGGATTCTGACCGAATCTTTGGTCGGCGCATCATCGTGCTGAGTCCCCAACAAGAACAAGTGGTGCCTGAGCCAGGCTGGCTCTTAACCGTCCTTCTCAAAAGCATCATTCAGATAGCCCACGAAGCTCTCGCGTAGCCGCTCCGCTGCTAGCTTCCCAACCGCCTCCAGCCCGATCCCGCCCCTATTCAGCGCCACGAACGCCCGCCGATACCTCTGCAGCTGGGGCAGCCCGACCTTCTTCCCGGGCAGACTGACCACGAGATCTTCTCGGACCTGCCCGTCACTCGGATCGTTGATCCTCGGCAAGGTAACCTCGCCGCCGCCGTCATCCGATTGCCGCTCCAAGATCCTCTTGACGATATCCTGCGTCTCTCGCTCCAGCACATAGAGGTAGTCTCCGCCGGGGTCCTTGTCCCGCTGCACCGTCGACTGGTTTGGCTTGACCGTTTTCCTCCCCTCGCCAGCAATGGTGTCCCAGATCTTGTCAAAGACGGCCCTCGTCTGCGCCTCGTCATCTTCCCACACGAGCGTAAATAGCGGCGAGTCCCACCGTGTCATTGGGTTGGGCTCTTCGTAGCGAAACACGACATTCTCCCAGTTGGACGGCTCGTAGGGCTCTTCCTCATCGTTATCCTCCTCCTCCTCCCGCACCTTCCCGTCGTTCCCCTCCTCCGGACCCTCCCCGTCTTTCACCACGTCCGCCTCCCCATCCCTCCCCTCCACCCTCCTCCTCCCCCCACTCCCCTCCCTCCTCCTCTGCAGCCGCCTCTCATTTACCGCCCTAGCCCTCTCGACCGTACAACCAACCTGAACCACACAGCTGGGAGTGCTTACGTTCTTGGCCTCGCAGAAGAGCTGGTACCGCCACCCCTTGATGTAGTTGAGCCCGTCGAGGATGACAATGTCGCGCGGCGAGAGCACGCGCTTGACGGCCGCGTAGACGGCCGCGCGGGCGTCCTTTTCGGAGGCGTTGGCCGAGCGCACGTGGGCCGGCAAGTTCTCGGGGGAGAGGTCGTAGACTGAGCGCGGGATGGAGAGGGTTGTGTCTGAAATTAGGTGCAGGCTGTATTTTGGGGGTTGGATTTGGGGCGCTACGGTTGGGTTTGTGTTTGGGTTTGAGTTGGGAGGAGGAGGGGGGGAAGAAGAAGAGGAAGAAGGGGTGATGCGCGAGGAGAGGTAGGCGTGGAGTTGCTTTGCGCGGGTGGTTTTGCCTGAGGTCGGGAGGCCGGTTAAGATGATGAGCTGTGGGTGGTTAGCGATTCTTGCATGAGTGGTTGGTTTAGGGTAGAGAGATGGAGGAGGCGCGTACTGGCATATTGGCTGAGTGCTATTGTCGAACCCCCTTGGGAAATCTTCCTCTCAGCCCTCTTACAGGTCATGAATCGTGTGTGTACGAAGGCGCCTCATCACAAAGTGTTTGGAAGAGTTATGGCGGGGCATTGATCGCAGAGGGGCATTTCGAGCTGGAGATGGGCCCACTTCGATACTAGAATGCCAAGACATGGGATGTCGACAACAGCCTTGTCTCTCACTGCTACGGCTACGGGGTAAATACACAAACCGATGCCAGACAATGTCGGGTCAACACGATTTACCTGAGTTATTCTGCACTGGATGGGTCGTAAACTAAGCCTGTCTTTAGAAAGTGGGTGCCATTGGAAATTCAACTCACGATGGTTCAATACTCCTGTCAGGAGTCCTAGGTAGAACGGCGATGGGTGTTCTCCGCTCATCTCCCATGTCCATAGGTAACCTATGCTTTATTGGAGTTTTCCCGCCTTGCTACATTTCGTGGACTTTGCACCGACGCGCAGGCGAGTTACTATGCTAGTCAATAGCTGCTGACAATTCGGAGCAGTGTAGTCGAGGTGCACGGAGGGAGCCAGAACAACATGCAACTCTATAAATCACTGAGGCTACTCGGACAGAGCTCATGCCGAAGTAAAATATCGGGGCTATTTGTCTTGTTCGGCCAGAGGTGCTGCGGCTAACCGTCCCTGACCGCTTCCCTGACGACCCGTAGACCAAGATAGCAACTCGAGTTGCACAAGAGCACGTCCACCATTATCCCGTCGCTTACTCCCCCACCAAGCAGGTTCTCACTGGCTACCGTCTCTGCGGTGCGGCGCCTTGACATGCCGGGCCCTGTAACTGCCGGGTAAGCCTGAACCGACGGCGTGGGAACAGGAGTAACATTAGCCGGCATGTAGCATGAGGCCTTCGAAGAAGCATGCTCTGAGCTCGAGGCCCGCTACCCAATAGCTAGCCTCGGTTTGTGCCTAGCCTGATTGCTGACATCTGGGGCTGCCGAAGTGGCGGTTCTGGAAGTTCCGGGCTTGACCATGCCCCATGGCCTTGTAGGGCTGAACGAGGCGCTGTTGCAGAAGAAGGCTGAACGAGATTTCCACCACGAGTTCCACTTCTGTTTAAGCTTATTGTCCTGTTCCTATGTACAGGAGGTTGTTGTCAATCCCCTGAAGTTCATCGGCTCTGATCTCACCGGTGATATTGATGATACGGAGTACGTGTAGGTACTGTTGCCTATCCGTACTCGTCGGCGCATCGACAGCGCCACACCGCCCGCCAAGGGCCGAGCTCGCCGCACCGACCGGTTGCCAAGGACCGATGGAGGAGGGGCCGCCGGTCGGTGCGGCGATCTGGAAGCCCCGACGAAAAGCGCTGCACAGTCGGACCGATGGCGAACTGTTGCGCAGGATTTCATCGGCTTCATCAATTCGTGACCCGATGCTGTGGGCGACAAGGATGCCATGCTCCGGAATCGAGCCGGCTGATAAATTTATTCCAGACCGCTGACAAACGTCTCCCATCAGCCATCTGCATGAAAGATCTCATGTTCCTGACGGCATGCCAAGATCGGTCCGAGATTCTGTTAGCCGGATCATTTGCTACGTTACATGAAATGCACAAACTGGTGGTTCCTCACCGCCAGTCCTTGTCCACATGACGGTGGTATAGCCACATTGCTCGGTCGAGAACGGAGCACGGAGCTATTGGCGTTTGGGTTCAAGGACAGAGTCGCATTGCCAATGGTCCTGCGGCCCGCATCGCCTGCTGCAATCTGATAATGGTTTCCGGTTTTTTATTTGTCGAGTTAGTCGACGCCATAGAGACCTCTTCCCGTGCTCCAGCCACAGCTAACTACAGATAGCGGGCTAGTGGTAACGGGGTCGTACACAGTACACGTGTCGATGCCACGCATGTTGCCGCCTTCTGCGCAATGGAACACGCATGCTCACATCCTCAAGCTCTTGCGGCACGATGTCTTGATCATGATTGGCTTGGATTTCCTCGTGCTACAATTTCCCCAGTCCAATATTGTGGCCCGTGCTGCAGATATCGTCCATGCACCCTTCGGTTACGCCAGCCCTATTCGAGATTAGTGTAGGGCTGTGTGTGCCTCGAGCCCAAACATTGGAAGGATCTGATGAGTGAATTTCAAACGTGCAACAGGGACACCGGAAGAATGCCAGACCAGGGGGCTTCACGAGAAACTGTTCGTGTTTGACACGCCCAGACCGACAACGGCTCTGATTGCTCCCAGACCCCACCCGGAAACGCTCCAACCTTGACCAGGTGGACGATCTGGATCATCGATCGTTCCAAACTGGAGAAGTCGGTCAACCGTGACAGGCAGGTCATTGTGTCTTAGTATTCGATCCTTCATCGCCATTGCTCACGTTGGGCCAGCGGACGGAGACTGGACGTGGACTTCTGACATGGAAGATACAAGAGTCACAGCGTCGCAGATACAGCCCACCACCTTGCAAGCCAGTGGCTGAGAAGTCCCAACGTGAAGTGAGCAGCCACGTACACCCAGAAGGCTTCTGGAACGAAGTCTCACAACTGCACGACTATGCTACCATCGCCTACCAAACAGACAAGCTGCGTGGCCAGATGCGCCGCCATCGCGTGAATCGATCCACCCGACGAATGGCAGCGCGGGGGTCATTTAAGCTTTCTGGAGCCATGAGCGCTGGGAGCCTCGCCAAGACAGTGCCATCTCCCTAGCGCGTCGAGAAAGCCTTCGCACAGGTATCCCAAAGAGGAAATACCCCTGTTAGTCTCCCCGCCATGCGTGGCTCATGGATAGCCCAGTACTTGCCCATGGCACAAAGTTCCTGCGACAACACCCATTCCGATGCCACTCGGTTTCCTTCACCATGACCGCCACAGCCGCCAACTCAGATCGAATAGCCACAGGTATCCGCATAACGGAAGGCTGTGGCCCAGATTCAGGGGCTGTGTCCCGATATTTCACCCTGTCGGTAGGCGGGGGCCTGCTTGGCGGCCCGATCGAGCCCTGGCCACGACTCACGATCCCAGGACCCTGTGAGCCCTACCAGCCGAGGAATCGACTCAGGAGACGGTGCAGGGCGTTCCCGTTGACATGCACCGCGCCTGGAGATTGCGCAGCACACCGGAAACTTAAGAACTCGGCGCTCGGCCAGGCTCTCCCACGGGCTCTCCTCTAGGCATTCTTTGAGCACATCTCGAAGCAGAAGGAACGCGATTCATCAGGAAATCTGAGCAATCGTTACGCGGCCGACCACACACAAGCATTGCCAAGTGCTCGAATAAGCCTCAACACCAGCCCGGAGATCCACCCCGGTTCTGCCTGCCGCCGCCACCGACGGGATCGGCTGAGATCCGTGCCTGGCTAGCACCCCGCGACAATTGCCCGCTGCGGGACGATCCGTGAGGCTCTCTCGGCGGTAGTCACGGAAGGGATTGGCTGCGCCGCCGGACGCGTCGTCTTCACCGGGCTTCATACCGCGTTTGGCAACTCCGCGCCTTGAATACGCTAACGATGGTGTATTGCGGGAAGCCAAGCAAGGGGTGTTCCAACTGCCGGGAGCGCAAGATTCGCGTGAGTCGTTCCTTTTTTCATGCCATTGATCTACCTGCCTCGCGGTGTCGGGGGGGGGGGGATTCTGTCATCGTGTAACAGCCAGCTGACAACCTCCAAGTGCGACCAGAGGGAACCGGGATGTGGCCAATGCGAGAAGAGACAGCAAAAATGTCCCGGCTACCGAAACCTCGTGGACCTCATGTTCCGCGATGAGAGCTCTCATGTCATCAAAAAGGCCAAGGCGAGGGCTCGTAAGAAGGCTAACAACCTTGGCATCTCACGGCCAGCCACCCCATCCGACTCAGAAGGCCGGCTATCAGTCACACCAGAACCTCGGTCGCGGCCGCTGTCCGTGATCGTCCCGCCTACACCACTCTCGATGGATTCAGCAAGCCGTGACAGCGAGCAGCCCGACGACACATTAATGTCGCCCGAGTCAGGAAACTGGCCAATGACACCACCGATGGCTCAGCTCTATAGTCTCGCGCCGACCTGTCAAGAGGACGGCTTCGCCTACTTCTTCTCACGATATGTCACAGCCGAAGAGATGCCTTCCCATCAGCGGTTTGACTTCCTACCAGACGTATGGAAGCCTTCATCCTCGGCCGCAAATGCCCAAATCGACGGCGTTCTGGCCAGCATGACTGCTGTCGGCCTCATGGGGTTGGCGAGCACGTCGCAGTCACCATGCCTGATGGACGCTGCGAGGAAATCGTACGGCACGGCACTACGGCTGATTAACCACGCATTACAGGACCCAGCCGAAGCCGTCAAGGACAGCACGATGCTGTCCATCCTCATCCTGGGCGTGTTCGAGATGATGGCAGAAAACACACAACGAACTATGACCGTCGAGACGTTTCAAGAACATGTGAAGGGGGCCGAGGCGCTTGCGGTGATGCGGGGGCCTGCTCAGTTCAAGACACGAGCGGGGCGGAGGATGTTCTCAATGCTGTGCCAAAGGGTCATCATCAGCTGCGTTCAACGAAACGAACCCATGCCGGATTCCCTGATCGAGCTCTGGCACCAAATGTGCCAATCGGCGGAAGCCGAAAACCCCAGTAGACGATTCATGCCGCTCCTGTTCCAGGTGCTGCAGGTGCGCTCCGAGATCCACAGCGGATTCCTGTCGGATCCTGAAACCATCGTGGACAGGCTGCTTGCCATTGACCAGCAATTGGAGAACCTGACTAACCAGCTTCCGCCTTCCTGGAAGCATCGCGCCTTCGAAGTGAAAATGTACCACCCGGCCGTGTTTGGCGGCATCTGCCATCTGTACGCCTCGCACCACCACGCCAACGTCTGGAATCACATCCTCACCACTCGCATCCTCCTTCTCGAAACCGTCCTGTGCAAGATCTCCCAAGACCTCGCCAGCTTCTGTCCCATCCTCGATTCGGCCCGCTATCTCGAAGAGTACCGCAAGGCCCGCCGGAAACTCAAGCACATGGTCCGCGACATCGTCGCCAGCGTGCCGCAGCAGCTGGGGCTCATGAACCCGACTGACGGCAGCATCGGCAGCGCCGACGGCGACTCGGCGCCCATCTCGACCGTCGAGATCCGCGAGACCCCGTCGCCGCCGACGTCGCCCTCCTCCCGGTCCTCCGACTCGGCGAGCGCCGTCTACAGCCCGTTGTCGGTCACCGCTGAGCCGCCGCGCGGCGGTCAACCCCCCCTCCACCACCACCATCACCACTCGTCTGGCCTGACCATCCTCGACGTCACCAAGGCGTGCGACGCCGGCGAGGACGAGGCCGAGCGGTACATGCTACTGGTCTCGGCAACGCGGAGCGTCGTCTGGCCGCTCTTTGTCGTGGGCATGTCGACGGCGTGCACGGCCGACATGCGCGCGTACGTGGTGGAGCGGCTGCGGACGCTGTACATGGAGACGGGAATCCGGCAGGCGGATGCCGTCGCGAGGTTGCTGGAGGAGCATGAGATGGTCGGCAGCGGGGGAGTCTTGGAGGAACCGGAGGAGTCCGGGGCTGAGGCTGGGGCCGGGGCCAGCTGGTTAGATATGCAGTTGAAGGGCGCCGGACAGCACCAGGAGATGCCTGCGATGGCCCATGACTATGGCTTGGGCTTGTTACACCCCATGACAGTGCCGGAGGTGAAGCTTGAGTTTGACATGGCTTGGGTATGAGGCGGACAAGTCGGGACTTTTTCCTGATGTCGAGACGGAAAAGATCAATCAGTCCTGGGAGATGGACGAAAAATGTAAGGGAGGGCAGTGATACCAAAGGGTGGGTTTGCATAGCGAGTACCTCTTTTTTCGGGATGTCGTACATATATATTTTTGGAGATATCGTATATACCCGCTGCTGCAAGTTTGCAGCCGATCAAATCCAATTCTGAACCCAACTCCTATTCTCTCTTTTCCCAACCAACGCCGTGCAATGCAATGCTCAAACCCGCCATCATACCCACTTCAACCTCTGCATACAGCCGAGGTAGTAGTATGTCACCACGAATCGAAATTCCCAAACCCGCCTCCCATCTTCACTTTCTTCTTGACCGGCTCCTCCCACGTCTCCACTGCCTCACCACCCCCACCACCCCCTGCATCGACACCCTGCGCAACAACCGCCTCCTTCTTCAAATACTTCCCCACGGCCCGCGCCTTCTCATCCTCCACTATCACCCCGTCGGCTCGTATCCTCTTGCCCGTCCATGTCGTCCGATCGTCCTCGTCCCCTCCCATCCGCCTCTTCCTCTCCTCCCTGGCCTTGTCCTCTTCCTCCCTGGTCCTCTTCTCCTTCAGGAACTCCTCAAACGGATCAATCAGCACCACCACGTCGCGAATCACAATTTCCTCCAGCGGCCTGTTGGTCCCCTCCTCGACGGGCACCGCCTCCATTTTCGTGAGGGTGGTATCGGCGCCCTCGACCACCCGGCCGAAGACGGTGTGCTTCCTGTCGAGGTGCTTGGCGGGCCGGTAGGTGATGAAGAACTGAGAGGAGTTGGTGTTTTTGCCCTTGTTGGCCATGCTCAGTACGCCGCGCGTGTCGTGCGTGTGGGGACCCTCAAGCTCGTCGGCGAAGGGGCGCGACCAGATGGATTGCCCGCCGCGGCCGGTGCCGGAGGGGTCGCCGCCCTGGATCATGAAGTTGCGGATGGAGCGATGGAAGGGTACGGAGCGGTAGTAGCCCTTTTGGGCGAGCCGCAGGAAGTTCCAGACGGCTTTGGGAGCTGTGTCTGTGTGCAGTTCGAGCGTCAAAGAGCCGAGATTGGTGTCGAGGCGAGCGAAGCCTTTGTGTTTGATGCGTTTGGGGTGCAGCATCCATTCCTCGTCCGAGAGGAGGGCGCGTTCGCCCGAGGTGGATGGGGTTAGGCCTGTGGAGGTGAACGAGGCGGCTGCGAGGCCCGTGGTGTAGGCGGCAGCGTTGGGGGCGAGTTTTTTTTCGAGCATGGAGGGGGTGCGGGCGGTGGAGGTAGAGGAGGGTTTGGAGGACGAGACGAGAGCCTTGGTGGTGCGGTTGATGTCGCCGCCGGATTGGCGGGCTTGGCGGGCGCGCTCGACGGCTTCTTTGGCGCGCAGGACTTTGTCGCCGATGCGGCCGAGGGCGTTGATGTTGATGCCGCCCTGCTGGCGCTGCTCTTCCTGCTCCTTGGTCGGAATCACGTCCTGCCCTTCCTGGAGGTACTTGAACTGGCTGAGGTCGCGGCTGGCTGCGTTCTGTGGGTCTTGGAGGGTGATGATGTCCTTGCGCCCAAACTCGACGTCGTCGACCAGGTCCCGCCACATCTTGGCTTTGATGTTCATGCGCTCGACTGTCTCCCAGGCGAAGACGTTGGCGTAGGTGCCGTGGCGAATGGCTACGATGTGCGTGTTGTCGGTGAGAACCTTGAACGTGACAGGGTCGATGAAGTCGCCCTTGCCGTCGGTTGGCGCGCCACTGACATCCTTGGTGTCGGCGGCGTCGGCGTTGCGCGAGAAGTTGAGGCGGATCAAGTCCTTAGCGGCGAGTGGTTCGCCGGTGACCGGGTTAGTGTTGTGTTTCTCCAACCAGGAGCTGATGACCTCGACATCGAATATGGTGCCGTCTGGCGTGCAGACGGGGTTCTTGAAGGGTTGGAGGCTGGCGGCGCAGAAGTTGAAGGGCAAACGCTTGAAGCTGGCATGTGCTGCGCCGCCACGCTGGGCTCGCGCACCGGCATTCGCGCCGACACTGGCGCTGTAGGCATCTGAGGACGACCACTCGGAATGGGTGATGTATAGCTTGTCCGTGCCCTTGCCCATGGCTACGACGGCAATGGGGTTTGCAGAGTTGATGTTCTGGTCTGGAAAAGAGAGTCAAGAATACTTTCAACCAAAAACAATTGACGGCATTGAGCTCAGTATCTTATCGGCACGGTAGATCCCTGTCCTTCCATTTCCGCGCCTGCATCGCGGCTCGCGGCTAACAGGGAGTGTCCGTTCACCATCCCTAAAGTGTGGGTCCTTCAGTGCTCTTGAAGCTTGCGGAGCAGCACTGCTCGGTCCAGCATATCCGACAGACAACCTGCCCTGGAAAATCAAAGGGAAAGGCTCGTGGATTCTCATATCGACCACAGTTCGGTTCGACAACCGAAGCACCAGCAATACGACGGGAGGACCTTTGGAAAGCGGGCCCATGCCGGATTTGAATATCACGTCTTTGTAATTCCGGACACGTCGCTCCAACGAATTTCGAAAGCAGAAGCACCTACACTCGAGAACGAAGCAGAGGTTGAGACCTCAACGCACAACCGACCATGAGGCGCTCGGCGTGCTTATTACTCGCACTGCTGCTGTCGGTATGCAGAGCAGCGGCATTGGAAATCAAGCTAGTCAGCATCACCTCTCTCTTTCCTCCTGGAGGCGACTTGCTAACAGGGGCAACAGGATCCGAACGAGGATCAACGATGCGCCGGTTTGTCACGCCCGTCATACCGTCTAACGGTTCCTCCTGCGTCTGACAATAGGCAGGCATGTATAGCAAGAGCTCGTGGGGCGGGCCCGTCGACCCCTTCATCCACGTCAAGTTCACCGACGTCGGCAAGGACAAGGGCGACGACCCCGTCGTCAGCCTGCTCATCTTCGACTGGATGGACCAGGACTTTCTCGACGTAATCCCGGACGACCCGGAAAGAGCCCATATATGCAATCAGGACTATGTCGACGCCGGAATGTGCAACAAGACCGACATTGGCGAGTTCATGGTCTCGCCCAACGCCACCGCACAGTCGAGAAACGTCATCTTGACCAAGGCCATCCACCTGAGAGACTCGACCCCGATCAAGTACCCCATCCCTAAGACGGGCTACTTTTGCGTCGTCACCGAGCGGTTCACGGCCGAGACCTTCGAGGCCATCGTCGAGTTCCGCAACGCCTACGGCGAGCTCCCTGCCACCCAGATCCCGAAGCTCCCGTTTTATGGGGGAATAACGATTGCCTATGCGCTGGTGCTGGTGTACGTACGACCAATGCACTGAATACAAATAGGGGCTGACCATCGCAGGTTCTGGGGCTTCCTCTACTTCCAGCATCGGACCGACATCTGTGGGTGATCCGTCCCGCCCCGCGGAGTCCCGCCGCTAACTGTCCGCAGTGGCCGTGCAAAACTACATCACAGCTATCCTCATTTTCCTCGTGATTGAAATGCTGATGACTTGGGGTTTCTATGGTATGTCTCTTGTCCATCTCCCCCCTTGGTGGCCAGCAGCACTGACCGTCCTAGACTACCTCAACAGGCACGGGTCCAACATTGGATCCCAGGTGCTGCTCGTTGTCGTGGCCGTGCTCAACGCCGCCCGCAATTCGTTCTCCTTCTTCCTCCTCCTGATCGTCTGCATGGGCTACGGCGTGGTCAAGCCGACACTGGGGCGCACCATGATCTATGTCCGGTGGCTCGCCATCGCCCACTTCGTCTTTGGCATCGTTTACGCCATCACCAGCCTGGTCGTCAACCCGGACACGGCGGGGCCCTTTGTCCTGCTCATCGTGCTCCCCCTGGCCGGCACGTTGACGACCTTTTATGTCTGGACCCTCAACTCGCTCAACTTCACACTCAAGGACCTCCGCGAGCGCAAGCAGCACGCCAAGGAGGCCATGTACCGCAAGCTGTGGTGGTGCATCCTGCTGTCGATTATCGTCATTTTTGCCTTCTTCTTCTTTAATTCCTTCTCTTTCGCCTCGGCCCGCGACCCGGACTATGTCCCCTTCCACTGGAAGACGCGCTGGTTCGTGCTCGACGGCTGGCTCAACCTCGTCTACTTTTCCGATGTCGCCTTCATCGCGTACGTCTGGCGCCCCACGGCGAATAACCGGCGCTTTGCCATGAGCGACGAGATTGCGCAGGAGGATGACGGGACGTTTGAGATTGCCAACCTTGATATTGGCAACCCGGACGAGTCGGATGACGAAGATGATGAGGAGGCTAGGGTGGGGAGCGCTAAGAAGACGACCGGGAATGGTGCTTCGTCGTCGCGGGGGGCGGGTGGTAGTAGTGCTGCTGCTGCTCAGACTGGTGCGGAGAGTAGGCAACAACAATCGCAACAGCGACAGCCAGCGCAGCAAGTTTCTTCGCAGCGGCCGCCGCAGCCGCGGGAGTCGCTGGACGGCGAGACGATCTTTGCCGTGGGCGAGGACGGGGACAAGTTTTCGGATGATGAGAGTGGGGAGGAGTCGGGGCTTGTAAGGGGGAGGAAATAGAGGAGTGTGTAGCTAGGGTTTTCTTGCAGAAGATCACTAGTGGGTTTAAAACAGGTCAGTGCATCTAACACTCGCACGGGGTGCTCATCTGGGGTTGTACCATAGGGGCGGATGGCGTTGGGTTGGGATAGGTTGCTTGTTTGGTGGTATTCATTGCATCGTGCTACTTGGTATTTTGGGGCTATTAATAAGCATACATAACTCTTATGGCTGGGTTAGACGGTTCATTCGCGGTGTCTGTCTTGCCGCACATTGGATCAGTTTCACCCGACAATATCGTCCTTGGGCATGCCAAAAGTCTACGTCGCGGGGTGGCACATATCGTGATTGTACAATGCAATCACCGAACCAAGCCGGGCCAACCTCAAAACTTCCACCAATTGAGCATACGGGCCAGTCCTAAGCAGCAACATCCCCCCCAAACCCAACCGGCCTTCTACGCCCCTCATTCTCGGGCAAGATGGCCAGCGCCTTGTACACCTTGCCCATCCCCCCGGGTCCCCTATCCACCAATCTGGCGGAAGCCTTTCTCACATCCTCCACCTTTTTCCTCTTCCCCTCCTCCTCATCATCCCCCGCCCGTAGCTCACCATCATCCATCATAGCCCTAGCCAACATATCCACCCTCTCCCGTATCCCCATGACCTCCAAGAAGTCCGCCTGCGCGACAGGGCCGTGCACCTCGATTCCGTCGCTCGCGCGCGTGGCCGCCTCGGCGAGCGCCGCGAAATCCACGTCGGCAGACAGATCGGTCAGGCCGGGCTCGGCAAAGGGGCTCACGCGGCGGTGCCGGCGAATGCCGCGCAAAGAGTTGGTCGGGACGGAGCCGTCGCCGGGGCCGTAGTCGAGGATCAGTGCCGCGCCCGAGGGGCGCGGTTTGGGGTGCTGCGGGGAGCCGCCGATGCGGGACGCAAAGTCGGATGCGTAGAGGGCTGCGTCGGGGCAGATTTCGACGAGGGCACCGGAGCCGACATTGGTTTTTAGCGCGCGGTAGCGCGGGGAGGATTCGGGTAGGTAGAGGGAGTGGCGGGTCGGTTGTTGGGAGAGGGTTAGTTGGAAGTCGGGGGGTGGGGTGTCGCGGGATTGGGAAGGGGGCGTGTTCAGGGTGGCGTGGGTTGAGTTGGGCGGTGTGGGAGAGACGAGAAGCTCGCGCCATTGGAGGGTTGGGTGAGAGGTTTTGGTGGATGGGGAGGAGGTGTCGGTTGGCGAGGGCGAGGTGGTCTGGGTGGCTGGGACCGAGACGAGCTGGAAGGCGTGGATGGGGAGGGCGTCAAAGAACTCGTGGGCCATGATGAAGGGCATCTTCTCGGCGGCTGGGACGTGTTAGCAGGTGAAGGGGGATAAGGGGAGGCAAAAACAAGGTTGGACTTGCCGATAGGAATTGACTTGATTGTCTCGGTCCATACAATGGGCAGCGCGTTGTACTTGCACACGCTGTGGTAGCCGACCTTGGATTCGGTCATGGGGGCGTCCTCGCCGCAGAGGAGGTTTTTCTGGGCTACTCGGAGTTCCGGACTAGCCTCGACCATGTAGATGGCGTCGATGCTGTTTGCCATGGCGGGAAATCTCCGGATGGTCTGACCCAAGTCAGCAAATGTGGTTGCCAGCCGAGGTCAACATAGCAATACAGGAGTGTACTCACTCGCAGCATATCGTCCATCAGAGTGCCGCGGCCGGGCCCGACCTCGATCAACTCGACGCCCTTGCTCTGGCGGCCCTGGGCCATCCACTCGGCCACGAACCAGATGCCGCAGAGCTCACCAAAGACTTGAGAAATCTCGGGCGACGTCACGAAATCGCCCTTGAGCCCGAACTGGTCACGGCCCTCCTCGATGGCGCCCGTGTAGTAACCGCCGATGTCAGCGGTCAGACACATACGCATGTAGCTGGCCAGGGGCACGGGGCCGGTGATCTAGCAACTATTAGCATCTCGCAGCTAAGTCTTCAAGGGGAGTAGTAGTAGAAAACACACTTCGATGGCCGCAGCCAGTTTCTTGGCCAAAGGAGTCGACCATTTTCTGCCGTGGTCGTCTTCCGCGTCAACTTTCTCATTCTGTTGGGTTGCCGGTGCAGAGAAGTGTCGGTGTTGTGCTATCCCGGCCGAGACGCCCCCATCGAGTAGTGGGTTTGAGCTTAAGCTTGAGCTGCGGCAGGAGCTTGGCTGTAAGCTTCGAATTGACGGAGCACTTCTTGAAATCAGTCTTTTCGACCGCAGATCGACGCAGCGAGGGCTTCTTAGCGCCCGAAACAACACGGGCCTCATGTTTCACAGTTCTGGGAACTGATGCCACACATGTCTGATTTGAGATGCAAAGGCGAGGTGGCTGACGGCTATTTAGAGATTGAGAGGCAACGGCTGAGACGGGTTGTTGGAACACTTTAGAGGTCCGAGTCGTTATCAAACACCAGACGGGAACTTATCTTGTAATACAGCCCTAACCCTGGCGTGACCTGAGACAACATGGGATGAATCCTTGGAGATAATGCCACCATTGGTGCATATTGATGTCTTTAAGTATTGGTAACGGCTTTTTAGACCTTCCTCTTCACGTCTTAAAACCCAGCAGTGTCTTCAGCAGGATAGCGGTGGTCGGATGGTAACCTGACATATGCAGGGGTTAGGGTTGGTTAGTCGTACCTACCAGAGTGATGTCAGTCAGACCATGTGAGAGAGGGCCGTGCCACATGTTAATTGTCCATTGCAGCAAAGAGCAATCAAGACGAAACCCAGACATTCAACGACATAGCATTGCCGGCTCAACAACTTCGGCATCCATACAGCGATAATGGCTCGACTGATATATGGCGTAGCGGCGACGCCAATGCCGCGACGGGCCGATCCCCTGACGGACCTGACCATGCTGCTGAACCGCCTGCAGCGCACCATTCTGCATGCCGACGCCGAGCGCGAGGCACGCCTGAAGGAGAGCGAGTTTGAGAGGGAAAAGGCCCAAGCAGTAAGCAACTTAACTTTTACTGTCTATTGCAAACCAGAATTTCTGACTCGTGCTAAATTGAGTCAGAACATCAACTACGCACGGTCGCTCCTCACCAAGCTCGAGCAGGAAGCCCTGTCCGTCAAGATCCTCGTCCGCCGACAGGAAGCCCAGGCCGATCTGGTGCGGAAGCGGGAGCTTCTGGACCAGTTATCGGAGCGGCTCAGCGATCTGGCCGAGCTTGCCGCGGTTGGGAACAACGGTAATGCCGCCGACGAAGAGGACACTTCGGACGGGGAGGACATCCTAGCCGACATCGTCGTCACGCCGAGCGAGAGCTTGGACTCGACGAAGTCGAGCGACATGCAGCCAGAGGAACCAGACGAGCCATCGGCTCAGACCCCAGCCCCGCTAGAACCACCATCACCCCCTCCGCCGCAACCCGCACAGCGACAACGCACCACACCCCAACCCGAATCCTCCTCCATCCCCTCAACCACACCACCACCCCCAGCAACAACCTCCCAAACCCTCCGCCACCGTCACACCGAACTAAAAACAACACCACCAGCAGCAGCAGCATCAACAACAGCAACAACCAGCTCCTCCCTCTTCGTAAACCACCCCTCCCAAAAAATATCAACAACAACAGCAATCCCCACAACAGAAGAAGCCATCCTAGACCACCAGCGCGCCGAACAAGACGCCCTGTCGGACTCCATCCTCCGCCTCGCCTCCGAGCTCAAGGCCTCGTCGCAAGCCTTCAGTGCCGCGCTCGAGGAGGACAGGGAAGTCGTTGAGCGGGCGGGACGGGGCATGAGCAAGACGGGCGAGGCCATGGAGGGCGTGACGCGGCGGATGGGCATGCTGCAGCGCATGACCGAGGGGGAGGGGTTCTGGGGCAGGTTGAGGTTGTATGTCATTGTGTATGGGTTGATGGTAGGGTTGGTCTTGTTGGTTGGGGTGGGGCCGAAGTTGAGATTTTGATACTCTGCCTCTGGTTGTTTATTTTGAGTATCGGAGAGGAGTGAGTGGTTGGGTGGATGGATGAGCAATGGGAAGGAGGTGAGCTGCTATTCGGGACGAGCGAGTAAACAACTTAAAGGGAAGGGGGGGTGGGAGGGGTGCGTAGCGATTGAAAGCAGCGTGTGGTATTTCTGAGGGTCCTGTCCCTATCTATCTGCCTTGCTAGCTATACTGATGCTGATGATGAGATGAAATCAGTGACTTCCAGAAATCAACGGTGCGTCTCCCGCCAATGCGTCTGTCATCTACAAAACCCGTTGCTGACAGCTGGTTGCATTTCCAGCGACTTCTCCGCCGGCCGCCCCCCCCCCCCCAACACGGGGGGGAACCGGCACAAACCTCAGCGGCACATCCTCGGGCTTTTCCTTTCACATCCCAACTGTGAGCGATTCGAGACGAGATTTTGACCGCCTCTAAGCCGTGAGATCCATCATGCAAGCCATGGCGCCGAGAGTCGGCTAGCTGGAGTGAGGTGTGTCCACTAACGGCGTTGCGGAATCGCCATGCTTCTCATCCCGTTCCTGCGGCAAAAAGGAGGCAACCGTGATGCTGAGGTCGGCTCGCGGCGACGAAGCTGGGGTCATGAGTTGGTCGGCTGGGCTCGACGCGTCTGAGATCTTTGCGGCCACGGCTGCAATCTTGGAGAGTGTGTCTTCGCCGTGGCCGTTGTGGGTGTCTGCCACCATAGCAGGCGGTATAACTGGCTGAGCAGTGCCGGTCGGGTCCGCGGTCGTCGCATCTGCCGTGTCAATGACGGCAATCTCGGCCGGTATGTACTGGGCCGGGGCCCGGCCGACTGGCTTGCCACCCCTCTGTGTACGCATTAGCTTATTCCGCTGGATTCCGATCCCTTCCAGAAACAGACTCAGCGGCGGTTGGTACCGAAGCTTGTCCTTTCCGGCCGTCCCTGCCTGGACGAGACGCTGCGCCTACGGGATGCCGTCTCAGTCTGGAAGAAGTACTTGAAGTGGGTAAACTCGCGGGCAAAGACGCCTGGCGAGCCGCCCGGTCGGTGGAAACTTGGCTGCGAGTCGCCTTTCTTCTTGGAGAACTTGGCCACGAACCAGTAGAGGTGCGGTTCGTCGTTATAGGATCCGTATAGCTGGGGTGGTCAGCCAGTTAGGGGTTGTGTAAAGAAGACTTGTGTAGATGTAAGTGACCCAGTGGCACGAGGTGTCATCTGAAAAGGGGTGACATAAAAAGGGCGTTGAATCGGGACATGTGGTAAAAAGATTGACTGCGTGCCGAAACGAGAAAAGGGGTAACTTGGGATGAACCAGTCCTATGCAAAATAACAAACCCGCACCCCATACTCACCGAAAGAGTGAATTTCTCCTCCTGAAATACGCCCTCCTTGGCAACCCAGACCGTCCTCTTCAGCTTCACCTCGTAAGGAAAGTAGGTATGGTCCCGGTAAACACGGTAGAAATCTGCCCTAGTCAGTTAGCTCATTAACTCGCGTCTGAGCAGGGAGAGCACTTACTCGTATCAACCTCCTTCTCCGCCTTCTCCTGGCCCTTGATCACCATCAGAGCCACCCGCTCGCGCTCGTGCTCCCTCTTGAGAGCCTCCACGTGCGAGTCCTTCGCCTCGGGAAGCCGCTTCTTCTCATGGATCGAGTCCTCCAGCCAGTCGAGCTTGACGAACTTGCATGTCCTGAGGCGTTTCCCCAAAGGCAGCATCCGCCGAAACTCCTCCTTCGACCAGACCGGGTGCGTCACGTCCCCATCTAACTTCTCCCCCACGAATTTACTTCCGTGCAGCACGACCCACTGGGCAATGCTGGCGTCGCTCCACTGCTTGCGGCGGCCTTTCTTTGCGTTGAGGTCGCCTGCCCTGGCGATGGTCAGGCCGCGGAAGATTGTCTTCTCTTCGGGGGCCAGCTTCTTGTGTTTGGCCATTCTTGCCATCCTGCTGGTGCGTATGGAGTGTAACTCGCCGATTGAGCTGATGGGTGTGAGAGAGCAGAAAGAAGAAGGAAAGCCTTGGGTTGGAAGAAAAGAGGAGAGGAGAGGAGAGCAAAAGGACGGAGAGGAGGAGGAAAGAGAGCGTGTGGAAGGAGAACCAGAGGTTATGAGAGCGTGTGTGTCAGTGAGATGGGAGATAACAAGACGGGAAGTTCCAGAAAAACACGAAGATCGTTGGTGGAATTGTTTTAGAGCTACGGAAGCTGGGAGGAATTTGTAACTCCAGGATATGCTCTGGTGGGAAGGAAGGTTAGGAAACAAATCGTCTGGGTGCTGATGCCAGAAGGCAGCCTGATCAGGAAGATCAACCGAGGAAGTAAAAGGGAAATGGCAGGTCGGATGAGTTGGGTACTCATGAGTTGGGTACTGAAGGGAGGACGTGTAAAACCCCTTCCAACCTAATAGGGTAGGTCGGAATCAAAGCTGCGAAGTCTGTCTTCTTAGCCTGGACGGTCGGTGCTTCAAGGGAACGTTTGGCGAGAGGGTTGGCAGGAATAGGAAATGCCGGTCTTGCCTGGCTGCCGACTCACTCCATGCCTAACTCTGTGCAAGAGTCGGGGGGGGAGGGGGGTTAGACTATCATTCGGGTGAATTGACGAGATCATGCGTCGTCCACAGGGGCTGAAGGAGGATGTCAGCGTTTCCAAGAGCAACATGATGACACCTCTTCTCCCGAGAAACTATGGCCGATGCCAGCTCCAGCCGAAGAAAAACCACGTTCAGGCACCCTGCTTTTTCACAGCACGTCAGTGAAGTCAATATGCCAAAGCTGTTCTCCCTATCAACTCCACGGACAACTACCGAATCGCCTTAGCAGCCTTTACAAACCCCCTAATCTTCTCCAAACTCTGTTGCCCATCCACCTCAACGCCACTGCTCACATCCACGCCCAGCACCCTCTCGGCAAGCGGCCCCAGAGCCGCCACCGACGCGGCAACATTGCCCGGATCCAACCCACCCGCCAGAAGTACCGACAAATGCGGATCCCTCTCCAATGCGGCCCTGGCAGCCTCCACATCGAGCAGCGCCCCTGACCCCGCCCCCGAGTCCAACAGCGGAACGGCATGGTACCCGCGCACGCCGAGCCCGATCTGCCCAGGCTTGAACTTGCGAATGACGGGCACCGGGATGAGGCTAGCCCACTCGAGCGGCTCGTCGCCGTGCAGCTGGATTACGTCGAGGCCGTACAGGCGCTGCTTCTCGAGGACGTCGTCCAGGGGCTGGTTCATAAAGACGCCGACGAGGAGGGGTCCCTGTTTCCGCAGTACTTCGCCCGAGAGTGTGAAGAAGTCCGTTGCTGTCTTGGAAACGTTGATTGGGTCCGAGCCAAGGGAGCTGGCGGCCTGTCTGCGGCTGCGGCTGCTGTGGACTGCCTCCGAGATGGCCAGGGCCGTCTCGTGCGAGACGCAGCGCTTCGTGCCCGGGACGAGGATCATGCCCACGAGATCGGCGCCAGCACTGATGGCTTGCGCGGCGGCCTCGGGGCTTCGCGTCCCGCAGATTTTGACTAGTAGCGGCTTGGTCTCTGATTTGGGTGCTGGCGCCTCGGGCCCCGCGCAGAGTTCCCTGATGAATTTGGATGCGTCTGGCGCCCGCATGATAGCCTCGCCAACGAGGATGCCGTTGACGCCGTCGCGCTTGCTTTCGAGAACGTCTTGGTGCGAGTTGATGCCGCTGAGAGCGCACAGAAAGGTGTCCTTGGGTACCATACTCCGGAGACGGCCCGTTGTGCCGAGGTCGACCTCAAAATTCTCCAGGTTGCGGTTGTTGACGCCGATCACCTTGGAGCCTAGCTTGATAGCCGTAGCCATTTCCTCGGCGTTTTGAACCTCCACCAGCGGCTCCATGCCGAGCGAGAGCGAGTACCTGTAGAGCCGTTCCAATACATCAACCTCCAGCATCTTCACAATCAGCAGGACAGTGTCGGCGCCGGCAAGCCTTGCCTCGAGGATCTGGTACTCCTCAAAGATGAATTCCTTTCGAAGCACGGCGGGCCGATTGGGCATGCCGTTGAGAACTTGGCGAACGGCGCGCAGGTCCTCGATGCTTCCCTTGAACCACTCAGGCTCAGTCAGGACTGAGATGACGCTGGCGCCGGCGAGCGCGTACTTGCGGGCCTGGCTGGGGGCGTCGATGTCAAGGGCAAAGACGCCTTTTGATGGTGACCCTCGCTTGATCTCGGCCAGCAGAGCAACATCAAATGGTGATTGGCGCAGGCGATCGACGAGCGAAATCTGGGGCGGGGCGAGGTTCAAGTTGTAGGCGGCCTGCAGGTCAGAAGGTCTCTGCGAGGGGATCTGCTTCTGGGCGTCGACGGCGGCTTTTCGGTGGGCATAGATCGTCTGGAGAATGTTGTTCTTTGGTGCCGGTGCTGTCTTTGCGACGCCATTCGGCACAGTGGCGGCGTCCTGGTTGGTCTCGGCAGCTTTCTGCAGGCGCTCATTCTCGGCCCAGGTGCCGCCCTGCATGTGCAGGAAATTCCTGAGCATGAGGCGCCCCTCGGCCGATAGGATGCTCTCCGGGTGGAATTGTACGCCCTCAATGGTGTACTCCTTGTGACGGACACCCATGATGACGCCCTTGGAGCCATCTTCGTTGGCGATCCAGGAGGTCACCTCCAAACACTCGGGCAGCGTGACATGAGTTCCGGCGAGGGAGTGATAGCGGGTGACGGGCAAGCCCTGGGCCAGGCCAGCATAGACACCCTTGGAGTCATGTGCCAGGGGTGATGTCTTGCCGTGCAGAATCTCACCAGCGAAACTCACATCGCCGCCATACACATCGAAAATGCATTGCCTTAAGTTGATCATGTCAGTACTCTAAGGTGGCTCGGCAGTCACCTAGGATCAAGGGGTTATTCACTTACTGACCCATGCACACGCCGAAAATTGGGATCTTTCCGGCGAAGTGCTTGATGGCGTCACGGCTGATGCCCGAATCTGTGCCTGGGTGGCCCGGCCCTGGGCTGACAACCAATTGAGTCGGCTTCTTGGCGATGAGCTCCTCGAGCGTGATCTTGTCGTTTCGGAATACCGTCACATTGGCACCCTCGAGCACCAGGTATTGGTACACATTCCAGGTGAACGAGTCATAGTTGTCGATCAGGATGAGGTTGGAGGCCGTCGGGACCAGGGGCGACGGATCGGGATGATGTGGTGAGTGGTCGATGATATCCAAAGCGGCCGGCATGGTGGTGATGGATTCGTCTCCGACCGAATTCGGAGTGCAAGGTTGAGATGTCCGGTGCAGGCTCAGAGACAACTTCGAATCTGGAATGCCAAACAAAAATATCGGTGTCTCTGTACGGATTACAGAAAATCAAAACGAGCCCTGATTCCCGCTGGTCGTTCAAATCAACTCGTGAGTCACGTCCGTTTGTGAGACCCTAGAGGTAGTATGTAAGAAGGCCGTCTTATGAACGCAATTTCGGGTATTGATTCGCCGTCGAACCGTGTTTCGTTAGTAAGGTAAAAATACCTAACACAGGTTGCATATCATTGGAAGCTGTTCTCGCAGTTGTTGGAAGACTGGATAAAACAAAGAGTGAGGGGCATCGCATCGTGGGGCTTTGCACATCCTAACATCCAGGGGCAGCTGTTTGTGGCGAAGGGACCAGATCTCCAGCTGCTATTCAGACAATGCAGGTATGGGAAGCTGCAGCTCTTAACTATCGATAAGCCAGCCAAACGGGTCCCAAGCTGCCCTGAGAAAAAAGCGGACTGGTCCGACCGCCTGTGCAACCGCCTGGCAGAGAGCTTCCATTTGGGATTCTGGGGACCCGCGTCAGAGAGCGCGTCGGTGCAGTGAAAGTGCCAGGTTAAGCCCCGGCTCAGCATCAACATCGACATTCCATCTGCACACCACGCTCGCTTCCATTGCCTGGGCGGTGCCACAGGTTGTCGCATTGGAAAACGGTTTCAGAATTGGTCAACTCCGGCTCGGATGGAGACCATTGCCCAATGGCTACGTTGACCGATAGAACATATTTTCCTCCCCTGGAGGAGTGTCTAAACGGCAAGAAAATAATTCTGTGAGTTGCGCCGGTGCTGGACGGGGTCTCCCCGAGCTTGATTTGGTCTGACACTATCTGCTCTCCGTCATAGCTCATGGCGCCTTGTTGCTTCAGCCCTCGAGGACGTGTCATGCGACCGCCTCACTAGCACCGCCGTGTCGGCCTTCCTCCGAGACGGCTACGTCCATCAGCTGCTTAGGAAACCCACCAGGACATTTGCGCCGCCCACGAACCAATCCAAGCTGGACTTCGAGACCAAGAGCGGCGCTATCAATGTCGTACAGTCGCCAAACGACCCATACGACCTCGACACCGTCAAGGACGACGCACGATGGCTAAGCAAAAACGCAAACATTAACGAGGTCGCCGCTCTCCGCATTGTGCTCGTTGAATACCAGTCACGCGCCCACAGCCACCTCACCGGACCGCTATCCACACAGGATGTCGCCAACATTCAGGAAGCGGCCGGGGTGGGGGATGCGCAGGCTACGGCCATCCTCGCTCTGCTGAGCGTCACAACAGCTGTCGATGCCGAGTCCACGTGGGCCAACTTCGAGAGCGACACCAAGCGCCGCCAGCGCCTTCTTGCCACCTACCTCTCCGAGCGGCGATCTTTCCTGGCCGCCGCGGATGCGCTGCTCGCCTTTCTCCTGCACTCCCCCTCGTCAGGCACCGGCTCCGAACTGGACCCTTTGCGCGGCTCCGTCCTGAAGGAGGCCTTTGGTTTTGATGAGAGCTCGGCGAAGCCTGAAACGTCCAGGCTTTACGCTCTGGCGCCGACATATCTCGGTACCTTGGAGGACTGTTTCAACCGGACCCAGGCGGCCCCGGAATCACTCGACAGGGGGATGCTGGATGACCAGTTCGAGGTCGACTGGATTAGGACAGCGCTGACCGAGGCTATTCACGCCATGTCGCTGGCTTTTCAAATATTGGATCTGAGATCCTCCATGTTCGCAGCGCCCGAAATCGTAACCCAGTGGTTTGCCCTGATGGACGCCTGCGAGTTCTTTGAGCCGGTTGTTGGAGGCCATGACCTCATTGCCGAGCTCATCTTACCCCTCCGCAGTCTCGTTACCTCCATCTCCCTGAAGCTGCTCAACATTGACCGGACGCTCTTATACTTAGACCAGGACGTCGACCTTGTGGAGACCGAGCAGCCATATCTCGCATCGTCAGACGCCCTGACCCAGATCCACACCACCGTCTTTGCCGCCACCAATGCCGGCTTGATTACGACAATGCCAATTGTTTTTGCCTGGTCTCTCATTTTGCACCACATGCACCTCGGGTACCAAGAGCGAGCCGAGCGGCGCGATCTCATACAAAACCAGCGGGCGCAGGCCGGCTTTGAGCTCGAGTATGAGCCCTCCGGCCGCCAGCGGAGGAACTCGGCCGGGAGTATCGTCTCGATTGAGGCATCTCCTTACGATGTCTTCCTTGCTTCCCAGCAGCTGGAACGAAGCATTGAACCAGCGGAAACCATGGCCAGGGTGGCCACTGCTCGAGGCCAGGTTTACGACCTGATGGCGGAGATGGCGGTATGCCTGGGAAGCGGCCAGATAGCCGCATTTCGGCCGGTATTGGGTGCCCGCGCCCGCTTGGCTTTCCAAGATCTTCTGAAACGGAGTTCCCATTACGTGGGGTACCAGTCGGAACCGGTCTCGTGTCTCCTATCCGTCCTCTCAGGCGGCAGCCAGTTCTGGGACATCTCTCCTGAGCCGCCAGCCAACAAAGCGGCTCTCGATATTTACATTCGCATGATAAAGGACGACACCCTCAACCTTCAATACACCTCGCAGTCACAGAGTCGCTTCCCCTACGAATTCCTCCCCTTCTCTTCCATCTGCCGCATCTTGTCAGCTGCCTTGGCTTCGGACAAGGAGAACTCCGAGTTGTTCATCTCGATGCTCCTCAAAACGCCTAGTCTGACTGTCAACTGGGATCCGCGGTGGGACAGGTCGTACGAGCTGGTATTTGAGGAGGAGAATACCAACTCCTTCCGTCTGACCAAAGATATCAATCTCTTTGACTCGACCTCAAAATCCAACAGGCAGTTCTCGCCCGAGGAGAGGTGCACAATTCCCCGAGGAACATTCGGCCGGTTCATCACCGATGTGGGGAGGGTTGCCAAGCTGGACTTTGAGCATTCCGCCTTGGCTCTCCTAGGGAAGCGTCTCGAAGTGAATCTCATGGCTGGCGCCTACGACAGCGCGCTGGGGTATTTATCGGTGGACGAGCTGGTTGAGGGGATATCGCTTGTCGCAACAGTTCTGCGAACCGCGACCTTGAAGTCTTCCAAGTCAGACCCGGATAGCGGCTTAAGGATACTTACGGAAGCTAGCCGCTTGCTTCCCCGCGGCAAGGACATTATCAGCATCATATGCGACACCCTGGACAGTTTGGTCGAGGAAGAGCTTGCGGATCTGGATGGGCCCAAGATCGCGGCCTTAACATCTTGTCTCCAGTTCCTGTATGCGGCCCTCCCGATTTGCCCTGGCCGGGTCTGGGCATACATGGCACGATGTGCCCTTATCAATGGCGACACCCGCGCTGGGCGCTTATCGAGAATCACGGTTAATCTCGACATGTTTTCCGAGAGGTTCGACCTACTTTTGTCTGCCGTGAAGCTGATCTCCAGCCTCGCCGAGAGCGCCATGACTAGCGCTGTGCAGAGGAGGGTAGGGAGTGGCCTCCATAACCGCTCCAAGGGGGGAGAGAATCCGTGGCTTGGGGCTTCCGACAAGATCATCTCGCGGGTCTCTCTCTCAATGGCGCAGACTGCTCTCGACGTTTTTGAGAATTCCGCCACCTGGAGGTTCCCCTCTGAGGTCGACCGCAGCGTCCTGGTCCGGGACGTGGTAGGCATCATGCACAGCTTGGTTTCTTACACACATAGTGTTGGGCCGGCTGAGGGGTCCAAGAGCTTGACGGGGCCCCTCGCACCCGCGGCTGGATACATCCTGGAGAGCTTTCTTGCCAGTTCGTCTAGCTCGCTGCGGTTCCAGCCTCTCTTGACCACTCTCCTGGCTGCCTTCCAAATCCCTGACTCAACTCTCTACCGGCGGCGCACCCGGATCGTGTCGGAGAGGCTGACAACGGTCCTCGCATTTGCTACCACTCTTCTACGGGTCGCTGACTACCTGGAGAAACCCTCCTGTACCATGCAAACGCAACTTTTCAAGTCTGCCTGCATTGTCGCACGGCTACCAGCCCTCATGCACTCCTTCAGGATGCCCGCCATCTCCCTCTTGAGTGCGCTTGTGGAAAGTGCCGGCAAGGGCAGCGGCGAGCCTCCATCGCTACTAGGCTACCTGGGCCCGCAGATATCTCGGTCCTTCATCCAGATTGCTTCACAACTGGATAAGCCATTTGACAGGATACCTGAGATGGCGAGCACCTGGAAGTTCTTTTCAACCATCCTGCGGAACCGGCAGCAGTGGATGGCGAACTGCCTGCTCACGGGCAAGACGCCTCGGGAAGCCCTCAAGGGCGACGCCAAGATCTCGCAGATCTCCGCTGGCTCCGTGCTATCAACGGCCATGGAAAAGTTGCGCTCCATCAACAACATCCCGAGCCAAGAGAGTCTCGCCGTTCTCGACTTCTTCACGTCAGCGCAAAACTACTGGCCATGGACAATTTTCGCCATGCAGAAAGACAAGGCCTTCCTGCAGGATCTCCGATTCTATGTCCGCGAACTCAAGAGCCCCGCAGTCGTGTCCAGAGTCGACCCAGCCGAGGCTTGCTACCAGGCGAGGATAGCGGCCTACATTGCCGAGACGTTCGCCATGCAGCTGTACCATCTGCGCCAGATGCGCCAGGAGCAGGGATTCGCGACGGAAGTGGTGAATGACCTGGATTACTTCCTCCGTGATGGGGTCCAGGTGTCGGATTATAACACGTCACTGCATGCCAACTTTGCGCGAAACTTTGCCAAGCGGTATCCGGGGTGTTTGGTCGATGACTTCAAAAGGACTCTCTTGGTGCCGCGAGATCTGGGGTCGCAGTATTACTATGCGCTGGATTTCGCCGAGGCCATGCTCAATTACGATGCTGGCTGGGCTGGGTCACGGCAGAACGGTTTTAAGCGAGAGATGGAGACGGCCAACATCAATCTCTCTTTGGTGGAGGCTGAAGTGGTAAGTTCTGTGCCGAGTTCTGCCATGAAAGGCCGTCGCTAATTCTACTAGGCCCTGTTCCATGCCTGGGAGTACCTACTCCTGGAGCTCAGTATCTGCCTGCTGCCGAAGAACCAAGCTGTCGCGAGGCAGATGTGGCAGGTGGCCAAGCAATGCTTGGAGTCGAACCAGCGAGCTCAGCCGCCGGAGAACATCTTTGTGGTGCTCGCTCACTCGCGCGCGAACCTGGCCCTGACATTGTTGCAGCGACTGGACCGCTCCCTTTTGCCCAAGGACATATCGGAGCTTCTCTCGCTCATTGCCGCCACCATCAATGGCGTCGAAAACCCATGGAGCGAAGCACAAATCTCCTACTTCCGCACCCTTCTCAAGATCCTCTTTGTGATCTTGCGCGGAGCTAAACTGCCCACCCATGCCGCGTCGCAGAAGATCGCCTCAGCGGAAAGCCCCGCCGCCGTCGCCCAGCTGGTCCTCACCATCCTCGACCGGGTCGTGGCGCGGTCCTTCCGCACCCTCGCCGCCCTCGTGCACGAGCGCGACGCAGCCGCCACGCCCGAGGACCTCGCCCTGATAACCGCCGTCCTGCAAGCGTGCCTCAGCGTCCCGGGCATCGAGCAGTGCCAGCTGCAAGTGCTCAACATCATGTCGTCGCACGACGTCCTGCAGGTCGCCACGTCGCTCTTCTCGTGGGCCGACCGCCTCGCCGACAAGGGCGACCCCGTCTACGGCGAGCTGGCCCTCCTCCTCCTCGTCGAGCTCTCGGCCCTCCCCGCCCTCGCCGAGCAGCTCGCCTGCGACGGCCTGCTGGGCCATTTGACGTCGGCCAACCTGTCGGGCTTCATGCGCCGCGCCAACGTCTCCCCCTTTACTGACAACGCCGGCGCCGCACGGTGCTACGCCATCTGGGCCAAGGGCATACTGCCCTTACTTTTGAACGTCCTAGGCGCGCTGGGCGCTACCATCGCGCCCGAGATCGCCTTTGTGCTGAACCAGTTTCCCAACCTGTTGCGGTCGTCGGTCGACCGGCTTGAGGCGCCCGGGCAGAGCCGTACGTCCCGGGACGAGGCGCCGCACTTTGTGGCGCTCGTCGCCGTGTCCGAGGTGCACTCGCTTGCGCTGCTCACGAGGGTGCTGGCCGCGCTGCGGGCGAATAATAGCCGGGATATCCCCGAGGTGGCTGGGTGGGACGCGGGCGCGGTGCTGGAGAATGTCGAGTTTTGGCTGGCGAGTCGGAAGGTGCTGAGGGAGAGGCTGCTGCCGCTGGGTGCCCGGGAGGTTGAGTGGAGGGGGACGAGGGCGAGTGAGGGGAGTGGGTGTGAGAATCGGCTTGAGGAGAAGGCGGTGGCGTTGTTGGAAGGGGTGAGGGATGTGTTGGCTGAGGAGGCGGAGTAAAGGGATGGACATTGTGTTTTTGTGGGTGTATTAGGATGTTTTCGTGGTTGCGAAGTAAAGGCTTATCTTGTTTGTTGCTATCTGTTTGGATCTGGGGTGATCTGTTTGTCACTCGCTCACGCTCTGACTCGGAACGTGAATGTGTCCTTCATGCCTGATGGTTATGATCTGGTCTGGCATGAACCCCAAACCCGGGCAGATCAAACCCATGATATTGTTACACCAGACAGTCCTGGCCTTGAGAACACTGTCTATCCCTATCCCAAATGGTCCCGTTAAGAATTCCCACGGTATGTATTGTACAGCCCAATCACTCCACAGTTCCCGTGACCTGGGGATATGATGTACAAGGCATTGTGTCAAGAGTCGAGATTCCTTGCTTCCTCCCCCATCCAACCATCCACCCATCCACCCATCCACCCATCTCTTATGGCTTTCCATAGACGACGGTTGTAGCAAAAGGTGAGAGGTGCGCAAAAAGCAGAGGAATCACCGCTTCTGCATCTCGGCCGTAACGGAGGCGTTGAGCTCAGCAAAACGCTCGCCCAGCCTGTTCTGCGTCGTCATCGACTTGGTCACGCACCGGCTGATGCAACCCGACTCGCGGCCTGAGAGCGCCCTGGACGTGAAGTCGTCGACGCACGAGTTGAAGCAGTTGTCGACCAGGTTGCCGAAGACCTGTGTTGTGTGAGGGCGGTTAGCAGGGCGGGTAAGTTTTTGGTAGGGTTGAGTAAGAAGGTAGATAGGTAATCCGGCCGCTCGGTGTAGTGTGGTTTGGTGGTGGGGTTGAGAAAGGAGGATGGCTGGAAGGAGCCTAGGATGGGAAGTGGAACGTACGTTCATGAACTCTTTGACTTGGCGCTTCTGCAGGCGGCCCTCGAGCTCGCGCTGCTCGCTTTGTGTGAGGCTGTTGAAGAGGGTTTGTCAACTTTGTGTTGCCGAGGCGGCATTGGCGTTGAAAGGGGGCGTACCCGGCATCCATGGTGTTGATGTTATTGTAGGTCAGTGTGTTAGTAGATTGTTGGGATGGGATTTACTTGGAGAAGGTAAACCCGTTCTTGCGATAGCAGTTCTTCTGGCTGATGATGGAGTTGATCGTGGACGGAATGTTTGCTATCGCGATAACAAAATCCTCTGCCGCGAGGGTTCAAGGGCTGCCGGTCCGTGCGTTCAGCCTTCTGTGAGATGTAGGAACTGGTCTGTCGGTCCAACCTTTCACACTTTGTCACATGAACCGCAACGTTTGCGGCAACCTTTGTTATTGAGTTCATTGAACACCCGCAGAGTTACCTACTCTGATTCCCTGACTCAGAAATACACTCTATCAGATGCTACGAATTAGTTTACTCTCGAAGTTGAATCTTCTGAAAGCGAGTTCAAGTCCGAGCAATTCACTGCATCAAGGCAAGTCCGCCAAGTCCACGCAGAGGTCTACTTGCTGCACCTCTACCTACATTCTGACCTGATTATATCAAAGGCTTTAGAACCAAATGAGCAGAAAAGAAGTCCCCTTTCATACTCGGCCAGCTTTGATGCTGTTACTATCCTACGAGCCCGCCGACGACTTCCAAAAAGGTCCAATTCGGAGGTCTGCAGGTTGCTGCAGTGAGGACTGAGCCTGTCGTCAACCTATGACGTCCATTGGTGTTCTCGTATCGGCAGCCCAGACCATGCTCACTCCTCATGAGGCTGAAGATGAAACACACGTCAGCTTGGCCATGACGGGAAAGAAGCTCCGCCCAACTACAGACCATGGATTGTCGGAGTCAACCTGGAAGTCCCCGTGATCTCTCGCTTGACAAGCAGGAACTTAAGCCAAGGAGTTGACAGCTGCGAATCACACAGGGTAGACACCAGAGGCCGCGTCGACTACCCCATGACTCATTTCCCAGCGTTGCAAGGCAAACCACGCAGTATTCCCAAATCACAGTTACGTTAGCCCAGTCTGGACGAGTTCCAATGGCCACATCCCGTCCAACATGGATAGCACTCCAATATCAGCATGCCTGTGTGCGTCGTAGTGCGTGATGTTGCATGGAGACCCCTAGGGTTACATACGTCATTGGGTGCTTCTCTTGCATGCGGCAAAGGTGCTTAGCTTGTCCTGCAGGTGAGAGCCAAAGTTGCAGGGCACACAAGATTAGTAGATTCAGTATTCCCAGTATGGAGATGGCGTTTCCCCTCGTAGGGTCCATGTAAAGTACCCCGCTATAGAGTCCCAATTCAAGAGGGAGTGTCAAGATTGCCCTCCCCCAGTCATACCCACTTAAGATCTGATGGTAGATTCGAAAATTGTAAGAAAGATTCTGAGGGAAGGCTGTAGCCGCGATCTGCAGTGAGGATCATATATGTTCGTATATGCTACAGGGTCCTGGCATGTTCAGGAAGGGTGCAGTGTCCAGTTGCTCATAGTCGAGCCAGCCAGGCACACGGGTGCAAGTACCTCCGTATCCACTATCCACATGTCTGAATTCCTAGGATTGCTGGCAGTAATTGGCCTGTTCGGCAACCGACGACTGGAATGGGAGAGCTCTGTGCCTCTAGCACCTTATTGTTGACATTGACTTTGTGCCTGATGTACCAATAAACACGTCCAGAACAAAACAGGGGGCATTTCTTCAATGTCTACCCTCGCACTCCGTATTCAGCCCTGGAGAACGGACATTTGGGTTGAGTAGAGTGGATGACGCCTGTGGAGCAAGCAGAAATCCGAGGACTGAATCTTAACATCTGCTCCTATTCTCACTCGATAACAGAACGGACTCGGCTCAGTGTCCATTCTAATCCATGGCTTGTCTTGACCTAGGCATATAAACTGCCGCACCTTATAAACTCCTGTCGTACGAATAGAGTCCCAAAGTCCCAAGGTCACTACCATGTGCGGATACCGTGTAATTACGCGCTATACACACAGTGTCACCACCAGTAAACGCTTCGTTTGTAGTTACCCTTGTCCAGTTGCCCCAGCTCTCCAAGCCCTTTTGAAAGCGAGAGCCCGCTGTCCCTACTTCCCTGCCGTCACACGTTGACCCCAGGTTCGCTTTTAATCAAACTTGTTAAACTTGCAATCGCTGAATGCAACGCAGTCTCGGCAGAACAACAACTCATACCACTGACCAAGGGGTGCTGTCTTGTTCGCAATCCATTTCGTCGGCGAGCGAGCAACATTCATTCAGGAGCCCCTCCCCTCGATCGACCCTGACCAGCGCCCGCAACCCAGAAATCGGCCCCAGCCGAGTCTGGATCGCGTCGCAGAACGACAATCATCGGCCTCCTGCACATAGCGATACTTCCGCCGTGTTTCTCCGTTGCGCGTCTTGCGCATCATCCTTCTCGCGCTCTCTCTCTCTTTCTCTCTCACAATCGTTCATGCAGCATCTTGATCCGATCGTCGTATTCTAAGCCTGGCGACACCGAGCAGTAGCAGATTGCCCATCGCGGCAGCATCCCATCTGTGGTCAACCACCGTGCCGTCGCAGCCATGACGTCCGCCGGACCACCGCCAGCATTGTCGCAACAACCTGCGACGTATCAACAGCAGCAACAGCAACAGCCACAGCGAGCAAACGTCCCACCCACTCCCGACACGCCCGTCGCTTCTCAGATACAAGCTGCTGTGTCGCCCCCCAGCAAGCGTGATTTGAAGTCATGGTGGAAAAGCTTCAAGCTTCCTTCCAAGCATCAAGAGTCACACGGTACAGAGCCCCGTCTTTCATAGCTTTCCCATGATCAAAGTCCCAGAGGAAGGCCACTCTCTTTGCAGAAGATATGGACGGCCATCTCAGCCAGGCCCCGCCTGCCGTGGCACTGCTCGAACACATCGTGTCGGATGAAGAAGAGAGCGCGGTTCATCAAGCAAGTGCCAGCATGAGCCAGCCGCCGCCCGCAAGACCACCGGGGCCTCCCAAGCTGAGCGCTCTGAACTGCATCGGGGCCTGGCCATGTGGCAGGCAAACCCGTGGACTGCGCCACAACCCGCCTTCAGCCAGAACGGAACTGACTGTCGCAGAGCACCGACCTCAAGGAATATTCGGTGTCCCGTTGCGACAGAGCATCACATACGCCAACGTCGCCATTTCGCTCGTTGACGAAGACGGCAAGAGCTATATATACGGCTATGTCCCAATTGTGGTGGCTAAATGCGGAGTGTTTCTTAAAGAGAGGGGTGCGTACTGCTGTTACCCGCCCCTGGATTTATAACCCTTGTCTTTTTTTGGTTAAGGTGCCACTGACATTCGGTGAAGCGACCGAGGTGGAGGGGATCTTCCGCCTGAGCGGGTCTGAGAAGCGCATCAAAGAACTCAAGAGCATCTTTGACTCGCCAGACAGGTATGGCAAGGGCCTGGTCTGGAATGGTTACACAGTGCACGATGCCGCCAACGTCCTGCGCCGTTACCTCAACGACCTCCCTGAGCCGGTCGTGCCTCTGGACCTCTACGAGAAGTTCCGGGAACCACTGCGGGGGGCGACAAAGCTCGGGGCCGGCGAAGAGGGTCCTCAGTTCGTCGACAACTTTGACATGGATGCCGCCATCGTCAAATACCAGCAGCTCATCACCGAGCTGCCGCCCCTGAACCGTCAGCTGCTGCTCTACATCCTCGACTTGCTAGCCGTCTTTGCGGCCAAGTCGGATCAGAACCGCATGACGTCGCAGAACTTGGCCGCCATCTTCCAGCCTGGCATGCTGTCGCACCCCAACCACGCGATGGCGCCAGAGGAGTATCGGCTCAACCAATGTGTCATCATTTTCCTCATCGAGAATCAAGACCACTTCCTCATTGGGATGCAGGGCACAGCAGCCGACGAGAAGACGGTCCAAGAGGTACAAAAGGGGACGCCGGTACTCAACCCGCCGTCGACGCCCAATGCAAAGGCCGGCATCGTTCGGTCTGCGTCCACTGCAAGCGCCGGGGCCGAAATTGTTGCCAAGGAGGGCTCGATCCGTCGGAACAAGTCGACGTCATCCAGACGGTCCTTCCACTCCAACGGCGGCCCTAGCCCAGCCAGCCCGGCTTTGACATCGACACCCTCGGGCGGACTGGCTAGGAGCAACACCGTCCCATCCAAGAAGTCCCCGGCCTTGCAGTCGGGGAGGTTCACATCTCGGGGCGATACACACGTGGCACCCTTGACTCCCGTCGCGCCATCAGCCACGGCCGCCGCCGTTTCTCCACCGGCCGCCGTGGAGGAGATTGCTACGCCCCCAGAGGAAAGCTCGGCGTCGATTGCAACATCGACAGGGCCATCGAGGTCCCAGCTTCGTTTGACCGTTCCCGGCGCACCGAGTCAGGAGAGGCTCCTCGAGTCTCCTACTCCGGAAGCTACGACTCCATCAAAAGAGCGGAGACTACCAATACTCTTCCAGAGGCTAGCGTCGGGCGAGAGCGACGGGCGCCAACCGAACAAGTTGAGGAAGAAGCGGTTACCAGGTAGCGCAAACCCAAGCGCACACAGTTCGACGGCTTCGCTTCCCCAGTCCTCTCCCAATGCCGAGGCGATGAACCCTCTCGAAGCCATACCGTCCGCTTCTCAAACAGCAGGCGCTGGAGGGCCGGTCGCAGCCCGGCCGGTCGAGGGACACCCAGGTGCGACGACACGGGCATCGCACGTTCCTCCTAGTAACGCTGGGCCGGGTAGCACTGATCCGGACAGATCTGGACCGAGCACCTTAAACCCCACGCTCAACCTCGCTGATGGCACTGCTAGCGTCACTCACGCCGACACTCTTCATTCTGGCCATAGCCACGCCGAAACCCTCCATCCAAGCACTGCCGGCACCCCCCTGAAGTCCAAAAAGTCACCTCCCACTTCGCTACATAGCTCGTTCAACGAGGGCTCAGACCTCGACCAAGTCGACGAGCCGACCGCGGCGCCTGCCGAGGTAGCCGTGCCGGACACGCCGAGCGAGAAGGAGAAGAAGCGGCGATGGCGGCTGTCGCGCAAGAAGGACGACGCTCCGTCTCTTGCCTCGCCCCAGCGCCCGGTCACCCTCGGATCGAACGCCACGGCCGGCGCCAGCGGCACCTCGATCAACAGCTCGGTGGGAAAGTTCGGGCCGACGAGCACGGCGGGCGGGGGGACGACTGACACTTCAGACCGCACGACGATCAACACGGAGGGGGCGGCGGCACCGCTGGTCGAGGTGTCGAGTAAGGAGAGCGGCGGCGGTGGTGGTGGTGGTGGAAAAGATAGGGACGAGCATGCGCAGAAAAAGATCTCGACTTGGATCAAGAATAAATACCGCGAGCATAAGGAGAATGCGGAGCAGCGGAGGAATAAGTCGCCGCCGCCTGCTGAGGGTGAGAGGACTGTCTCATTGGGATCGAGCTTGTTGTCTGGGAGGGGGAAGAGTTTGGATCTCAAGCGGAGTGGTGGTGAGGATGAGAAGCCTTCGGTGCCGGTGCCGGTTGCGCCGGTGGCAGTGCCGGTGGTTCCGCAGGCGCTTCCGCAGGCTCAGGTTCAGGGTCAGACGCAAGCGCAGTCGCATGATCCACAGGCGCAGTGATGGAGGCAAAAGGAGGCTTCTTCCCTTTCGGTCTCTCTGTCTCAGAGACGGGAGAAATGGTTGGACTTCTGGCCCGCCGACGACGATGTTCAATGCCGTTATGAAAATGTTCATGTGTCAGAACAGACAAAAGACATGTTGTATGTATGTAGCTTTTTTGTTGTTTTATTCCCAAGTCGAAGACAGAATAAGAAGGGGGAAGAAAGTTTGCAAGGAGTCGGGAAGGTATTTCCATACCTACCTTATACGGAGGGAGCTGTTAACCTTAGATATGGGAGTGTGGTATAGCATGGCATGGCATGGCCTGTGTTTTGTTTGGGCAATGCACATAGCGAATGGGGTTTCTTCCATCATGTTCTACGGTATCTTTACTGATTGGCGGGGCGGGAGTTTTGAGCGTGTCTGTGTTGCTGAGGGCACGGGCCCAATAGAGTACCTCCGATGAGGCTTTTCTGTTTAGTTGGCGATGTGCCTCGGCCGTGAGCTCAATCCAGATGGGATGGCAAGGCAATAGGGGATACCCCTCAGGATCGGGGATTTGTTTGCATTAGTGGCTTTGGTTTGGTATTGGGACTCGAGTATTAGGAGGGAAGTATATGATGGAGTGAGAAGGTTCCGTTGATGATGATGATGATGATGATGATGATGATGATGATGATGATGATGATGATGATTTGTTGTGCTTGAGTGAGCGAATACGCTGTTGGTGCTGTAGTCTATTGATGGGAGGCACTTGGCCTTCAGATCCGAGATATCACTGGTTTTGATATCTTTAGGGGGCGTGAAGTAGTTTACTTGCTTTAATGACTCACCCACCAAGCTGCGCTCTTTCAAGCTTCACAACCTTGACCGTAGAATGACTTGCCATACGGTGTTGCCAAGTATTACTCAATAACCAAAGCATGTCAGCCAATGGGATGTATGCCCCGATATTTCCTGGTTTGAGTGCGGAATGGAATGCAACGCCGTTGCAAGCCGTCGTCGTTGCGACTCTCAATTGTCCGACTTCATTCTTTCCTTTCCGAGTGTTGGGTTGGTGTTGCAGATTGGCGGCTCTAGGGCCCACTTTCCCCCGCAATTCGGGATCTGTTCCCTCGTGCCGAGTTGGAGACAGTTTTCGGCCACTGAAACCTTGTCGGAAAACGTACCCCACTTAAGCCTGGCTAACTGCCTGGCCGTTCAGCTGACTTCCAGCTTTGGAGGCTTCCGACGGGAGATGCTAACTGTAGGAGGAGATATCACCGATGTGAAGGATTACAGGGTACATCGCACACGTATCAACGACCGGCCGGGCTTATTAGTATATTTTTGAAGCACTCGTGGACACTCTCCCTTCCATCTTCTCCGGTTCCTCGCCGGGCCCACATGTTCCGGCAGCTCGACCGGGCCGAAAGCGCAGCTTCTGGATCATTCAACGGCCATTTCACTTTGGTTGTATAGGGTGTTTAGTGAAAGGGACCTGCAGTGCGTCAACTTCCCAAAACAGCCACGCTTCTGTCAATATAACCAGGTGTCAGAATTCCGGCGTGTGGCATTTCGGCAGCTGCTTGGCCCTGCAACGGTGTGCTGAGATGAGCTGAGGTTTACGCGACTTTATTGCCGAAACTCGGGCAGGTACCGGTCTTGGCGATCCCACCTTGACCCAACGCCCGAACGACCATCGCATGCAAAAAACATCGAAACGAGACATTCATTCGAGGATCCACTCACCCTTCAACCACGTTCTGGACCGGTTCATCAGCCCGCTCGGTGACTCGCCAGAAGACGGGGGCTCATGGCTGACTAACTTGTTGAAGACCAACGCTCATCCTGCATCCGGGCCTACCATGGCCATGGTGGACAACATCCATGCTTGAACTCGTTCGATCGGGTGGCGCAAGCCACCCGAAGGTTCCATGCCGGAGCCGCCGTCACAACCTCACATCAACTCTTTCGACCTCATCAAGCTGCATGAGTAATCAAACCAACCTCCATACCTTCTACCGCACAGTAGCGCCAGGTCGCCATGGAGTAGCAGCAGACTACGAGGACAATGGAGGATCATCCATGCTTACGTGTGGGCAGTATGGATGTGGTCCCCTGCTGTCGTCTCCATCCTCCCGCACATGGTTTTCCCATAGCCCCAGGTGTCTTGTCTCGATGTGGAAGGTAGTTAGCAAAGAAGCCCCGATTCCGGGCCAGTGGATTCCATGATGCAGAAGGCAACGCCGATCAACACGCAGAGGCACCGTCGCACAAGCCAGTCGGGGCCGGATATATGGTTGCGCGGCCTACTTAAAATCCGCGTCACGTCGCCATGGCCGTCCTTCTCGCCACCCACCCTTTCCAGCCGCCCTGCACTTCCATCTTACTTCGAGGCCCCGACACGTTTGGATAGCCGTTGGAGACGGTCATCATCACAGGTGGCAGCACTGAGCTCTGCTGAGCTGTAGATCATCAGGGGTTACAGCCATGTCTGAAATCAAGCAACGTACGTCTATCCTCATCTTGCAACCACTACCCTGTTGTTTTTATGAACCTGTTGCCTATTTCTTCCCTTCTCCTGGCCCGTCTTATTGACATCCTGTCCCCCAAACTACAGTCATGAGCTCCCACTAACACACTCTACAGCATCAGACGAGGAAGACGGCAAGCGGTACGGCGCCGGCAACGGCCCTGTCCTGGGCCAGGACATGATGGCCTCGCCCCCCTATGACACGGCCTCGCTGTCCTCGGGCGAGGTCGCCTGCCCGCCGCACACCACCGAGCGCAAGATCACGACCAAGATCGACCTGCACATCATCCCCTTCGTGTCCATCCTGTATCTGATGGCCTTCCTGGATCGCGTCAACATCGCCAACGCCCGCGCCTTTGGCCTCGAGAAGGAGCTCGGCCTGGGCGGCGTCGAGTACAACACGGCGCTGACCATCTTCTTCGTGCCCTACATCATCTGCGAGATCCCGTCCAACATCCTGCTCAAGCACTTCTCGCCCCGCGTCTGGCTGTCGGTGTGCTGCATCGGCTTCGGCGCCGTGACCGTGTTCCAGGGCCTGGTGCAGAACTACGCCGGCCTGCTCACCACGCGCTTCTTCTTGGGCCTGTTTGAATGCGGCATGTTCCCGGGCTGCTTTTATCTGCTGGGGGCGTGGTACCGCCGCCACGAGGCCCAGAAGCGATTCTCGCTGTTCTTCTCGTCGACGTCGCTGGCCGGGGCGTTTGGCGGGTTGGTGGCGTCGGGCATTGGAAAGATGGACTATGTCCAGGGCTACCGGGGCTGGCGCTGGATTTTCATTCTCGAGGGCTGCTTCACGGTGCTCGTGGGGCTGATTTTCCTCTTCACCTTTCCCTCGTTCCCGGAGCAGGCGGTGCGTCACAGGGTCCTGGATGATTCTTGTGGAAATTCGTGGGTATGCTGACGTGGATATGAATAGACCTGGCTCCGCGAGGACGAGCGCGAGTTCGTCAAGGGCCGGCTGCGCGCCTCGCAGGGCCACAGCGCGGCCGAGCGCAAGATCAAGCTCCGCGACGTCAAGACGGTCATGTCCGACTACAAGATCTGGCTCGGCGGCTTTATGTACTTTGGTCTCATCGTGCCGGCCTACTCATACGCCTACTTCTCGCCCACCATCATTCAGAGCTACAAGTACGATGCCATCACCACGCAGCTGCGCTCCGTGCCTCCCTGGGCCGTGTCCTTTGGCTTCTCCATGATCGTCGCCATCCTCTCCGACTGGATGAGGCATCGCTTCCTGTTTGTGATTGGTGCCATCTGCATCTCCATCGCAGGCTTCGGCATCCTGATCAATGTGCACGACAACCTGCCCGTGCAATACGCGGCGCTGTTCCTGACCTGCATGGGCACGTACTCGGCCATGCCAATCATCGTGTGCTGGTTCAATATGAACCTGGGAGGGCACCATCGGAAGGCCATCGGGAGTGCATGGCAGATTGGTACGTTTTGCCATCATCACATTTCACGGATGAACAAGGCGGAGAATGGCTGACTTAGTGGAACAGGCTTCGGCAACATTGGAGGCATCATCGCGACTTACTCGTTCATCTCGAGCGACGCGCCATTCTTCACCAAGGGCTATGCCATTTGCGTCTCGTTCATCTGCTTGAGCGTGCTGTCCTGTGTAGCATACGCTGTGGCCATCACGTGGGAGAATAGGAAGCGTGCCAAGCAGTTGCACAACCTGAATCTGACTGAGAGTGAAAAGATCGATCTTGGGGTGAGTCTGCTTGGTTGCGGATGGTGTAATGTTTCGAGGGGGTTGCTAACTGGAGCTGCAGGATTTGAACCCCGAGTTCAGGTATATGCTTTGAGCATGGGATTTGCAGTTGTATTATGATGCGAATGGTACATTGAGGATAGACATAGACCGTAGAGCGGTCCTGGCTCGCATACCATTCACCAATACGGTGTTTGGAGCCGATGAATAATGTGTCTTGAGTTCACTATTCACTCAACCCTTTTTGCTTGGGAAACCCAAATGTCCCCGAGAAAAGCAGACAATCAATCCCAGATTGTGACAGTATTGGGATAGCCAGGCTCAGTGCAGGACTAAAGAGACTCAAGGGCGACACGTATGGTACAAGCCACCCAGTAGTTTGCATTTGACGACACCCACCACTCGGGTTCCTCCTGCCAACACTCACTGTAAAACGCGCACTTCACCATCGCCATATGTAGCGACACTCCCACTCTGTCCCCTGGTTCTCAGTTTTGGACGCCGGAATTATAGGCGGCTCCCAGGCCTCCAGTCGCTGAAGGAAGTCGTCGAACCGCAACCCCATTCAGCAGAGCGACCGGGCACTCTATGCAGACTGGAGCTCAAGGCCGACAACAAACACCCTACCCATATGATGAGCGACTCGCGTGAGTAGGCGCGCCTGGTTCTAGCTTGGCCTGCCCGTTGATCTCGCCGCTTGCGGCTTGACCTTCACCGGTGTCGTGGCAAGTATGCGCGCCATCCCGATCCCTTGGTACATTACAGTGGTAAGCCAGACGGTATCCGAGCTATATATAGGCTGGACTTGGCTCAATATACCAGCCTGTACGCGGCTCTGGCCAATTCACCTTCCGCCATGAAACTGTCGGCACTCATTCCCTTGACAACCGCAGGTCTGCAGCTACCTCCCGGGACGGCCGGTAGATATAGGCTTCAGTTGTTCATCATCGATCAGGGGGCAAGTCCAGATTCGCTTTCAGGACTTTGGGGGAACCCTTTCTCTCCGAGCTCAATATCGACGAGCTGCTCGTCAAGCTCCATGACTCTGTCCATGTAGACTGAGTGCTGCAGGCGGCGCACAGGTCAGAACGCAACGGTACAAGGGGCATAGAAAGCCGAGCCACAGGGTACTTACGATGGTCTCAATCTTCCTCCGATCCTCTCCAGAGGTACGCAACAGTACCTGCTGGAGCATAGCACCGACTACGGCGTAGGCCCTAATAGCACCCTCGAGGTTCTGTGTATCGTCCAACTCAACTGCCGTTTTTGCCTTTTGCAGGGCTTTTGACAGCATAGCTATTTTCGGTATGCCCTGGGTTTTCTGAACCGCCAGCGGCGTCGTCGCAGGTACCGGTGGCGCGGTGATCGCTTGCCCGAGAGTGTCTGCATTGGTCTCGGCGGCGCGCTTTTTCCCTTCTTCCATCTCCGCGGGTTTCCCGGCAGATATTTCGGCCCGCACCTTCTCGCCGGGTGCTTCCTCTTCCTCCACCTCACGGGTCATAGGCTCCAGTTCTCCTTCGCTCCTCCGGTCAGTCGGAGACTTCTCTGCCTTAGGCTCCGGGGCCACGGCAGACTCAACAGCAGCGGCAGCAGCTTCCGCCTCTGCCTTTGCCTTGGTCACAGCGGTCATACCGGTAAGGTTGCCCGAGGTTGAACCCCCGGCAATAGCTGTCTGGGTCTTGTTGGCCTGCGCGTGGACGAGTTTGCGATATGCCCGACTGTTGATAACCAATTCGTCGAAGTCGAATTCGAGGTCCGAGGGCGCAACTATAGACAAAGCGTCAGGGGCAGCAGAAGCAGAGCCCGCACGTGCTCCCTGGCTGTAGATGGATCCGGCGACCCTCACGCTAGGGTTCCGCGCGCGAAGGGACTGCGTCATACTAGCGGACTTGCGGAAGGCGTCCCCCTTCCGTTGCAGCGTGTCGTTGATCTCATGGAGGGTATTCCTGCTCGTTGTCAACCATAAATACAATCGTGGCGCACGCGATCAAACCGGCAGATTCCCACTGGCTCTGTCAGGCCTTGAAGACGTACATCTGGAGCAGTTGGATCAGCAAGGTCATGGCGGTCTGCTGACCACGAATCGAGCTCAAGAGGTCGTTTAGCTGCGACTCGCTCCACATCATGCGAAGACGCGATCTCCATCGTTTTAGGGCAACATTCTGGACGCCCCCGGTGATCCGCTGGATCTCCGCCTCGATACAACTGAAAATCAGCATGCATCCAGTGAGTGCCTGATCGAGGACTATGGGCAGTTCGGTTCGTAATGCCCACTGTCGAGCGAGATTCGGCATTTGAAGGAGAAGGCTCTGGATCTGGGCTAGAGACGTGGATATGACGGTCGACTCGGCACATATGGCGGTAACCACCATCGGTGCATCCTTGAACTTCTCCCGTAGGTTGTACAGACTCTTGATAGTGGTCAGGCAGATAGCCGTGGTTTGTGCCTGTAGTAGAAGTGCCATCAGCTGATCGAACGGCACGCACGAGCAGGGGCTCATGAATCCATGATCCATACCACAATGGGTGCGATGCTCAAGGGGTCCATGACTCTGGCGACACAGGTGTGCGAAATCCAGTCATGAGAGAGTCTCGTTGAATTGAAACGGTGCATCGTGGGATGAATTCAAATCCCGCCAAGCCACAGTACTCAGCCTCACGCTTCTCCAACTTGGTTGCCTCTCCTTTGGCTGATCAGCTGCAGTGAGCCAAGAAGATCTGATTCGCTCCCAGCGTTCACGCCGCCTCCGCGACATGGATACGCGCGCAGAACATGCCACGGCGCGTAATCGCCCGAGGCCGCAAAGCCGACCGAAAGGCGCATCATTTTCACGATGTTGCAAGTAGCGGTCGTGGTGTGAAGCATTCATCTTCCCCTCTGCTTCTCTGTGATGGATGGGTGCTGAGGCGTCCATTCTGAAGTCACGGCTGAACATTCAACGAGGAACTGTGAATTTGCGAGTGGTGGGCACGAGGCTGACTACGCCGATTGATGACTTTGTATTGTGCGGCGGTGGGAGGTTGGAGGGTTCAGGTCGGAAATTTCCGTAGATAAATTCTCCTTGAGTAACTCCGAGTCCTTCACCCTGCAGTCGTATGCTACTTCCAGTGCAAACAACTTAAACAAAGATTGAAGTGAGAGGGAGCCTCAATTACGTTTACGTACGGAGCACCTCGCGGCCGGGCCCGACTACGGAGCCGAATGTAACCCTGAGCCTGCCTTGATTATCCTTTGTGATTCTGGTGTTGTTGTCCTGATGCAGTCGATCCCCGTTCTGTACGTCCGCTGATGATGTGGTTAGTTAAGCCCTCCGTTATTTCTTTCCACGCCTGTGACCTCCAGCATCAAGCTTTGCGTTTTGCCTGTTTAGAATATAGCCGGGATCGGTCGAGACATTTCGCAAAATTCCCTCTCATCGCCGCGGCTTGAACCCACCGCGAAGCAGCTTCACCAGCCATGAACCGTACCGAGCCTCTGCTTCCGGACAACCCAACCCCAACCATCAAAGCTCCCCTCACCGCTGAAGAGACCGCTCGCATCCTCTCCGCCTGGCAACTCACCCCTGCCCAGCACAGCTCGATCTTACAGACCCAAATTCTCCCGGCCGAGCTGCACCCCTTCCTTCCCTCTACCACCAACAACACCAACCAGCTCCCAACTATCACCGCCAGCACCACCCGCCCCAAAGCAGTCCTAATCTTAGGCCAAACAGGCGCAGGCAAAACTCGCCTTGCCCCCCTCCTCCTCTCGGCACTCACCAGCCTATCCCCAACCAGAACCCCACTCCACCTCATAGCAGACACCTTCAAGACCTACCATCCCTTCTACACTACCTGCCTGTCCCAGCACCCGAATCTCGCCTCTCGCCTCACAAGACGCGACGCCGCCGCGTGGCTGCTCGCCGTGTGCACCCACGCCGCACAAGCGCACCATCCCGCCGTGCTGGTTGAAACAGCCTGTCGACGACCATCCGACTTTCAGCGCATCGTCAAAGCGTTTGCGACCGAGGGGTATGATGTACGGGTTGTCGTGCTGGCCGTGCCCCCCGCGCTGAGTAGGCTTGGGATTCTAGTGCGGTACTGGCGCCGGCTGCCCGAGGCCGGGTCGCAGCGGCACGGGTTGCCGGTGCGGCTGACGCCGCGGGTGGTGCATGACGAGAGTTGGGAGGGGTTGAGGGTTGCTGTGGGGTGGGTTGATAGGCTTCTTCTTCTTCTTTTTCGGGCTACGCATTCTCCTGCTTCTAGCACCACCATTGGCACAACTGGCACTGCTGGTGCTGGCGGTGGTCGTAAGGAAGGGGACAAAGAAGAAGAAGAAGAAGAACTAGAAGAAGAAGAGGAAGAAGAAGGCCGCGTGGAGAGGGTTGTTGTGGTGCGGAGAAACGGCGGGGTTGTGTATGATAGTGAAACGAGTAGGAGGAGCAAGGGGCAAGAGGAGGCAGGTGAGGCGGGAGAGGTGTCGTGGGCGTTGGAGCAGGAGTGGGTGAAGGGGTTGTCTGTTGAGGAGAGGAGGACGGCCGAGGAGGATTTGCAGATGCTGAGAGGGTTGGGGGACCCAGATGTGGATAGGGAGATCGACGAGGTCGAGGGGCTTCTGGCTGAGCTGGGGTCGCATGAGCCGGTTGGAAATGTGGTGCCATTCGATGCCGTGAACTTCGTGTCGACGTCGGTAGTTAGATTACCACATTGCCTTGACATCTTGGGTCATCATGTAGGACACTAGCCTTGATTTTGGGTTCCCAGCGGAAATGTTGGAGGGCCGGAGGATGAGAGATGGAAAAAACAATGAGATTACAGTAGGCGGACGACTACACCTCCCTCACACATGACATCCGCCGTTCTACACTCCGATAACCGAAACCTTAAACATCAGACGCACCAATTCACCCGTCTAGATTGAAATGTTATATATACCTGTAGATTAGCTGCTTATAGTAGTTGTATTGTACCATTCTCCTGACCCGGACGCAACCAACTTCACCTATACATCCCGATCCCAACCCCCATTCTGTAGGGTCCGCTGTCATCGCAGACCCTTCTGTCTTTGATTGTCTTTCCAGTGTATATCGGTAGGAATGACTTGGGTTCCTTCAGTGGCCAAAGAATCGCGCAGAGATCATCGAGGGGCTCTTCATATATGTGTAGATTCATCAAGAAGCAGGCTATGTTCCAGAGACCCGTTCGCTATTTAAGGTATCTAGCGTGGTTTAAACTGAGCATCAAAGACGCCATCAAGGCGCCATTTCCACGTGCGGCTGATGGGAGGGCATCTCGCTCGAGCCAACCTACAGGTACTTACCGCCTCGGCGTGCAGGACAAGACAGCTCGCACACGGCATAGTTAACTTCTGTATCCCCTCCTTCAACCATAGGACGCCGTGTTGAGCAGCATTAGCCATTCTCTCTATCTACTTTCCAAGATGACATGGTTCGGGGCTGCCGCCGGTTTTACCTTGCTCAGAAGAACGACGGATGCTGGGCTAGCTAATTATTTCAAACATATGCAGCGGGCACCAGCCTGTCGTGCGCCTCTCTCCACCCCTCTCCCGTTGCAGGCGGAAATGTGAGGACTAATCATCCATGTTAGTGATTTTTCACGACTGGAACCCGGCTCTCAACTTGAACGGCGAGTGCTCCGGCCTTTGGCTCGAGTAACTACTGGTATTCATTGTATTGGGTTGGCCGGCCCCATGACCACTATCTCGGTCGGGCCGCCGGTCCCGACCTGAAAGACCTAGGGGGCGGTTGATCGTGTGTTTGCAGTCGTTTACCATCTACCTACTGATTTGTTGGTATTACTGCCTCCTTTATCAATATATTTGGTAGACGTAGTCTTATGAAGGAAACGAGCATTGAGCTCAGGGGCGATACAGCCGTTGACGATGATGGGGCCTGGGCGCAATGAGCTTTAGGATGATGCTCACCGAGAGCAGGCACCAGGGCCGACCTCGTCCGAGATCGTTCCCAATCCACCCATCAGAAACGAGGTGATATGTATAATTATATATCGGCCGCTTATAGGTGTATCATTCTCCCAGTCCAGACCCAACCAACTCTACCTATGCAATCCCAACTCCAACCCCCATCCCATAGGGTCCCCCCTCATCGAGACCCTTCCATGCCATGCTTCGAGGTCATAACCAGGTCAACGCCTATAACGTCAGAAAAGGAGACGGAAAGCCAAACGTCTTCAGACCTTGGGTAGGACACAATCCCAAGAAACCCCAGACACTGAAACGGAAAATCCAAAACATGCTAACGATCCTGATAATAATAGCAAACAGACCGCCGTGTGAGTAAAGTACTCCCCGCCCCTCAACGCCAGGGTCCCCGGAAAGGCCGATAAAAGAGTCTGCACGAGGCTCATCAGAGCAACTCAAATCAAGCTGGCAACTGGGTTCGCCAGGTCCTCTGCCGAGGAGACGAAATCTTCAACACAACACACGTCCCATAAAGCCAAGCGCCAGCTCCGATGCGTCAGATACCGCCTGCAAGACGTTATCGCACAAAAGCAACGCCCCCTTTCCTGGTCAGACCAGGTATCAGTCCAAGCAGCCGGAGGAGCTGAGCGGGAATGCCAACTGTGGGACCCGAGCTCCTGATGAGGATGAGTGAGCTCCTTCGATATCTGCGCCGCTCTCCGTTGAAATAGTCAAAGTCTGTACTGTATGTACCCTCTCAGCTGGGTACGCTCCGCGGCGTGACATCGCCGCTGCGTCTTCGCGCCGTCATCTGCTGCTGCTGCTGTTGCTGGGCCTTGGACGCCGCAGCGATCGCATACATCCTCTTCCGTAGGCTGGCAAGTCTGCCGTTGATCATTTGAATCACTGCGAGACAAGTCAGCACCATGGCACCAAGGGACTGGGTACGCCTAAAATTCTCACTCTTCTGCACCGTCTGCTTGTCGTCGCTGCTCATGTCGCCTGAGGCATCCTGAGCTGCGACTGGCTGCTTTTCCTCCTTGGACGAGCTCGAGACACGCCGTTTAGAAGGCAGATGGTCGTCGTCGCTGTCGAGCACCGCCTCGAGCATGTGAATGGCTGTCACATACGAAATCTCGCAGCCTGGCAGATCTTCGCTGGCGATCTCGTTGATGGCGGCCGTGCGGCTCATCTCGACGGCGCGGTCGTACATCAGTTTCTCAGCGCTCAGGCCGGGCGACAGGAACACCCCCTCGGCACCGGAGCCGCTCGCCGCGCTCGTCTCGGGCCCATGGTTGCTCGGATGGCTAGGATGCTCCTCGGGCAGCTGTTTTTGTGCTTCAATTAGTTTTAGCCGGACAACCTCGGCCTTCTCCAAGACCTCGTTGAACCGAGACCGGATCCATTGGACCGCTGCGTTGATCTTTAGCCCCAGCGCCTGGCTGTTAACTGATTCCCTCGTGGCCGAGTGGAGGCTGTTGCTTGAGTCCGCTTTGGTCTTGCGCGACCACCACAGGCTGGCAATATCCATCGACTTGGCAAGCAGCGAGAGTGCCTTGACGTAGAGGACCAAAGCCTCCTCCGACAAGGAGACCACTGCATCCACTGTTAGCCCTTCGGCTTCCTCCCCCATCCTGTCGGCGGGGACACCGCCCAGGCCATGTTCGGTCGATGGAGCCATGGGAACGAGCTGCTTGTATTTGACCTCGGCGAAGCCATATACGACGTCGCTCCGTGTTGCGTACTCCTCGATACACTGCGAGACTCGCGAGTCCTCATCCACCGGAGTACTCAGCTTCCCATCCATGATCAAACCGGCCGGCACAGACGGGGTTGGGTACGCTGGGAATGGACTGTAGATCTGGGGCGGCGACTGCCCTTTGCCGAGCAGTTGTGGCGGGTACCTGAACCCGAAGAGCCGAAGGCTGGCATCTTGGATAGCCTTGGAGATGACAGACGTTGCACCGCCCGGACTGCTGGACAGAGTCTTGTCGTAAGACACTTTCCGGTAGTGGTCGTTCCGCCCGGGCTGGTTTCTTGAGGAGTGGTTGGGCACGGCACCAGTGGTCGACGTTGGAGCTCCCTGCTGTGTCGCCCGCCTCACAATTTGACCAGACTTGGGCGACCGTGCTTGGGGAGGGTAGAGCGAAATCTGGTCCGCAAGCGCGTTGACCTCAACGGCCGTCTTGTCGATGAAGATGTAGTCCCGTTCAAACGCCACGTCTTGGGCAGACTTCTCTTCCTCCGTAAGGGGCCGACCCGCAGCGCTCTTGGTCCTGGCACGACTTGGAGGGTCCTGCGGCGGAGGTTGGGCGTCGCGGGTGGCGGCCTTTAGAGAGGCATTCGAGTACCGCCGACTGCGGTCAACGTACGAAATGGCGCGAACCGGCGCCGAAGTAGACGGCTGGACCGTGGCGGGACGTCGTATCCCCAGGCCCTCTTCTGCTTCTTGCTGCGGGAAGTAGCTTAAACGAGGACTAGATACTTGCTCCCCCGGATTCGGCGTGGGTTCAATAGGCGTCGCGAGGGGCGATGACCGGCGCGGCTTCGGTGATGGTGGGGCTCCGGACTCACGACTCGGATCTTGCTCAGCGGTATATCGCCTGAGGGATTGTTTTCGTGATAGAGTCGCAAGTTCGTCGACTTTGGGGGAAACCCTGACTTCTCCCGAGATTGGACGCTCTTCCTTGGGAATATCGTCCTCGACAAGGCCGGGGATCGGTCCCGAGATGACGGTGTGGTCGAAAAAGTCGTCGAAACCTATCCGTTCCACGGGATTCCGTTTTAACAACGCCCGAATCAAAGCCTTCATATCTGTGCTGACGATGCATTCGCGTGGGAACTTGATAAGATCCTCGGTGGCTTCAATCTTCCTGAGCAGCTCCACGTGGTTTCCTGCCCGGAAAGGTGGTTTTCCTGTTGCCATCTCGTACAGCACGGTACCAACCGACCACAGGTCTGCTTTGGCATCGTATCGCTCGTAGCGGAGAATCTCGGGCGCCATGTACAACGGCGAGCCGCAGAGTGTCTCAGCGAGCGAGGTGGATGGGAGTACACGGGCAAACCCGAAATCTGCCAGCTTGAGCATCGGAAGCGAAGGTAGGCCAGTTGCTGGGGTGAGAGAATCGTGGCTAGCACTGAGAATCTGTTTCGCCATCTTGTTCGCCTCGCGATACTGGGGGGAAGGCAGCAGCAGCAGATTCTGGGGCTTGACATCGCGGTGGATGAGGTTGGCCTTACGCAGGAAACTGAGGGCACTAGCGAGCTGCTTCAGGAAGTGGCGCGTGACGACCTCGTTCAGGCCAGAGTTCGGGGCGACAGGGTATTTGCGTGCGAGCTCGTGTGTGGCAGGATTTGTGATGAGCCTGTCTCGCTTCTTGATGAAGAACGACAAATCGCCCAGTTCGCAGTACTCCATAATCAGGTTGATGTGCGTCCCCGACTCGACGCAGTCATGGAGGGCAACGATGTGAGGATGGCGAAGCCTCTTGAGGATCTTGATCTCGCCATAGAGATTCTCTTTTAGTTTCTTGTTAAGACGGGCAAGCTCAACGGACTTGATGGCAACTAGGGCACCAGTGACCTTGTAGGGAAGTGTTAGTGGCCATTGCAAGCTGGGGGAGCAGGGACGGCAGCAAGACAGGGGGATGTGGCCCGGCCTAACTCCGTTGAACGACAGCGACATAAGCAGGGGCGAAGGCCGGATATCCGAGACCACTACAGCTTGCATCCAACCCGGGATGGGGCTCACCTTGTGGCGGCCAGAGTAGACCTGGGCGAAGCTCCCCTTTCCAATCTCCTTGTCTATGACGAAGTTCCCGATGGCGTCATCGCTGCCTGGCTTCGTCCGCTTCGACGAGGCGGAAGTTGTTCGTTCAGCCATGGCCTCCTGCGAGAGTTGGCGATAACGGGAAGCCGGATTAGAGGGACAGCCCGGAGGCCTATGAGATACGAAGGATGTCGGCGGCCGGCTCGATCGTCATGTATGCTTTGGGCAGCTTGGACGGGTTCGTAAGTTGGGGTAGAGGAAAGGAGGTAACGCCGGAGCAGAAAGAATGTGGAAGTCGTCGGGGCTCGACAATGATGAACCCTCGGGATTCAGGCGCAGGGTCGGATGGGGCGTGCTGCCTGTCACTCTGCCAGCGGATGGCGGCGGCAGGTATCCGATAGGTCAGAAAGAGAACAGAGGCAGGGGTTGCTTGGCAGCCGGCGGCCGTAGACGACGCGCAAGGTGATATGGTAGGTACGAATATGCCGAGGCTGGCTCTTTGCTGTCGAGAGGTCGGCTGGGTAGGGCGGACTGTGTAGTGTGTCGAGATGTCGAGCCAGGCGCCAGCGAAGACGTGCCGGGTTGCAGAGTGGTGGGGCCAAAAGCGACGACTTGTTGAAAGCGGCGGCTTCAGACTCTGGCCGACGAAGAGAGACGGCGCAGCCGATGCCAGGAATCGTCTGTGGTTGTTTTAGTCCGGACTTCGCAGGGTTTGGTTTGTCTCGTCTAAGGTAATGGACCCGACGAGACAGGAGCTCAGACAGCAGCGGAAGCTATCGCGAAGCTCCACACTGCACTCTGACGTCCAAGGTCAACTGAATGACTCAGACGCGAGCGGCTGTATGGGGGATGGTGCGAGTTCCTCTGTTTCCCGACGGTGTGAGTTTGGGGGAGAGGCAGCGTGGACAGAAGAGTTAAAATCCGAAGGTGAGACGATGCGGCCGACGCCGTTGGGTATGAAATGGAAAAAGGAAGAGATGATAGGAACCTGGGAGGAACCTGAGGTGATGTGAGACCAAAGAGCTCGAGGTGCAGCCGTGTGGTAACGATAGGTAAGTTACCCGAAGCCCAGGTATTGTTGCTGGGTGATTGAGGCGTGCACTGTGCTGGATCAGAGGAAAGCCTCCAGGGGCCATGTGCTGTGCTCAGCTGCTGCTGTGCCTGAGAGCACGGGCTGGGTGCCCTGGTTTGGACGCTGGAGCTGTAAGGTAGCAGCAGGCTGCCTGCACCGCGACAGAACTGAGAGGTGACAAAAGTGCGAATGACAGCTGACACGGTGCTTATGATGTTCACCGGGCAGGAAGCTCCACAAGCAAAGATCGCAGAACAGTATACCCAAGTACCTCAACGCCACTCCTTGTCCCATGTCAGATGTCTACGGCTCAGTAATACAAAAAGGTACAAAAGCACCGTTACGTAGGTTGGTGTCTGAGACGCGCTATTACGATAGGCTCCACGATAAGCTAGCATCACCTCCACAGCGCAGTCCCGTCATCCATGTCACAGCGCTGCACCCGGAGGTTTCGATGGCAGTCCATTGCCCTTCGTCATGCTCATCATTTACCACGATTCTTGCGTCTTTGGAGGCAATGCTGAGCACGATCGCGATTGCGGGTTAACTTGGAGGAAGCCACCTGAGCTCGGCGCCTCGGTCAGCCGGCGTTCCCAGTTCCCACGGGCAGCTGCAGTTGCTCGCACCTCTTCGACTGTCGTCGAAGCCTCCTCCAACAACAACAAGCAAGGCCATCAGGGTGGACGTAGAGAGGGGAGACGCGATACATCCGTACATGGGAAAGGATCCACCCCCGGCAGCCGATGGGGTCACATCCATGTCACTGGCGCATCCGCCCCCACTCACCTCGCAATCGACAATCGACGCAGAGATGCACTCACCAGCCAAAGACGGAGCACAGTACATCAAGCACTTGAGATATGAGATCTCTCCATCCAGACATTATCAAAGGGAAAAAACTCCTTGACACAGGAGAGCTTCTTTGTGTTCTTTACCCCAGCAGACATCTAAAGACTTGTCCTTAAATTCACTGTCTGGTACGATGTCCAGACAACGTATCCGTCTTTGACCAAAAGGAGCGCCGCAGGGACCCTGACCGGGAGCATGGGATGCAGTCAGGTGGTCAAGATGACCTTGCCGCTGCACCACTCCTCAGGAACGACTGCACCCAGTGGCCCAAATATTTTGTTTGTCATTTTGGTTTCCAGCCCCAGGACGGAAAGGAGTCTTCCGTCGGCCAGGTTTTGGATGAGCTGTCCCGTCTTCACAGAAAACGCGAAAGCAATAGACAGCGGACGGGAAGCGTGGCCGTCGGAGGATGGCTCCTGCTTGCATGCATCTGCCGAGAAAGTCTGTAAGTGAGGCTGTTCTTGGATACCACATCAAGTAATCCGTGCCTATCGAGTTTCGGTCTACCCTACCGGTTGCCATCTAATCTCAACGTTTATCACCGGCTACGGAGGACCTCCGTATCGCCCACCGCTAGCAGCTTCTGGTTTGCCTCCGCCCCCGGTTTCTACCTCCTTTCAGCCTGTTGTTACCTGCGAGGGCTCACACGACATCGTAGCAGTCAATTGACAGCCTCGGCCAGGGCGACGCCAAGAACCAAACAGCGGTGTTGCACAGCGATCCGCTCATTCGACCTTTTTGTCCGGGAGCCTCGTTTATCAGGGTCTGGAGCCCAGAACTGCCGCTGAGTGGCAGCCATGGTTGCATTCAACCGAGTCCTCACCAGACAGCCCCAGGCTCGCCAGGTCACTCATGTTGAGGCCACCGGACAGCACTTCCTTTGCAGGTTCCGTTTTCCTCTGTTGACTGCACCAAAGGTCGTAGGCAACTCGTTTTCTCGAAGTTGCCAGTCTTTTTATGCTTACCTCACCGCGTTCTCCCACAGCGTTCAGGGTGAAGACCAGGAAGCGTTGCGGATACCAAGCCCATTTGAGCAACGGCACCTCCCGAAAGGGAAGAGGTGACAAACCGCTACCCGGGCCAGCCACTCACACCGAGTCAATGCGGCAACCCGGCGGCGTCAATCCCACGCATCAAAGGCTGCCGGCACGAGGGACCCGATGCGCGGGTGTCTGAGACCTGGAGTGTGCACATTTCGGCTCCATCCATGGGATCATGCCAGTGGTCCACTGATTGATCTCTTCAGACCAGAAGAGACTTGTCACCTGCTGTACCAAAGGTACTACTTGAAGGTAGGTCCTTTACCCATTGGATACCCTCCTCCACCAAAGTGTCATACTTGGAGCATGCCAGGATGGAACGCATACGGATTGGGAGAAGATCCAATGTAAGTTCCCAGGTAGTCGGCGGGTCGTTTGATGATCAAGTGGCTTTGCGCCCTTAAGCAAACAGTGCCTCGGTGATCTCAGGCCAATAAGGTATCGAGACTTCGAGAGCCTCGAGAGACCAGGGTCAGTTGTTTTGTTTCACCAGACACATCAAGGTCTCTCTTCAATCCACTTGATTAGTACGATATGCCGCCAAAGAACAATCCCTATATACGTTCGCTCTGGATCCCTTCAATGCATCAACAAAACGATAACCACACAACATGCACACCTCTGCTGTCCAGGGCATCCATCTGCTACTTGGGTGAAGCCACATAGAGCTACTCTTCTCGCCAGGCGCTTTCCGATATGGCCTTTACACATAGTTAGCCGATACCACACTATCTGAGCCCTGAGATGGGAAGCCTGGCAGGCACCCACCGGCCGCGTGGCAGACTGCCTCTGCCCTCATCAATCCGTCCCTCAAGGAGAGAAGTTGAGAGGGGTGATTCTGCACTTCTGGATTGGACAATGGTGGCCAGCCAGACAAACGGAAATAGAAATTGCCCGCCTTCTGCCTATCTGCCCAGAACATCCCCCTGTTCGCCGGCAGCTCGTTTGCAACTGCCACTGGACTTACACCCATCCGACCTGCCTTGTTGGGCCGTCGAAGGAGCGGCACCTTGATAACCGATTAGATATCAAGACAGCCTAACCCAACAGACCAGACCAACTTCTAGACCTCATCTCCTTGTGTCTGTGTTAGGTTCTTGCACTACCTAATAGAGTGAACCCTCACTACTGAACAGACTACATGACCCAACCCTTCACCGCTGGAATCCCACCCTAAGAGGAACCGGGGAAAAAAGTGAGGCGGGATCAAGGCAGGACACGACGGCCAAGCAGCAGCATGCACAAAACCGAGGTTCGCCTAAACGTACACAACACTGGCATTGCTATCCACATCCATGCCGCAGCAGATACATATAAGGAACACCCCTTCACGAATCCTGCAGCCGGCCCGCTCGCCTGCATCCGACCCGCTTAGGGGAAGGATAATGATGGCTGATTTTGTATCTTATACGTCTAGAAAGGCCAGCTGGACCCCCTTGCTGGCGCCGTCACATGCTTTCTTCCCGTTTGCTTCCGGTGCCATTCGAGCACTGCACTGCTCGCAATGGACAGGCAGACGATCGAATAATTCGTGATAGGTGTTTGTTGCGTGCCGGAGCTGTCTGGCGTCGACAATTTCCAAGTGAGAGAGTAATGGCATCTTGGTTGCGTGTTCAATGTTTCTGTATTCTGCCCATTTTGGTCTTACAGATGAAGGGGTATAGGGTAAGTGTAATGGCAGATTCCTTCCCAAGAACCGCGCTCCGTCCTGCTAGGTAAGGTCGTCTCCGGAGCGCATCTCCCCGTTCACCCATACAGATCCGATTCGAGATCTCATGCTCAGCCAACACAAGCCAATCCTATCGCGCCCAAATGTCCAATGAGGTGGTATCATAAAGGAAATACCCAACACCAGCAAGCGACTAACGGCCACTCCCCATGCAATCCTGTCCGTCTGCTTTTCATACCCGTCCTCAGTGACCCTCGCTTATCTGCGCCGTGGGCAGTTCCGCCAACGCCTCCCCAATAACCTTGATGGCGCCGCGGAGCTCCTCCTCGGTGATAACCAAGGGCGGCGCAAACCTGATGATGTTACCGTGCGTGGGTTTAGCCTGGAACACACCATGTCAGTCGAATGCGCAGCGTGATTGAGTCGAGGGAGAGTGTATACTCACCAGCACCCCCTTCTCCTTCAACAACAAACACAAATCCCACGCCGTCCTACTGCCTGCCTTGCTCTCATCAATCACGATGGCGTTCAGCAACCCCTTTCCCCTGACAGTCTGCACGACGGGCGACCGAAAAGCCTCGACGCCCTCTCTAAACACCCTCCCCAACCTCTCAGCCTTCTCAACCAACCCCTCCTCCTCCACCAACTCCAGCGCCCGGATCGAGACGGCACACCCCAGGGGGTTCCCGCCGTACGTCGACCCGTGCGTGCCAGGCTCAATCACGCCCATCACGTCCTTGTTCGCCAGCACGCAGCTGACGGGGTACATGCCGCCCGAGATGGCCTTGCCCAGCGTCACCATGTCGGGCCTGATGCCGGCCCACTCGGAGCAGAGCATACGCCCCGTGCGCGCGATGCCCGTCTGGATCTCGTCGCAGATGAGCAGGACGTTGTGCTGTTTGCAGAGCTGCGCCGCGCGCGAGAGGTAGTTGTCATCGGGGACGACGACGCCCGCCTCGCCTTGGATAGGTTCGACGATGAAGGCGGCTGTGTCGGCGCCGTGGGCCGAGAGGACGGCTTCCAGGTCGGCAATGTTGTTGTAGCGGATCTGGGCGCCGGTCGTCGGGTTGATAGCGCCGACGTTGGGCAGGTAGGGGCCGTAGTTGTCGCGTGACTCGGGGTCGAGCGAGAGGGAGATGGCTGTCATCTGCGGAAGGGGCGACAGTCAACAACAATGTTGTGTATGAGGAGGAGGGAGGGGGGACGAAGGACTCACCGTCCGCCCGTGAAAGTTGTCGGCGACGCTAAAGACGAGCGCCCGCCCCGGGGAGACGCCCTTGACCTTGTAGGCCCACTTGCGGGCGATTTTGACGGCTGTCTCGACGGCCTCAGCACCCGTGTTCATGGGCAGCACCATGTCGTAGCCGAACAGATTGCGAACTTTCTGCGCCCACACGGGGAACACGTCGTTGTGGAAGGCGCGCGAGCTCAGTGTCAGCCGGCCGGCCTGTTCGGTCAGCGCCTTAATCAGCTCCGGGTGGCAGTGGCCCTGGTTGACGGCGCTGTAGGCCGACAGGAAATCGAGGTAATGCTTGCCCTCGGGGTCCCACACGTGGACGCCCTGGGCGCGCGCGAAAACGATGGGGAGCGGGTGGTAGTTGTGGGCGGCATACTCGTTCTCGGCGGCGATGGCGCTCTTGGTCGACGAGGCATGGTACCGGTCGTTGGCCGGAGGGTTGCCGCCGCTGCGGACAGGAAAGTTGTCCTTGTCTGCGTGTGGTGCCATTGTGTCACGGTATCGTTTGTATGTTGCTCTTGGAGGACAAATTGACCGGTGATACGGTCGGAAACCTTGACAACGTGGAACGGAAGGACAGAACGTTGAACAATGGAGGGGAGGTGGGCAACGGTAATGGCCCCACTGGTGAGATAAAGGAGCGGAATGGGCGCCGATGAGACGGACGATATCGATAGTGTGGTAAGATCGGTGGTATCAATTTGCGACTGTTTGAAACATATTATATTGGAAGAGGAGAGAAAAACACAGACACGCCTATAAGGTGGGACTGCTCGGGATTATAAACAGTATACCTTGAGTTGCCTCTCGGCCGCCATCGGTTTCCCAATGCAGCAGAAAACGCGTGCCTGTGGATTGTGTGAAACGCCACCATACCCCTAAGTGCAAGTGGAAGCGGGCGTCGTTGAAAACATGACGGCAGCGAGTCACCTCACGTGGACCCAAGATCCCTGAGCATCCTTGTGTGCCGATGCTGAGCGCCGCCGAGGATCCGGTTCTGGAAGGTGTGCCCAACCTCCCAACGCCGGTCTCCGTGATCCGAGTGTCCGGTCGCGCCTGACCGGACAGTGTATCAATGGCAATTCCAGCACCAATACAGAGTATGGATACGTAAAACAAGGCGAACGACGTTGTCCAGAGCCGAAGACGGAGAAAAACCGGCCCGCGCTGAGCCTTTATGAAGCGACCCGGAGGTGGGAAGTTCACGGTGGAGCCGTGCGGCGCCGGTGATGCAGGGGCTGCGGAGCCGACTGGCCAACCGCCGCTCAGGTGATTACACATAGGGCTGGAAGTGGCCAATCAGAGAAGACACCAGCCATAGCGTCGAGGTGATGGAAGCGAGGTGGTCCTCCACCACTTGGCGGCGCTTGATTGACAGTGTCAATCTCACGCATTGAATGCATATTAAATCTCGACTTTCGTGTTTGGATGTTGCTCTCCGTACACTACAGAGTGACTTGCTCGACAGTGAGCGACTAGTAAGGTACCAGTCTCAATCAGCAATGGACACTTGATTACATCACCGCAAACCACACCCGGCCATGGAGTCCAAGCCGGCTGCTGAAGGGCTGCGGGAGCGGCACAAACGGGGTTCTGTCCGAGATGCAAACAAAGACACAGGCGACGCAGACAGGGCCGAATCGACAACATCAAAAGTGCACCCCCAAGTCCTAGCTGCCCAAGTTGAAGACGTCCTAACGTTGCTCCTCGTCTTCCGTTTCATCAACGCCCTCTGCGTGCGCACCTTCTTCCAGCCAGACGAGTACTTTCAAGCCCTCGAGCCAGCATGGAGTATTGCTTTCGGCCCCAACAGCGGCGCCTGGCTGACCTGGGTACATGGTCTTGATTCTCATTCTCATCTTGTCTTTGATGTAGTCGCTGACACTGGATAGGAGTGGCAACACCAGCTGAGGTCGTCTCTCCACCCCGCCATCTTTGGCCTGGCATACAAGGTCGTCGATGGCGCCATGGAGTTCCTGAATTTGTTCCCGCCTTTCAGAGCATTCATCCTGGCCGCTCTTCCAGGGGTACTACAATCTGTGTTCGCTGCCCTGGGGGACTTTTACACCTGGAAGCTGGCCATGGACATGTACGGCAGAGAGAGCAACGCCCCGTGGGCTGCGGTCAGTTTTGCTCCTGCCCAGCGTCTCGCCGCCTGGACACTGATCATTCCCAGCTGTGGATGGCGGTCCTCAACCCCTGGCAATGGTATTGCTCTACTAGGTCTTTTTCCAACTCACTGGAGACAACTTTGACCATAGCTGCGCTCTCGTACTGGCCATGGGAGGTACTTGCTGAAACACGAGCGGCCAAGGAAGGCCCGTTGCAGGAAAACAGTAGGATGACGAGGTACGTTGCACGTGATTGATTGCTCACGTCAAGCTTGGGTTAACCATGACAGTCTCCGGGTTTCCCTTGCGCTTGCGGCTGTCGCCGTGCTGTTGCGGCCAACCAACCTGCTGATATGGCTTGCTGTCCTGGGTTCTTCCCTCGCACGGCTAACCTTCACCGGAGCATCGCCTTGGAACACATCGACCCTGGTGCTCTTCCGAGAGATTGCTGTCTGCGGCACTGCGGTGTTGGGCATATCTCTCGTCTCTGATCGCCTGTACTTCGGCTTCTGGACCTTCCCGCCCTACAAGTGGCTTTATTTCAACCTCTCCCAGTCACTTGCCGTCTTCTACGGCCACATGCCGTGGCACTACTATCTTTCCCAGGGTGTCCCACTTCTCACCACCACTTTCCTCCCGTTTACCCTGGTCGGCCTCTTCAAGGCAGGTTCATCTGTCAGGGATCCCTCCCACCTCCAACGCAACATCCTCCGTACTCTCGCATTTGCCGCACTAACCATGATTACGACCTTATCCCTCATATCGCACAAAGAAGTCCGCTTCATCTACCCACTCCTCCCCATCTTCCACATCCTCGCAGCACCTTACATCACCGCCTTCTTCACCCAACCCACCACGCCGTCCCATTCTCGAATCAGCCCAGTCACCCTCCGCCACAAGCGAACCCTCGCCAACCTCCTCTCCCTCAACCTCCTCCTCGCAGGCTATCTCTCCCTCTTCCACCAGCCAGCGCCCCTCTCCGTCCTCTCCTTCCTACGGACCGAGTTTGAGCGCCTGCACCCCGACACCCTGAATCTCAGGCCGGACCACCACAACAACAAAGAACAACGACAAACCGCCGCAGTCGGACCGCGGCAGCAGCCAAAGGAGTTATTTGCCCTCTTCCTCACACCCTGCCACACCACCCCCTGGCGCTCGCACCTGGTCTACCCGGCCCTCCGCGCCCGCGCCCTGACCTGCGAGCCGCCGCTGCACACCGCGCCCGGTTCCCCCGAGCGCGCGACATACCTTGACGAGGCAGACCGTTTCTACCGCAGGGTGTCCCCTGACCGGGGTGATTATGGAGTGCAGTTCCTAGCGGACGAGATGTGGCCCGCTCTGACGAGTAATGGGGGCGGAGAAACAACCACGAAAAATACCCGCCGGGGGGGGGAAATGCCGCGGTATATCGTCGGGTTTGAAGGGATCGAGCCCGTGTTGCAGAGGTTCTTTGGACAAGAAGGAGAAGAAGACGACGGTGCGGCGCCGGGACGGGAAATGGGCGTGAGACTGAGAAGGGTGTGGTCTGCCTGGAACGGGGCGTTCAATGAGGACTGGCGGAGGAGGGGGCGGTTGGTGGTCTGGGATACCGGGGTTTATGCAGGGTCGTATGAGGGGGAGGACAAGTTAAGAGAGAAGAAGGAGAAGGAGAGGGTTGTGGATGAGCCTTAGTTGGAAGCAGGAGGAGTAAGTGTAGGGAGTGTGAGATATGGGTGTGACGGGATGGTTGCTAGATACTGTCGACGATTAGGTGGTTATGGAGAATTGATGGTAATGACAGCGGCTTAGCATATCTTCCGTTTGTTCCTCCTCTCCAGCTTAGAACTGTGGAAGAATCTTTCGAAGCTAGGATATAGCCACCATACTGCCTGGCAAGCTCGCAGATGATAGCGTATTCCAGAGACATGAGCAAGCAACAGCTAAGAAATGTACAACACAACAAGAACGCTCTCTGGTTGCGAGAATTTCAACTGTACGAATTCGGGTATTTGTTAGGCTACCTCTCCAGGAAAGAAGCCAACGCGAATTTTCCGACCAAGTAGTGCCTCCCATCATGAACAATGCAAGGAAATACTCCAACGAGCCGCCCAAGACACCCAGTCAATGCTCATAAAACATCCATCATCTTGCCCCAGCCGGAATCCATCTAGACACTAAACCCCTCACTCCCCACCATTACCATCCTCTCCAGCCTTACTGCGCCCTCCCCCCCACTTAACCCATCCCATCCCATCCATCCACCTCTACGTCAAGACCTGGCAGCCTCCAGCTCCAGCTCCAGCTGCCGGATTCGCTCGCTCTGGTCCACCTGGGTGCCGCCCACGCCCGCGTCCACCACCCTCTTCTTAAGCGTCTCGACCTCGGCCGTCAGGCGCGTGATCATCTGGGTCTGGGCAAGAATCTTCTCGTTCTGGGCGCCGATGAGCGTGGCCTGCTGCACGAGGAGCTGCTTAATCTGCTCCAGCGACGCCTCAACGGCCGGGCTGGCTGATGGCGCAGCCGCAGGGGCAGCGACGGCAGCGGGGGAGGCGGAGGAGGAAGCAGGCGGCGGAGGGAAGGCTTGCGGGGACTTGACGGGCGATGCGGGCTTCGCCTGGGGAGCGGGTGCAGTCGTCGTTGTCGAGACGGGCTGCGGCTTGGCGGGAGACCGGACTGGGAGGCTACTAGTACGCGTCCCGGGCCGCGAATTTTCCTCGAAGTTCGATGTCTCGGCGTCGTCATCCGCTTCTTCCTCCTCGTTGTCTTTGAACTTGTTCGCCATGGCCGATATGGAGGTCTTCTGGTCGGCCATCGTGGCTGGAGCACGAACAGGGGCAGGAGCTGGCTCGGGCTCCTTCTTGGGGGCGGGCGCCGGCGCAGGGACGGGAGCGGACGCAGCCGCGGGAGGCTTGTAGTCCGCAGGCACCTCAACAGGCGCGTTGCCCTCGTATACGCTCTCGAGGTCGATCTTGGGTGGCACCGCGGTCTTGCCGTCGAACCATTCCTTGGCGGACATGGCGGGCTTGAGGCCGACGGCGGGAGGGAAAATGTCGGATTGGAACGTCTCCGCGCGGCGGGGGACGGTAAACGAGATGGGTTCGATGTAGGTGTCGTTGACGGTCTTGTATGCCCGCATCACCTCGTTCTCGCGGACGTCGACGCCACGGCGCGGCACAAAAGCGACACCGCGTTGAGGATCGGCTGACTTGTATTCAGACAAGAACTCGAACTTGTCGTTCTCGTACTCGAAGTAGCGAATGTTGCCGTCGCTGAGGAAAACGTGAGCATAAATCGCAATTAGGCTGCAAATATCGACTTACCCTTTTCCAGCAAGATAGAGACAATTGGATCCGTCGTCTGAGCATTTAGTCAGGAACTGCCTCAAACACCAAAAGGTTGACCGGACTCACCCCAGAAGGGCATGCAGACGCCCGAGATGGAGTCGAGCGAGGTGAAGCCGCCGATGGGGTCTTTCCGGCCGGGCTCCCACAAGCCGATTTGCCGCTCGCTCATCCTCGAGAAACCGGTCGTGGCAATGCGGTTGTGCTCGCCCATCCACACCGCGCGGCTGTTCTTGGCGCCTTCATGGCCTGCATACTCGTGAACCGGCTTCTCCTGGCGCACATCCCACACACGCAGCTTCTTGTCCCGAGAAGTGGTCACCAGCATCGAGCCATTGGCGCTCCACGACAGACTCTGCACCATGTCGGGGTGCTTAAGAGTGATCGGGGCCTGGCCAGTGCTAATATCCCACAGCTTGATGCTCAAGTCGCCGGAGGAGGAAGCGAGGATATGCTCGGCAGCGGGGTTGAAGAGTACATGTCCGACCTTTCTGAGAGAAGAGTAAGCATGGCCATACGGCAAGATTGGGGGATAATGCGATCATACCTCGAGTGACCAGACAGTTTGCTGATTGGCGACACATCAGGAACCTCCTCAGCATCGGTGTACAGCGTGAAGCCCTGTGGCACCTCCCAGATGAAGACCTTGGCATCGTCGGACGCCGAAGCAATGATGCGGTCGTTATGAGGATTCCTGGCAACGGTTAATATTCGGCATCTAGATTCCTTTGAGGTGATCTGGCGCTTGCGACGCACCAGTCGGTGTCCAGCACAGCAGCAGTGTGGCCTCGGAACAGCGGTATTTGATCGGGCAGCTTGCCGCGCTCGTTCAGGGGGATGACGGCAAATGCACCGCCGCCGCTCGACTCCCAGTTGACGGAGAGGTACTCGGGATTGACCTGGCGATTTCCGAAGCATTAGCAGCCAGCTCGCCAGGCCATCAGAATTCGATGAATCGGGTGTTAACGCGGGGCATGGGAAGCGACACACCTTCACCAGGTTGGTGTCCCAGGCATTCCGGCTGATGTGAAGGTTGTCATAGCAGAACTCCTTTTTGGTGGGCTTGCCAAAGACGTGTCCTGGTCAACAAAGGGTCGGTCAGCAGCTGTCGCATGCGATGCCGCTCTCTCTCCCGTTGCAGCACAGCATAGCGGACTCGGAGCCCAAGAGGTGCACGCGAGCGGAGCGGAGGACGCCTACGGTATTTCGACGCGCGCACGAATCGGCCGGCCATTGGATCGGACAGCAATGCACACGAGAATCCAGAGCGTGCGGTTACTGTAGAGAATATTCGGCGACGACAACTACCAGTTTGTAGCTCCAACAAAGTTTATCAGGGGCCGAGACAAGTTCAACAAAGTTGGGGAGAAGGTCGCTCCAGAACTGGAAAGCATCGAGTCGCATTGGCGAGGCTGAGCCAGTCCCTGCTTAGCGCATGGTCCGTTCATCTCTGCCCGGGTCGCTGATTGGCCTTAACTGGATGCCCCTCCGAGCGTCACAAAGTTACCCAGAACCCCAAGCAATAAGACACGGACGGACCCCTCCACCCGAGACAAGATCCTCAATTCCGCCCTGATCCTGCAGAGGTGTAATCTATTAGTCGATCAACAAGGTCATTGCTCAGCAACCGAGCTGGTGGAACAACTGGAGTCTATGTTAGTACCGCCGGAATCCCGCTGTGAAGGATTGCTTTACTTCCAGATGCAACTCAGTTAATAGCTCCACCGTTATCCAACAATGTGATGAAAATTGCAAAAACGTCAATAAGTATTCAATCACGGCCGACTGGTGTAGTGGTTATCACGTCTCGTTCACAAAGTTGGACATAGTTGGAAGTCTTCCACCGAGAAGGTGCCAGGTTCGATCCCTGGGTCGGTCATTGCTTTTGTGCGGCATGTTACCTGTGTGTGCTCTTTTGCTGTGATAATGCATCAGATGTCTTTTTCTTATTCGGACTGGGCTTTGTGTCTCTTGGTTTGGCCCCCAGCAGCTTGTGAAGTTCTGGACATGGCAGGCATGAGATGATGACCTTGAAGCTTGGACCAACTAGGAAATTCCCAAACATGGGAGCTTGAGCCGAGCAATCGCATCCATCCATTCCATCCGAACCTCCAAACCTGGAAACATGCCAAAAGTACCCTCCTTTCGACGGCCGGCCACCAAAGACCATACAGCTGGCCCTGAGTCTTTCGACGGCCTTGGAGGAGACCGGCTGCAGAAACTGACGCAATTTCGATTTCAACAGTCGCGTCCTGGTGCATCCCCCCTTTGCCCTTCGATGTGATGGCAACCAAGGCCAAGTCTCGCTGGGCTGACGACGAAGCCGACGCAGCGCTGGAGGCGCAACGGAAAAAGGAGAAGGCGGAGAGAAAGCGCCTCAAAGCCGGGAAGGCGCGCAAGCTCGAGGCTGAGAGGCAAGCTCGGGATGCCGCCCCACGAGAAGCAGATAGCGCAGACGGACCCCCCGCGAAGCGGCGAAGAGTATCACCAGAGCGCGAGGCAACACAACCCACTACAGGATCCGACGGGCCCAGCGGTGTTCCTAAATTGTTGCGTTTTGAGGGCGGCACATTTGGCAGGTGTCGCAGCGTCGAGAACTACGACAAGCTCAACGACATCGAGGAAGGCGCGTACGGTTGGGTGTCTCGGGCCAAGGAGATCGTCACAGGGAAAGTGGTTGCGCTCAAGAGGCTCAAGATTGACCCCAAAGATCGCGGAGGGTTACCAATCACTGGCCTGCGCGAGATACAGATCCTTAAGGACTGCGATCACCGGAATGTGGTCAAGCTCCAGGAGGTAGTCGTTGGTGATGACACGAGCAGGATTGAAAAGTATGTTCTCAACTCCACACAAGACTTCAAGGAGTCCCAACTGACAACGATGTCCCAGCATCTTTCTCGTCCTCGAGTTCCTTGAGCATGACCTCAAGTCCATCCTCGAAGACATGCCCGAGCCCTTCCTCACGTCCGAAGTCAAGACGCTGCTCCAACAACTTGCCTCGGGCATCGCCTACCTGCACGACAACTGGATCCTGCACCGCGACCTGAAGACGTCCAACCTCCTCCTCAACAACCGCGGCCAGCTCAAGATAGCCGACTTCGGCATGGCGCGCTACGTCGGCGACCCGCCACCCAACCTCACCCAGCTCGTCGTCACCCTCTGGTACCGCGCGCCCGAGCTCCTCCTCGGCGCCACGCGCTACGGCCGGGCCATCGACATGTGGAGCGTAGGCTGCATCTTCGGCGAGCTGCTGACGCGCGAGCCGCTGCTGCAGGGCCGCAACGAGGTCGACGAGCTGACCAAGATCTTTGAGCTGTGCGGCGTCCCGACCGAGGAGACGTGGCCGTCGTTCCGGCGGCTGCCCAATGCGCGGAGCTTGCGGCTCCCGACGGGCAAGGCTGCCACAGGGTCCGCAATCCGCGCCAGGTTTCCGCTGCTCACCTCGGCCGGCGTGGCGCTGCTCAACAGCCTGCTGGCGCTGGACCCGGAGAGGAGGCCGACGGCCAGGGAGATGCTCGCGCACGAGTACTTCCGGCAAGACCCCAAGCCGAAGCAGGAAGCCATGTTTCCTACGTTCCCAAGCAAGGCGGGTCAGGAGCGGAGGCGGAGGCGGGAGACGCCGAATGCGCCCGCGCGGGGCCAGCAGGCCGCAGATTTTGGCGCGGTGGATTTTACAGGGATATTTTCTGGGAGGGAGAGGGAGGAAAGGGGAGGTGGGTTTTCGCTGCGGATGGTGTAGTGCTCCTTCGTGCCGTCTTGGCAGACTGAGGTCGACGGGTGGCAGGTCGGTCACGAAGTCCATGGCGATGGTGTGGAATGGCCTTGGCATGATCCGAATGGGCTAAAAGCCCTCTCTCCCAATGGAGGATTCTGGTCGGTAGGTTTGTTCAAAACAGACCTTACGCCATCTAACAAGATAAGGTGACTCTCCAGGTCTTTAAGCTGAAATGAACACAAGACGATTCGGCTAGATACGTCGATTCGGCGAGAACAAAGATGATATCCACATTGTCTAGCGTTCGTTTCCGGTCGAAGGTCTAGAGAGTCGCTAATTCGTTAGACACTTAAGGTCTATTTAAACAACACCACTAACTGGAATCCTCCACCGGGAACGCTTCAGCTCATCCGGACTATTCCAAGACCATTCCACACCATCGCTATGGACTTCGTGACCGACATGCTATCAGTCCCAGCCCAGGGACTGGTTGGACACAGGTGGGTGGAAGCTATAGGCGACAGATGCCCTCGAAGTCGATATGAAAGAGCAGACTGTCGCTCTGTTCGTACAGGCCACAAGGCAGTCGAGGACGTCGTTGTCTCTGAAAGCATGTCAAGGGATAAAAGACTTCTTGACCAGCGACCTCATGAATTCCGAACGAAGGCAAGCAAGGCCACCCAATATCACGGTGGATTAGGAGAATGCTTCATGAAGCTACTTGATATATATGCAGGGTCATTACTAAGAAATACAATGCGAACCAATGCCGTTACCGTCACCATCTTCACGTTTTTTAAGCCCAGGTCAGGCGAAAATTGGATCCAAAATGAAATGTTAGCAATACTTGATCCAACGCCCCTCCGCTCTCTGGCAGCCCATATTACCTAGTGGTGAAACAGACCAGAAACCAAATGCTGATGAACCTTCAGCTGCCATCCCCTGGCTCTAAAACACATTACAACACATAATTCCGCTGCCACAACTCCCAGCCCCCTTCGCCCCCTCTTCTCTCTCATAAGCCCCCTTTGGCTCAAATCATCAGACAAACGCCCCAACCCCGGCAACAAACCAAGTGAAGCTGAGCACCGTGACGGCACTCATGATAACCGCAACGCCCAGGGCTTGCCGATCCAGCCCAGACCCGGCGGCGCCGCTGCATGAAGCGCACTGCCACCCCTCGTCCGAATTCACATAAGGCTGTCCTGTGTACATACCAAAGTAGAAGCCCGCGTACGGCGCAAGGTATCCCGCCTCAGGCGTGGCGCTGATGCCGCCGTCGGCGTCGGCAATGACGAGCGTGTACTGGTCCACCGGCAGCTGGTCTCCGGCGTGGGCGCTCCGGAAGGCCCCAGTGTCCCACGTGTACGAGCCGGGCGAGGCGAACGACATGTTCTGGGTGAGCGTCCACGGTTGCGGCACTAGGCTGCATTTGACGTAAATGTCGATGGCTGTCGGGTCGGCCTGCAGGTTGGTGTAGTTCCAACCCCAGGTCACGTAGTCGCCGATCTTGTAGAGCTGGGTGCCGGCCGTTGCGGCCGGGGTGATCATGACGATGCCGCCGGCCGGGTCTTGGGGGTTGAATGTCGTCTTCTTGGGCGCGCTCGTTCGCGTGCTGTTGCCCGTCTGGCGGACCGTGCCCGTCGCGGACCCGGAGCGGGTTATGCCGCCCGTGTTGAGATTTGTGGTGATGGGCTCGAACGGGTCTTGGGACGACTCCGAAGTTGTTTGTGTCTCCTTGTTTTCCTCGTCGCCGGTCGCAGAGCTGGATGGTGACGCTGTTGGAGTGGCAGAAGGAGAGTCTAACGGATATGTTAGGATGAGAACGGTGTCGAGGGACACGGCCATGTATCATGGGGTTCATGCGTCATACCTGATGAGGATTCGTCCTGCCGGACAACGAGTGTGTCAAGTTCTGGGAGCCATCTCGGCCATGACAATGCAGAGACTACCGGAGACAAGGAGAGGAGGGCCACGGCCAAGTGGCCTGCAAAAAGTTGCGCCTTCATGACAGAAGACCTGTTGGAGTGTGCCGGGACGACCAAGAGCACGGACAGCGCCCAGTTTGTGGCCCTACTAAATCACGAAACCCGGACCAGATAGACCCTTATTCAAATCTGGAAAATGCGGCGTGTTGTCAATGACCGTGGTGACAGATGGCCGACTCCGGGACGCGGCACGGGCGTTTTGCTGGTGGCAGCCCCTATTATTGGCCGGACAGAAACAGACCCGCGCGGAATGGCGTGGAGAAACGAAGACGATTGACAACACGGACGAGCCGGTTGGTAGTCGATAGAATGTAGGAATCGCGGTTGAGGAAGCGGACGAGCGAGCGTGCTGATGAGAAAGCGAGCGTGTTTGCTGGAGAAACAGGTTGGAGTGCGAGGGATCTGGTGGCTCTATTTCGAAGCAGGACGATTGATCGGGAGACGGTTGGAATGCAGATGCCCAGATTTCTTCTCAACGGGATCAATCGAATGTCAGGGCCAACTGATGGATTCGCTCGGAGTTCCCAGCCAATGGGCAAGTACGGCTGGCCCAAGCTGGTCCGAGCAGCGCTAGGGAAGAACCTGGTCGACCAGGTTACCGCATTGGAAAAAGCTTGGGCATCTCCAAGCCAACAGGCATTCGTATTGATGCAGCGGGGCTAAGGAGGAGAAGGCATTGTTCGCAGCATTGATTGATGGCAACATCAACGTAAAGTTATTTTTAGGGCGTTCGTTGACCCCGTGGACACGAGGCTCGAGCTTTCAACCTGCTCAACCCGGATATTTCGCAGTGTGTAAGTTTAAAACCGCTGGATCTCCCGCCTCTGTGGTGGTTCATTTCAAGTCTTTCTCTTCCTCCCGGATGATCATCATTGCGGCCGACGGCTATTACAATCGTTACCGGGTTTGCGAGCCTTGAGCTACAGGGTTGGACAACAACAACAGGAACAACAACAACAACGATAATAATGCTGTTTCACTGAGCATGTGTTTTCCATCGCTGCCGACAGCTGCTGAGTTTCCAACGGATTTGAAGGCTGTGGAGATCTCTGCAGCCCGTGACACTTCCGCCGCTCCTCCGTCATCCGGACTCGAGCTCCGAAGCGCTGTCTCGATCTGCTGCCTGGGCGCAGCAGTATGAGGCCCAGGTCATGTGCCACCGACAACATGCCAAAGGCTGCAGAGTGGTCGCGGCATTTCAACCTGGAACCGTTGTCCCTGCTTGCATTCCAGTCAAGTCGTTCGGTGCTTGGTAAACAGTTGGCTGCTGATCGGATGCAGAGACAGAAAACCTGATCTGGCTCCCATTTCTCGCTGGACCATGTTATGGCCTGGTATTCGGCTTGTGTCCGTATCATCGAGCATAGACCGGATGGCGGCATCACACCATTATTATCCGCGATATGTGCAGCACAGCACCTCGGGTCCAACTTGCCATACAGGTGGCACCACATAGGTCGGGAATGGTGGAAGAAACGCTGGAGACAACATCTTGAACGTCCAGTACCTTACTCAACTCGAAGCGCCTGAATAAGGCACTGTAGAGAGGGGTAAACGTGCGGCTAGCCTCGCTGGCCTCGTCGGTGTGAAGAGTGGTCTGCCAACTTTGAAAGCGGCCTTGAACATCGATTTTGTTCCAGGTCTCGAACTGCGGCTGTTCGGCCGAACCCCCGACCAGCCCTTGAAGCTTTGCGTGATGCAAACCTTAGCTATTGGCTCTTGGCGGCCAGTTCGCGCGCAGAAGCCAGAGTGCTGGCCGCTGCTCAGCTGCTGTCCCTATCGCACGTGAAGATAAAGCCGTCGCAACCAACGATAGGCCAGGGCGGATACCTGACGGGCCCCTGTCACCTGCACCTGCCACCCGCCTTGCTGCAGTACCTTCCTCCCCTGGCAGTGTGGAAGCGGTATCTATGGGAAGGCTGCCACTTTTTCTGGGCGAGGCCTTTCGCCAACAGGACATCTTCCTCCAAGTCTCTCTCACATTCTGTCTTTTCCCAGACATTTTATCTTCTTTGTTCCCAGGTTGTGGGGTAACATGTCGTCCCACGGCGGCGCGGTTACCATCGACCGCGATTATTTCGATACCCTGGTGCGAAGGTACGCCTGTCTTTTCCAGTTTGTCACTGTATCTCTCTTATCAGGTCACCCGATGGTGTTCCATGTCCTGCAACCGCAGCCAATGCTAACCAGGGTGATGGAAGTCACAGGGCGCATTTTGTAGGTTCAGAAACCCAGTCACACAGCCGAAATCGAGCATCCTAACCATGGCAAGAATACCAATTCAAATAAGTCCAATGGGCACCTCTCTTCTGTGGTCATATCGCGGGCCGAGTATGACGATCTCATGTTGAGGGCCAAACACTATGGTTCGGCCGTTCCGATACACTCGGTCACGTCCTGTTGTGGTTGACAGGTTTTAGGGAACCTCAGAAGAAACCTTCTTCGCGGCGGCGTCGGGGAGGAGACGATCGATGTATGGCCATGGCCGCTTTTCATGGATCGATGGTCCTGTTGGAGCCAGCAGTTAACTGATCGTGACAGCTTCTCAGTCAGGATGACGAGACCATTCAGACAGGGCACAAAGCGTCCCAACCCTACAATGCAGAACTGAGTGAGGAGGGAGGCGCCCGCCTGGGCTCGTCCACACAGCAAGCCACGCCCGGCGCCTACGACCAGCAGCAGGACACGTCGCACAACAGCCACTACGGTCGGCACCCCGAACGCCCCACATGGGCGGATGGCGAGGCGGACGAGGACGAAGTCGACGAGAACGCTGCGAGCGACATAGACTCCCATCTCGACAGCCCCCCTGGCGCCAATGCAAGCAATGTCAAACTTGAGGGCCAGCGCCCGCAGTTTGAGCGGCAGTGTGCCCGCACTCTCCAGTTCTCGAACCTGGCGGATGGCACATCGCATGCGGATATCACCAACGCCGTACGGGGCGGGATGCTACTGGATGTCTTTCTGCGGAACCACGATCGCACTGCTACGGTGTCTTTCCTCAATTCGGAGGATGCCAAGAAGTTCTACGACCACGTGCGCCGGCACGATCTGTACATCAGAAACAAGAGGGTGGGCAGGCCTAGAGTATGATGTGGCTGTTGTTGATTGTTGATCTGGCGAGCAGGTCGAGGTCAAGTGGAACGATCGCCAGTTCGTCCTTGCTGGTCACCTCGCCAACAAGATCGGCATGGGCGCCAGTCGTAACCTGGTGATTCAGGGCTACGACAGCAGACATACCGAGGACGTGATCCGAGAAGATCTGGACCATATCCACAACCTCGTCGTGGTCAAGGTCGAGTTCATTGGCGGCAACTGCTACATTAGTCTCAACTCGGTTCACAACGCCGTTTATGCGCGCCAGTGCATGCTGAGTCGGCTGTAAGTAGCCATGCTGGCGGTGTCCGCTTTCCCTTCAAGCTGACACAAGAGACAGGAGGTACAAGGGCAAAAAGATCAACTACGATGTCGACGAATGCGCCCAGCCGTATCCACAGCCAGCGCTCAAGCCGCGGAAGGAAGCGACTCCGCCCAAGAAGTCGTTTACGGCGGCACCCAACCGCTTTCATCTTTTGAATCTCGACGATGACGAGGATGATGAGATTGCGGCCACTTTGCAGGCCAAAAAGTCAGTAGGCATTACCGCCTAGGAGCCGGCGTCGCACTGCCTTTCTGGACTCGAGTCCCCGTAAGAGTCGTGCGGGCGCTATGCTGAGTGCTGTTCGATGTTACTGGTGGCAGAGGGTCATGAGCCTTCGGGCTTTTACGAGATGGATCGCTGAACGAAGCAGATTCCGTTGCACCAGCGGCAGGCGTTAAGGATACCCCATGGTTAGTTCCCTTCCACAGATGTAAGTTTCACGGCAGATGGCCCATAGGCGGGAATCAGGTAGGCTAAGCTGTGAAGGCCTTGAGAGGTTTCCTCGGCGAATAATATTGACCCAATGTTGGAGCCCTCCTAGTCAGTTCGTGTTGGCGACCTGGAATTTGATGTTTAAATATTATTAGCTAATGGCTTTCCTTGTAGTGATACATGACTCCGTAACATTGTTCTTATGTTCCCTGCAACATGTCAGTCATCGTCATCATCGTCATAAGCATCATTTCATGAATATCCATAGCGGCCCCATGTTTTCGCCAGCTAAGGAGGCCTAATGCTTCACCTTGTTACCTATTCAAGTATAAATGTTTCCATCATCTCTCGAATCTCTTCGGTTGTCATCACAGTAACCGCCGGGGACACCTATTGTGCGGGGCTGGACTGCCTGAGGCTCATCATATTGTACGCTTCTCAACAGCAGCGGAACTCGGGAGCCAGGGACAATCCAGACTGGATTCCCAGCTTGGACACATTCGGACCCGATCCCGAGGTTGTCCCCCGGCCGTTCTGGACAACCTCAGATGCTGACTCATAAAGGCGTAGCATATACGCTCATGCTCACCGAGTCGCTCCGCGCGTCCATCCCTCGTCTAACAACGGCCGGAAGCGACTTAACAAGGCGTACCATACGTTATGGTCTTGGTCACAGTCGAACACTACACGACAAGGGATTTCGCGAAACCACTCGGCGAAGGATGCGCCAAGAGACGACTACTACCCTGGTCTCTCTGAGGAACAAGCCGAGGCGGATACCCTGCAGTGTTTACGATGAGGGTCCGCCAGAAGACGTCGAGTTTGTGTTCGAGTTCTGCGCCCCCCGTTCGGTGGCCATAGAACGTATCGAGCGAGTCCACAATCTCAAGCCACTTGGGGAACGGCTTGCCGCGCAAGACGGCCTGCTTCGTCTCGCCCACCGTGGTTACGTGGTCCAATCTGAACCCTGCTAAGCTCAAGGTTAGCGCCTCCCTGTCAATGGCCGGTCGCTGCTTGAGGTGGTCGCCCGAGGCCGAGTATCGCTCGTACCAGTCACGCGCAGACCGGTGGGCTCCTCGGACGACCAGTCAGGCACCCACGAGGGGAAACGCCCCGTGGCGGCTTGTTGGTACTTTTCCCCCTCGACGCACGACAGCAGGAGGAGGTCGCCGTCGCCGTCCTCGAGGATCTGGATGGCAGTTCGGGTGAAGGCGGCAGCTGGCTTTTGGGGGTGCTCGTACGTTGGGATCAAGCCCGGCTTGTCCTGCGCGTATTCGTTGACAAGCCCGAGCAAGGCGTAGAGCTTGTCACGCGGGTCCGTGGCCTTGAAGCTGGGGGACCGGATGAGCGCGTGAACGAGGATCCTGGCCCAAGCGCCGCGGTTCTCATGCTGATAGCCTTGCTGTTACCTCTTGTTGTACTCCTTGGCGCTTGATCGGAGCGTCGTTGGGGACTGGTTGCAGGATCTTAGCTTTGCGTATTCTTGCGGCCCGAGGTGTTGTGGCAGTCCCACGGCTTTGATGAAGAGGTTGCAGAGATGCCAATTCCAACCAGAAGTCGAGAAGAAGCGAGATGCCCCCGCGATGACGGACCAGTCGAGCGCATGACCGCCGCAGACGACTTTGACAGTCCTTGCTAGTACCACTTCCTGGATGATCCAGGCGCGGGTAAATAGGTTCGTTGGAAAACATGGGCGGCAGAGAGCCACGGCTGTCGGCATAAGAAGGGTGTTATCTGCTGCTCGTCGGCATAGTCGCCATCAGGTGAGTTGGGAGATAGCTTGGAGAGACGATTGAGAAGATGCGGCGACCGGGCGGAGAGGACTACAAGCTTCTTGAGCACAGCAAAGCGCTGACTTCGTATGAAGGTCCTCTTCGCCCAGCCATAAAACGACCATGACGGCCGTGCTGTAGATGTTTGCCATGAGCCTGACCTGCTCGGTTCGCTCTTTCCCGTCTTCCTGGTTGACGCAGATAGCGTCAATCCAGAACCTTTTGTCGACGAGACCGGGCAACTCTCGGGCCCGGCGGAGGAAGCAGCCGAGGTTCGATGTTAGATGGAGCAGCTTGCCGTCGCAGACGATGGGACAATCTGGACAGGCGCTCAGTGTGCTTAGTGGTCCATATTCGGTCGGAGGTCTCCAGGTGTATGACAGCACGTAGTATTCCTCTGCACTGGTTATATCGACGACCTGGAGGCTGCAATGGACAGGGGAGTCATTGTTGCTCGGCGATGGACATGGAAAGATGGTGAACAACCGGACTTGGCCATGACTGAGCAGCAGATCGTCGCTCTTATAGATTGTCGCCATCCCTTTAGGCAGTAGTAGGTAGGACGCAATCACCTGGGTCCATAACTGTTGCAGAAGAGACCGCCAGCAAGAGGGTCCGAGCCGTGTTGCCTCTCAGTCCGTCTGACTCTGTTTGAGTTTGACAATGAGTGATTTGCACTTAACTTCCTCAGGCGACAGCCACGCCTATCAATGCTCACTGGACGACCAGAGTCGACATCAGGCAGCAGCTCCTCGTCAGGTTCGAAAGCGCCCGGTCCGGCTCGTGCCAAGGGGGCGCGGAGTCCTGAGAGTAGATTCAAGGTCGTATTCTCTTACTCTTTTCCCACCCAGCAAGTACTCATCAGCTTCTGCAACCATGGCGCTCAATGTACCTGCCGCTCCAGCAATTCCAGAATACCGGTTCTCCTATGTCCCCGACTACTTTGTGGACGGCGCCGAGGCGGCCAAGACGTGCCTGGACTTCAAGCTCACAGCCCAACCCAACTTGGGTCTGTTGGAGAGAGCATACGACAATGACAATGCGCCGGAATTGGCGAGAGGAGATGGTCCCTGGGCCCAGTTTAGCAGGCGTATCGAATGGCTCAACACGAACATTCCTTACGGCGTGTCCTACAAGTTGCTGTATCTCCTGCGACACGGATTGAGTGTGCACAATATCGTCATGGCAAAAGTGGGAAGAGACGCTTGGAACGTACGTGCTGCGCCACACCGACACCGACACCGACACCGCTCCAGCCATAGAGGCTAAGTTGCCGCAGGGCTACTGGTCTCATCTCGAAGGAGACGGTGAACTCACTTGGGTTGACGCAAGGCTCACAGAGGACGGCATCAAACCTAGCCGGACATCTCGGAGACCTCTGGGTTGAGTGGGCCGGCATGGGCGTGCCTCCGCCAGACACACTGTACACCAGTCCTCTGGCTCGTTATCTTGAGACAACCAAGCTTGTGTACGAGCCAGTCATGGCCAAGCGCGGGGAGAGCCTCGACCAGTATTCGAAGCTGCTGAGGGAACGACTCACAAACCACACTTGCGACAAGCGAAGTACTCGAGCGTGGATTGAGCAAAAATTATCCGGCTTATGTGCTCGACCATGTGTTCGAAATGGAGGATGCCTTATGGAGGCACGATCTGTACGAAACAAACCATGAGCACGTGGCCAGAAAACGGCGACTTCTCGCGGACATCTTCGCCAACGACAAAGCAACATTTGTCTCGCTTACCACTCACTCATGTGCTATCTCGGCAGTTCTTGGAAGTCGTTGGAGTACCGCACTTCCGTGTCAGTAAAGGGGCCGTCCTTCCCCTTCTCGTCAAAGCTGAGGAAGCGGTCGGCGAGCGAGCCTGAATCTAATGGGTGGCTGACTGCCGATTCTGACTGTCCGGCGATGGTGGAGTTGTCGGTTTGGAGCGGCTACTCTTCTTGGTTCAACTAGGAACTAGTCTTTCATCGACCTAGAACACGGAGAGGAAGGTATCTCGGGTCCTCAGCCGTACAGCATCCGACAAGTTGGTTAGGAACAACGTAATTGGGCTGCGCCGCCACAGGACCCCATCTTGATAGTGTCAGTGTACATCAGAACCTGTTCAACATGCCTCACTCCTCGTCACCCTCTTCCTCCTCATCATCATCGTCCAGCGTCATATCAATCTGCACGCTCTCGTCACTATCACTCTCATCCCCACTCTCCTCATCCCTCTTTTCTTGAACCGGTTGAGCCTTGGGCATGACAGCCATCTGCACCTTCGCCGCGGCTTCCTTGCCGGTATCGACCCGCTTTGGCGGCTTGCCTACATCCGACTCAAATTGCTCGCTCTTGCGCTTGAGCGGGGATGCCGGCCGTCCCAGCTCGTCTTGCCTCTCCCGAGCGCCGGCGGTGGCGGTGGCGGTGGTGGTGCTGCTTACGATGGCGGCAAAGGCGTTCACGCTCTCCGGCGCCATCGATGCCGGCCCAGAACCGTCATCATCAAGATCCATCTTCTCCTCAGCCCAGCCACCACCAACCCCGCCTGCCTTCTTCCCCTTCCCCTCTTGCCCCGTACCACCGTCCTCCTCCTCCTGCTGCTGCTGCTGCCCCCCCACCAAAACCCGCACATCCTCATCCCTCATCTCTCCACCCACACCACCCCTGTTTTCCTCCTGCTCACCCATCCCACCACCCAACAACCCCACCTCCCCCAAATCCCATCCCCCCCGCTCCGCATCGTACCTCCCACCACCCGGCCCACGAACAAGATTACTCCTCAGCACCTCGACCGTCTGGTCCTGGGGGAACCGCCTCACGACGAAGGGCAGGATGCTAGGGTAATAGCGGCCGCGGGAATCCTTGTACGGGTGCAGACAGCTGGCGAGCATGGCGTCGCGGCTGTGGGAGAGGATGGCGGTGCGGTCCAGCAGGGCGCGGAGGTCCGGCGCCAGGTGGGACTGCGGCAGGTGGGAGAGGAAGAGCGGGAGGAGGGATGTCGCTGCCTTGGTGTGCGTGGCGCTGATGAGCGGGGTGGGAGAGAGGGAGGAGGCGGATGAGTTGGTGGAGGTGGTGGTGAGGTAGGCGTCTGCGTTTGCGGAGGCTGTGGTGTTGGCGTTGGGCTTCTGGTTGGTTTTCGTGGTAGTAGTGGTGGTGGTGCCGTTGGGTGGGGCTTGTTGCTGCTGCGCCGGGTTGGGGGGTTCGAGGTGGCCCGTTGAGAGCAGGATATCGCAGCAAGTGGACTGGATGAGGGGCGCGAGGGAATCGACGGTTAGCTTGGGAAGGGCTGGGCCGCAGAGGGAGAGGAGCTGGTCGGTAAGGACGTAGGCGGTCTCGCGCATGGTGCGGATGTGGCGGCTGGCGCTGGAGACGCGGACCATCTGGTCGAGTATGTCGGTTGCGAGTGGGACTACGTTTTCGCGCAGGCGGCGGATCAGCGCCTGGTGCAGGCGCAGGACGGCGATGTGGATGTCTGGCAGCACACTCCATAACTCAGCCTTTTCGTCCCTTCCGATGGCGGGATTCGTCTGAACAGAGTCCTCTGGCCCGGAGGGTGCCGTCACCAGTGTTATTCTCGACGCTAGATCAAGTAGCTCTCCAAGAGGGACTGTGACGGGCGTCTTGGTGGGGTTGTTAAAATATTCGGCCAGGAATTCCAGTAGGCCAATGAGCCTCTCGGCGCCGGCCTGTACACCGGTCCAGGGGGGGTATTCTTCGGCGGTATCGCCTCCGCCGGAAGGGTCTGCCCCGGAACGTGCTGCTTGGCTTCGATAGCCTGTAGCCGATTCCCAGGACTCGATCACGGCGCGGAAGATCTGGTCGACTGTGGCATGGCAGTGCTGGACGGTTGACCGAAAACCTTTGGCCCATTCCTCGCTGCTCCCGTTCTTGGCTGCCGTGTACGAGAGAAGAACAAGCAGGCGGCGACAACTCTCCCTAAGGCTCTCGGGAACAACAAAATTATCAGACCAAGTGGGAGCAATATACGCACGGAGGGCAGCCTTCATGTCCCCGGCGGACGGACGCAGAGTGGTTGGGTAGAGGACCACAAGCTTGGACAGGGAACAGGCAACGGTATCGACGAAGGCTGCGGGCACCTTGAGCGGTTTGCCCGAGGCCGGAGGCTTGATTAGCTGCAAACAAGCCGAAACATAGCTCGGGAGGGTTGGGGTGGCCATCTCCCGGATCAGGGTCGGGAAGCTCTGGAGCAGCATGTAGATCTTGGTCAGGGCCACAATGCACAGCTCCTTGGTGGCGAGGGGGTCGGGTTTCTGGGAGAGGAGAGTATTAGCAAATAACCACTGCCATCTGTTAGAAAACATACCTGCAGCACCCCGATCATGTTTCTGAGCCAGGATTCAGCGGCCCGCAGGCACTCCCATCCGCCGACATCGACGACGGCCTTGATCAAACACACGGCGGCGAAGCGGCCCGAAGGGTTCTTGCCAGCCAGGAGAGTGTTGATGCGCGTTCGAAGTTTGTGAACCAGCATTGACGTCTCGGACAACTTGTCCTTTGCCTTAGCGTCCTGGGGCACAGAGAGAGCCGTGCCGCAGCGCAACACATGGCTGACGAGGAGCGGGCAGATGCGCGGGAGGTCGTCGACAGGTGTTGCCTCCAACCGGCGGCAGAGCACTCTAAGCTCGGGCGGCGCAGCCATGCCCGGGAAAAGAGAAGTATTAGGTGTCAAGGAGTTGTCGAACTTGTTGTGTTTGAAGACCAACTTCGGGTTGGGAAGTCAAGATGCGCAACCTCGACTTGGAGTTTGGATATTATGCATGCCCAGTCGTCCGTCCGCCGTCTTTACACAGCCCAAGTCGAGCTTGGTAATTGGGTTGGTGGATTCCACAGCGAACAAGAAACACCGGGCAATTGCTTGGTACGTTATTTACATGTGAGGAATCAAGATCCTCTTTTTAGAAATTTTGGTGTTGAATGTTCTCCGTTACAACCTTGTAAGCGACCTCAAGCAACAGGGGTTGAGTGTCCAATCACCGCCCGTTGTTGGCACTGCATGTTGCCGTTGTGGGCCCATTTTGACTGCCAGGGTCGGCCAAGCTCCAGTTGATCTGGAGCCCAGAAGCACTCGTCAGTGGCCTGTCCGTCGTCAAGCTGCAACCTCATGCTGAACATTCACCGCCTCCATGCTCGCAACCCAATCGTGGTCCAGAACGTCGCAAGAAGCTCCTTCAGCTCTCATGTCTTGCGGAATCAAGTCATCGTAGTGCGAATTGGCTTTCCGACGAGGCAACATGGTAATTCTCCCTTCGCCGATGGATCCCATGCATACCGCTTCACTTCCCTTGACATGGATCTTTTCAAGAAGAGGTATCGGCTGACATTGCCCGCCAACATGCAGCCTGACGCGGTCAAGGCCGCGCATTACATTCAACAACTCGACGACGCCCGCTGTGACGAGAATTGGGATGCCGTGCCCGAGCTGATCCGCAAGGTGCGAAAGCACGCCCCTGACCGGGCCTGTATGTTTCCCATTCATCCCCATTAACCTCCGCCAAGTCCGGCCACCCACTGATCCCATTGTCTCTCTCGCTTCTCTCCAGGCCTCGCCCTCACCGCCGAAATCGAACACGCCATCGCCAAAGCCAACCTTCAGCCCACCCCGTCCACCAACAGCACCACCCGCCCCTCGACCTCCGCGGGCGTCTCCGGCGTCGACGCACACCTCCCGGCCCTGCTCTCCGCAATCGAGACGGAAACAACCCACCCCACCGACCGCTTTCAAGCCCGCGTGTGTGCAGGTTGGCTGCTATGGGTCCTGCGCGACTACCCTTCTGCCCTCGCCCACCTGCCGCCCAGCAGCACCCTCGACAACAGCGAACACGACCCCCTCGACACCAACAACGACGGCGTACCCGCCGAGGCAGCGGCCGCGCCCTCGGAATGGACCAAAGTCTGCGCCCTCAAAGCCGCCTACCTGCGCGCAAATTGCCTCGTCCGCGACGGACAGCGCGAGGGCGCGCTGGCCGCCTTTGACGCCGCGCTGCCTGCGTTGGGGCCCGTGTGGGCTGCCGGCCCGGCCGGGACCAGGCAGCAGACGCGATACTGGGCCGAGCTGTTCCTGACCGAGTACTGCATGCTGGCTGCGCAGGCGCTTAGGGACGGGGTCCGTTCGCTGCGCGAGGCGGATTGTCTGGCGTGTTTCCGGACATGGCTTCGGTACTGGGTTGCTGCTGGAGCAAAGGGCGGGGGCGCAACGCTGCCGGGGGGGTATGGGTTTCGGGGCAGTGTGCCGCGGCGGCAGGTGTGGGCCGAATATTATTTTGCGTTGTCGGAAATTCTGCAGGGGGGTCTGCCCGTGCCGACGGGGTATTCGACCGTCGTCAACGGGGAGACTTCGGCGAGGGGCCAGCTGAGGTCCGAGTTGAAGAGGGTCGAGGCCATTTACCAGGGGCTGTTGTATAATGAGACCAAGTTTCCCCGGGCGGACGAGGAGCGGGCCGAGGTGGAGGAATTTGTGAGGCGGATGATGCAGAACTGGGAGATCCTGAACGGCCGCGGGTGGAAGGAGCAGGATCTGGGCGCTGGAGGGAGGGACTCGCTGTGCCATGGGACGCTGGACAGCCTGTATGGCGCCGCGGCCAAGACGTACCATTCGACAGCGATCCTGAGGCACATGTTTACGGTCCACCTAGCCGTGGCCGAGTTTGACTTGGCCTTTATGGCGTTTGACTCGTGGTTCGAGCTGGTCAAGAAGGGCAAGGCGAGAGTGCAAAAGACGGGCCACCGCGAGCCGGCGATGGATAACGACGCGACCATGCTTGAGACCATCTCGGCCTGCATCGCGGCCCTCTGTCGATTTGGGAACAGGGAGGCGGCTGAGAGAGCACACAAGCTTGTTGGGGAACTCGAGGATATGGTTGAGAAGGCGGAGGGCCGCGATGCGAACAGCACTGATCACTGGGATGAGGTACCGCCAAGTACATTGGCGGTGGCATGGCAATCGATCGGGCTGGCTCACGCTCAGTGGGCGCGTATGACCTACGAGTCCGAGTCTCGCTCCATGATCCAGGAGAAGGCGATTAAATGTCTCCAGAAGTCACTGTCGCCTGCATTCGGTCGTGCATTCGACGCCAGGGGCGTGTTTGCTTTGGGATTGCTGTACGCAGAGCAGCGTCAGTTGCCGGCGGCGATAGAGCTAGTCAAGACGGCCCTCCTTGCCGACACACCTGCTATGCCCAACCAGGAGCTGCGCCTGGGGCCGTATTGGCGCGAGCGGTCTCTCATACCGCTCTGGCATTTGCTGGCGCTGATGCTTAGTGCACGGCAAGAGTATGTCATGGCCGCTCGGGCTTGTGAGGGCGCTATCGAGCAGTTCAAAGACCCATTCGTGCTGTTTGGGAGTAGGCACTTGAATGCGGGTTACCGGAGCGAGCATCTCAACGAGGCGGCAGCGAAAGACGAGAAGGCTGGCGACGGCCTTGTGGACGAGATGGACGACTACGAAAAGGAGAGCATCTTGCAAATCAAGATGACGCAACTTGCCATTCTTGAGCTCATGGAGGGCCCGGCTGTTGCCGTCAATGCCAGCACAGAGCTGCTTACCCTGTTCCCTCGGCTGTTTGGTGACCTGGAAGAGAGGTTTGAGCTCATCAAGGCGGAGCCGCCCAAGACAGGTGCCACGTCCCGGAGCTTCAGGGGCAGCGTGTTTGGTAGCAGGTCGGATAAGGCGGCCCGCGCCCGCCAGAGTGTCGTGGGCGACAGCAACAACAACGAGAAGCTGACAACGATACCCTCGCGACCGCAGACCACACACACAATCCAGAGCATCGCAACCGCGGCACTGTCGCCCCAATCCTCCAATGAGGCGGCGGCTGATCCGTACTCGAGTCGAAGATCGACCAAGTCAGACGACACCAAGCGGCGGGGCCGCAACAGCCTGCGCAAACGAAACAGGAGCGGCAGCAGGCAGCGGGCGCTCAGCACCGGAAGCCCGCCGGTTCCGCCTCTCGAGAAGTTTGCCGGATTTGACCAGCGTAACCTCTCACCCTATTCCGCGGCCAGACAGACGGTTGAGCCGTCGAGTGAAGACCCTCGGAGGCCGTCGTCGCGCGCGAGGGATGGGACGAACCATTCTGAGGTTACAAGCCCGCAGTTGGCCGGGCCATTCACCCCGCTGCTGCCGTACGTGCAGTTCTCGCCGGATCATAACCGGAGGCGCAGGAAGGCGATCCTGGTTAAGGTGTGGCTGGGTATCGCGGCCTTCTACCGCCGGGCTGGGCTGCTGGAGGATTCCAACGGGGCGATTGCCGAGGCGCAGAAGGCGGCGCATAGCCTGGAAACGGACGCAGTGAGTGAGGCGCCGGGAGCGCCGTCGGTGCGGGAGGTTGGCTGGGGGATGGAGAAGAGCGTGGAGGAGGTTATTGCCGATGTTTGGACTGAGGTAGGTGACATGGCACTAAGTCTTGGCTCGGGGACAGGTGCTGACTGCATACAGAAAGGACACCTTTCTGTCGCCCGCGGGCGGCCGTACGAAGGACGCAGCGACTTTGAAATAGCACTGACGCACTTCCCAGACCACCCCGGCGCCATTGTCGGGCTGTCGAACATGCTCTTGGATATTTACACGGAGAAGCTGCTCCCGCCGCCGGCCGTGCCAGGGCTGGACCTCGGCGGGCTTTCCCTGATCGACGACGGCATCTTCGCCTCCGCCACCGACGGGACCACCGTCATCTCCTCTACCGCTGCGCAAACAAACAAGCAAGCCAAATTCCCCCTCTTACCGTCAGCACCGCTCGGCCTGGGGCCAACGAAACCAAGATCAGAACCGGTAACACCCGCCGAGCCGAACGGTTATCCTCCTCTTGCTCCTGCGCCACCACCGCTGCAACCATCGTCGTCGTCGTTCCTCGGACCACCGTTGCCTCCGCCGCACAAGGCCACGTCGCTGCCGCTGAACGACCGGCTGGCGGCGCGCGATCGCGCGTACGCGCTGCTGTCGGGGCTGACCAAGCTCGGCAGTGGGTGGAACTATGCCGAGGCGTGGTTTGCGCTGGCGCGCGCGTACGAGGAGAGCGGGCAGGTGGACAAGGCGAGGAGTGCGCTGTGGTGGTGTGTTGAGCTCGAGGATGGGCGGGGGGTCAGGGGGTGGGAGGTTGTTGGCGTGGGTGGGGGGTATGTGCTGTAGTTTGAAAGTACAGTAGTGATGATGAGAGTGAGCGGAAAGAGGGGTTGTTGTTGTATAGAGTGTTGGCCATCATTGGGCAGCTGAGGTCGAAGATCTGATGCATCTTTTTGATTCCCAGAACTCTTGTTTTATCTCGTGCGTGTTCTTGGATCTTTGATGCTGCGCCAGCCAATGAGAGGCTTGAGAAAGAGCTACTTTTTGCCCCACCTCTGCTGCTGTTTATTAACTTCCAAATGTTGAACCTTCGCCGATTTCGTAGAACTCGCGACTCACCGTTTGATGCCATATCTTACAATCGATGGACACATAGAACCAAACCCTGATCGGCCACACCGCGCCCTGCCAAAACGATCCAAAGCCTAACTCACCTAGTATTCACCTAGTGTCGACAAAAGACCACAGCAAACAAGAGGAACTTCAAATCAAAAACCCGAAACCCCCTCTAACAAAGCGAAACATGCCACCCGCCGCATCCACCGCTCTACCCGAACTCACCCTCATCGTAGCAGCCACCCAGCAAATGGGCATCGGCCGCAACGGAGGGCTCCCCTGGACAGGCCTCAAGCGGGAGATGGCCTACTTTGCGCGAGTCACCAAGCGCCTTCCTCCTCCCCCACCTTCTTCCGCTACTCTTTCCCCTTCTTATCCCGCCTCCTTGACCACCACCGCCCTCAGCAATTCACCACCACCAACAGCAGCAGCGGCAGCGGCAGCGGCAGTAACAGAGAAGCCGCCGGCGGTGCAGAACGCGGTCATCATGGGCCGCAAGACGTGGGAGAGCATCCCGCTCCGATTCAGGCCCCTTCCGGGGCGTCTCAACGTCGTTGTCTCGCGCAGTGCTGCCTCACAGCACACCGCCACCCCTAAAGACGGCGAAGAAGAAATAGGTGGCTGCAGCGGTGGGCGGATGGTGATGGTGCGGAGCTTGGAGGAGGCGCTCCAGTATTTGGGGAGTCTCGGCGGGGAATATGGGCTGGGGCAAAAAGGGGGGAGGCTGTTGGGCCGGGTGTTTGTCATTGGCGGCGGGGAGATCTACCGCGCTGCGCTGCGGATGAAGGAGGCGAGGCGGGTGCTGCTGACGAGGGTCAGGAGCGAGTTTGAGTGTGATACTTTCTTTCCGTTGAGGTTGGAGGACGGGGCGGAGGAGATGTTGGATCGCCGGTGGCGGCGGAGCGGGCAGGAGGAGATGGATCGGTGGGTCGGTGAGGAGGTGCCGAGGGGCGTGCAGAGTGAAAATGGAACTGAGTATGAGTTTGAGATGTGGGAGCGCGTGGATTAGATTCGCTTGCCCGGGGGGGTGGTGGACAGGGTTGGGTGGTTTTACTTTGTGTTTTCTTTTTCTGTTACAATGGCATGTCTCCCGGTCACGGTTGAATGCCCGCCTGTTCAAATGGGGCCTTCAACGACGTCGTTGGGAGGTCCACAACCTTGAACATGTCGCGCAGCGCGGGGAAAGCCGACGCCGCCTGCAGCTCCATCACCTCATCTGGCATGTCCCCCAACTCCATCAGCCCGGCCCGCATCCACGCTACGACGGCGGCCAGCGCCCTCACGTCCACGTCCTCGCGCGCCTTGAACAGGTTCCGCCACACGGCCGACGCGAGCACGGCGTCTCCTTTGATGATGCCCTCGTCGTAGGCCAGGATCAGGCCGCGCCACTGGACAAATAGGTCCTTGAGGTAGCGCTGGCGGATCATGCGCGACGTCAGGTCGTGCACGTCCTCCATCTTGACTTCGGCTTGGACGAAGAAGTGGTCGACGAGCTGGGCCTGCCAGGCCTGCTGGGCGGCCGGCTCGAGGCAGCGGAAGCGGACCACGAGCAGGTACATGTGCAGCATGGTGACGTGGGCCCAGGTGCTGAAGGTCGGGAGGAGAGCGAGGTCTACGAAGGCGCGTGTTAAGTCAGTTTTGATGCGAGTTGGCGAGAAGGGAACAGAGAGGGTAATTGTACCATCATGCCATCGCCCGCCCTTGCTGACGCCGATCTCTTCTCCGTCGGCCGTCGTCTGCAGCTTGCCAGCCTTGCGGGCAGCTGGGTCGATGGCGTAGTCGGCCTGGGCGGCGCAGGCTTTGTATAGCTTCTCGGTCGCGTTGAAGATGTAGTAACTGCTCTTGCCTGTGGCGAGGCTCTGGGCAACGCGGCCCATCAACATCTGCTTGAGGTCGACCTTTTGCCGGGGCGGTGTCGTGTGGAGAGCTCGTCGACTAGCTCGGCTTGGGATGTTACTGGATCTTGCCCCATATCGCAGGGCGGATGGGAAACTTGATGTCATTATGATCGTCGTCGTCGTCGTCGCGGCGCATAGCAATGGTGATGCTAATGAATTGCTGTTTGGGTAATTCTGTCTGAAAGGCACGGCTATCCTCTTTGGCAGCCGGCCGAGGCCCGCGCTGCAACTGCGACAAGCCATTGAGGTGCTGTGTGCGCATTGGACTTTCGATACTGATGAAGAGGGAGTTCGTGTCGCTTTCTTCTGGTTTGAAAGCATTATCTTGGGGATGAAGTTGATAAGGGTTAGGGTGTCATTTTCTGCCACTCCATACAGGACCTGTACTGGATGTGACATGGAACGAGAGCTGATGTTCGAGCACTGATGGGATGTGATCTTGAAGAGCATCTGACTTGTTCCCTTCCAATCTGCTGAGCAACGTCTTCCAGATGTCATGTTGCGTTAGACACTTGCGGTGTCTATAGTGTATTGTACAATACAAGGACTTGTACATTCATCAGTACACTATGATACACATTATATATGTATACAGCCCTATTCGTCTGGTCGCGATCTACTCCAACCTGGAAAATACGAGCGAAGCATTGGTCCCGCCAAAGCCAAAGCTATTGGACATGGCCACCTTGACATTTTTCTGCTGCGCGTGTAGCGGCACAAAGTTAAAATCCGCGCCGACATCGGGCTTGTGGAGATTCAACGTCGGAGGGACGACATTCTGGTAGACGTCAGTACAACCCGCTTGTGCCTAGGGAATGGACTCTCACCTCGGTAATGGCAAGAATGCAGAAGACGGCTTCGATGGCGCCGGCTGCCCCTAGGAGATGCCCAATGGCACCCTTGGTGCTGCTCACTGTGACCTTGGACTCGTCGTCCACCCCTTCCTCGCCCGTCATCAGCGCACGGATGGCTGCCGTCTCGGCAATATCCCCAACCAGCGTGCCGGTGGCATGAGCGTTGATGTAGTCCACCTGCCCGGGTTTCACCCCGGCATTCTTCAACGCCTTCTTCATGGCCGAGAGCGCTCCCAAACCGTCCTCCCTCGGCGCCGTCATATGGTGCGCATCACCGCTGCAGCCATACCCCTTGAGCTCAGCCAGAATCCTCGCGCCCCTCCGCTTGGCGTGTTCCAGCTCCTCGAGCACAGCAACGGCGGCGCCTTCAGCAACCACGAACCCGGCACGATCGGCATCAAACGGCCGGCAACTGGCTGGCGGATCTTGATTGAACGCCGTGGACAGCGACCTGGACCGACCAAATCCAGCAAACGTAAGCGGGTGGATGCACGACTCGGCGCCGCCAGCAACCATAACATCGGCATCGCCGTAGGCGATAAACCGGGCAGCGTCGCCAAGGGAATGCGCACCCGTGGTGCAGGCAGTGGTGGCGGCATGGTTCGGCCCTCTGAGGCCGTAGCGCATGGCGATGTGGCCCGCGGCGAGGTTAATCAAGATCTTGGGCACGAAAAGCGGCGAGACCTTTTTGTAGCCCTATTGCTCCCACACCAACAAGCCAGCCACAACACGTCTCAGCATGACCACAATCTCAAAACTATCCTAGAAAAAGCAAAAAGGAGGGCCGGCGTACCCCTCGGTCAAAGGCCACACTGGTGGCATAAAAGTCGTCCAGATTCCCGATGCCGCTGCCCAGACACACGCCCGTCATGTCCTGCTCCGCATGGCTCGTGGGCCGCCAGCCGGCATCGCGCAGCGCCATCTCGGCGGCCGCGACGGCGTACTGGGCAAAAATCGACATGCGCCGCTGGTCCGAGGCGTCGAGCCAGTCCGAGGGGTGCCAGATGCCGTCGTCATCGCTTCCATTGGATAATGGCGATGATGATGACAATGTTGTTGTTGTTGGCTTGTCGTCGGTGGGTACGATGCCGGCCACGGTGCTGGTGAGGTCGCGCCACTGGGCCTGTTCGAGGGCATTGCGGCCGCGGTCAGCGACGCTGACGAGCCCGGACTCGGAGGCCAGCAGGCGCTGCCACGTGTGGCGGACGCCCACGCCGAGGGGAGTGATGGCGCCGAGCCCGGTCACGACGACGCGTCGCATGTTAGGCCATTCCGGGTTCCAAATTGGGAATTGGATTTGGAAGAAAAAGGATAGATTGTGAAACAGTAGGATGAGGCGAGAGTGAGGAGCGATGGAAGATATGACGAGGAAACTGCAGGAGCTGCCGTGTGTAACCGAAAATATCATGGAAGTTCCAGTACCACCAAACTAAGCCAATATGGTGTTTAGCGTAAAGCGGGAACTGACGATGCGCCCCACTGTTCCGAAACTCAGCCCTGGACATGCAATTGTGGAGACATGCTTTGTGTCCGGGGGCCACTTGGCCGGAAAACAACCTGAATGAGACAGTCAAAGGGCAAACATCTAGTCATGATGTTTACAATACAACAACTCAAACCACCTACTGCTTTCCCCTCGTCTCCATTAAATTCATGAGGTGCGACTTGAAACTGTGACAAACACGGATGGTCGCCGCTGCATTTTCTCCTGATCAGAACCCACACTCACCCGTCGCTCACAGCGTCGCACGATTTGTTGAATGACAGTCTCGAACGAGAGCTTTGCTTCCTTGGACGGATTGATGGTGGAAACATAGCTTATGAATTGATGCACATCATAGGTTCCTCGAGAAAGGATATTCACAAACCTCATCCTCACCCTGACTTGACGACACTCACGGGTCCAATGGTCGATTCGAATCAAGTGCCTTAGGTCATTGAACAACGGGGTACCTGCATCACCACATGCTGGTCCCCGGATAGTCGTGTTCATACGTTGTATCTCCCGAAGGACTGTCAACCATGGCCGAACCATCAAGTTCCACAGCTTCGGACCTGCCGCTCCAACCTCTCCCGCCGCGGACAAACGACGACGACTCCAAGCCAGAGTCTACCCTGGAAACGCGAAGAGCAGGCCCCTCGCGCTCCAATGCTCCGCAATCATCACCGACGCAAAGCGCCCAGAGTCCCCTCACCCACCTCAAAACCCGCATTTCCTTCTTCCAGCCCAGCGGCGGCGGCGACGACCATCACCGAGACACCCACTCGGACTCGGACTCGGACTCAGAAGACGATCTCCTCATCGACCCCAATCTTCCGGTAGACTACTCGCAACGCCACCAGGCCCTTCCGCGACACTCCCTCTCGACCATTGACGAAGGGGCCAAAGCGTCGTTCGACTCGGACCACATCCCCCTGGTCGCGGCGGGCAGGGGACAGGGCGAGGATGAAGAAGACGAAGACGAAGACAGCCAAACCGAAGTAGAGGACTCGCCCTACCCGGAAGTCCGCGCGGCCGTCCACCCGTACGACGACCCCTCCCTGCCTTGCAACACGCTGCGCGCCTGGACCATCGGGCTGTCACTCATTTTCCTCGGCGCGAGCATGAACACTTTGTTCTCGCTGCGCTCGCCAAACATCAGCTTGGGAGCGCTGATCGCGCAGGTTATTGCTTGGTATGTTTTCGAAACTAACTCACTTCAATATCTTTCCCTTTTTAAAGATGCGGTATGACAGAGAAACAGTGCCGTACCTAATCCCAGGCCCTGCCCCCCTGACTGTGCTTATTGCTGACATTTCTTTTTTCCACATTACTAGGCCCCTAGGCAGGGGCTGGGCTCGCTTCGTCCCCGACAAGGAGGTGGTGCTGCCGTGGTTGGGAGCGAACAAGAAGGAGTGGGTGAGACTACGGCTGAACCCTGGCCCGTTCAACATCAAGGAGCACGCCATCATTGTCGTCATGGCGAGCGTCTCGTTCTCGGTGGCGTATGCGACGGATATCATTCTGGCGCAAAAGGTGTTTTACAAGCAGGACTTTGGTGTTGTGTGGCAGCTGTTTCTGGTCATCTCGACGCAGAGTCTGGGGTATGGAATTGCCGGCATGATGAGGCGGTTTCTGGGTCAGTTCGTCATCCCTCTCCGCTCACCCATAGACCCCTTCTCGTTGTTGTTGCTGCTGTGGTGATGGGTGGGTGACTGATTTCGATTGGCTGGCAGTGTATCCCGCCTCGATGATATGGCCCGGCAACCTGGTGTCAGTGACGCTCATGAATGCCATGTATGAGAGCAGCGAGGACAGGGATCCGACAGTACTGGGCGGTTCGATGCCCCGGTACAGGTGGTTCTCGCTTATCACGGCTGGGGCTTTCGTATACTACTTCATTCCGGGCTTTCTCGCCCAGTTTTTAAGCTCCTTCGCCTTCATGACGTGGCTGGCACCCGACAGCCCGGTCGTCAACCAGCTGTTCGGATACACCACCGGACTCTCACTGCTGCCAATCACCTTTGACTGGACCCAAATATCGGGCTTTGTGGGCTCGCCTCTGATCCCGCCATGGTAAGTAAACAGGACTTTATTTCATCCAGACCGGGAGAGGTGATGGCTGATACATACAGGCACGCCATTGCCAACACCATGATCGGCGTTGTTTTATTCTTCGTGTTTCTCGCCTCTGTCCTCCACTACAGCGGAACCTGGCACTCCCTGTATCTGCCCATGAGCGACTCCAACACGTATGACAACACGGGAAAGCAGTACGATGTGTCCCGCATCCTGTCCGCCGACTACACCCTGGACGTGGACGCCTACAACAGCTACTCGCCGCTTTTTCTAAGGTAGGAGGTCATGTATTTGTCGAATGGAGCCAGCTAACAGAACCAGCACGACCTTTGCCATCTCATACGGCCTCTCCTTCGCTGCCATCTCCTCCCTTATCGTCTACACTTACCTGCACCACGGCAAGACCATCTGGCGGCAGTACAAGAGCAGCACCACCGAGAAGCCGGATATCCACATGAAGCTCATGAGGCGGTACAAGGAGGCCCCGACCTGGTGGTACATGTCACTCTTTGCTGTGGTATGTTAAGACAACTCCGCGCTTCGCCTCGCCTGCTGGTCTCACACGCGGTTAGATGCTCGTTCTCGGCTTCGTGACGGTCCTGGCCTGGCCGACCAACCTGACCTGGTGGGCCTTCCTCCTGGCCGTCTTTATCTCGTTTGCCTTTTCGTTGCCGATCGGCATCATCCAGGCCGTTACGAACAACCAAATTGGCCTGAACGTGCTCACAGAGTTTGTCTACGGGTACATCCAGCCGGGCCGCCCGCTGGCCCTCATGATGTAAAACAACCAATTCCTGCTCTCTTCAGCCAACGCTGGTAACTGACTAGCAATCCGTCCTCAGCTTCAAAACCTTTGGTTACATCACCATGTCCCAGGCCTTGACCTTCGTCTCGGACCTGAAATTTGGCCACTACATGAAGATCCCCCCACGGTAAGATGCCCATGACATCTGTTTGATGGAGCCAGGCTAACAGAACCAGCACCATGTTCATGGCCCAGGTGGTAGCGACAACCTTTTCCTGCTTCGTGCAGGTCATTGTCCTCAACTACGCGCTCCGAACCATCCCCGGCGTGTGCGAGCCGACCCAACCAGACCACTTCACCTGCCCCGGCGGGCGTGTCTTCTTCTCCGGTAAATAATCCCCCCCCCCCCCCCCCCACCAACAACTAACCTCACCCAATTCCTCGCCCTTTACACTAAACTTCCCCAACCGACAACAAGCAACTACAACTAACAATTCCCCCCCTTTCCCCAACCAACAGCCTCGGTAATATGGGGCCTAATCGGCCCCGCCCGCATCTTCTCCCCAGGCCAAATCTACTCATCCCTCTTCCTCTTCTTCCTCCTCGGCGCCGCGGTCCCGCTCGTCATCTACCTGCTCGCCAAGCGCCGACCCAAGTCTTTCTTGCGCTATCTCATGGCGCCCGTCATCTTCGGCGGCGCCGGCGCCATCCCGCCCGCCACGCCCCTCAATTACCTGTCCTGGGGTATTGTGGGGTGGGTGTTCCAGTACCTGGTCAAGAAGCGCCACTTTGGCTGGTGGCGGCGGCTGAACTTCCTGACAAGCTCCGGGTTGGATCTGGGGTTGGCGCTGAGTACGTTGGTGATTTTCTTTGGGTTTACGATGCGCGAGGTGGAGCCGCCTAGGTGGTGGGGGAATGAAGTTGTCAAGGGGACGTTGGATTTCAAGGGCAAGGCGGTGCAGGTTGTGTTGGGCCCTGGCGAGACGTTTGGGCCGGCTACGTGGAGTATATGAAGTTTCGTCCATGCCTTGGTATTGGATGGTGGCTTCCACTTGGCGGGTTTGGCAGGATGGTTTTGAAGAGGTATTATGGATGGGTTGGATGATAGTGGTATTTTTCACGATGGATAGTTGTACCTACCTGTACCAACCTGTTACTATCCGTTATTTTGCTGCTACATATAACTACACGAGCCGCTCGTCAGACGGGGATCAGATCGGTCTGGTTCCACCCATAGGCACATCACAACCCTCCTCGAGTCTTGGGAAGCAGCCCGGCGGAAGATACGAAAACAAGATATGCCAGTGTTCAGTTCAGACTGGTGTCCCAGATTAGCTCATACCTACCTATCTCCCTACTTGGTAACTCTCCCAACTCTCCCCGATGTGGCGTATTTCTTACAGACGCTGTGCAACCACGCGCAGCAAGGATGAAACCCTCACTCATGTGATTCATCGGTAATGCAGGTATACTGCGTACGAAGTATGTATGTGGCTAGAAGGTTCACACCCATCATCGGCCGTCATACAAGTACAACGCCTCGCTCCCATTTCCGAGACAAAACATTATCATCCATCCAGAAGCACTTCCGGCACTCCCCAGCGAGAGACACACATATATACCGCACCACAAAGCCCGACGCGATCTGTCTCTCGGGTCCCCGGGTATCGGTGAAACACACACAACCAGCCAGCAATCAAGGCAAACCACCGTCTCCTCATTCACGTCATTGGTGACTTTCCAGAAGGCATTATCCAAATCACTCAGCTTACAACAGTAGTTTTTCGGACCCAGTAGGTAGGCAGGCAGGGACAAGGATGCTATGTGACGTATGCCTGGACATAAGGAACTCCTGTCCCCCTCCCTGACCGCCGTTTGCGGACGAACGACTCCCATAACCCCTTCGAGCTAGTGCTGACTCCCCGACATCAGCAAGTTCCCGCATCATATGTCCTTGTAACGAGTCCCACACACATGTCAGACACGGGGCGGTTAGTGAACTTCACGGAAGGTACTTGTACAACTGTCTGTCTGTTTTCGAAGTTACTCCCCGTCCTGCCACACCTCTTCCCGTGCCCCCTCCCCAAAAGCAAAACACGAAGAGCAGGTTCGGCCACCACCACACAATCTAAAGTCCTCTTTCCGCGTGTAACCAGCCCCCTCTGCATTTCCACAGATGTGACGCCGCCGGCTCTTTACCCGCCACTCACTGCTCACTTTTCGCTTTCCGCCGTGTGTAAGCGGTCGCGTGGTGGGATATGTGATACGTGTGCTCGCCGTCAGAACGGGGGGCCCGCCCCATCACCACATTCCTGTTCCATTACCGCATGTTTGTTGTCCCCTCCCCTCGATTACCGAGCCCACCACCCCAAATCGAAGATTTTGCTGACCGCCAAATCTGACCGCCGGGTTGCTCAGTCTCTTGAATTTGTGGTGCCAAGCGGATCTGCGCGGGGCCTATCGGAAGCTCGCCCGGCACGGACAGGTCGGGGCGCGCTCGGCCGGAGTGGAGTACGCCAACCTTACCGGACTGTCGGGGGGAGAGAGGGGGGTTAGTGTTGTTCCTTGCTCGGAATCGTCTCCGTTCCCGGCGGATTGGAACAAGTTTACCAATTTGGGAACAGTCGAGGAAAGAATAAGCAGTGCTGTGGCAGTATGTTTCAATAGTTGCTGACATTCTGGATGGCAGAGTCAATCTTTCAGCTATCTCCGGGTTCGGCGTGGCCTGGATTGTCTGCAGGGATTTGTGGCCTTGGTCGACGGGCGCTGGATTTCGATAGTGGCCTGTCATGCTGGGGACGGTGACTGCTTTCTTGGTCTGCGTTGACCGCGACATCTTGAACTCACGGATACCACTGCATAGAGAAGCATTTTGCATTCCCTTTATACCTTAGGCAGCCGTCTCGCATCGGCCCAGCTGAACCCAGAATGCAACCCATGGATCGCCGCCGCCGGCGCAGCCGTCATTGAGGGAAGGGTCCCGGAACCCGCGCCGCTGGTTTTCAACACCCTTCTAGAATCTGATCGACCAGTAAGCGATCGGGCGGCTGCATAGTACCCACTACCGGCACAGGAGATGCCGCAGGCGGTCAATGGCTGTTGATGTCGCACTAGCCAGGGGTGCTTACACGCTTGATATCTCTGCTCGACGCTCTGGAAGTTTTCTTGGAATCTTCCGTTCTCTGAAGTGCAGCACCCATCGACATTCAGATCGCACCATGGAACCGGGGCTGCCGGACTTGTCCGTGCGCCGGGTATCTAGGCCGAGGAATTACCCATTCGCCGGGAACCTGGCAGCCTGTTGTCAGACCGTACCTGCCCAGGAGTTGCTCGTAATCCAGCGGTGCCGGCGGAGGTCTGCATGGCCGTGTGTGTGACCCTTATGTTCAGGGGCAGCGAGGATGGCGAGAGCAGCCACGAGCCACTGAGATTGTATGGAACGACGAGACACGTCGCAATCTTTTCGGGGCGGTCGAGAGCGCGTTGCGTGTGACCGAAATCCGCTTCTGTACTGTTGAGTGATGGTGCGCCAAAGACAGAAGAACTTTGCTGTCGTTTTCCCGGGACCACCCGTTGTTTTTTTTGCGTTTACCCCTGCAGTGCGACCACCCTGTCCTCACACCTCGTTCCCATGCCTTGGACAAGTACAAGTACTTGAATTTGCCATCCTCCATGATGTGTTTTTGAACCCTGCTCGGAACGAACATTCCTACATCGCCCCCTTCTCACCAACCCCAATCCAAACTCCTCCGCCTGCCTGATTCATCATGGGCCAGATGATACCCGACCCGACGTCAGCGCCGCCAGTGAAGCTCAAGGCAAACTGCGCGTCCAGAAAATCCCAAAACGATGCCTCCTTTACCGAGAGGGTCATCGCCGCCACCGGGCCAAATGCTGATCGGCGCCTGGTCGAAGTGATGCCCAGTCTGGTGCGCCACCTCCACGCGTTTGCTCGTGAGGTCAACCTGACAGTAGCGGAGTGGATGGCTGCCGTCGAATTCGTAAGGGCGCTATTCTTGCCGAACCCGTCACGTCGTAACCTCCCAGACTGACGCGCTGTGCCTCGTGTCGCAGATCAACGAATGCGGCAGGATGTCGGACGACCGACGGAACGAAACCCAGCTGCTGTGCGATATCGTCGGGCTGGAGAGCCTCGTCGACGAAATCACGTCCAGAATGCTGGCGACCTCCAATTCTGAGACCCCATCTGCCATCCTTGGGCCCTTTTATCGGCAAGACGCCCCGCTGCTGCCGAACGGCAGCTCCATCGTCCAAAACCTCATCCCATCGGTTCCGTGGTATGAACAGGCAGTAGCCAGCTCGGCGTTTGTGACGGGCCGTGTCCTGTCGAGCTCGGGGGTGCCGATCAAAGGGGCGATCGTGGACGTGTGGCACTCGGCACCGAACGGCTTGTATGAGCAGCAGGACGAGTCGCAGCCCGACATGAACTTTCGAGGTCGATTCGAGACGGATGCCGACGGACGCTACGCCTTCTATGCGCTGCGGCCCGTTCCGTACCCAATACCCGACGACGGGCCCGCGGGGAGGCTGTTGTCCTTGCTGGACCGGCATCCGTATAGGCCAGGGCACATCCACTTCATAGTCTCTGCTGCAGGATTCCGAGCACTGACGACGCAATTATATGATGAAGGAGACGAGTACATCGCGAAGGACTCTGTTTTTGCCGTGAAGGATGAACTGGTGGTCAGGTTTGCGCCGCGAGACGGCGATCCTGACGCGAGGTGGTCACTCGAGTATGACTTTGTTCTTGGTCGTGCAAGCGACCAGGGATGAGCTGTTGTATTGTTATCCAGAAGTATCGAATAGTTCTCAGCGAAGCCTCGCTCTTAGACTGTATTGCTTTACCCTGCTGATTAAGTGGCGTCGATGAAGTGATATGCCTCAAAAAGGCCGCCAAAATCAGGCCAATAATGAAAAGTGTCTTTGCGGCAAACGGGCTGATATCTAAGTGCATGTCCCCGCGACCTGTGGAGCGGATATCATCGTTTAGAACCCAGGCTTGTCTTCGAATCGGATCCTACGTATTAGTTACACCTGAATGGGATAGGGGAACGTTTCTACCTGCCGTGGCAGGACTTTCTGTTCCCTAGGAATCAAGTACGCACCGTAGGGCTCTGTCGGGGCTCCAATCACAGGGGGTGGAAACTGCAACGCCAGGTTGCTGATCCCCGGGGCGACCGAAGAGACTGGAGGAAGGTGGTTGATGAAGTTACTCCACAAACCGTCGAATTCGAACTCGAAGTTTCCGCTGTGGGGTTCTGAGCTTGCGATTGGCGAGTGTGTTGAGATACTCGGCCGGCCGGCCACAAGAGGGACTGTAGGACCATGGGCATTAAGCGGGATCATGGGGTTGACTCTTGCTTCAAGCGCTGCGCTGGAAACATGGGTGTGTAAGATGTCGAAATGGGAAAATTTCGGTATCGGCGGCGGAGTCAGCAGACCTGGATCTGGTCCGTTGACGGTCTGAGAAGAGCTTCGCCTCTGGATACCTGCGTTGATGGCCGACCCTGGATGCATGTGCTCGGAAGTCGGGCCAGATCTCGTAGTCTGGACATAGAGACAGTTGAGATTGGTTGAAAGCGGAGGCGCAGGATAAGCATGGTCCTTGGTCCATTTGTTGACAACTTCCGAGAATCTGGTGATGATATCAAGGACACGGCGCGCTTGTGGATCAATATCGGCGCAGTACGCCACGATGTCGATAGCGTCACGCATGGTTCTGCGATACTCCTCGGTGAAGTACAGTGAGGAAAACTGATTCATGAGAATGACGAGGCTGGCAGCAAAGACGAAGTATCTGAACAACGGTCAGTGAGGTTCAGACTTACGCTGCCCGGGGACTCCATGTCAAAGGGTGTGTGTCCTGTAGCTTACATGATGAAGGGGTTTCTGCGTGGGAGGTAGCCGTCTTCCCGAGCACTGCGAGCCAGCTTAATCGTCCGGTAAGACGCCACGACACAAGCCTCTGAAAACCGTGCCATTGGTGATTCGCGAATTTGAGGTGATTTCTTGATGCCCGAACGCTCCTCAACGAGCATCCAGTTATGCATGACGAATAGCTGGCGGGTGAGGAGTATGAGCGAATGCAATGACAGGAGGCTGACATGCAGGGAGGCCATTCCGTGGGCCGGGTTTATTATGCCTTCGCTTGACTGTCGCCGGTATGAGTGTGCGCGAGAGGCCAGATCCCAGTTCTTGGACATGTCGACTATCTCTTGGACTTTGGTGGTTGAGATCTTTCTCCGAGAGAAGACCTTGAGTGTCACGCCAATGGCATGGGCCGCTTCAACACAGGAATCGATGCTTCTCGCGTGGATAGGGTCAAGCCCAGCCTCACAGCCTGCCTGGATATCGGTCGCATCTTTGTCTGGCAAGATTTTGCAGGAGCAGTCGTCCTCTGAGATGGCGGCGGGTCTCCCCAAGGTGGCGGCCAAAAAGCGGTCGAGGATGAACAGCGTCTTCCACAAGTTCCTCCTCACTCTCATCTCGGTGGGCGTGAAGATGACGTCGCGCATTGTCTCCTCTCGATGCAAGCCCAAAGCGTAAGCAGAACGGACAGCCATTCCTGAAATCAGGTTAGCATTCCGCAGACAGGGCTGTTTGTGCGTCAAGTGAGCTTGCCGAGGTATGCATAAGCTGTGTTTCTCTTTGAGACGATGAGCATGTAAATCGTCATCAACGACAGTGCTTGGATGGACCAAAAGTCCGCATCCTCAAAGCCGGCTCCCGGGTCGCACATGGACCTGGCACTACGAAAGAAGAGTTCTCCCCTATCTGGCTGCGCGCTGAGCTGCTTCTGTATTACCGCTTCCTCGTGACTGCCCGGGACAGGCGCAGCAAGTAACAGGCCAAGGGCCAGGACCAAATATAAGTGGCACAGGAAATAATTGCTGGCGGAGGGTGGGTCTTTGTAGTATTCCTCGACGGATCGAAGAAAAGAAGGCCTGTCCAGAACTTCGATCAAGCCGCAGGTCTGGCAAGAATCAGCAAAGAGTCCAGACGAATCGGTTCGATGTCTGACCAACATTCGTAAAGTACGACGCGATGAGGATGTCTGCGGTCTGTTTGTCTGGAAGCGGGCTGGGGATCCGGACGTTCGGCGGGAAGTCAATGATGCTCTCCAATATACGATGCCTCTTAGGATCATCGATGAAGGGTGAGCCCATTTCCGATCCGGCGGTATTCTCGACCACGATGCGGATCAATTGCAAGATGGACAGCGTGGAGGCATCGCCAATGTAGACTAGATGCCTGTCAGAAAGACATGGGCGACGTGCTTGGCAGCGTAAGGTCACCTACGAAGGCGCCCGGTCTGATCCTGCAACATCCGCGTCTCGGTGTAGATGTTGGTCTCCTCAGACAAGCCGTTCGCGTTTCCACGGCTCGGCAGTTTCCTCAGGCTTTGGTAGGAGCCATGTCGGACATTGACCGGAACGGGCACTGGCAGGGGCAGTTGCTGTTCGGGCAAGGTGGGCAAGGCGGACATTGACGAGTCCCCAGGCTCTTGCTCGTTCTGCCGGACCTGATCCCAAGATTGCATTGTGTCGCGGGATTGAGAAGATACTGCTTCTGATGTGTCGATCGCCAATGGTATAGATGGAGGAGACGTGTCAAGGTGGCGCCGCTTTGTTGGTGACGCAGCAGAGTCGGCAGCATCGTCGGATGTGTTGTTCGGAGTGTAGCAGCACATCAGCTTCCTCTTGAGACAAGTTTGGCAAGGTTTCAAGCCATTGCACTGGAAAGGAAGTATCAGCGAGGGTGCGCTTCATGGAATCCAACCCGCGTGATGCTGCGATGGTCACTCAACGGAAGACTCAAGGATGAAAGGAGAGGGAGTAGTCGTCCTTGGAGTCAAAAGTAATCCCGTGTGGTTCAGACCCAACACCTGTGCCATCCTGGCTCTCCGAAGTACTCGCGACGTCTCCCAATTTCGAGATGCAGCAGCCCACACACACTTGTGCCACTCTTTGAGGGGCCCCATTCCCCTGCGGCCCTTGTGCTTCCGTAGCAACTGGGTGTGAGCACGACGCCGACTGGGCCTTTCTGCTGGATGAGGCAAGCATCTGCCCTTGAGCATCGGGCAATATGTCCCGGGTGTGCATCCGACGTGAAAAATCGATGGAGATAGAGAAAAGTAGGCAACGGAGTTCTGGGGTTTCAGTGGTCAAGACATATCGTAAAACCGGGTGTACAGGTTCAAATGCTTCAGACCCAGCCAGCCACTGGGGCCCCGGCCGGATGGGACAGACGTTGACTCTCGGAATGCAACATGAACACCATACCCCCAAGTAATAAGCCGCACATGGCGGAGGGAAGAAGCGGGTGGGTGCGGAAACTGAGAGGAAAAAGTTGAAGGAGCAAAAGGCTTGGTCCCACACACCTTTTGCTTCCGGCGTTTGCAAGAGTCGCAAGCCTGGGCAGTGCGCTGGCGTTTGTCGTCGGGGACCTTGGGTCGAGTCATGGTGGAGAAGGCGAGACAGACGAGGCGTGGGATGCGTGGGGAGACGCGCGCAGGCGCCCCGCCATCGGATAGCAGACACGGACTCTCCTGCGTAGCCCCGACCTGGAGACAGCAGCCGCAAGTGGGATGGTGCAGGCAACTGAAGAACCGGCGATAGAAGGCCGGGAGAGTGTTAGTGTGATCGGAAGATGCTGGCGGCGGGGATCTGGCGCGGGAGCTGATCGGCGCGGATGATGCACAAGTCGGCAGCAGGTCGAGGACTGGGAGAGGAAACGCCGGGCGCGGTCGGATGGACGTGTGTGAGTGTTGGTAGGCAAGATTAGTAGGCAGTCCTAGTAAGTTACTGCTATTCAAGGGTTGCGGTCGGGGTCGGCAGGGGGCCCTGTCGACTGTCGGCTGGGGTTGCGGATTTGCTTTCCAGCTCGATCGGTTCAGCTTAGTGCCCGCAGCGGGAGAACGCTTGGTGGGACGAACCGCTGTGCCGCAGGTTGAATTCCAGGGAATCCAGTAGATCTGGTTTGGGGCGAAGATGTCAGTTGTGTTGTTGAACGAGGAATCCCTAGGACTCTGCACCACGCGAGAAGATATATATGGAAATGCTGAGCAAGAAGAGGGAAAGAGGGAAAATGTGACTCCAGGATCGAGTTGGAACGGGAAGGCGGCCCATGCACACCATCCCTCGTCGATGGCCTGCGTCCCTTTTCTGCAACTTGACACTTTTTGAAGGGAGCCAGGCCTGGATGTCCGGGCCGTGCGGCAGGTTGCTTTTTGCGCCCAAAGGATACCCAAGACCCTGCTCGACTCGCGCTAACCAGTGACTGACACAGTCGAGGCCAGCTGCATCAAGTTTCAGTGATGGTGGCACGTGGGCCCAGGTTTTTGGATAACTTTTTTGTTATGCGCCGCTGATAAAAGTGCGGGGAAGAAGCCTGCCGATGAGAGCCTGGACGGATGTTGTTGGACGGTTGACAAAAAGCTAACCACCAAGCCAAGCCCAGGCGAAATGGAGGATGGCGATAGGCGGGGCTCATCCTAACACACGAAACAGGCGGCGGTCGAGACTGCAGCTCTGATTGACGGGGCCAGAACCCTGTAGAGTGCTTGACATTGAGCCAGCAGGCGGCAGAGTAGCCTTATGGCGCGTGTTTGGTGTTACCATGCTGTCAGACAAATTCAAAACCAGGAAGACTGCGAGCCCCCGTGATGGAGGCAAGCAGGCCACGGGCACGGCTACTAGGCGAGGCGGCCGAGAGCGGTTCGTGCCAGGCGACGGGAGCACAAGACCTGGCGCCTTCCCCATCTCAGATTACGAGCATGCGAGCCTCGCGCAGTGGACATCATTTCGATGGTCCGTCCCTTGTTGTTGTCCAGCGTCTGGTGCAGAATGGCGGCGAGAACGTCGAGGGATGGAACAAACTTACAGACAGTTGCAACTTGAAGGCTTGAGATCCGGTTTTGTGGGAAGCAGAAAACACCAACGTGACCTCCAGCGGGAGTCAACAACGAATTTGCGCAGATTCCCAGATGAACTCCGTGCTGGGTGCTCGGCTGCCTTACAATCATACACTGAGGAGACAGTACTATCCGTAGATGAAGGAGACTCATCAAGACGCCTCAGGCAGCGGCGGCATCCCGTCGGATAATGCACCTAAACTTTCCCATACTCCTGCGGAAGTGGACCTGACTTTGGAGATATGATACCCCGCAGCGGCCCCGCTTCAAATGGGGCCCCAAGCCGTGGAGACGTGGACCCTGCCTGCCGAGAACCTGACCTCGATCAGAGATCCCTCAAAATTCCTCGATCTGGCGGAATGGGGATTTCTGTTTCTTTTCATTAACAAACCTCACATCCTAGTATTCCCCCCACCAAGTTAGGAGTCGACACCTTCGCGAACAAAAGGCATTTGCTTTTTGAAAAGTCCAGGTTCAGCAGTCCTGAGTGAACATTGATTTCCCCGACTGAATGCTGAGTGGACCAACATCGACCCTTGTTACAGCATTGGCCAACCTTGGAAGCGTATCGGCACAGGATATGCCGAGTCTGAGGGATGTTTAGCCATACAAGCCCTGGACGGTAAGTTATGTCCCATACCCATTGCGTGCATCTCCGAGCAAGCGTTGGGAGACTGGACGCGGGGCGCATGAATTCGAGCAGGATTGCCACCCCACGCTCTCCACTAACATTATCGCCGCTGCAGCAATCCCCAGATGTTCGTCAAACACGCTGGTCATCCGGCGACTGCGGTTTGTGAAACGAACTACGCTAACCCCACAAATTCCTGCTTGTCGGTTGTCACAAACGCCTTGCCTGCCTTGTATCCGTAGTGTATCCGTCCAGGTCCACTCCCGGCCGAGTGCTACCAGCTTCAAGGCCTTTCCATATTTCCACGACAGCAAACTGCTAATAAGATCCGGCTTGCTCTGCTGAGGGTCCCATGACTCCAGCTGAGTTGATGTTACAGTGTCGGATCTCGTCGATCGCGTGATCATGATCCGCGTCCCACGGCCACCTACTGTGGCACGTCACAGAATATCTTGTTTGTAACCTGAGATGCTGCCAGGACCCGGCAAAGAGCACGCCCCGGGCCGGGCCACATACCCCACATTCCATCTTGTTCGTGGCATGTCTGAACGCACGTGGTGCAGAGAAACGGGATTCGCCAATGCCTCGCCAGTGCCTCACCAACCCCTCGGATCCAGTCGGGCCTTGGTCAAACCCGTAAATGGTCGGAAGCCGGAAGGCGCCTGGCAGCGTGGGTTTTGCGGCACGAGCATACTCCAATCATGGCCGTCATCTCCGAAGGAATCTCTCCGGGCCTTGCGCAAGAGTGGCGGATGCGTGGGGAATCATAGTGAGGCAAACCACCGTCATGGGTCCATGATGGTTCCTCAATTATTGTTTCTCCTGGCATATTATACTGTGCCGGATACCACCTTAGCTCCCCAGATGTCCCAAGTCCCATTACCGGTCCCCAAAGGCTGCGGGTCTCACCAGAAGATCGCTTAACGTACAAAGTACACCCATGACCAACCTTGAACACGGTGTGATCATATCGACGTCGTGGGCATCGGATGGCACCTCAACTCCCAACCTTGAATCTATATATTGGCACCCTACCCGCGATCCATCGTCGCGCAGCTCTTGCTGAGCCTCTCACCATGCTCGCATCCATGAACTCAGCCGCTATGGAGTCGGCGACCACAATGACACCACCGACGTCTCCTTCCTTGAACTGGGCCTGGGACAGCGCTGTCGACGACGAGAAGCCATTGCACGATGGGAGCACTCGGAAGATGTCACAACAAAGGAGCATTCTCATGTCAGCTCTTCGCTGCTGGCAGAGGCTCATGGTGTCCGAGACAGACTGCGAACGAACCGCTCAAGGGCCTCAGAGTCGTACACGCCATTCAGTCGCTGCCGGAGCGTTGGACGCTCTGAAGGAGTTGTGCGCGGTGTCGCAGAGCGAGCTTCCAGACACCATCTCGGCCTTCACCAAAATGGTCGAGGTCACGCCGACGTCCGGAAAGGGGGACCAGGTCTGCTTCCCGACGCCTCTCAGAGAGCAGGAGACCACCGCCGCCATCAAGGCACTCGAAGCCTGTGCTGCCGCCGCCATTGCCAAACTTCGGTATGGAGAGGAAACCAAGAGGATCCAGGTTGATACCGACAAGGTTTCAGCCTTCTTGATGTCGGCGTACATCTCTACCCTCGACGGCATGGGCAAGCAAGATTCACGGATCAAGGATAGAATTCCTGGTGAGCACAAAACCGGCCCGATGTCTCACACGGAAGGGGGACCATCGTTGACCAGTTGGCAGACACGGACCTGAACCGGGCCCAGTCGGACCTATACAGACGCATGTCGGCCAACCTCTATAGCACCAAGAATCCCGGCGAGTACTACCACATTCACGGGTCCCTCGACGCCGATGTGACCCTCCAGATGCTCGGTCTGCCTAAAGACAACCCGGACATGACCGACTACCGCACCATTATCGACTACATCGGATTCGCCGTCAAGCAGCACACCGCCGCAGAACTCGACGCTCTCAACCTCGCCCATCGCCAAGCCGGCATTCAAGCCCTCACCTGGCCCCAGTTCCAATCAACCCCCCACGGCAAAGCCCTCCTCGACCTGCCACCCTTCACCGTCCGCCCCAACCCCTCTGACGCCCACTGCACCCCACCCACTCCCTTCCCGCCACCACCCCATCCCACCACCACCAACCCGCGGTACGCCCTGCAGGGCATCAAAGTTCTCGAGCTATGCCGCGTCATCGCCGGCCCGACAATCGGCCGGTCGCTCGCGGCGCACGGCGCCCAGGTCCTCAAGGTCACCTCGCGCCGCCTGCCTGACGTGCCCTTCTTCCAGCTCGACGTCAACACGGGCAAGCACGCCGTGCACCTGGACCTGAAGCCAGGAAGCTCGGCCGCGGACCGCGCGACGTTTGCGTCGCTCCTCGCCGACGCCGACGTGCTCATCGACGGCTACCGGCCCGGGGCGCTGGCGCGCCTGGGCTATGGGCCTTCGGTGCTGGCCGACCTTGCCAGGCAGCGGGGTAAGGGATTCGTGTATGTCGCTGAGGACTGTTTCGGAGGGACGGGCTTGCTTTCGTCATCCTCATCATCATCATCCTCATCATCCCACGAGGAAAAAGAGGAAAAGGAGGCCTGGGCCTCGCGGCCCGGGTGGCAGCAGATCGCCGACTGCGTGACGGGCGTCGCCTGGGCCCAGGGAGAATTCATGGGTCTCGACGAGCCGGTGGTGCCGCCGTTTCCCATGTCGGACTACGGCACCGGCGCGCTGGGCAGCCTGGCCGCGCTGGTGGGGCTGTACAGGCGGGCGACCGAAGGCGGGTCATGGATCTGCCGGACCAGCCTGTGCCAGTACGACGTGCTTCTAATGCGGCTGGGCTTGCTGCCCAAGGCCGAGCAGGAACGGCTGCGGAGGGAGCATGCCGAGAGCGGGGCCGGCTTCTTCGAGCTGAGACATTGCGACTCGGTGGATGAGGTTGGGCGGAGGGCGCTGGTGAGTATGAAAGTGGCGGTGCCGCATTTATTTCAGGAGGGGGGTGAGGGCAGCGGGCGGATTATGCAGGAGGCGTGGAGCGAGGCGTTCAAGGGCGTGGTGCGCTGGCCGAGGGAGGCGGTCGAGATTGAGGGTCTTAGGGTTGGGCACGTGAGAACGGCCAGGCCGAATGGGTGGGATAAGGAGGCTAGCTGGGACGGGTGGGAGGAGGAGATTGGCGAGACAGCCGCTAAGATGGACGAGGTGTCGCTCTGAGGGTACAGTTTCCCCTATCTTGCTGGCGGGCAAAAGTAGCTGGGAAACTTATGGTCGCGCTTATCGAGCAGGTGTGATCATTACGCTGTCAGAAGGTAGTCTGGTAAAGACGCTGGTTTGCTCTCAAAGGGCATTCGCATTATCGGCAGGATCCTTTCCCGCCCACCCTAGCACTGTATGCCCCACGGATGTCGAGGGCTTTCTGACAGAGAACCAAGAATTCTATGCTACCTGACTTGAATACCATTACAGACACCCAACACCGTTCGGACCCTAACATCACAATACCAGTCTCCCCGGCTCGTTTTCCAGGACAACCTTGACCCGCTCAAGGAAAACCTGTGCCCTCCTCTCCTCGGCCTTGGGCACTTGCAGGCTGAAGATGTTGGAACCCGTCGACGCGCCGGGGATCACGGTGGTCTTCTTCGCAGCGGGCTTCGGCTTCGACGGCCCAGCAAGAGTGTCAATGATGTCGGACCTCTTGGCAGGCGCTGGGCGGGCCTGGAGCACAGACGAGGGCGGGAGGGCACCAATTTGTGGGATATAGGAGCCGCGTGACACCTTCGGGTTAGCTACCTTGTCCAGGCCCAAGATTTGGTTGAACAGCTCGTCCGCAGTGGGCTGGTACCCGGCAGGGAGCGGGAGCTCGTCGTTTGCGATCTCGGTGGCCCGGGAGATGAAAGTGGAGAGCGGGAGGAACACGCCCAGGGACTTCTGTATCTTCCTTTGGGCTTCAACTACGGCCGACAAAGAGACGGGAAGTGTGACGACAGACTTGACGGGCGCCGGCGGCGGTGCTGGGGCAGCCTCCTTGGCGGGCTTCTTGGGCTCCGGAGCCTTGGCAACCTTGATGTTGCTCAAGTCGAGATGTGACGCCTTGTCGAAGCGCGAGGAGATCTCGGACGGCGTGCTGGCGTTAATCTTGCCGAGGAAAGCGAGGACGTCGCCTTTGAGGATACGGCCGTTGGGTCCGGTCCCAATGATGTCGTTGAGGACGGACACGTCAAGGCCGTTCTCCTTGAGCAGATAGTGCACTGAGGGCAGGGGAATCTGTGTGTTCTTAGACTTCTTCGCTTCCGGCTTGGCTCCGATTTCCGAGTCCGCCGGGGGTACGGCGGTGGTTGGTGGAGATTGGGGCTCCTGAGTCTGCGTCTTCGGCGCCTCGGAAGCCTTTGTCGGCTGGGCGTTCCCCTCGGCAGGGATCTGAAGCGAGCTGATGTCATCACCCTCCTCGGCGATGACTGCTATCCGTGTGCCGACCTGCACGCCCTTGCTGCCGTCGCCCTGCATGATCTTCATCAGGATGCCGTCCTCCTGCGCCTCAACATCCATCGTCGCCTTGTCCGTTTCGATCTCGAGGAGTACGTCGCCGGCCGAGAATCTCTCGCCCTCCTTCACCCTCCACGTTGCGATGTTCCCTTCGGTCATGGTGGGTGATAGAGCGGGCATCGTGAAATTCTGGGCGGCCAGAGCGGTGGCCGATGTCCGGAAGCCTACGGCGGAAGCTGTGTCAGCGCGGATGCGTGTCTTCCTCGATGAGTTTTTTGTACAAACCTCTGGCGGCGACATCGCGTTGCAGCCTCCGAAAGGCAAGCCGCACCGACATGCGGCATGCCGATGTAAGAGATGCCATGGCGATAGGCAGTGTGCGGAACCCAATTGGGTTGAGCTGTGATGGTGATGGTGGATCTCTTTTTTGTTTCATGAGAAAGATAAATTCCATGTTGCAGTCTGGACTGGCGCGAAGCGGACCGATTTAGGCGGTGGCCCAAGCTCACTTGGCTTCCCAACATTTGCATCGCGCAGGATTCTTAACCAGGCCCCAGAGAGCATAGCTAAACCAACTGTGCTTCTACGGAATCTGCGTATATCTCACCTTCCTATCCGTACTCATTGGGGCTTCGAAATCACTGACCTAATCAGGTTGTAAGGCATGGAAAGCCAACAGCTGTGAATGATTATACCGCAGTAATCAGGTGTTAAAAGATAAGTAATGACTCATTTAATAATTATATAAATATTTTGTGAGAGGCGAGGCACGTAGGCACTAGGTACTTGCAAGCTGCGAATTGCCTGCCGAGTGGATCCTGTCTCAGTGCGCTGCCGCCAAGACCTGACCTCACGACAACACCTCCGGCGCCAACAAAATTGCGGCCCCACCAAACCCAGACGTATAGCTTCAGCTTCACAGTCAATTCGGCTCAGTTGGGCCAAGAGTTAGTTAGGATTGCGCCAAGCACCCTCCTTCTCTGCGCTCAACACTGACAACCACAGCCTCAGATCACTCACCATGGCGTCCTTCTCCAGGGGCCTCGGCCCCCGACTCGTGTTTCTCATCCGGCAGCAAGCCCCATGCGAATGCGCCGCCGCCGAAGCACAAGTACGCCAGCTCCTCCGCGCCCGCTTTTCCACCGCCCGCCTCCTCCAGAAAGCCGCTCGCTCGTCCCGCCCAGTTCCAAAACCCGCATCCAAACCATCCGCCTCAACGGCAGCCCCCAAGACGTCGTCCCCTATCCTCGGCTCAGCAACCGCACAAGCCGCCCGCCCCGCCACCTACGCCGAGCAGCTCGCCCTCAAGGGCCGCACCCTCCTCTACGAATCGCCCTCACACTTCTGGTTCCGCGCCGGCTGCTTCTCCTCGGCCGCCTTCTGCGTCTCGTACACCGTGTACCAGTACTGGACCGTGATCCTGCACCCGCCCGAGGGGCTGATGTGGTGGATACCGCACGCCTTCGGTGCCATCCTGGTCTTCATGGCCGGCATGGGCGCTTACTTCGTTATGGGCGCGGGCCGCCTCGTGCGCTCCATCGAGGCCGTGCCCGCGGCCGCCGTTGTCGCCGCGAAGCAGATCGCCGCTGCCGGGGCAGCAGCCTCGCAAACGCCGCCAATCTACATCGAGGTGGCCACCCGCCGCATCGTGCCCTTCATGCCGCCCAAGAAGACGCTGCTTCGACCCGAGGAGGTGCAGTTGCCGTTCCGCATGTACAGCGTATTCGCCGGGTCGGGGTCGAGGTTGGCGGTGGCGGCGGCGGCAGGCCACGAGAATCTGGCGCAGAAGCCGGTGAGCTTGGCGGAGAGGGTGCGCGCGGAGCGGGCGGCGAGGGAGGCCAAGATTGCCGAGAGGAAGTATACCATGGACCACATCATGACGGCGCCGTTCCGGGACGCTGCCAAGGCGTTTGGCACGGCGTGGCGCGGCATCAAGCGGTCGTTTAACCGCGAGGGGTTTGCCAAGATCCAGCTGGGGAAGCAGGAGTACAAGTTAGATGTGACGGGAGGGTGGGCGCTGGATGACGGGAGGGCGATGGACAGGCTGCTACCAATCAGGCCGAATGCGTTGAGGGCGAGATAGGGAAATGGGTTTTAATACCGTTAGTTCGTGCGCTTGTGGGGGGCTACTCTGTATGATTCTCTGTTGATAATATACCCTGTAAAGCACTGTATAGGTGCAACGAGCTTTCACTCGATCTTCCCAACTTCTGAGGTGTGATTCTCCTCTTAATCTAGGAGACGCCGTGGCCTGCTGGTAGTCGTGTCTTCTCTTTCTCAGAGTCACCGTGTAACTCTTGCTACCTTCAGTCGTTCGTCGATGACCGCCGATGAGCTTAGCTACCGGGTTGGTGTGCTGTCAAGTCCTGTTCCTGTAGAAGAGGTCATTCTTCAAGTCAGGCAGCGCTGTTCTCTACCACACCATGGGGCCATGAGGTTAGGTAATGGTGGAGATCAGAGGAGAGGTAGGGAGAAGTCACCTGGAGTATATTATCCGAAGTCTACGCCAGTACCTGCCTGCCATCTTTATATACGAGAGTCCCACTTACACTGTCACCAACTCCTCCCAGATGAGAAACATTGAGTTAGCGCAGCGGCTTGGGAGGAGCTCTGGTTGGACTCGGCAACCAAGAATCATAAGGGTTCGACTTCCTTATAAGTCAAACCAAAACCCGCATAAGCTTTTTCGCAGTCATCCACCTCTCCACGACCGGCGCGCGAGTAGGGCTGGTTGGTGAGCTTTTCGTCTTACGCTTTCTAGGTTAGTTTCTTTCTAATATTCTTTCCACAAGAGAAATTTTGACAACGTCAACGTCCTGAGCCTAATCTGGGTATATATGACTACTTTCTGTCCTCATTAGCGGCCGGTCAACGTTTTTGTTTCCCACCAGGATGAGGTAACATGTCAGCTACCCAGGTCAAGCCCTCCAGTCGTCAGTTCTTCTGTGCGCAGTGTGCAGTGTGCAGTGTGTTGTTGACATCCAAGTTAAGCAGACGAACAAGCCGCTGAAATTCATCGAAGCAAGACAGGATATGATGCTATGCATCTCTCCTTGGGCTCCTCGTCCCTGAGTTCGTTCAACGGTGCCGTTTCCCACTCTCCATCGAATTATCGTCTTCGCCCTCTTCATCAGTTGACATGCAAGCCATTTTACTCTAAGGACGGTACAATGTGCGCAGAAGCTGGCCACTCCAGCCTCCATCACTCGATGGCATGGGCGACGAAGAATATCAAACTGAGGATATGCTACCGAGGGCCCCAGACAGCTGGGAAACTGCCCGCTAAAGCAAGAAGCGTGTCTTCACGGATCACTAACCCCTCCCAAGGTCAGCTCTGGATTGGAATAAAGGGATACATCCAACATTGTTCGTCGTCGTCCAGTTCAAGTGTCGCAAGGCTCCCAGAGCCTACTGCTGTGGTTTGAGCCTGTTTTTCACCTAGGTACTGCCAGTAACTACCTTCTCCATCCCATACTTCTTTTCGACGAGAGGTTGATCCGGAGTGCAGCACCGATGAATGGGGACCTGAAGGACGGGTTACCTTGACCAGATCCAGTTTCTCAAGCTGGCCTGTCAACAAAGCTGACCGGAACCACATGCGTAATCCTTAGATGCTGTCCTCGCTCCTCTGCAGGGACTGCACACCCGGGGATTTCCCTCGCACTCTGAAACTCACCTCTAGATCACACAACCCGCCCTTCTTCACCTGACGAGATTCCGGAACTGAATCGGGTTCCCCCTTATTCCACAACCTTCAATCTCTACGCAGTACGTAATCCTTTCACAAGCCGCACGGAAGCCTCTGTGCACTCTCCGCAACTCATGTATGACAACCCGTCCGGCTTCTTCCCCAGACTTTTCCCCTAGCCCCCGACCCCAGAAGAGTCAAGACCAAACGGCAGCCGGGGTAAGTCCAGGCCACCTTCTAGTCGGTCAACCCATCAGACCCCAGGACATCAACCGGCAGTGTGAGGCCTGCCACCCATCTACATCCCCATCTACATCCCCATCTTCCTATCAAGGCTGTTACCGACACACAAAGCCTGGCTAAAAAAAAGGCCCCAGTTCACATGACGCACGCGTTAAACGGCTGAAACTAAACCTAGACTTGTCCACCAAGGTTATGGCATGTATGTTGTGCATCAAGTAGAACCTTGCCCCATCCCACGCCCCGCCGTACAACTCCAATCCGTCTATGATGTCTGTAGGTATGGTAGGTATGGACTTGTATTGTACCAGACACGGGATACCTTCTACCCCCGTCCGCTCCCAGTCATAACATTCATCGACTTCTCCATGGAAACCACTTACACATAGTACATACTCTCTTTGAAACTATGCCTTCTGAGAGCTGACTGAGAAAGGAAACAGCGGAGGCATCCCCTTCCGTGACTCCGTTTTTCCTCTTTGCATGGATCTGTCTGCCTGACTGTATGTGCGTTTGTGTATGTGACAAAGAAGTTTGCGTGCCACAAGGCCGCGAACCAAACCTGCCCCGCCCACCCTCCATGCCGCGATGGGGTATGCCGCCCATGGGGTGGTATGGTATGCCATGCACGACATGCACGGCATGTGATTTGTGAATGTGGGCGTGTCCGACTTCGGCGATCTGGCGCCGTTGCGGTAGTTGCGGTACATCCGTTGCCTGATCATACTTTTTTTTACCTCCCTGCAGACGTTGGGGGAGGGGAGAGACTTGAGTGAGGTGAGGCGAGGAGTTCGGTTTCCCGGCAGGCAGGCAGGTTAACAAACAGCCCATGGTGGCGGCGGGGTTGATGGAAGAGGAAATTCATCAACAGTTTCAGTTTTCGATCATAGTGCGTGTCGAGATGAACATGATAACGGATCGGAGAGTAGGCAGCGGCCCCGTGATGGCGAAACAGAGGGATAACTGCTCAGATCCAAACCCCTCTTCTTCTCGCTCCTCCCGCCTCCGTTCTGGCTTCCTGTTTGCTACCACCCGGACGGATTACCCCGCGGGCTCGCAGAAGAAAGGACCCTGAAACGGTCCCTACTAGGATGACCCGGGCCCTTCCCATGCAGTCCCGAAGCAGCACCAACCGGCCCGGAGTCGTTGTCAGAGGATTGAAAAAATAGAGTGGGCCAACAGTCCATGCAAGCCGGCGGCGCTGCTTTAAGGCTAATGCAATGCATGTGCATTCCTCATAATCCAAGACATCCCATCGCTCTTACTCCATCCACTGCCTTGCTTGAGACTCTGCCGCAAGACATGCATTTGCATGCAGTGACGGCCGCAACGAGACGAGATGAGCGGTGAGGGAGGAGAGAAAGGGAAAATCTTGGTGTTTTCGCGAGAAAGTCGACTCGAGCCGATGAACCGACCGAGGCGGTGCGACGTCTTGGCTCTCTCTGCCCCGCATCAACTGAAGATCGACCTCGCTCGCTTGTGGGTGTTTCGTCGTCCGTGCAGGAAATCGAGAGGGTGGGGGTTCCTACTGGTGTGCCGTGATGCCGGGGGGAAGGGATCCCGGCGAGGGAGGTCAAATCACCGAATGAGACGACCCGGGAACTTCCAAACTGGGCAGGCCGGCCAAGACCCGGGACTCTTCGGCTGGCATCACGGCTGGGACAAAATCAAGCGGCGTCGACGCACCTTGTGGCTTTCTTGCTCAGTGTACCCACGCGGTATCTCGCAGTTGGATGTCATTCTCGTGGGCACGCCTGTGCTGTGATCCATCGGACCGTGGGTACGTCATTGCGCAAGTCCTTGGATGAGAGACGTTCAGCGGGCGTTTGTTACCAGTCTCGCCAGTTTCCACAACCGCGCAGAGCAGCGGTGGGGTCGCCGGCAGCAGGTGTGATCGCAACACGGCCTCATTGGACTCGAAGATCCGATGAAACGACGTTCACGGATGGCGTTGAGCGGGCACTGTTGATCTGCTTCAAGAATCAGGACATTCCCTTGGGAAAATCAGCGCGGTCGCAGCTGTGGGTCGCGGGGACAGGGGTTGGCTTTTGGATCTGCTCTCTCGTCGCTCGGGATTCGACTGGAGATGCAGCATCTTGAAGATCTTCGACGCCGAGCTGTGCGACTTGACGACAGTGGCGACACAATGTCTCTGACAGGTCTCAGACAGTGCAAGCCGTCTGCTTCCAGCGGAGAATAGTCGTTTTTTTCTAAGACAGATTTTGAGTGCGTTAACCCCGGTTACCCATGTTCGCGGGGACTATCGCCGAGGATCTGCATCTGAGATCCCGTTCTTTCTGCCTTGTTGTGGTTGCTTGGAGGGGTTGAATCCAACCACCTCTGCACAAACGTGCAAACACGAAAGCCCGGCCAAGAATAAGGTAGCTGGGCAGTCGTCCCGGCATGCAGCCATGTAGAGTACATTCCTCGCGTCTCCTTGCTAAGGAAGCGGTGAAGCTGCAATACGCCGTTCGATGACAAGCCACTTATCGTTCCGCATTCACCGTCAGACAGCGAGGTCGTTATTGCGGGGTTCGAGTGTCCTGAGAGCACCCTGTGCGACTTGCATGGTTCGCTCTACAGATGTCTCCCATAGCCTGGAGGCTATGTGAACTCGAAAGACCTCGACATATAGTGCTCCACAAAACAATGCAGTGAACATCCGACGGGAAATATTGGACTGCAGTCTTAGAAGTCATGAGATATTGTTCAAGTTGCATATGATTCGGCCCAGAAGGTGAATCTGGTGGGCCGAAAATCTTCACCTTGCCAAGCCTGCAAGAGAGAGATGTTGCTGCGTGGTTGCAGGGCCATGCCAGGCTTGCCGCTTGGTTGAAAGCCGAATGATATCCCACTCACGCACCCTTCCCAATCAGAAAGCACCCGGGACGTGGGATGCGAAGAGAATGACATAATGGCGTCGCTTGCGACAGGTCGCAAGGCGGGCACTACGTGTGTCGCATAAGTTGGTCTCAAACAAGTGACGCTCGAATATTTCTTCGGCTCCCGGGTGATTCACCTACGACCGAGAGTCATCCTTGCCGTCCGACAGTCAGTGCATTGTCCATGCAGTCAGTGCAGTCGGTGCGGTCCTGGAGAGGTTGATAATGTGGTCGCGGGGCGCCATAGTAATGCGGGAATAGCAAAAGGAGAGCGTCTTTTTTGCGCTGTACTCCGTAGAAGACGTGCGTTTGCCGGCGCTGGAGATTTGTAGATAGCGAATCGAGTGCCTTTTGGAGTGTTGGACGACCCTTGTCAAATATCGATCACCAGGGTCCAATGACTTCCGGCCGGGATCACGGCACCCCAGTGATGTGCCACCCGAGCCGCACATCGCGTAACTCATAGCAGCACAGCTTGAAGCTGATCGATGTCCCCGAGTAACGTGATGGCAACCTGTGAGTGGTTCGACGTAATGCGGATATCGCCTCTGGTGAGCTCGAGAATTGTTGAGCAGGCGATTGCGCAGCCTCCATGCATGCACAGATGCGGCGGGCTGACGGGAAGACCCTGAAATCTGAGTGGATGTCTCTAATCTGTACTCGTCGCATAATGGGATAATCACCGGTTTCCCGGGTTAAAAGTAAACAAGGTATGGAGTCAGGACGAGGAAGACGTGGACGAGACAACCCGTGACAGCATCATGCCTGCCGCGGATGACGCGGTATGTTGAGGACGCGAGGTCCCGTCTTCGAAAATCCGAAAGGAAGGGGGGCCGTTAGCTTGTCTCCCAAGCAGGTGTTCGATTTCAAGTTGTTGATCCACCGCGCATCTCAGCTGGCACTCAGCTCCGTACAGTGCGATTACGGTACGGGGTACGTTGAAGGTGCCCAGCCCAGGCTCGCACCTGATGAACCGTGTCGTCCGTATCAGCTCGCCAGCTCCCTCTATTCCGCTGACGAACAACATCCGATGTTTTTTGATGGTGTATAACACCGATCCGCAGCACTTGGACAGACGGCTGAGACATGCAGCGTCCTGCCGGACAAGACATGCGAGGATCTGTACTCACTTCTCGCTGTGCGTGGTCGCCGGTCGACACGATTGGTTCCAGCTGCAGTGAGGCGGCAGGCTTGGGACGCTCATGCGCAAGCCGACTGGTAGAATCTTCCATGTGCATCTCATCAGCTCCTGTTTCGTCGGCGGAGGATACAATACAAGTGGTAGGTTGCCGGATGATCCATGTTCACTTCGAATCGGTGTCTGTATGGTGATACGCATATGTGTTCGGAGGGAGTCGGTGGGCTTCCGCTCCAAGGACTGGATGTTACCAAGGGCCGCGCACATTTTGATCGCTGGCTTTCCAGCTGCACGTCAAGGGTGGTAGGTATATCATAACCTTTGAGAACCTCGGCCGTGATTGATGTCCAGGTCGTAGGATTGTCACCAGCGATCTGGACGATAAGAGGACCATCACGACCAGAGAAGCCGACCAAGGCTGAACAGTGCGGCGGTTGAACTGGCCGGGCAGGTGCGGGATGTGGGAAATTGCTCTCGCTCCAGTTTCCAGGATTGCTGTCGCTGACCCCGCCTAATGCATGGTCTCCATGCCACTCCAGGCAAGTGGCGCCGCCTAGGTAGCCTTGCATCTAGCGAGACCCCCTTGTCGCTGCTGGCTCAATTTTGGACCCCCATGCAGAGCGATCCATATTTTAATTTGGCGGTTACCTCCCGGGCCCCTCACCACCAAAAGGACCCTTCATTTTCCTTTTCTTTCCTCTTCCGTCGCGACGGAAAGACGCTGCTCTCATCGGCGCGTCGAGAGTGCGAGCGAGAGCACGGGAAGACTTTCTTCCTTAGCGCCATCTCGCTGCCCGGCTCCTCCTCACCCACACCCTCGCCTCACCGTGGTCGCCTCAATTGTGTTGCTCTGGCACGTTCTGCGGACAACGTCTCAGTCACGAGTTCCGAGTAAACACTCCGAGCTGGGATTCGGCCCTAGGTCGCCCACTGGTGACTTATCTCCGAGTGTGCACTGGTAAGTGTCTGGTGTCTCCTTTCTCTTTTAGTTTGCTTGTGCCCAGCCTGCCCACGAGGGACATCGCCCACGGTCCAATACTTCAGTGCCGCAGCGTTGGTGGTTGTCCGGTAATATGTCACCAAGGGGTTTGTTGATTACTTCGTCCGGTGATTTGCCCGCCAGTTCCAGCGGGCCTTGGCCTTCACCTTGCGCCCTTCTGTGTGCACGCGCGTGACTCCTTGGGTCCATTCTTCAATCGCCTACCCGTTGCTGGGCCCGCCACGGAAGCGCCAACAGAGGCAGTTGTGGCCTCGAGATGGGCCTTTGAGCACCGAATGTTCGCTGGAAGGAATGGCGGGGATTTGCTCTGGCGACACCCCTTCAGTCCCAAGGTTGGCCTTGAAACCGGCTTTTCGTCTCGAGACCTTGGGCCGCGCCGCCGACCACGAGAACGACCGCACCCGATGACCCGGCCCTGGCTGCATCTCCGAGCCTCTCTATCCTGCCGAAAACCCTGTTTCCGCACCGCCAACCCGTTGGAGCCTTAAGACCCTGAGACGCACCGCTTGCCATCCCCTCAACCGATTGCTTCCGGATATACGACCTTCTGCGACTCTGGCCGAGCCCTGGACCGCGCCCGCCAGCCACAGCAACGTCTTCAACCCTCCCGCCTCGCCAATCGACGCCTTCCACCGGCCAGGAAAACCCCGCTGGTTACTGGCTGGCCCACTCTGCCTTATTATCGGCCACACATTCACCAGGCTTTCTGAGCAGATTGACGAAACCGCCGAACTGACATATGACCCTGATCAGGCTGCCGTCCGCCCATTGCCACGACACGTCCGTTGCCGCCGCCGGAGACGCGATAACGATATCAAGTCACTTATAAACGTTTGGTCGAACACGAGATTGAGCTCGCTCCACCGCCCCATAGCCTCGAGGCACCGCAGCCATCCGCTCCTTTGAATATCAGAGTCCCATGTATTCCAATCCATAATAACAAGATGGACTCGGAAGACGGGGAGTTTTTCATTAAAGTATGTTTGTTGCCGCTGTCCAGCAGCCCCACGGCGCCATGCATGTAGCAGCGCTGACGGGTTCGTCTTCCAAACAGCAACTTGCCGGCTTTGTGCGGACGCACGAAAAGGCCCTTGCAAACGCGCTTCAATTCAAGAGACAAAACCCCCCCCGACATGGAGCGTCGCAAAGCGTATCGTCCATCTCCACAGGACATGTGCCGCCCTCCCCATCTGTACCAGAAAGACCTTCAACATCTGCGTCGACGTCGAGCACACTTGCTGCTGCCCTCTCCCTCGGAACCCTCAGCTTCACATCCCACAGCGTCAAGTCGGCAAAGTTGGCACTCACCCCCCATCATCTGTTCTACTTGCTTTCTCGCTTCGAAGATTTAGGGGTTCCCGTCGGTCCGATGAAGGTTCGCCTCGAAAACCTGCACGACAGCACCACCTCGGCCAACTATGTGTCGTTTCTTGGCCAGTCGCAACGTTCCAAAAGCCACGGCTCCGATGTCGGATCGATCCGTTCCGTGTCGAGCATCCGGAGTGTCATGTCTACCATGTCTGCGTTGTGGTCGAGCTTCGGGATCGGCTCGAGCATATCCGCCGCCCGGACAGAGAGGCAAAAAGCTCAGGTTCAGGCCGACCTGAAGTATCTGTACTCCGCCTTCACCAAGATCCCCTGCCTAAGACTGGCGCCGGACTGGCGTGCGCGGCTCATCAAAGGTTACGAAGAGTTTCCATTTGACTCGGCCGTGCCGCTGTATGTTTTCAAGAACGTGCAAGCGCTCGAAATTAGTGACATCGACTTTCGGCAGTTCTTCGGGTGGGACAGGCTCTCGGAGCAGCTCCGATCTCTTGCGCTCAAGCGTGCCAGTATCGACGACCCTGCAGATATTCTGATCGATATCGTATTGGATGACATGGACAAAAGACGTCGGCGAACATCAAAGAGCCACGCATCGCCCACCAGACAATGGCCTGGGCCTGCCAGTCCTCGGAGAAGCCCGACAATGTCCAACAGTGATCTTCCCAAGTCCGCCCCAATTCCAGGCACACCGGGTCCGCGGAAGTCGACAATGGACCTGCAGGTTGGATCACTCAATAGCGATGCTGGGGCTGACCAGGATGGGTCTAGTGGAGTGGATAGCAGGCGACCATCCATCGCGAGGGCCGACAGTGATGAACCTCATTCACCCCCCAAGGACGACACCCGGACGCGGAGCCACTCTCCCCGGCGACCAGGAAGCTCCCGGAACCCATCGGCCACCGTTCGGGGACCCTACAAGATCCGAAGGTCCGGGTCTGGGAGTTCTCACTCGAGCCTCTCGGATTCCTGGCATAACTCCCGGGGAAGCTCTTCGAACATCCTGCCCATGGGCATTCTTCCGACTTCCAAGTGGCGCTTCCTCAAGCACCTAAGCTTGGCAGACAACTCGCTCACTGCGATTCCTGCAGCGAGTCTGATTCCCCTTGCCAATACTCTGAACTCCCTGGACCTTTCTTCCAACCTGTTCACGCAGATCCCCGATAGCCTGGCAACCCTCACCGCACTCCGTGCTCTTAATCTTGCGCATTGCATGATAGACTCTCTGCACTCGCTCACGCGAAATCCGCTGCCAGCGATAACCGCTCTGAATTTGCGAGCCAACCGCCTACAATCTATTGCAGGCGTCGAGAAGCTCCTGCCCCTGGAGCGGCTTGATCTTCGAGACAACCGTCTCACTGACCCCATGGAACTAGCTCGGTTGACGGGAATTCCGGAAATTCGCGAGATCTGGGTAGAGGGGAACCCTTTCACACGTACCCACCGTGACTATCGCATCACAATCTTCAACTTATTCCGCCAGACACCCGGGTACACTGAAGACATCACCATTGACACTAGCGGGCCCACGTCCGCCGAGAAGCGATATTTGGTGGACCGCGCAGAGGTGCCGCCTGCCGTTCCGGTGATTAAACCTGAGCCCCCAGAGATCCCCGCTGTTGATGTTAGCCGGCCAGCCATAATCTATGATGCGCCTCCCAAGGAACCTACCGTGCTTCGAAAGGAAAGGCCTGTACCCAAAGCAACCTCCGGCGAAGTCAGCACCAGCTCAACACGGCGCCGCAGGGCGCCAAAGCGCCGCATAGTTGACCTCGCTACTACGGACAGCCCTATCCCCTATGCGCGCCCTGTCGACCGCCATACAACGCCTATCAAAACTGCTGGGGCCTCCAATAACTATTACCGAACCTCGCAGCCACCTGAGGCACCTGAACCTCTTCGCAATTCCCTGGCGGAGAGCCCCCTTCCAAACCCGGCGGACGGAGGACCTCGACAAGTTCCCAGAATTGAGACCAACCTGTCACCCCAGCTGCCTTCAATCTTTGGCTCACCAGAAAACAACGCTGACTGGGATGTGGGTGGCGAGCTCTACCGCAAGAAGATTGAGGATCTCCGTCACAAAGTGGGCAACGGTTATCTGAGCGTTCTTAGCGAGGAGGGCTGGGATTCAAGTTCCCGTTCCCCGGAGTACCGCCAGGCAGCCGACTTTGGCGCGGCTTCTTCGCCATCGATCCATTCCGACCCATCGATGCCCCGAGCGAACATGCAAGCAATTTCCAGTGGTGGGACTCTCTGAGGAGCAAGGAGTCACTGGAACATTCAAAATTTTGATACCCCTTTTCCATGTAATGGTCGGTCTCCCGGAGGCGGACCAAACCATACCACACCACACCACACCACACCGCAACATAGAGACACCTACCATACGGCTCACCGTGGTGGAGCCGACGATTGTTTTGATTGCGTTGGCTTGGTTTACTTGGCTTTGGCTGGGCGGGGCTGGAAGGGAACCAAGCCTGAGATACCGGACGGTAACGGAATGGATTGCGCTGGATCAGAAATACCCAGTACTTATCTATACCCATACCCCTCTTCTGTTGCGCAGTTTCTGTTTCGATTTTGCATTGTCGGACTGGGCTTACTTATTTCTGTTTCATGTTTCCCATTTCGTTTCTCTGTTGTTATTCCTTATTTGCATTTGAAGATGTGGCACGGGAGCTTACTATTTGCATGCATGCATTGCATACCTGGCGTTTTGGGGGCGGTTGGGACTGATGGTTTATTGATTTGGTTGGTGGGAGAGGGTAAGACTGATGGATGGCGTTTTTTTTCTGTTTGGTTCCTGGTTTGGTTTGGTTGTGCGGGACACATCTGTTTGTTTCTTACATGTTGTTGTGCTGTTGTCGATGGGGATGAGGAGAGTCTTGGGTCTCTTCCTCCTTGGCTGATAATACCCACATGCCTCGCTTGCTCCCGTCCAGAGTTCGTTTAAAGATAAGGGTCTGGATGATGGAGGAGAGACTGTTTCCTGTTTGGTCGGTATGGAGGCGGTTTTGGTGTACGAAAAAAACGGTGTGTTGAGTCAAATGGTTGCGTGTGGCGGGTTATACAAAGAGAGAACCAGAGAAGAGGTGAAGACGGCAATTGAGAGCGAGCATACGATGGTATGAAGTTACATTTGAAAGGGATTGATTCTTCCAATGTGTGCCTTGCTCAATGTCAATATGTTACATGGTGCTGGTGTTGCTGCGTCTGGCTATTGGTGACCTGCTCTCTTGAAAGGATGTTTTTGACCGTTGCTGGTTTTTCACTTGCCCTTTTCCCTGATCACTCTGCCATCTTGGTGGCCTATATCGCCTATATTGGAGAGTCAAGCTGTATTTCGAGCGGTGCGGCTGCGCGTGTGTGTGTTGTTGTTATCCATCCCTTGTCCATGGCTTGGGAGACAGGCAATGGAAGCTGAATCAGGGTTTGTGTGTGGAACCCCTAGTGATCTACTAGCGAGCGACTTATAGCAGCTGCCTGCATGGTCAAGATGGATCGGCAGAATATATTTCGCATTGCTGTGCGTTCCTCTGGGCTGTCTGGTAGATAGGTAAGGAAACTGTTGTTGCTGTCCGCCTCTATCCCTCTGGCTGTTTCAAACCACACCCTGAAAAAGAGCCGGCCTGGCAAGCTGGGGAAGTAGTTGGATTGGGACATGTCACTGGTCTTTCGTGGCCGACTGCTTCCATGCCAGGGATGTGCTGAATCCTGCAAAGAACCTTCCATGCTCTTCACCCGTTTAACGAATTCATACCTCGTACCTCGTACTGCGTCAGTGGGATACAAAGTTCCGACGTGTCGTTCTCGCTGTGCTTGCTTGTTATGCTACTTCCTTTTTATCCTTTCTTTTCCTTGTTCTCCTTTTACTTTTTTATTTTGTTGACTTGGTCAGTGAATGATTTGAACTTCGGGGGAGTGGAAGTGAAATAGATCGGCAGAGCTACCTTGGCCGTGATCGCTCAAGGGCATCACATCTATTTAGATTGCATGCGGTGATGCTGCAGGTGTTGGGCGACGGAGGGAAGAAACGAGTCGTTGAGGGTAAAAAAGACAGCTGTGAACATTCCCTGAGGTGTCTGGTCGAGATGTGCCCGTGCCTTTTGCTGAACAGGAAAGTCTCGTTTGGCCCTCGCACCAACATGCAGTGGCTTATATCTGAGTGGTCTCCTGCATGTTCATAGAAGGTCCCGATCTACAAGAGTAGGTAGGCACTTAGCAGACGACCTTGTCTCACTCTTGCAAGATTCGGATGGGCAATAATGTATCGTAGAAGGGAGTCTGTGTGGCAGAGCGGGTGAAAGGTCCAGCATCAATCCTGGTTCTCGTGTCAGTCGTCGTACCCTCCGCTGTGGCTTGATGGAATGCATGACCATGCGCCATTATTCAATTGTCCAGCAGGATACGTGGGCACGAGCGCATGGATGGAAAAGAGTTTGCGGACTTCGGAATGGCGCGTGACGTGATGAGAGAAGACCTATTAAGCGCCAGGGGTCATAAGAGATGGAGCACTGGTCTGTCTGCTGGAATGCGCTCCGTGTCTGATTGGCCTGTCGCATATGGCTCTTCAATATGGAACCGCAATGGAAAGGAAAGTGGAACAATAAAGTTGGGGATGGTGTGCCAAGGCTCGCCAGAACGGCAACCACGTCATTGGGGTTGCTGCAGGGTCGGAAGATCAGACGGAATTCAGCCCTATGAGATGCTCGGCGGCGACCGTGAAGTGCAGGTGGTTGATGCATGGATTTGTCATTAAATTCACAGTTGGCATGATCTACACATGAACTCAAAGCACAACTGAGATAGATGATGGTGATTCTACTGATCTGCATCGAAAAGGTTCAAGAAGCGGTGCTAACCCCTCGCCTTGTGCGTGAAGCTCCGCCTGTGCGTGGGGCTCGGGCCCCCACGAGATGAACTGCATAGGTACTCCATACTCCGTACTCCGTCATTCTCAACGTCTGATTGTTGGCTGTCAACAGTCAACAGCAGGGCTGCGAAGTATGCTAGAAGGAGAGTGATTTGGCGGCCAATTGGGGAAATCAGTCTTCTCCTTCAGCTTTTTCTGAGCCCACAAATGCAAATCCACTTGCAAAGCACCACAAAGAAGCTCGGCGCGACCGTCACCTGCTCACCTCACGACATCACGTTCATCATTTTGTCGCACTGGCAACTTGAACTTGCATGTGAGCCAGCCCCTGCATGCCGCACGGATCTACTCCTATTTGCAGCTCAGTTACGTAAGCCATCTATCCTGCAAAGAGTGAAGACGCCCACTCCACCAGGCTGCTTCGGCACGCTGATTGGTCCGGCCCAGACCACGGCCTCGCGTTTTGGAGAACGTCACGTCTTCCCAAGCGCTGGACCGCGCCCAGTATCCCGCATCACCAGCCATCACAACGAGCAATTATCTGGCTCTTGGGCACACGGCTGCATCTGGCAAGGCATTCTTATCCATTTCTCGCAAATGTTAGAGAATAGCCGCGCCCAGCCCCGAGTGACGCTCACCTAGCAGCTCCCCCGGGTTCCGCGCTGACAAGCCCCCTTTTCCTGGACAGCCCCTTCAATACCGCCTCTATATCGAGTCTCGATCTTCGACTACACCTTTCCATACAAGTCGCCGGTTATGGCTCCGGCTCCGTCAACCCCGAGGCACACAGCACGAGGCCGGCCTCGGGGGCGTCCCAAGGGACCCGGCTCTGTAAGCGCGTCCCGCTCCAAGCGCATCGCTCCCGACGGCCCAGCCACTGAACCGCCTCCCAAAAAGCGTCGGTACATTCCAGGTGGCCCTGGCGGTGGCGGGCGCTTTGTGGACGAGGACGGCACCGAGATTCCCGCCGAGTCGCACGGCCCCTCCACGACCGTGTCCCGACCCCGGCTCGCTGCCGCGACTCAAGCACAGGCTACTCCGAGCGTGTATCCACCACGAAGAGAGCCCAGCAGGCGCATTCGGACAGCTGTTAACCGAGACGAACGAGACGATATGCAGTACAGCTCCGCGGCAGCCGTAGCCGCAGCCGTCGTGCAGAGTGAAGGGTACAAGCCACGCGAGGAGCGCGGATGGGAGGAGTTTCACCCGAATCTCGACATCGAAGCAACCTTCATGGTATACCAGGCCGATGAAGTAGACGGAGTCATCAGATCTGTCCCACCCACTCCGGCCGTCCACGCCTCCGGCACGCTCATGAACGGCGGAGGGACCCCAACCAAAGAGGCAAACCCCGGTCTCGCCAACGGTGAAAACGGAACACCAAGCGGGCAGGGCAAGCCTTTCATCGGCGGATCGCTTGTAGATACACCAAGCAGGCGCCGTGTTGGCAGGCCGGCTCGAGAGTCGTTCTCGCTGTACGCCACTAGGACCCTCGACTCTGGCCCGAAGGTTCCCAAAGTCCTCCCCATCTCGGGCCAGACCTCCAAAGAGCGTCTCGACTTGAAGGCACCTCAGTACCGCAGGACGAACCGCATCGCATTGTTCGAGAGCAAGACGTTTGGTCAAGCAAGGTATGTCGACAAGTCGATGATGAATGTCGGCTATCAAGAGAGCGACAACTTCATTCGGCCGGACCGCAACCTGATCAAGGCGACGGATGCGAATATGGAGGAGGATGCCGAACTGTGTGGTGCTGCGGGGAAAGCCGATGGCGATGCGGTCCAGCACCCAGCGGGCGTCGTGGGTCGCGTGGAGTACGACATGGACGAGCAGGACGACATGTGGCTCGAAAAGCTCAACGCGCAGCGCAAGGCGGCCGACCTGGACCCGATAACCCGCGAGATCTTTGAAATCACGATAACCAAGATTGAAAAGGAGTGGCATGCCCTCGAAAAGAGGATACCAAAACCGAACCCGAAGCCGCCGCAGACCCATCGACCGCGCTCAAGTTCAGCGGCGGCAGTCAACGGCGAGCCGCAGGCTGGCGAGGAGCAGGACAGCAAATGCGCCATCTGCGACGACGGCGACTGCGAGAACACTAACGCCATTGTCTTTTGTGATGGCTGCGACCTTGCCGTCCATCAAGAGTGCTATGGGGTGCCATTCATTCCTGAGGGACAATGGCTATGTCGCAAGTGCCAGCTTATTGGGCGCGGTATTCCGGTAAGTTTGGTAGTCCGAAGGTTGGAAATATGGATGGTACTAACATTATCGATGCAGACTTGCATTTTCTGTCCAAATACCGACGGGGCGTTCAAGCAGACGAACTCGTCCAAATGGGCTCATCTGCTGTGCGCCATGTGGATCCCCGAGGTGTCCCTAGGCAACCATACCTTCATGGAGCCTGTCATGGAGGTGGAAAAAGTGCCCAAGACGAGGTGGAGGTTGACGTGCTACATCTGCAGCCAGCGGATGGGCGCCTGCATCCAGTGTTCTAACAAAAACTGCTACCAGGCCTTCCATGTGACGTGTGCCCGCCGGTGCCGGCTCTTCCTTAAGATGAAGAACAACCAGGGGGCCCTTGCGGTGCTGGATGGCTCTCCCCCGCTGAAGGCCTTCTGCGACAAGCACTGCCCCGAGAACTACGCCGAGGAAAACGGTGTGGCCCGGGCCACCAAGGAAGCAAAGCGCTTCTACAAGCGCACCATGAAAAACCGCATCTGGGCCGACAGCCAAGCCTCGGCCTTGCAGCTGGCCGCCGCCCACCGCAACGCCATAACAGAGCACCCGCCCGACGAATCCCAACTTACCGGCGCAAAGGTTTCGGCTGTGCTCGCAGATAAAAAAAAGGGACAACCACCCAAAAACGTCTGGAAACTACCGTCGGGCGCACCCGTCATCCCGCAGGCGGTTTACGACCTGGTCGAGAGCGCTCTCGCACGGTTTCCGATTCGCAAACGCAAGGACTTTGTGGGCGAGGCCTGCAAATACTGGACCCTCAAACGCGAGGCACGCCGCGGCGCCGCCTTGCTCAAGCGACTGCAGCTGCAAATGGAGACGTTTACATCCATGGAGTTGACGCGTCGCGACTTCGCCGCCATGGGCTCCTCGGGCAGGGCGCGGCTCGACAGGAGAATCGAGTTCGCACGCATGCTCGAGGACGATCTGGCCAAGCTCAAGGAGCTATGCGAACTGGTCCGGCAGCGCGAGGCTATCAAGCTCGAGCTGGCCGAGATTGAGGCCGACATGATCCATACGTGCTATTTCCCCATCGCCAAGGAGCTGCGGCCGATTCTTGATAAGGCCATTTTGTATGTTTCTGTCTGGCTACTGATTGATCAAGAACTGTCGCTGACATACTCCAGCCTCGACAAGAACGTTTTCAAGGAGGGTTTCCAGCAGATGCAGAACCGCATGGATAAGCTTCACTATGTCACCGCCATACCTTTTGCCCGCGATCTTTGCCAGGTTATCCATGTGGGAATCAACAAGCCCCCGGCAGCCCAAGAATACCGGGCAGAGCCTGTCGAGACCACCCCCAGCAAATACAACAACTTTGCAGAGATCGGCGCCCGCAAGCGCTTAGGCAAGCGAATCCTGAAGCTGCTTCAGCCGCACCTGGAAGATACGCTGAAAGCCGAGACGGAAATCACCCGTCAGCCGTATGAGCCGCTCCACAAGATCCTCGAAGCTATGCTTGAGGCGAGCGTCGAGGTGCGCCCGCAGCCGGCGACCAGTATCATGGTCTCGGACGCAGCACTCAGCCAGGATCAAGACGTTGACATGACGGATGCGCCCGCCGAGGGCCAGATCATCGTCGCCGACCACAGCGAGGGCGTCAAAGACGCCGAGGCCGAGCTTGACGGAGCCCTGGATGACACCAACATTGAAGTCGGCGGCGGCTACGAGCACGACGAAATAACACCGAAACCCAACGGCGTCCTCTCCACCGCGCAATCCGTTTCGGACGAGCCGCACCTCACAAACGGCTTCTTCACCAACACAACCTCCAAACCGTCCACCGCTCCCGCCTCCCAGGCTTCCTTGCCCGGCGCTAGCTACACCACTCACTTCTCTTCTCGTCCTGATCAACATACCCTTAACAATAACACTGGCGGCGAAGATACCGGCCCGCTAACCCCGCCGCGATCCAACACCGGCTCTGCGTCCGCTGCTTCTTTTACCATGACGGTTCCCAATAACAATAACAACCCCATCATCACTGTAACCAATGCCACCACCCCGCCGGCAGCAGCAGCAGCAGCAAATGCCCCAGCATCGTCGTCGACAACAGCGCACAACCCGCTCACAGACGGCGGCATCATGTGGTATCTGGCGGATTTCCAGCTGGTTGGTACCACGGCCGTGGATCCTGATGGTGTTGTTAGTGATGATGATGCTGATGATGGTAATGGGGAGGGGGAAGATGGTGATGGTGATGGTGATGAGAAATGGACTCACGGGCGCGAGGCGGCGCTACGGAGTCTGAGCGAGGAGCTGACTGATTTAGATGACGAGGCGTTGAGGGATTTGGGGGTTGGGGTTGATGTTGATGTTACTGTTGAGGCGGATGCTCATGCTGGTGGTGATGAGGGAAAGGTGGGAGATGATGGTGATGATGCTGATGATGCAGGGGGGGACGATGTGGTGATGGGAGATGGGATTGATGATGATAGGTTGGATGACGAGGCGGATGAGATGACCATCACTTTTGCCGGGGATGGGGCCTCGAATGCGGACGGGAACGGTGCCGAGGCTTCTCGTCCTGACGGTGTTGTCAATCGTCGGGATGCTGCTACTGCGATTGCTGCTGCTGCTGCTGCTGGTAGTGGCGGTGGGAACGCCCAGCAGAATGGAAGCCCCGCGGTGGCGAAGAAGGCGCAGACGGTGGTAGCCGGCTCCGGCGGCGGCGCCGGCGGCAGCCCGCGGAAGAGGACGCGCAGCGAGGTGGCTGCGGCTGCGGCGGCGAGTGGGAGGGGGAGGTTTTCGCTGCGGAGTCGCAGCGCTGCGCGGAGGAAGTAATGTCCTTTCCTTGGCTTTTGTTGTCTGGTTTGGAGTGCGGAAGTTAGGGAGAGGGTGGGTGTATTATTATTGAGGAGTTCTGCTTGTTTATGGGGTTAGGGAAGCCTGGGAGTTGCCCTTTGCCGGCTGCGATGAAGCTGCGGTTTGGTTGCTTCCGCTCGGTTTGTCTCCTTGGTTGGATGGTCAGCTACCTCGCCCTTCGCCTTCGCTTCCGACATTGCGGCTACGATTTCGCGAGTCTTTTTTTTGTTTGACTCTTCCTGTTTTGATCGGCTCATTTTTCCGGCTTGCGGTCGACACACAGCAGCCCCGAGACTATATATCAACCGGGCTTCTTCGAAGACTGAGTCACATACCAAGGAATACCGGGACGGCCTTACAGGCATTGCCAGCCGTTCTACTTCTTGGGGTTGATCACCGGCTTTATCGTCCATTCTGCCCCTCGTTGCGCTGGCTTCATTCTTCGATTCCCCGTTTCGCATTCTAGGCTTTTCGCTTCTTTTCCAACAGGGTTTAAACAGCAAGGACGGATAGCTGGACGGATTCCAGCAACAGGGTGGACTGGTCTGCTAAGGACGGATTGAGGATGGGACGGGCAGAGATGAGTTGTGCAATTATTCATTGTTGAGATTCTCTGTTAGGTTTTACATCAGATGTATGGAGTCGAGGGCGTCTGAGGTATCGATCGGACGGGCATTGCGCTTTTTTCCTGCGGGATCGCAGTACAGGTCTTATGGAGCATAGTCATTTGAAGGACGAGATTCGATTGTTAGAAGATACCTTGTTGTTGATATTACCAGCATTGTGCGCTCCTGCCTGGTTCAAAGTTTGCCACTTCGTCTGCGTGTGTATACGTGACGAAATGTGTATGGATCACAGTCATCGAATGGCAGATATGCCTCGGATGGTAGATTTGAGGGTCACCTGAAGACTGCCCTGGTGCTTAAAGAGGCAGGCAGCTCGTAACTGTATGCTGATTATTCGGGAAATTGTTGATTGTCTGCTGCCGCCCTAGTTGAACGTGGTTGCCTCAAGCAAGCAAAACACTATTGCGGAGCCTAGCCGTAACACCAAGGTCGCAGTTCTGATGAATCTAATGTTGCTCAAGGTAATATTGCGCTCTAGAGATCTCCATATATGATGTTGTTGCTCCCTTGATCAACAGCGAGGGCCTATCAGGGCTCCATTTATGACATAAGACAGGGGACAAACCACGCATCCGGAACTCGAGATTCGTGGAGGATCAGCGGCCGGGCAACTCTCAATAACGAGGCTTGTATCAGCCTGCCGTGTTGTACGGTGCGATTCACGATCTTGCCCCAGAGTTGGGTCACACTGCGCAGAATTGATCAGGTCTGGAGCGGGCCGATCATGTGACCCGAGGTATGTCTGACGCCGTTGTGTTTCATGAGGGTGAGGTTGTGTCGCTGCCGGCCTCCAATTGGTGACAATCTGGCGATGGTTAGCTGCTTATTGCTTGCGCTGCTTGCGCATGATGACAGCATCAAGGAGGGGCAGAGCTGTTGCCCCGCTTGGTTGCTGGCAAGGCAGCCGCTCGTGTTTCAACGCGGGGCAGAGACCATGCTGGCAGTTGCCGCCTCTCGTGTAAGTTTGAAAGGAAACCTGGAAGGTAATGTAGATAAGGTAGCTTTTGTCAACCAGCGATGTCTGAGATTGACAGCCGAGAGTTGTAAGTCATCACTGTTCTTTATTAGTGTCCGGACAGGCACGCCAGCATCATCTACGATGCTGGCGATAACAAGACAGACAGGTGAGTCAACCACAAAGAAGACCCACTGCCGCCCAACCGCCGAGGATCCGGCACACCGAATGCGTCGAGTGCAGCATGCAGATGGGGGAAGTTCTCGATCAGTCGCTGGGTGAAACCTCGGTCAACAAGCCAGACGGAACCTTTGAGCGAAGTCGAGCCTCCTCGGCGGAGAATGATCAAGGGATGACAAGTCCCGCCGACGAATCAGATACCTTCTCGAGAGGTCAAGGTGAGCGGCAACATCGACAAGAGCCCCAAACTTTTGACACTTCTCCCACACCACCAGGGATCGGCCCCCTGGGGCGCAGCCCAGATCCAGCGCCAAGGGGGCGTGTGGGAGCATATGGGGGTGTGTGTGAGTCCTCATTCCCGATTAACATCATCACCAACTGGCGTTGTCGCTTGCACAACTATGGAGTTGCAGCGCAGTAAGTGTGCATCTCTGCAGCCGTCCTTTTGTCAGTATGCCTAACAGCGACCACACGCCCGAGGCCACAACGGGTGAAGGGGACATGAAAACGAAGTCCCGGTGGCACCCGGCCGAGGCTGACCCCGGATGTCAAGCTGAAGGTGTTCCTGGCCGCGGTCAGACGAGGGCCATAATAAGCGGCAGCACGGGAATCGGTCAAAGCCGCTCGGAAATCGTTGTCCACACGATAATGTTAGCCTTCAACAACAGAATCTGTGTCGTGGCCGTCGTCCTCAGCTCCAGATAAGTTACCTGAATAAGGATATATGGGAAGAAAGTGTCAAGACTCGTGAACGGGCTCGGTCTTCGAGACGGTTGCCAAGGACAAAGGACAGGGAGAAGACGACGAGGGTGTCCCACTGAGGGGCCAATCGCAAGCACGCTGAAAACATTGATAACAGAGTCCAAGCAAAACTGTATGTCAGTTCGTTAGTATCTGGCTGTACCCAGCGACAGGGTCTAGCGTGGGCTGCTGCAATTTTTCGCGACGAGCAACTAGGAGAGCGGGTCCGCTCCGGCCAAGAGCGCGAGTGGTGCCTTCCGACAAACTGCGTAGCCCTGTGCAAGTGCCCCTGCTCATTACCAAACCTGCCCGGCTGTGCCGTGTTCTCCTCCAGCCTGGACTCATCAGCGACACAACTTCAATTTTTCCAGGCCCTTTGTCCTGACCTGAAGAGCAATTTCGTGCACGTAAACCACGAAACCAACGGCGACTCCAAGTCTCACCGAAAGCACCGCTTCAGTCGACATTTTATCCCCTGACGCGGAGACAGCACCTGCGAATTCCTGCCAACGGAGCGATTTGCACCCACCACCTCTCCCACCTTGCCTTCCCAGTTCCGACCGTGGCAGCCCCAACACAAACAACCTCAACTCCTCCCTTCATCGACGACCGGCCTGCAGCCCATCCCAGCGACAACGTCCACAGAGCGATCAAAACCAGCATTTTGGTTGTTGATACCCGGCGCCCTGTGATACCGACGAGATTATCCTGTCGACACAGCATCGCCTGTCTGCGGCTGCAAGTTGCCCCCAGCAATCTGCCAACACGGTGACGATAGCAAAATCGCCATCCCACACCATCCCAAAAATTTCTAGAAGCAGTCTTCTTCATTCCTGCAAGCAGCTGAGAAGACGACAAAGGGGCATTTTCACTGCGCTTTCGCCCCGACATATTCCACTCGTTGCTGCGATCACTTGTGAGCACCCAGCCAGGTAAGCTCCCACCTCCCTGCACTCACTGGGTTTTTGCGACCAGTGCCGCGCCCGAGGTCGCACGATTCCTCAAGACGGGCGCGTCCATCCAAACCACAATTCTCATGTCATCTTTTCGAACAGCGTGCTGACTTCCCTCCTTTACGGATCCAGTGCCAGAAGTGTATCTTACCCTAGTTGTTCTCGCGTCTACCTTTCTCTTCGTTTCCTTTCAGTCGCTACTGGGGATCTGCCGGTCACCACCGAGCCCCATTTTTGTTTTTCGCGCCATCGTTTCGGCAAGGAGGATTGAGGGGATTTTGCAATGGCGGACCAGCACGACGTCGACCTCGATTCCATAATCGACCGCCTTCTGGAGGTGCGGGGCAGCCGCCCAGGCAAGCAGGTCCAGCTGCTCGAGGCCGAGATCCGTTATCTCTGCACCAAGGCGCGCGAGATTTTCATTTCCCAGCCCATCCTGCTTGAGCTTGAAGCTCCTATCAAGGTGAGACATTGCTGTCGCCCCAGTCTGTCCGACGCGGATGCCTCGCGTGACCTCTTCCACTTTGGGTTCTCTGGCTAAATGCCCGTCTCTTCCATTCAGATCTGCGGCGACATCCACGGGCAATATTACGACTTGCTCCGCCTCTTCGAGTATGGTGGTTTCCCGCCCGAGGCCAACTACCTCTTCCTCGGTGACTACGTAGACCGTGGCAAGCAATCTCTTGAGACCATTTGCCTGCTGCTTGCCTACAAGATCAAGTACCCCGAGAATTTCTTCATTTTGCGGGGCAACCATGAGTGCGCGTCCATCAACCGCATTTATGGCTTCTACGACGAGTGCAAGCGTCGCTACAACATCAAGCTCTGGAAGACGTTTACCGACTGCTTCAACTGCTTGCCCATTGCCGCCATCATTGACGAGAAGATCTTCACCATGCACGGTGGTTTGAGCCCCGATCTGAACTCGATGGAGCAGATTCGTCGTGTCATGCGGCCTACTGACGTACGTGGAGCATGCCCCATTAGTCTTCTCGCTTGATTTGGCATTCAACTGACTCTGTTGACTCCTTAGATCCCTGACTGCGGGCTCCTCTGCGATCTCCTGTGGTCCGATCCGGACAAGGATATCACTGGCTGGTCCGAGAACGACCGCGGTGTCTCCTTCACCTTCGGTCCAGATGTCGTTTCCCGCTTCCTCCAAAAACACGACATGGATCTCATTTGCCGTGCCCACCAAGTCGTTGAGGATGGCTACGAGTTCTTCTCTAAGCGCCAGCTCGTGACGCTTTTCAGCGCCCCCAACTATTGTGGCGAGTTCGACAACGCCGGCGCCATGATGAGCGTGGACGAAAGTTTGCTTTGCTCTTTCCAGGTTCGTGATGCCCGGCCTTCTTCAGGCTTTGCCCAGCCAGCTAACAGTGTCGCTCCAGATCCTCAAGCCCGCAGAGAAGAAACAAAAGTACGTCCACGGCCTGGGGGGCAGTAGCCGGCCCACCACTCCCCGGAAGCAGTCCAAGTAGTCAAGGGTTTATGCGAACTTTCCTCTATTTCTAGGTTCGGGCGCGGCCGATAAACATGCCATCTGCCACACCATGCCACTGCGAACGGAACCGCTATTATCTCGTCAATTCGCCTACTGCCTCCACGTTTTTTGATCGCCAGAGGGGCCAGCGCAATCCCCGTCATCCTGTTTCTTTCGGCCCCTTCCATCGTCTCACCCCGAGCCTCGGCCACCACCCTGAGGCGTGTCAGCGGCGTCCTCATCGTCATCGTTGTCCGCTGTCCGAGCGAAGCCATGTCTGTCATAGTAGTGTCCGCGCCACAGAAGAGCTGTCGGGGCAGCAACAAAATTTTTTTGGGAGGAAAACGAATAATGACTGTCCCGTCTTGTCACTACCAAGGAAGGGGACACACCGGACATGTATAGATAGGTCACGCGGCGGGGCGGTTTCGCTTTTTGGAGGCGGCTTGGTGCAGGGCGAGACAGAGGAGGGCGGGGAGTAGAGTCGTGAGCACGGGGTAAATAAGTTGGTCGTTGTCTCGCTCTCTGCCTCACTCCCTCTCTAATTGACGGCGTACCTGCTCGCTACCTACCCCCCTACCTGACTACCAAATCTATCTTACCTCTACACTAACTGGGTCGTTGTTCGGTTTTTTTATCTGTCCTCTTTTGGGAGCTCTTGTCTGTCCCGTCCGGCAGGATCGGGGTTCGGCTGCCTACCTACCTAGGCAAGGTTTGGGCTGGGGTTGGGCGACGACTAGGGGGTTGCTCGAGAAATTGTGTCGGAAGGCGCGGGTTTATTGGGGATGGCTACGGTACAATTCATCATCGTCATAACAATCTTCCTCCGTTTTGTTGTTCTGTCTGCCGTGTTTTGTGTGTAAATGATCTGACTGGGTTCTGGTTTTGCTGTCCCTTGTCCGACTGCCCTGCCCTGCCCTGCCTGACGTGAGTACTTGTGTGTCTTCGGCCTGGGATAAATAAACGGACCTGGTGGGGATGGGAGCCCACGGCGGCGGGGCGATACGCCGGATATGTTATGTTTTGTTGTCCTGGCTGCTGAGATCGCGGGTATGTTTGAGTCTCAACCTGGGATTGATTGATTGGGCTGTCGTGGTTGAGGGCTGGGGGTTGATTGATACCTGGGGACGATACTTTGCTTGCTGGCCTGCTTGCTCGGTTGCTTAAGGGGCTGTGATTATGACTGTGGAGGCCCACTACATGGACAACGAGCTCCTCTTCTTCTCTTTCTTCTTCTCTTTCTTCTTCTCTTTCTTCTTCTCTTTCTTCTTCTCTTTTCTCTTTCTTCTTCTCTTCTACTCTTTCTTCTTCTCTTCTTCTTCTCTCTCGTCTTCTCTTTCGTCTTCTTCTTCTTATCGTTGCTGTCGTTGTTGTGGCTGCTGACGAGGATGGGCTACTGGTGAAACTTGGCATTCAAATGATGTGACGGATTGTAGGTGGGTATGGCAGGGCATGACACGGCATGAAGACGAAAGCAAGCCTGAATGAGACGGTATGGGATGTGAGTCGCGCTTTGGGGTGTGGGAGGGCTGGTTTTCTGACTTAATCATCTTCTTTTTATCTAATGACTAATGACTCCTCTGCTACTGCTCGCTCTGCTCTCCCTTGTTACGTTCTGTTCTGAATTCGGATACTCTCTCAGGAGGTCTATCACCCTTAGGTCTCCAGGAACAAGAGCCGCTGGGTTGGTCTTTGTCGAGATTGGGCTGTCCTCTGCTTGGTTGATGCCCGATTACAGAGGCTGATGTAGCGTGGGATGAAGTACGATTTCTCAATATGCTACTCTTCCTTGTACTAACCGACTTGTTCGCATCCCGCGGACATGTCTATCGGCAGTTACTCCGTTGTAATCTTGAGCCTGCTTCGGATTCGGCGGTAGCCTCCATACCCCCACCCAGGCGTATACTCGAAAGCCACGCCATCAAAAGCCTTTAATATCCCCAACTTGAAGAGCATTGAAACCTTACCTCCCACGTCCTCTCCAATCACCCCTCGCTCACTCACAGTCCTCGCACTTGCCCCCTCCCTCAGCTCTACATGCCTTGCCTTCCTGCCCAGTCCCCTCGCTTACCTTCACACCCTCTGCCTCCCGGCTCTTTCCTCCCTCCTCCAACTTCCCTCGCTCACTTGTACCCGGACCTGTCCCACCACTACCACCACCACCACTACTTTTCCCCGGTCCATAATCCCGATCCACATGCCCCAGATTCCTTCCCGGTTCAATCACGTCTCTCAACCGCCGCTTGAGCTCCTTGGTCTCGGGGAATCCGCCATCAACCTTGCGGTCCCAGAGCACGATTCTCTTTGGTTGCAGTGAGCACTCATCGTCACCGGCGTTAGTGGCGGCGCTTGGGTCGGTGTTGGTACTGGTGATGATCTCGACGATGAATACCCCGCCCGTGGCAGGCTGCAGGGCTACCTCACCCAGGGCGACGGAGAAGGTTGAGAGGAGTTCTTGAGCGTACTGGTGTGCGTTTGTCAATAATGAGTAAATACAAGGGGATAGAAGCAGCGTGCAAAGGGTCGGAGAAGGGGAGGCCGGAGGACGCTGTGTCCTTGAAAAAGAGTAGATATGAGATGGGAGGTATCCAACATATCGCCCGTAGACCGCCAAGGGTTATTCATGTATAGAAGCAGAATCAAGAAAAGGCCGTCGGTCTTACATAGGCTGCTCTAAGCATCCATTTGCATTGCGTGCAGAATTGGATCGTGACCCGGGGAAGTCGGGGCTCAGCTGATGTTGGTCGTGCATGGTCGGCCATTGTTGACGTATCGAAAAAAAAGCTGTTCTTGTATGACTCGCAATTTTAGTATTTCTCTTCAAGACTCTTTGTGTAAGCGGTTGCCTGCAAGAGCAGGATTTATGGAAGGAATAGCTGGTGCCGATGGCGGCCGAATTGGGAGACACCTGAGGTGCGTCATTTGGCAGGTCGTTTCGAAAACACCACCCACTAGATAGACCTGAAGTCTCCCAACCGGCAATACAAGGTGACTGAGGTACTTCGGGTGGGAGCCTTTTTCAACTCTACTTAATGTCATCAATCACTTGGGCACACGACAGGAGGTGGTTGATTTCAATACTGTTCATTCACCAATCCGCGTCTCATCAATCCAATACCAGAACCTTTAACCTATATACAGCGGAAAGAGAAGACGGCAGGGCAAGGAGAGAGGCCATGCCCAAGTCACGGGTAAAAGACAAGACAGATGAGAAGAAACAATGAAGGAACTAGAGTATTACACGCTGAAGAGCTTGCATAGGCAGCCTCCAATCCGCCGAAAAAGGGGTATGAGGAATAGCGTTATCGTAGGAGGCCGTGCCGTCGTCACGTCCGTTTGCAAGAGCTCTTCCTCCTTGCCGTGGCTGATTCGGGATGTTGTGGTTGTTTTTTCTTTGTATCGGCGATGGATGGTGCTGGATGATCCGTTTTTCCCTTCCGCCGGTAATCCATTTTTTCCATGCCCGTTATCCGTGGTGTCCGGCTGACGCTGATCCTTTTCAAGCCGTCGTTGACAAAGCGTCCAGAGACTCCAGCGCGACCATACCGGGGGCCACGCACTCCACGCGTCACTAGCCACCGAAGCGTCCCGAAGCTCACCGCAGGAGTGGCCGTCCGCGCCTGAGTCGACATTATCTGAAATAGACGCCCTACATGACTATACAGCACCCGCCGCTCTGTTGTGGCGCGTAGGGGTCCTCTCCTTTCGGCACTGTGCCCCAAACGCTGGGCACCATGAAGTCCCTGGTGCTGTTGCAATAGGCAATAATGCTGTAGGGACAGAGAGTTAGCAGGTGCAGCAAAACAGGGGCCGACCACGAATCCTCACCTCTTGGCAGCCTGGCTCACGGGAATGCGTTCCCGGTCAAGGTCCTCGCGCAGCCGTGAGTTGAGCTCTGTCAGCCGGCGAAGCTTAAGGTCGGCCATGCTCTGCTTGTTCTTCTTGATCTGCGACGGATCGCCGACATCGCGGGATGTGTATTGAGGCATCTTGGAGGACGAAAAGGTGACGGCGGGGGAGAGCGGGTAACTCGAATCGCGGTTCGAAAATGGGCGTCGCTGGGGGGCTCCGGGTCTCGACAGCGGCGGAGGCGCACGCGGCGAAGGTACTTCTTGAGAAGCCCAGTAAACAGGGCAAATCGGCAGCAGCAGCAATCGGCTGGCGCCGCTGCTCTCGCTTGTATGCGAATCGGCGGCCGAAAATCGCTAGGAAGGGCGCGGTGTTCTTCGATGGTGGTGCTGCTGAGGTAACGAGGGCATGTCAGTCAACTGTCGCCATGCCAAATGGCTCTTCCTTCTCCTCCAATTTTTCGCATGCCCGGCCTTCCCTTCCCTTTACACCGCCAATTCTCTCCTTGCTTCCATTGCTCGCGATGTTGGCCAATTGAATTGACGTGGTTGCTCTCGCTGTCGGTCCGCACACTTTGCTCCATGCCGTATCATGCGGAAGCGGCACAATACACCGACCATGAGAAGAATGGATGAGCGACTGGACTTACCAAAATACCAAGAAGGAATCCTGGGTGCTGTGAGTGACGTCTGACGACAGATTCCAGACGCTGCAATTGATTGACTGGTAACGTTATTTGGTTGTTGGAATGCCAGAAGGCTACAAGTCTTGGAATGGGCAGATGGGATTGGCGCCGGGGAAGCGAAGGGGAGAGCAGAACTCAGGAGCGGACGCCAATGGCCCGTGCTCGATAGACCCGCTCAGGCCGGGGCAAAGAAAATGAGATGTCCAGACAAGGTTAGATTCGCCCGCTAGAAACATTCGATCGGTTACACTGCTCAGGGCCATGTCTCAAACTTCCAATTTCGATTCAGGCTTCTGTCGTGTCTTTGGCAGCTGTTTACGCGACACTCTACAACGGAGTTAAGAAAACTTGCGGGCTTTGAGGGGCCTATCAGAACTTCACAAGAGCACTTGTTTGCATCCGTTCTCTGTTTCCGTGCAGTAATCGAATTTAAAGTTCCAGGTCCATCCCCTACTGATCCTTGGACGTGCTGCTGTGTGCGACCACATCCCGAGTGCACGGCTGTTCTAACCCATATTGTTCCGTTAGAACTCCGGACTGCGACCTGCAAGACGAACCTTAGTGTTGAGGATCAAACAAACCCATCAATGCATACGTTGAAGAGGACGGGAAGACTTCAGTTGTGTGCAGAATTCTGACCGTGTTTGGGTCGCCATTTGCATTGTCAGTCACCGCGTTGCTATTGTTCCGTCTCGAAGCTGTTTATATGAGCCGTGATGCCCCTCCAAATTCTGGTCCGAGCAGAGCCCCACCATCTCTACTTCCGAGTCCGAACCATCTTGTTAGCTGATTGCTCATCACCAAGAACCGAAAAGAATTGAGTCTTGATGATTGAAGACATCTCCGAAGCTCCTAATATTTCCCTCATCTTAATCGGACAATCGCTATACTTATCAATCAGACTTCACTGTCTGCTTGTGACACCGAGTTGTCCCGGAGCGAATCACGTGACGTGCACTCCGCCCACAACAATTTCAGCAAACCAAACCAACCCGTGACTGCCTGGCCAGGGCTTTGGCAACGATTTCTTCACGAGGCGAAAATCCAATCTCTGGACAGTGCCAGCCAAGTCGCCAGCAACTCTCACGCTGCGCCGGCGTACTCTTGTTGCCCATCATGGTAAGTTGCCGATGCGATTGCATGAATGCGTCTTTTTCTTTGGGTCGGCAAACACTACCTACACCTCACAACCCCTCCCCGCTTTCGCATCGCCCGCTCAATGTCCCATTCTCTCGTTGACCGCCTGCTGACTGGTCTTGTAGCCTCCCCCACCGCACCAGAAACCCGAAAATGTCTTGAAGCGAGCCCACGAGCTTATCGGGGTCAACCAGGCCCCGGCGGGCCTTACCCTGCTGCACGAGCACGTCACATCGAAGAGGTCTCGCAATGTCCCGATCACGTCGCTGGAGCCCGTCATGCTCCTGCTCGTTGAGCTGGCGGTTGAGCAAAAGAAGGGGAAACTCGCCAAGGACGCTCTGTACCAGTACAAGAACATCGCCCAGAACACGAATGTTGGCACAATAGAGGTAGATTCATCCAGCTTGTTGTCGTTGAGCTGTGCATGTACTGACTGGAGATATAGCTCGTTTTGAAGAAGTTCATCGAGTTGGCCACCGAAAAGGTCACGGTCGCCCAACAAAAGGCCGAGGAAGTCCAGTCCAGTATCGAAGCCACCGCGGCCGCCGGGTCTGCGAGCGTTGAGGATCTCGAGGCTAGCGAGACCCCCGAATCCATCCTCCTGGCCACCGTCTCTGGCGAGCAGTCCAAGGATCGTACCGACCGCGCCATCGTCACTCCGTGGCTGAAGTTCCTCTGGGAAGCATATCGGACCGTTCTCGACATCCTGCGCAACAATGCCAGACTTGAAATCCTGTACCAGAGCACCGCAATGCAGGCCTTCGACTTCTGCCTCAAGTACACCCGCAAGACCGAGTTCCGCCGCCTCTGCGAACTTCTCCGGAACCATGTCCAAACCGCTGCCAAGTACTCGGCTCAGATGCATGCTATTAACCTGAATGATCCGGACACCCTGCAGCGCCACTTGGAGACCCGCTTCCAGCAGCTGAATGTCGCTGTCGAGTTGGAGCTCTGGCAGGAGGCTTTCCGCTCGGTTGAGGACATCCACACCTTGCTGAGCCTGAGCAAGCGCCCGCCCAAGAACATCATGATGGCGAACTACTATGAAAAGCTTACCCGGATCTTCCTGGTTGGAGAAAACTACCTTTTCCATGCTGCCGCCTGGGCGCGGTACTACAACCTGCTGCGCCAGTCCGCCGCCATGGTTGCCACTGGCCAGAGCAAGAAGTCCGACAACCCGCCTGCAAGCGAGGCTGACCTGCAGAAGGCTGCCACCTTCGTCGTCCTCTCGGCTCTGTCGATCCCGGTGATCAGCACATCGCGTTCGCGCGGTGCAATGGTCGACTTCGACGAGGCGAAGAAGAACAAGAACTCGCGCCTGACTCACCTCCTCGGCATGTCGCAAGCCCCCACCCGCGCCAGCCTCTTCCGTGACGTTCTGTCCAAGGCCCTACTGCGCCGCGCTCGTCCTCAGATCCGGGATTTGTACAACATCCTTGAGGTTGACTTCCACCCTCTGTCGATTTGCCAGAAAATCTCCCCGATTCTGGCTGAAATTGGTGCCGATGACGAGATGCAAAAGTATATTGCTCCATTGCAGCAGGTTATTCTCACCCGGCTGTTCCAGCAGCTCTCTCAGGTGTACGAGACGGTCGACCTCGAGTTTGTGCAGAGCCTCGCACAATTCCCTGAGCCCTTCCAGGTCACCCGCGGCACTATCGAGAAGTTCATCATGAACGGCAACAAGAAAGGTGACCTCGCCATCCGCATGGACCATGCCACAGGCGTTCTGAGCTTCGACGTCGACGTCTTCTCTTCGGCGAAAGCCGTTCACGCGGGCTCGGCTGCCGGTTCTGCCGAGAGTGAAACCGGCTCCGTGCAGCGTCTCCAGAGCACACCGTCTCAAATCGTCCGCTCACAGCTCACGCGCCTTGCCGAGGTGTTGTATACGACTTGCCGGTATATCGATCCCTCTCTCAACGAGGCGCAGATCAAGGCTCGCGATGCTGCTTACGCTCGTGCCAAGTCCGGTGCAGAGAAGGAACATCTCGAGATCTTGGCCAGGAAGGAGATCATCCAAAAGCGCAAGGACAAGGCTTCGGAGATCCAGGCTCAGAAGGAGAAGGAGAACGCACGGAAGAAGATGCTTCAGGAACAGGCGCTCCAGCAAGCCGAAGCTCAGCGCTTGGCCGAGGAGCAGAAAATTCGGGAGCAGAAACGGCTTGCTGCTGAGAGAGAGCAGATCAAGAAGAAGGAGGTTGAGGGTATGCTGAAGGATTTGAAGCTTGACGACGTCGATCTTGAAGATCTCGAAAACCTCGACAGCAACAGGATTCGCATGATCAAGCTTCAGCAGCTCGAGCGGGAGAAGAACACCATTGCTGAGAAGCTCCGCATCACCGGCAAACGCCTTGACCATTTGGAGCGTGCTTTCAGGAAGGAGGAAGCCAAGAAGCTTCCCGAGGACCACGCCAAACAGCGTGAGCGTGACCTTGCTGCTTACGAGCTGATCAAGGCCCAGACCCTCAAGGAAGCCGAGCTGAAGCACAAGGCGGACCTGGAGCTGAAGCACCGCCTGACCCGTTTGATGCCCTTCTACGAGTCCTTCCGGTCCGAGCTGCACGAGCGCCGCCGCGACATGTTCGAGAAGCGCCGCCGTGACGCCGAGCGCGAACTTGAGAAGCAAGTTAACCTCCGGAGAAAGGAGTACCGCGAGCGGAAGCTGCGCGAGAAGCGCGAGCGCGAAGAGAGGGAGCGTGCCCTGCGGGAAGCCGAAGAGCGCGCCGAGAGGGAAAAGGAGGAAGAGAGGAAGCGACAAGAGGCTCGCAAGGAGGAGCTTGCCAGGCTCCGGGAAGAGCGCGAGAAGGAGCGCGAGAGGGCAAAGGAAGCACAGGCCCGCCAGCAACAGCGCGAGGAGGAAGCCATGGCCAGGCGCAGGGCCGAGAAGGCTGCCGCGGCCGCTATGCCCATCCGGGAGCGCCCCGAGCCGATCGCCGCTGCCGCCGGTGGTCCGCCTCGTATCGCCCTCGCCGGCAACAAGCCCAGCTGGAGAGAGCGCGAGGCGGCCAAGGCGGCTGCTGCTGCTTCTGGCCAGGCGCCATCAGACAATGCTCCGCCCCCGGCACGCGCGGCTCCTCCGATGGAGCGTGCCGACTCCGGCGACAGGCCTGCCGCTGGCCCTCCGCGTTTGCCGCTCGTCAACAAGACCGGCAGCAGCTGGCGCGAGAGGGAAGCCGCTAAGGCCGCTGCCGGTGGTGCCGCGCCGCCTCCGGACCGTGCTGGTCCTCCGCCGCCCAGGGTCGCCTCTGGCCGTGGTGTGCCCATGGATCGGGCTGGCTCGGGACGTGGCGGCGACCGGGAGGACAACGGCCCCGCGCCGGAGCCTCTCAAGGCCAGCGGTGCTCCTGGCAAGTATGTGCCCAAGTGGCGTCGGGAAGGCGGTGGTAATTAGGAGATCCGAGGAGATGATGACCGAAAATTTGGAGCGAAACAGGATCAGCAAGGAATGGAGGTGTTCCCTTTTCACTCGTTGATAGGAATTGTTCATGATGCGCCCGAGCATACAACAAGCAGGTGGATTTGATTTTTTCTTCCTCGGTTTGGGGAATGAGCTCTCTCTCTATGTGTTCTCTCTCGGTTCACGGGACGCTGCGTTTGGTAGCATGTTAGAGTAGCATCATGCCGTTACGTCTCGTTTACGTGAGGTCGCGCTAATACGGGGGACATTGGGCAGGGCATGAAGTCAGGCAAGGCAGGCATGTAGTTGAGAATGGAACAACAAATGGTTGCCGTTGTATCTGTTTTTTGAAGAGTGTTGATGCTGTGCCTATTATCTTCTTTGGGTGGTGAGGAGATATGTTGTGGTGATGCTTTGGTATAGGTCAAGTTAAGGTGTGTTCGTCCTATGCCCTGCCTGATACGGCACTCCGTTCGTACTACTTCTTATTGTCATCTACCTATGATGCTGACGGGTTCATCAAGCAGCAAAGGCACTTGCTAGCAAGCACCACTCCTGCCGTTGGGCAGATACTCTTTCTCACTCAGCTCTCTCTAGATGATCAGGGACTGGGATGGCTAAGGTAGGTAGCTACCTAGGTACTGTAGTAGATAAGTGGCTATGGAGCGTATCATACGCGCGCTTTGTTTCCTCTTCTTCGGGGCGGGGAGGTGGGGAAGGAAGATGGGAGGAATTATGGCATACGGATAGGTAAGGTAGTTGGGGGTCTGTTGCAAGAGATGAAACTTGCTGAGGCTGGTGCTGGAGCTTAGGAGCGTTTATTCTGTACCTACGGAGTCTTCTTGTCCGCTCTGTTTGCTTTGCTCACAGTGGAAGAGGTTGGGGGCTTTGTTTGGTTTGCTCGCAGTGGAAGAGGTTGGGGCAGGAGATGAACTGATGGACATTCTCAGCATGACTGTGGTGAAGGAGGAGCGGTTGTGTGTTTGGGTGCGTGGATGGCTGTCGAGATGCAATGCAACAAACAGTCCATATAGATACTCTAGCGTAGATGTAGGATGCGATCCCATGTCGTGGGTTGTTCTGCGGTGGGTTGACCGTGAAACTGCTGTTGCCGTGTCTGTTCCTGTTTCCAGCTATGATGGTGGATGGCACCGGCGACTCTGCGCTTGCGAGGGAAGGGATCGGCGCCTTCGGCAGATCCGGGAGTTTCCAGGTGTGGAGCCGGGATCGGCGTCGTGCGGTCCACGATTTCAAGGGGTGTGGACTTGCTGGGGGGTCAAGGTTCTGTGAAGGGACAGTGTCTTGGCAACCCAGACGTTCTGTTCCTGGGATAGGCAAGCTTTGTTTGTGACGTTTCTTTTACTACGACGTTCTCAAGAGTACTTTGACAGGGCTTTCGATCTTGTCATCTGGCACGATGTTCATGTTTATTTTCTGAATGGAAGCCTGAATTAATGATTCTCCCTACTCAAGATGCGGCTCAGATTGTTCAAAATCGACATCAATTAACACCAGATGTACAAGTACATACAGCTCTCCGATAAACGCCAAGGTTCAGTGGAGGCAGCACAGCCTCACCGGAACCAACCTACCCAATGAAGAATCAATACTTGCTTGGGGTCATGGGCCAGGTTTGGGTGCAGCGGCAAGAAGAGAGGGCCGTATGCACGGGCAATGTGCCGTGAGGTCGCTACTATGCACAGGCATATCCAGTTGTCTGTCACTCTGTCTGCATCTGTGTGGTGCAGGTGTTTGTGTGTCTGTGGGTTTTTTTGTACGCGAAACCTGACCTCCTTCTTCACGTCTATCTGTCCTGCCAAGAGTAGGTGCATCCGTGCTCGGCTTTTGAGTTGATTCTGGGCGATGCTTGCGAGAGCTATATGGATGGGGTAGGCAATGGCCATGGATATGCCAGTGAGGTGGAAGAACAGACAGGTGGACAATCGAACCGGCAGATCTTGCTTTGGGTCTCCAAAAAAATCAGTGAGTGGAGCTCAGTGGAGGTGAGAATGCCTGCTGGCATGGCCACGGTGGGTCGGATAGTGGACTCAGCTCTCGTGTCAGGAACTCCGCTGGCCACCATGCTGAAAACAAGCCAAGCGCCATGGCGGTTTGTGGCGTCGAGCAAAATCCGGGGAAAACATCGTGATTGAGGGTTTACAAGCACATTCGCAAAGCAGCACTGCAGTTCTATTTGGACGTGTGATAAAGCTATTTTGAATCGTCATTTCTCACTTTTACCTTCTTCATTGAAGAGGTCTTTCAGCCCCTTAAAGTCCCCCCCTTTTCCAGCGTCACGGTTGCACCAAGCTTGGGTCCAATATCTGGTTCCGTTACCAAATCGGAAATTGGCGTCTGCAGCACACTGACAGGCTCGATGCACGTCAATATCACCGTCGCAGCGTATGCTGTCTGACCATGCAGGCAAATGAGAGAAGACACAAGTCGGCTGAACACAGCAGTTGACAGGTCAGACGCAAGAAACAACAAGCTGCAGAACCTCAATATTGTCTGCGCGTCTCCCTATGGCCATTGATGGCTCTGGGTTCTCGTCTAAAAATACCATATGTAACGCGAGGGAGAAAGAACCGGGTTCCTGGGCCGTTGCAGTGGGACGGCATCAATGTCGACATGCTTGGGGCCCATTACAAGGTGAGGACAGTGGTTGTGAGTGGAAAGGGGCCTCTTCCAACAGCATATTCTGTACCATCTGGACAGAACTCAACAGAGAGAGAGAGGATCTCTCTCATAATGACGGAGATCGGAAAGGTGGGGACGGGAGTGTTGGTCGGGAAATTCGGGGTCCAGGCTGTGCGGGGCGCGCTGGCCAGGCTCAATCCCGGTCCTCCCGCTAATGCAGGTACAAAGGACTCACCCAATCAATCCCAGCGATAAGGCGGCCAGGGTCGCTTTTGTTTCCCGTTTGAGAGGTGCCCTGGCCTGATTTTTGTTCCCCACAATGTCCACTCTGCCCGATTGAGCTGCATCCATGAGCTAGGTGTCCGAGCTGACCTTCAAGGCGATGCCTTCCATGAGCTCTTCTCCCATGGCTTGTGGCCCGTGGACTGCATGGCTTGTTTCACCACCTTTTAGCGCCTTCGGAGCATGTTGTGAGCTTGTGAGCACTGGGCTCATCAGCTTCTTGATGGCCTACCCTGTGATCCCGATACAGTCGAGCACACAGGGTCCTCCCCGCCTGGATCTCCCCACCTCTTCTTCATCGTCCAGGTTTGCACCGATTCCAACACCTTCCCCGCAACCTTCAGCACCTGCAGGCCGAGAATACCACAGTATGTTTGTCTGAGCACCTTGGCAGTCGCCGAACCAGATGCTGGGAACATCCGTCATGTCACGGCGCCACCGGTTGTTGACCAGGGCCGTGGAGTCCGGGACCTGTGAGCCAAGCCTCTTTTTTCTCTCAAGTCTGAATGCAACGCTGAGTCGTGCCCAGCCATCGCTTGCCGGCCCTAGTCCAATAGTTTGTGCTTCTTCCCTCTCTGGCGATGGATACATAAAGCACCTGTTTCCTAGATGTTTCTGGGAAGCACTCTCCTTTCTCCAGGGTCCTCCTCCACCTACACGAGCAAGTGAAGATCTCGAGATCTCCCCTTGTTCATCCATTCGTTACTCCCCACCTCCTAATACACCTACCGTACTGTTGCCCCGGCTCCAGTCAGACACTCGTTTTCTCCCCCAATCAATATGGCCGCTCTCAGGACCATGGCCGCCATGGCGGCAGTGGCTCTGGTCGGACACGTCCGGGCCACCGAGAGGCCGCTACCTCCCTGCCTTGACCCATTCCAGCCCTTCGTTTACTCGGGCTGCTTCCAGGACACGGGCAGCCCGCAAATCCTGCCCTACCGCAGCTCCGCACCGTCTGACACCATGACCGTTGAGAAGTGCACTGCCGAGTGCAAGGGCAACGGCTACCGTTATGCCGGCCTTGTCTACTACGGCGTGTGCTACTGCGGCCAGACCGTCAACGGCCCTGCTGTTGCCGAGTCCGAGTGCAAGCTTCCTTGCAACGGCAACTCGACCCAGACCTGCGGCGGAGACAACATCTTCTCCATCTGGACCGATCCAACCTTCGAGCCCATCGAGGATGTCACCATCGAGGACTACGACCCCCTCGGCTGCTACACCGACAACTCCAGCCTGGGCCGCGCGCTTAGCTACCGTCAGGACCAGCTCGACGCCGCCACTCTCACCACCGAGAAGTGTCTGCAGGCCTGCCGCGACGGTGGCTTCCCCTTTGCCGGTACCGAGTTTGGCGGTATGTCATGAGACCTGTGTGTGCCCTTGCCTGGAACCATCTGACACTCTCCTAGGCGAATGCTATTGCGGTACTGTTCTTGCCAACGATACGGTTGCCGCCCCTGCCGAAGAGTGCAACAAGCCCTGCAACGGCAACTCGGCCCAGACCTGCGGTGGCAGCGGCCGCCTGACCCTGTACGTGGCCGACGAGCTGCAATCGCTGCAGCCGTGCGGCTACGAGCCGCCCGTCTCGAGCAGCACCACCCTGCCCCCGTCGTCGACCACGTCGTCCACCTCGGTCCCTCCCGAGAGCTCAACTTCTTCGTCCATCGTGTCCACCACTTCGTCGACCGAGACCTCGTCCTCCCTCTCCTCCACCACCTCGTCGGCGGCGACCTCGACCATCACCTCGACCAGTACCACCTCCATCAGCTCGACTACAACCACCAGCAGCTCCGCTTGCGTGAGCACCACCGTTGTGCCGCCCCAGTGCGAATACAAGTGCGGCAAGTGGTGCTCGTCGCCGCTGCCCGACTGGGACGACGTCAAGACGTGCAAGAGCGCGTGGTCCACCTGCGCCCTCCAGGTGGCCTCGTGCTTCAAGCACGCCGGGTGGCCCGACGTGCTTGACTGCTTCGACTTTGGCGAGTGGTGCGCCGACATCTCCAAGTACTGCGACAGCAAGCCGTGGGGCGGCTGCCAAAAGTCCGACTTCTGGGGCAAGAAGCCCCCCAAGGGCGGCCCCAAGCCCTCGACGACGCTCACCATCACCACCACGTGCGCACCGGCGACCACCACCACCAAGCCCGTCACCACCACCAAGCCCCCCGTGACTACTACCAAGCCTCCTGTTACTACTACCACCAAGACCTCGTCGACCACCAAATGCCCCATCCCGACGCCAACCAACATCTGCGTCCAGCCATCGAACCCGCACTACGGCTACGGCCCGGGCAAGCCCGTCGGCGGCATCGAGATGCCCGTCGTGACGTGCAACGACCTGGCCGACGATTGGCCGGGCTACCCGTTCAAGCAGTATACCGACGTCGAGAGCCGCAAGTGCCGCAAGTACCAGCGCAACCAGTGCGGCAGCGCCTGCGCCGACGCCTGCAAGGAGCAGTACGAGGACTGCGTCGACGTCTATGCCGAGGGTTGCAAGCGCAAGCCGAACCGCGCGCGCGATAATAGCTACTTTGAGTTTGCCAGCAGCGTCGAGAAGAGGACGTACCGGTGGACCGACTCGTGGGACTCGGCTGTGTATAAGTGCAAGGCGCAGTACAGCGATTGCTTGAAGGTGAATAGGGGGATTACGGGCGCGGGCAAGTGTCCCAGGTTTGGTGGGTGGTAAATTCATACTTGAAGTGGCTTGGAGGATGGGTTTGTGGGAAGGGATGAAAAGGGATAGATGTCTTGACGAAAAACTGACCTGAAATGTAGCTTCTTACGCTCCTTAGTATATCCGTATATATTAATGCTTAGTGTCTATACACCGCATTGACGGACCGTTACTCTCAGTTGTATTGACCGTGACAACGGGGTTGGTTGTACGACAGGAGACGTCGCTTTGACTGCGTCAAGACTCGATCTAAGCAGCTTCATCCCTGAGCTTCACATGACCAGTAAGTCAAATACCATCCGGCACTGGCGATGTGTCTAGCCCTGTGGTACTTGCATGTATCTCCCAACCGGTCCTGCAGGATGCCCGACGGAATACCGTCTCGCAGGATGCATGACAGTACGGTGACGTAGAGACGCGCCTCAATACTGTTTAGGATACCGTGCTCTGCTGCAGATGGATTACGCGTCTGGCCCGATTGTCTAACCGGGCAGGGTATTAAGCCCAGTCTCGCCCTGTTCTTCGTTGCTTCGTCCGCACTCGTCTTTCGTACTTCAAAACGAGCGTAAACTGCTAGCCAACCCACAAGCGTCTTTGCCCCCAGCCCGATTAGCGTCGACCTGCCTATGAACTCGGGTTACAAAGCCAGCGACACGTATTGTAATGATCGCACTGAAACGAGACGACTTCTCGACCAACATCACGCCCAACATCACCATCCGATGTCTCGTCCTGTCCTACACGCACGCCGACTCAGACTGGCGGCCGGACCTGTCCTCCATCCCAGTCGACATGGCAATCCACTGCGGCGATCTAGTCGAGGAGTCCAAATTTTCGGAGTTCGTTGCGTCCATTCGACCTCCTCAAAACCATCAACGCGCCCCTGAAGCTGGTCATCGCCGGCAACCACGACTTCACCCTCGATGAGCCGCTCTTTAGGCGCAAGATCGCTGTAGCCGCGGCCCCGGTAGTGGAGCCAGACCTGGTCAAAAAGGCATTTGGCGACTGTGGCGAAGCCCAGCGTCTGTTTACCGACCCAGACACCAGGGAGGGGGGTATCGTCCCGCTCAACGAGGGCCAACACACCTTCCAGCTTGCCAACGGCGCCGTATTGACCGTTACGCGAGTCTGTACACGCCATCTCCGCATGCCGAGACGGGATTCCAGTACAAGCGCGACCAAGTCCACAACTTCTGGATTGGCGGAGTGTCGACATCGTCATGACGCACGGTCCGCCGAGGGAATTTCTCGACAGGGCCGACTCGCAGCAGCGCCGCGGGTGCGAGCGTTGTTTGTGGTCGTTGCTCGAGCCTGACCAAAAATGCACTGCTTCGGGCACATTCATGAGGATTGGGCGCCCAGTGGGTGGTGGTATGGCGAGGTAAGGTGGCGACGGCTCAGCCGAGCCATTTCACAGATATCGATGGTGCGCGGTCGGTTGCGCTGGAGAGTCTGGCTTCACTTAGCGGTAAGAGGAGGATGCGGGAAGAGGCTGAGGAGGCGGAGAAGAGGAAGCAAAAGATGAGGAGGTATAGGGAACGGGGTTATCTTCTGGCGGCGGAGATGGATGGCTGTGGCGGTGGGGGAAGGGAGAAAAGGAGAAGGAGGAGGACGGTGATGGTGAGATGCAGCAGCCGACGCTGTTCGTGAATGCGGCAATTCAGGGTCTGGAAGAGGGGCTCTAATTGCCGTGGGTGGTTGAGTTGGACTGCCTCAGTCTGGAGGGAAAGGGGGGGAATTCGCTGACCCAGAAAGGGGAGCAAACTGGGAATGATAAGCAGGGGATTGTTGGGAGTGCTAAGATCAAGGGGACTAAGAGAGCGTCTCCTGATAATCAAGATGAAGCAGAAAGGCCTGTGAAGAGAAGGAAATGAGATTGATCCGTTTGAGACAGACCGCTGTGTGAAAGGAGTAGGATAATTATGTGCGCGAGGAGCCTGATCGAGTACACGCGAAATTCCCACGACCCGCCGATGACTCTAATTCCATCCTGAACTCTAACAGTGCCGTCCGAAGTGTCATGAGGATGTCATTGCTCTTCAAGTAGCAACGCACTCGAGCTCAAAAAAGCCATGAATGACACCATCGATGGATGGTACCGCCAAACAATAATAAATGGGCGACCCCGGAATCGAACCGGGGTTTCTTCGGATCGTTTGTGTCGGATATCCGCCACAACGAAGCGTCCTGACCACTAGACTAGTCACCCTTTGATTATTATTGGGGGTAAAACAGAAAAATGTGTGTCACTGGTGCTGGTTGGGTGACGCGAGGTGAAGGTGTGGTTGGGTGTGAGTGGGTTCGTTCTGCACGTCAGCTGGTTCTCGATTCGCGATGCTGATGTGGATATTCAAACTTGACCGTGAAGATACTCGTACCCACTATCGCCTTTGGGCTTAGACTTTCCCTCGCCATTCCCACGAAGATGTTGCAGGACTGGATTTCCTATCCGGGTCCGCGTCGCTTAGTCATCAAACGGTTCCCACTAGGCTCCCACGGGTCCGTGTCGCTTAGTCATCGAACAACTGTATTAGTCACCACAAAAATGCATCTAACGCGGCCACCTCCCCATGCCCGCAACACCACAGCCGGCACCATCACCATGGCCACCTTCCCAGACGACTGCCTTCCTCCCGAACGCTATTTCGAGTCTCGACAGGCCGTATTTGAGTCAATAAATGCGTGGGTTAAGCCGAGAGGCTACGCTTTTACGACTCTAAGGTCAACGAAAGAGAAAAATGGCACGCCAACTGTCATCTACGCATGCGATCGGTCAGGTGATCCTCCAAGCGATAGGGAGCGTCAGAGAAGAACTACAACTCGGAAGACGCATTGCCCTTTCTCAGTTATAGCAAGAGAGACGACTGATGGCGGCTGGACCCTGAAGCATCGTCCCAATCAACGCTTTGCGGTACACAACCATGAGCCAAGCCAGCACCCATCGGCCCACTCAGTCCATCGGCCACTCTCTGGAGGTACATCACAGCTTGCAAGCTTCTCTAACGCTGGTATCTCGCCGAAGGAGATTCAGACACTCGTACGGCAGAGCGGCTCGCTAGCTACAAGGCAAGATATCTACAATCGGATCGCGGATGTATGTCGAGATGCATGCGAAGGTCAAAATGCAATTCATGCGCTAACCAATTGCGGGCGCGGAAAGGTGGCCGCGGTAAAAGATTGCCGCGTTAGATGCATTTCTGTGGTGATTACGGATGTAATACATTTGTGTGATGACTAGCGACACGGACCCGTGAGTCTAGTGGGAGACCGGCAGGCCCACATGTCAACTTCGGCTGGAGTTTATTGGAAGATGCAGATGACGGATGTCAGAAAAGAGGCCCGGCACTGCGGGCTCTCTGGTGAACGCGCGCTGTGGGTATGATGGCTGGTGGGGGGAGGAGGAGGAGGAGGAAGAGAAGCACTGACCACGGGCAGGACCAGACTTCAGCCAAGACAATGGTAATAGCAAACTGGGGACGTTAACGTTGCCTACAGTACCTGCTGACACCTAACCCTCGGTTGCTTGTGTTTGTTAACGTGGCACTTTGAGCTTCGTCCTGGTCAAAAAGAGAAAAAGGGATGCAAAGCCGAAAACTGCAGGAAGTGTGAAAGAAAGCTGTAGGTTGTTCCTCCCCTCCGAGTAAACATGGATCCTGTTGGAGTTCAGTTCTCGACCCACTTTATTTTAATCTTCGCAGCGTTCTCAATCTCGATCTTTCAGCCAGGTCAACACATTCAATCAGCAATGCCGGCCATCAGCAAGCCGGATAATGAACCGTGCATTACCCAGATACGACATGATCTCAAATGCCCTGGACGAGAGCGCGACCGAACGGGCGTGGCGTTTAGTCGATGCAATTACGACTGCGACGCAGTTGCTAACGAACGAGTTCGAGTAACGGTTGCTTTCTCCGCTGAGATTGACGCGACTACCAGGAAATGCTTATTCTGATAGGTCCTTTGGGGGTTCAACCCATTTCAGCTACCAAGGCAGCCCTCAGCTATACCATCAATCAAGGATGTCGTCCAGGACAGGGCATTTGCTCTTGTCGTCCGGCCTGCCGCTGGGAGGCGGCGAATGGCGCTCAACAACTGGACAGGAGGCAGCAACGCCGCAAGGATCTCGACCGAAAATGAAGCGGCATCTTCAGAGAACATCTTTCGACAAACGGCAACCTTGGGGCCCCGACTGGCGGTGCGTTGTAATTATCCATGACCTTCTCGGGCCATATCCCTCCTGCGACCAATCTCGAGAAAGCCACAATTCCACCGTTGCAGCAACACTGTGGTTCTGGGACAATATCCGGGCAATGGTTGTTTCCGCTTTGCGCAATGGCGATTGGATCCTGAATCCGAAGATCGAAGAGAGAGTGTGCAAGGTTTAGCTTCGGAAGCGAAGCACAAAATTCGACTTTAAGTAGCCGCAGAGCGCCCTGGAAACAGAGTTTCGAGGAGCTGATGGATTGGAGGGGCAAGGGAATGGATCTGAACCCCGAAGCCGAGCGGGCTCTCGACGAGCTTGCAAAGCATGAGCTGTCGTCGATCCCGATCCGTTCATTAGTTGATGCCGTCACCTCCAGGGATTTCTCCAGGCTGCACGTGGACTTCGTTCTTCTCGTCAAACTGGCCGAGAAAATGGCCAATTGCTCAGACGTCACTATTACCGACGCCCAACTCGATAATCTCCCGATAGATGTTCCGTAAGCGGCTGCCTATCGGCATTGACTGACGCTGAGACGGACCAGAGGGTCGCCGACGAGAAGTCACTTGCTAGCTGGTGCTAGCGGAGTAGGAGCCACCTTGCAATGCCTTCTACCGGTGAGCTTAGCGGCTGAGCCTCAGCCGCATGAGGCGTTCCCGCATCAGGTGCGTCAGGCAGACAACGGAACTTTTACCTTTACTTATTACGAGCAGCACCACTCTTTCTCCCAAAACCAACCCCCCAGACAAGGCGTTGGTCCTTCAAACGACCTGGTTCCTCAAACCGTCATATGCCAAAATATCGACCATTAGGCCAACACCAGAATCGTGAACGAGATGGGAGCCCAAATGTCACGGTTTCCTCCATACCATCCGCTTGGTACCGACGAGATTCGGGTGGTCGCATTTGATGACCAAGAAAAAACGTCGCCGACAATCCACCTCAAACTCCTTCATATCCTGCGGCCGAGCACTACCGGGTCAAGTTGGCCGCCTTATCACGCGCTTTCGTGGACATGGGGTCAAGGCAAAAGAGACCGCCAGATCATGCTCGACGGGTTGCCGTTTTACATAACCCAAAGTCTTCACGACGCCTTACATTATCTCCGGTCCGACGCCTCGTTTCGTAGTCCGTCGTCGTTGTTCCTCCTGTGGATTGACTTGATCTGTATCAACCAACTTGATAGGGATGAGAAGAGCATCCAGGTGGTCCGCATGCGGGAGACGTACAAAGATGCCTGTAAGGTCATCGTCTGGCTGGGCGACTACGCTGAGCGACGCGAAGCCTCAGGCGAGGTGGCCTCCTTTCTTTCCGACAACCTCCCGCCAATCCCGGACGGACACATGTATGTTAAGCCGCCGGAGTTCTTGCTCAAGCCAAGAAACGCCGTTGTCCTGCGCACACTCTGTCAAGACATCTTACGGCGGCCGTGGTGGTGGCGCATGTGGGTGATCCAGGAAGTCGCCTTCGCGCGCTCCATCGTCGTCATATGCGACACCCATCATTTCAGCTGGGAGCACCTCGTGTACATGGATCTGTGGATCAGAATGCTCAACATCAACATGCTGAATCCCGAGTCTGCGGAACTGGATGACTACACTCCTTACTTGCCCAACATCAACTTCAAATCCATGTACCGGCACAAGCACGTATTTGGCGGGAACATGGACATGCCGATTCTGGGGCTTCTGCAAAACGCGACCTCGTGCCTGGTGACGGACCCAAGGGACATGATCTACTCCCTGCTAGGATTGGCGACGGACATCAAATCATACCATCATCCGATCCCATCGAGCAGAAAGAAGAAGAAGAGGTGGGCGTGGGAACCCTGTGGGTACGGAGCGCGCAATCGTCCGAGAAACGCGCAATGCAGGATTCCGAATCCCGACATCGAGCTCCTGGTCGACTACGAGAAGAGAAGCGTGGAGCAAGTCTACATTGACTTCGCTAAGATCTACATCCGCACCCATGAGAAAACCCCGTTGGATGTCATCACCTTCAGCAGGTTCAACCCAACGCCGAAATACCTCCTGCCCTCCTGGGTTCCGGACTGGAGCAATCTGCGGGACGCCCCCAATTTGCGGGACACCGCCTGCTACAGTCTCACCACACTCCCGGTTATGTCGCCAGAAAGAGCCGTGGCCATCCCCCCCTATACTTACTGCGCATCTGGAAGCCGGTCCCAACAAGTCCAGATTACTCCAGACAACCACCTGTGCGTGGATGGAATACACTTTGACGACGTCACGCACGTCGGCAAGCCCTGGGAGGGAGGCGACTCTGAGAAAATGAGCCGTGTCCTCCAAGACTGGATGGATCTCGCCCTTGGCGACCAGTCCCAGAGAGCCTCCGATCCGTATCCGTGCAGCAGCCAGACTCTCCTTGAAGTCCTCAGCCGCACGATCACGGTGGATACCTCCTTGTCAGGCAGCCGATTCGCTCCGGGAGAGGGATCTCAGTTGCAGAAGATGCTGGCGAGTACCTCTCCCCTCGGTCCAAAAGAACGGCCAGCCATGTCCGATGCGTGGCGGGCAGTCGAGCTGCGCATCCTCCGCCGCCGGTTCTTCATCACATCCAAGGGATTCTTTGGGCTGGGGCCGAGAAACGCAAAGCCAGGGGATGCCGTCTTTATTCTCTACGGCTGCAGTGTCCCTGTTATCCTAAGACGCAGTAGGGAGTTCTGGACGTTCATAGGCGAGGCGTTCGTTGCGGGCATCATGGATGGCGAAGTCATTCAGGCTCACACTGCGGATAAAGCCAAACCTGACCACGGCCGAGAAGATGGGTCTAGTTCGTTGTTGAAGGGCACTGAGGAGAGCATTGAGATATGGTGAGCGATGGAGGCGGCGATGACTTGCTGGGAAAGTACGTTTTTGTCGACAGCAATTAGGCGACTTTACATAATGATAAAAGCCGTATGTGTGTGCTGTTCGACAAAATCTCCGCGAGCGCCCCGTGGATAGAAACTTGGGCTAGTCCATCCATTAGATGCTCAGCAATACAAGTATATCCTCCTTCGTGTGTCGTCAAAATGGCACCCGGGAAATCTTGGGCAAAGAACCAGTTCGCCTGACGTGACGAGCGTACATGATTGCTCTGGTTGACATACCCCGGGGCATTCTTGTACTCATCATCTTGCCATCGAAACCTGAACTCGATTGCGAATCGAGTTTAACAGCTTGAAGAGGGAGTCTTCATCGAGCAGGAAGCAACACCACCGACCAAGGCACAGGCAGGTCTCCAAGAGCCAGCTGGTACAGAGATTCGTGTGGTCTTCCTCCTTCCCCCTCATCACCCCCAGTTCCCAAAAGCAGTAAGCCAATCCCCCAACGCCCTCGCTAATGCAATCTTGGTTTTCTCTTTTCTTTCTCTACAACACGCAATCCGCTTCATTGAAGAAGCTCCTCGCAGGTCCAATCCTCATAGCTACAGTACACCATTAGCCAACCCACCCAGAACACACCCAGCCAGACCGGCAACATCACTTACTATCCATCCGGCAGATACCGGCGCACAATAAGCGGGATCTTCTTCTCCCTCAGCTCCTTGATGGCAATCTGTAGCGGGTCCGTCTCGCCCTCGAGGTCGACGAGCACGGGCGCGTTCATGCTGATCTGCAGCGCGCGCGTGCCCAGGATGCGTGCCTTCTCGTACTTTGTCATGAAGGGCGTCGTAGTGCGCTGGTCGTTGGGTATCTTCTTGTCCTTGTGCGACTTGTCGTTGCCCTTGCCGTGGTTAGCCGCCGCGTTGGGGTCGCCCGACGCGACCACGTGGTCATGCTGGTTCTCGCCCTCTTGCTCGGGTGCTCGGGCGGCCTCGTCCTCGTCGTCGGCCGGCTCTGGTTCCGGCTCGTAGTACTCGTCGGGGTCCTCGTCGAAGGCGGGTTCGTCGTTGCTGCGCGGTTAATCGTCAGTGGCTGGCGGGTTTTTGTGAATATGACGGGAGGTGGAAGTGGGGTGGGGAGCGTACAGAGGCTCGCGGTCGTCGTCTCCGCCGTAGTCAGACATCTTGATTAGTTTGAATTATGGCTAAGTGCAGCAGAAGAGTGGCTGTTGGCGATGGGCAGCAGTGACAAATACCGAGGTGAATGGGTGGCTGCTTTGTTAAAAGGTTACCGAACGCGGCTGTGAATGGAGGACCATGAAAAATTTGAGTGGGGCGGCTTGAGCGGATGAGGTTAGAAGTCAGCCTTGCATGTTGAGTAGACCACGGCGGGGTGAACTTAGCACCGTTGCCTGCCGGAACTCGACGCACCCACAAAAAAGTTGGGGAATTCACCCCAAATCGAACTTCAACTGTAGCTCTTCCATGCCTCAATTCGTATTTCTACAATCGGGCTTTCTCTCCCCTCCAGCCAGAGCCATGAAGCGAAGAGCTGCAGAAGAGGACGAAGACCCGCGAGGGCCTTCAAAACGGCTGCAAATTGCATTCCCCGGAGCAGCCGAAGTCGACTGTGCAATTGCAGCTCTCGCTCCCATTGACCGCTCGATGCCGGACAACGACGACCACGAAAATGACAACACCACGACCTCCTCCTCACCCCTGGCAACAACTGACGACGCCGAAGCAACAGCAACTCAACCGCCCACGCCAACCGCCACATCCATCTCCGCCACACCATCCACCCGCCGCGCCCGCAAATTCCCCTCGGACCTCAAAACCATCAAGTGCACCTACCCGGGCTGCCCCAAGACCTTCAACCGCCCGGCCCGGCTGGCCGCCCACCTGCGCTCGCACACCAACGACCGCCCGCACAAATGCCCGTATGAAGGCTGCGACAAGACCTACCTCGAGGAGAAGCACCTGGCGCAGCACATCAAGGGCTCGCACACGCACGAGAAAAGGTACATCTGCCAGGAAGAAGGGTGCGGCAAGGCGTTCGTCACGGCCACGCGGCTGCGGCGGCACGCCGCCGTGCACGAGGGCGCCGAACGGTTCCGGTGTCGCGGGTATGACGGGTGCAGCCAGAGTTTTCGGAAACATCAGACGCTGCAGCGCCACGTGCGGGTTGCGCATTTGGGTCTGGCGGCGTTTGTGTGCGGGGCCGAGGATTGCGAGGAAGGGTTTGATAGCGCGGGCGCGCTGAGGAGGCATGTGGAGCGGGAGCATGGGGAGGTGAAGTTTTGGTGCGAGGAGTGCAAAGAAGACGGGGAGGAGGGGGATGGGAGGAAGGTCGGGTTCCGCACGCTGCTGATGCTGCAGGCGCACATGCGCAAGGAGCATGTCAACTGCGTGTTTTGTGACGTCAAATGCGGGAGCCAGGCCGACTTGGAGCGGCATGTGGATTTGTATCACTCCGGGACGACGGTCGAGGACAGGAAGACGGTTGAGTGCACGTGGGAGGGCTGCGGGAAGAAGTTCACGCGCGTGTCGAACTTGAATACGCACATCCGGACGGCGCACGAGGGGCTGCGGTTTGTTTGCGGGCAAGTGGACACGTTTGGCATCGAGGACATTGCCGACTGGAATTGGGCTGAGGAGGGTTGTGGACAGGAGTTCATCAGCAAGTTGAAGCTCGAGGAGCATGTGCGCTATGTGCATCTGGGTAGGAAGCGGCCACCCAAGCTGCACACGGTCAAGTCGGCTCTGCCGGGCGAGGCCGACGAGATGTCTGCGGCTGTGCCGAGGAGGACGATCCCGTGCTCAGTCGACGGCTGCGAGGCCAAGTTCATTCGGCACTACGACCTCGACAGGCATCTGCAGAAGGACCATAACGAACTGCAAGAGGAGGCCATCGACCCGCGGTTGAAGGGGCCGACCGATAACAGCGAGCAGTTCTGGATCGAGTCGTCTCTGGCTGTGGCATACGAGCCGGGCTTTGACACGGAGTGGACCGAGATGCGGAGGCTCATCGACCTCGATGCCCTGGTGGATTCGAAGGAGTAGAGTCAACAAGGGCAGTGTTTGGGAGACATGGGTATTATAGAAGTACAGATATCCTGTTGCTGGGTTTTACTTTGTTATGGCGTTATTCCAGGAGGTTCGGAAACCAGACGTGTGCCCTGGGACTGGAGGACAAAAGTATGCTGGGGGAGACTGGACTCAAAGCTCATTTGAGGGCTACAGGACGCAAGGCAACGCTACGATATGCTTAGGAGAGGACAACAAAGGGACGAACATTCTTACCAGAGGAAGCCATGCCACATAAAATCAGAAGGGAACAATAACCAGCCAGACGAACAACATCGTCTTCATCACGCCAACAAATCACGAAACAGTCCGCCCAGTGCACACTTAACCCAAACTCGACACCCAAAATACCGTACCAATTTCGCACTCGCATTGCCAATCTCAGTACGCCGGCCCCCGTGGCCATTACGGCCGATTCCAACCCATCCACTGGCTGCACTACGGACAGCCCGGACAGTAGCCGACGGTTTGGATGGCCGCGGCGGGCCATTCCTCAGCCGTCAGGATCCGCCGGAGGGCAGCCTCGCGCAGGCCGAGCTCGTAGCCAAAGGCATACACATTGTCGCCGTGGTCAACGAAGTTGTTTCGCAGCTCGACGAGTCGCTGGACGCTGGGGTGGATGTTAGGGTGGAAGTGCATGTTGGCCGGTTCGGCGCGCTTCGCCGCGGTTGAGTGCGGCTTCTTTCTCTCATGAGCATCGCTTGGAGGAGTCGGGCTCGCTGGGCGATGTGGTGGTGGGTTTGGCTCTCAGAATTGGGGACGTTGTTGTGGAGTTCGTCCTCGTCCTCTTCCTCGTCGTCGTCCTCGTTGTCGGCTGAGGCGTAGTCTATGTCGTCGTCCGAGTTGTAGTCGAACTCGGAGTCATAGAGGAGGAGACGATCGTCGTCTTGATAGCCGTCCGAGTCGCTGCTGTCTTCGTCTTCGTCGTCATCTTCGTCGTCGTCGTCGTCGTTCCCATTGTCCACAGCCTCTCGGCTTAGGTCATCCCATTCGTCTTCAACCCCGTGCTCTTCACCACCATCATCCTCGCTCTCCTCGTCGTCGGTATCCCACTCTGATTCGTCAGAAGGCTCAGGACCCGGCTCTTGCCCTTGTCGCCATCATTGTCCCCGTCTTTGTCATGGTATTTCTCATTGTCGTTGTCCTGGTCGTCGACACTCTGTTGGTTAACGTGGTTGCTACCGCTGTGGCTGCCACCCACGCTCTCACCGATGGGCGCTTGGGGAGGGGTTGGGGGAGGTGTTGGAAGGCCGGTTTGGCCCCCGATTCTCTCTGATGTGTCAGGTGGCCCATGAGAGGCGGCGGGTAGAGAAGGGGCTGGTAAGGTTGGTGTTGGGACTCGGAGGAAGTTGCCGGGCATGTTGGGCTGGTGGCATGGAGATGGTCAGCCATGGTAGGGGACATTACAGGTAGGAGTGCGTACCTCGTTTGGTGGAGAAGACTTGTTGTCGAAAGATTCTTGTATCAACTTAGAATATTCTTTACTGGCAGTCAATCGATGAGAAAGATGCTAAACCGTTCTCTTTCCTGGACTTCCCGTAGCCCTTACATAGCATCCGCCCTTTCGTTATCCCCAGGATATTGGTACCAGTATACACAGACAAACTTGTGTATGAGCCCCTATACCACCACCACCAACACCAGTGGGCACAGGAGCGTAACATTGGAGACACCGGCCATCGTGCTCAGGACATAGGCCTAGGCGGGGAACGATATCTAGGCGTATAAGGCCGTTTAGGAACGAGGTATCTTGGCCATCGAGATCCCGCACTCTCACTTTGAGCGTCTGTATCCTACAGTATAGCCCGCCAACTCCTGTGCTAGCAATCCAGTTACAGTGTCGTGACTACCACTAACACATTTCACAGCATGTCAGGGCTAGCTCTTTGGGAGTCCATCTCTTGGAAGTCCCCAAACAGGGAGGAAGCGACACAGGAAGCAACCTATCGCACCGACGCAAGCGATCCAGCTTGGACGCTGTCAGATGATGCTCCACTCCTGTACCACCAGCAAGTCGAAGCAAACAGAAATCACGCCCCGATCTCCCAGCACTACCGCCCAGAGCTGCAAGGAGCAACGAGACAAAACAGCGGTTTAGATGTCCGGCTCGGGACCCCCGCTGACTGAGGCTGAGACACCATGCTCGATAATTTCATACAAGGGCCTGTCGCACGCCTCATCCAATGGCGCAGGGTAGAGCTCATCGGTCCGACCTCGCAACCAGCCTACCGCGGCAGACAGCGACTGGCCCAAAATCCATTTCAGCAAACGTCGCACCAAGCCATCACATCACAATTTACTTTCCCCCCTGCCCTGCACAAGCGCTCCACTCATCATATACTCCTCGCCCTGCGCGGGTGGCGGCGGCGGCGGCGGCGGCGGAATCGTCACCACCGGCCCTCTCCCAAACAGAACCATCTCCCTGCCCCCCTTCGTCCCCCACCAGGCGACCGCAACAGCCGCCCTCTCGACATCCATCTCCCCGCTGACCAACACCTCCCAGAACCGCCTCCTCACTCCATCCCTCAGCCTCTCGCCCCGCACGAGATTCACCGCCTCCGCCACAAGGCCCAACCACTCCTCAAAGACCCCCGCCTCCACAACCGGCAGCGCGTCAATCAGGGCCAGCACAAGCACGCTCTGCTCCGAACACACCAACTCCTGCTGTTCCCCTCCCCGCGTCCCACCGCTCCCAACCTCCTCTAGTGGCTGTGGTAGTAAATCCGTCCCCGCCAGTGGTACCCTCCCCCGGACCATCTCCATCAACACCTCGCCTAGCTCAAACCCGAACCCGTAACCGGCCGCCGCCGCTGGCTCGTACCCGTAGTACGGCGACGGCGGCGGTTGTGACACGATTTTTACGATGGTCTTGAAGGCGAGACGGAACTGACGCGGCGAGATGCGCGCCGGGAACGAGGCCAGCAGGGTGTCGGCGTAGAAAGGGACGATGTCGGAGGCGGTGGTGGTGAATGACGGGTGGCGGTGGTTGGTGTTGTGCTGCGGCGGGCAGGAGAGCACCGAGAGGATCGCGCTGTGGGCTGCTTCGAGCAGGTGTCTTACTATAGGGGATGGGGATGGGATTGACAAGGTGGAAGAAGAGGGAGAGGGGGAGGAGGGTAGGTCTGGGCTGAGGTACGGTGTTGCGTGCTGGATGATGAGGGCGTCACAGTCTGCTGCGGAGAGGTTGAGCGGCAGGTGTTCGGCCGTGTTGAGGTAGAAGAGGTCCAGAGTGCGATCGAGGGGGTGGATGGAGACGGACGGGCAGGGGGGTTTTATGGAGTGCAGGAAGGCGGCGGAGGCGGGGCCGTAGCGGGAGAGGGTGTCGAGAGAGGTGAGGTAGGTGAAGGCGTAGACTTGAAAAGCGTCGTTACCGTTACGGGAGGAGATGAAGTAGAGGTTGCGGAGGGTGTGGAGGGTCTTGGTAGCAACGACGGACGCGGTGGTGTGGTTCCGGAGCTGCCGGTCGAGGAGGCTGCGGGCGACGACAGCATGGAGCACGGCCACGACAGCGTACATGACTTTCTTGAGGAAATTCCAGAGCGCAGGCCACGTGGTGGTGAGCGTATCAGGCGTGAGGAAGAGGTCCTCTTCCGAACTATCCAGCTCAGAAAGCTTGTTCGCCCGCCAGTGCTGGAGCAGCCTTGCCGTAAAGGCCACCAGGTCGTCCTGAAGTTGCAGCACCGCCCGGAAATCCCGGGCATTCTGCACGGCATGGGCCAACAGCCTCGACAGAGGGCCCAGGCCATACATCAGCGGCCTCTGCTCGAGCTGCCGGAGATGTAGGTACGACGGCGCGTTTTCGGCCCACATGAACTTATGCTCTGACTGCCGTACGTCCTGATCGATGGTAGCGAGGAACAGCCCGTCCTGCAGCCCATCTCCTCCAAGCATTGCCCTGATTGCAACGGGAACGAGTGCGTCGCAGTCCAGGCCGGCGTGCGAGGATTTGGACAGGAGCGGGAAGGCGTAGTTGAGAGCCAGGGCCACGGGGCCGGCCGGGGCGGGCGGTGCAAGGTCCCTGGACTGGAGGGCGAGGTTCGCTGCCGTGACGACGGCTCGTTCGACCGTCTTGCGCATGCTGGTGCTGAGCGAGCGGCGGTGGCCGGCCTCCATGCCCATCAGGACGCCGCTGAAGACGAGCAGATGCTGCCAGCGGCCCGAGTAGTCATCGGCACCCTTGAGGACCGCGGTGGCCCATGCATCGCTGCCCAGTCCGCCACCAATTCGTTGGTGCGATGACGCCTTGTTCTTCACATTCTCGATCTCGTTGCGGCGCACGTGGATTGCGGCCGTGTTGAAGATGCTAATGATGCGGTAGCAGGTGCGCATGCCGTCGCGACGGCCCCATATTGCCGGCGCGATGAGAAGCTGGGAGGTGAGCAGCGAGACGTTCAGCGGGTTCGACAGGTTCGTAAGGAGAGCTGCCGTCGAGCCAAAGAGCTGCTCGGTGCGCGCATCGTCGTGCACGTCTTGGTACAGCTGCAGCACCGTCGTCAGGAGCCGGTCGATCGACATGGCGGCGGAGCGAATGCGGAATTATTTTTAGACAATATATCTCAAGGACGTGATATCTGGTGCGGAATATACTGGGTCAAGTTGTTGGTATCGGCGGTTTGGGATTTTGACATTCGGGAGGGTTGTTGTCGGTGCCAAAGACAATGCCGAGGCATACTCGTCGGGGCTTCGAAATCGCCGATCCGCCTAGTCGCTAAGGCTCTTACACGTGTAGTCGGGCGCCTTGATTCACAGTTGTATCAATGCACGGCATGAGACCTAGCCCCGCCATACAATTTTTGCTGGCGAAATTAGGTATCCTCGTCTAGGAGCAAGCAATCCCCTTCGCTATCTCTATTTGCCGCATGCCAAGTACGCCCAGAATCAATGATTACGAAGTTTGGCGATGCATCTGTCTAACGCGTCTGTAGTGTTGCAAACCGCGATTTGAGTGCCAGATTGCGTTTCAAGTGATTTGGTGCCAAAACGCGTAAGTAGCACCTTCAACACCACAAGATTCGAGCGGTGATGAGAGCGACAGTGGTATCCAGACGGTAGATTCGGAGGATTTAGGGGAAAGTAGCGATGGTGGCAATGGTGATGATGATTGCGTGTGGCCTTGGCATGCATACGGCGGTGAAGTATGCAGGAGATGAAGGAGACTTCAATTTTGGTAGGAATTGCTAGCAAATCAAAGTTCCTCCTGTTGCATTGAATCAATTGTCGTGCATTGAATCAAGGCACCCAACTAGGAACCTCGGCGACTAGGCGGATCGGCGATTTCGAAGCCCCGACGAGTAGATAGAGAGGTGCAGCAGCTCTCATCCAGGCGGTCGGTCCCTGGCAATGCCTGGCTTGTCTGGTCCCGTCGGCTTAAGTCTTGGTGCGTGCCTTGGTGCCAAGTGCTGAATCTGGCCACAATTACACAGTAACTTACCGCCTCTGTCAACAAAGAGACTCTTAGGTGACGGTCCCTCACACATCGCCCAAAGCCTGCATCCGCAGTCGCCGCCATGCAGATCCCGTCGTATGTGCGCTGGACTCATGTCATTCGATTCTCTAACCAGTGCATACAGGCCCGTCCGGCGCGACACGCCGGCCGAGTACACGGTGCCGCCGTTCCCGTCGCTCTTCTGGCCGCCGCAGGACTCGACCATCATCCTCTACGAGCTTGACGAGATGTGGAAGTTTACCCTCTTTTGGACCCTTATCCTCTATGGTCTCTTCCACCTGGGAGCTGTCGGCGTGGCTGTGTTGATGCAGGGCGGGAAGCGCATGTCCAGCTGGAAGTATCTCTGGCTGGTGCCCGTGGTCTACGCCCTCATTGCCGGCGCCGAAGCTTTGATTGCGGGCACCCTTGTGGGCCTAATGTTTGTGCTCCAGTCCCAGCTATCCCAGTGGCTAGGTAGCTCGTTACTGTCAATCGGTACCTTACTGACCACATAGCAGAGTGGGCGCAACCTACATTGTCGGAAACTTCACCATGTCGACATGGATCCCCTTTGTCTGGGGCTGGGTCAATGTCCTGGTCCTGATTGTGTCCTCCTTCAGGATCCAAGGCGGGCTCTAAAGCAGACGACGTACTGTGCAGGTATGCAAAAGAAAAGAACCGCCCCATCAATGCTTCATCACTGATCCAAATTGCAGACGAAAGCGTCGCGTAGTACCGTCTCGTGCTACAGATTACGGCGGGGGTACCTCAGCCGCGTTAGAAGGGAGGGCGGGCCACTCTCGGGTCCCCTGGCAGCCGCCACGTGGGGAGCACGGTACCCGCTGCTCCTGCTAAAAAAAGTTCCGGATTCCTTGCAGCTCTTTGGCGTCGAGCAAACAAACAATCGCTCCCACCTCTCGTCTCAGCCAATCCGCCTGCTCGTTGGCAGCCTCAACGAACAAACAACGGCTTGAGCCGCCGACTTCAAAACCTTGTGGCATTTATATCGGATTCCGCACAATATTTAGCCCACGTGGCGAACAATTGGCATGGCCAGGACCAGCTGAAGGTCCCCTCAAGCCCTTGTTGCGCCTTACCCCGAAAACTGTTGGCAGGGCCGGCACAGTCTGAGGCCCGTCTCGGCATGGAGGACACAGATCGCCGGCGGCCCTGGTCGCCCGACAGTTGGAGGTGAGCCCAGATATTCAACCTTCCCTCTGCCACTCCCTCCTCCCGAATTCCCTTACATCAACCCGCTTTGCATTGCCCGTCACCTTGTTTTATGCCATCTTCGAACGTCCCGGGAGCATCGACGAGCAGGCCTCTCCCGGCACCACCAAACCAGCTCCAGCGATACGTTCCGTATCTTCCTCAGCCGGGCTCAGCCGCTCGATCTTTGACTTATTCTCCTCCGATTACACCAAGCTCATCAAATACACCAAACTTGACCTCACCGACGCTGACCTGACGCCTCTCATCACCAGCGGCAAGGAAGACATAACCGCCTACCTCCCGCACCAGCCCAAGTCGCTCTCGGGCATCGCCCTGCGCTCCTTCTGCCTGGGCATCACCTTCACCGTCGGCCTCCTCAGCACCCTCGCCATCGTCCTGTCGGGCACCGCCTCCGCGCTCTGGCGCCTCCCCTTCCTGCTCACCGCCCTCTCCCTCTTCCACTTCCTCGAGTTCTGGACCACGGCCGCCTACAACACCCGCGCCGCCGAAGTCTCGTCCTTCCTGCTCACCTCCAACCACCCGGGCTGGGCCATCGCCAACGCGGCCGCCCTGCTCGAGTGCGCCGTCGCCAACCTGCTCTGGCCCGGCACCCGCTGGGTCCCGCTGCGCGGCTTGGGCCCGTACCTGACGGCGGCCGGCCTGGCGACGGTCGCGGTCGGGCAGGCTGTACGCAGTGTCGCCATGATCCACGCCGGCCAGAGCTTCAATCACACGGTGCAGTACCGCCGGCGATCGGGGCATGTGCTGGTCACGACGGGCGTGTATTCGTACGTGCGGCACCCGAGCTACGTGGGCTTCTTTTGGTGGGCGCTCGGCGTGCAGGTCGTCATGGGCAACGTGGTGGGGTTCGCCGCGTTTGCGTGGGTGCTGTGGAGGTTCTTCAGTGGGCGCATCAGGCGCGAGGAGGAAGCTCTTGTTTCGTTCTTTGGGCGGGAGTATGAGGAGTATCGGAGGGGGGTGCCGGCCGGGATTCCGTTAGTTCCGTAAGAGCAGTGCGGGCTCGTACCGTGTGCATTTCTAGATTTAAGGGCAGGGGTAGCATATGTGGTTTTGGTGCATAGCCCGGGGTGGTGTGCGGTGAATAGACTGGGTTCCTCAAAATGCTCGCATTGACCGGGTGGTGTTATACACACTCTTTTGTTTCTGCAACGGAATATACCCAGAGAGTTGTTAGATCTTCAGTTACACAAGTCCTATCCTATGTATAGTAGTAACGCCGTTTCCCTGCCAAAACCATCCCGCTGGGCGTGTGTGAAGCTTCGGCTTATACCTGAAAAGCACGTCAGACAGCAGGACAGGAAGGCGGATGCCCCTGCGCCATCGCGCGGCTGACGCTGCCGTACTTGGCCTGCCAGGCGTAAAAGTATATGAGTGCCGCGAACGGCTGCCCCACAATGGTGAAAGAAACCCAGAAGATGGTGTTGCCCAGCAGTTTCCCGTTTGGCGACTGCATCCTTTCGAGCCGGGCGGTGAGGACGATCAGGGGCAGCTGGAGGAACATGCCTAGAAATGCGACGCCTGGTGCAGGGTGTCATGTTAGTTGATGGGCCCTTGGTTTTGTGTAGTTGGGAAAGTAAAGAGTTACCGATCATGTTATGTGTCGGCACACCGACCAGCAGCTCGTGTAGTACAGCTGACAGCAAGAAGACAGTTGTGCTCGACGCCATGTGGCTCCATCCGCGCGAGCGGAGTGGAGAGTAGACGTGGCGGCGGAAGAACTGGTACACGGGCTTGTTCCACGTCCGCCAATACATGCCTAGGCTTTCGCTGTTCCCTGCGCAAATGTGTCAGTCTCTCTCAGAGATCATTTCAAACGAGAATCTGGAGACGGAAAACAGGGGAGAGGACACATACACCAAGCCTCATAAAACTCCCTATCCCCAAACCTCGTAACCTCCGCCAGGGCATTCAAAAAGCTCTGGAACAGGGCAAAGAAACCCGCCAGCCAAATCACCAGCGAGATAGTCGACAACTTCAGCAGCCTCTCCACAATCGACACGAGGTCGAGCGTGGCGATCTTGTCGAGCGAGTTGCGCAGCACGGGCGCGGCGTACTGCGCGCTGGCGAACCATATGAACGCGCTCAGGCACACGACCTCGCCGAGCCGCTTGCCCACAAACACCCAGCGGATAGGCCCGGGGGTGCGCGGGTACGCCGGCTGGTAGACGAGCGTCGGCGCCCACCAGAAGTAGACCAAGTTCGAGAAGGTGACGTTGCGCGGGTAGGGGCACTGGTGGTAGAGCTCGGGCAGCGCATCCAGCTCGCCGCGGACCGGGTGCAGGTAGGCGTGGCGCAGGTCGCGGTTCGTGAGCGCGTACGAGGCCGTCTTAAGCCACACGACGATGGCGTGCACCTCGGCGAGGGTCCCGATTAGTGGGTGGTGGATGTGGTGATAGACTACGTATGAGGTGACGGCTAGGGCGGCCGAGACGTTGATGGCGTGCAGGATGCGGAGGGCGCGCCAGGTGCGCAGGAACTCCCGGGCTTGGTCCTGGGTAGGGCTGCTGCTGCCGTGCCGCTCCTTGGCTGTCGAGCGGGACGCGCGGGCGTTGGCGGCGGCGATGAGCTCAATGAGGTAGGCGATCAGGAGGTGGCAGGGGATGAGGAGGTAGAGGGCCAGGCCCAGCTGCAGGTCGCTTCTGCGGAAGTCATGGCATTTGATGCAGATGAGGACGCCGTACTGTAGCATGTCAGTGAAGGGCTTAGGGTCAATGAAGGTTGTGGTGACGCTACCTTCTGGATGTTCTCAATGACCAGGCGCAGGTTGGCAGCAACTGCCAATTGGGTCAGTGAGGGGCTATCTTGCGTCAAGAACCTGGGGTTCCTCACCCAGCACAATCACCATAAGATTGCGGAAGCCCAAGAAACTGGGCGTCTCAGTTGCATCATGGCTGAGACACGATGGCTTGGACGTTGAGTGGATGGCCTCGACATGGCGGTACCTTTTAGGGAAGGCCTTCCGCAGCTCAGAGATGTCCAGGGAAGCATTGGCGGACCCGTCCGCGGAGCCGTTGGCGAGGGCATCGCACGACGTTGTGACTGTGTCTTGAGCGGAGGTATGGGTGTCAATGGCAATCCTACGAGTGACGCCATTGCCGATGTAGCTTTTGGGCCTCTCAAAACCCGTGGACCCGTCCATGGGTTCTGCAGGCATGCTGTGTGTATTCAATCCCATCGGCACACTGCTCTAGAAATTAGGGGAGAAGAAGAGACAAACAAAGTCTAGTTGGGAATCACATATTGGAAGTGAGTGGCGAACAGGTCGAGTTATCAATATCCCAAAGATTAGGTACTTTGTGCTGTACGAAGCCGGATGCGAACATGAACCGGGACGCCGAGCTTGCCCCACTCTTCTCGGTAAGGATGGCTTGCCGTATTCGTCACGATATTTGAGATGGCAGTCTTCAAGATAGAATTCAATGCATCGATGACGGCGGGCAATGTCTAACATGACGGGAGACACGCAGCTCTCGTGCCCATGGATAGGACGATGCTTCGGGGCCTCTGGTGACGAATGCTGCTCTGCATTCCATCCAGCCCTGAGGTGGCAGTCTCTCCCTTTGCTTATCCGCAACGGTTACCCCACTTGTGCTGCCGCGGCGAATCAAGAGCCAAAAAACAGCCAAGGCTTGGCAGAAGCACATGCTTGAATATTTCAACTTTTCGTTGCTCCTTTTCTTTTCTTCATTCTTTGGAAGAAAAGGCAAAGTCATGTCTTCCCTTTTTACTAGCTCGTTGGTCCATAGGACACAAGAAGAAGTCCTTGGAGGGACCTGGCAAAGGGGAGGACAAGTCGGCGTGAAGATAGAAGAGAAGGCACTTGGCTGGAGGCTGTCCTAAGTTACTACTCCGTATGAATAGTTAAAGTCCAGACTCGGGGCTTTTAGCGTCAACCTGTTTTCAGTTAGCTCTTATCCCCTACTTGAGATGGTCCTGAATCAAGGCAATCAATACCTCTGACCGTAGAACCAATCAATGAAAGATAGGTTATGATCGCTAGCAATCATGTTTGGGTGTCGGGAAGAGCGAAAAGGTGGCGAGCTGAGACGTTGGCGTCGTCAGAGGAGAAGACGCATGTTTTCGGAGGAGAGGTACCGGAAGGACGAGCCACTTGTGAGTGTTGACGAACAATAGGCCTTGAGGTGTGTTGCCATTTCAAAGCATTCTCTAACATGATTGCCATGGTTGTACTCAGCCGCTTTCCATAGCGATGGTTGACAGGATCTAGATACTATTATTACTATTCGTGGCTGAATACCATGTACTCCGCATGCTCCGTTGGTATACTGGGTCCGAACTTCTCTTTGCAAGTCATGAGTACATACAAGTACAGAAAGAGACTAGCTCAACAGTATGTTTTAGATAAAAGTCGCCTGAATATTATGGTTTTCGTCAATCGACATTTAGATCCCCTGCAATGGCACTGACTCTGTTGTTGTTAGACAGTTCAAGCTTCAAGTTGTCCGGGAGGAGAGTCGCAGTTGGAAGGTCACGCTTGGCAGTTCCAAGCTGCGGACACTGGCGCACGGACCACAGCTTCATTCAAGAGGCTGTCAACTCATGATGGACAAGACGCGTCAAGTACCAAAAGGGTTCACGCTGGGGTCGCTCAGGCCATCAACTCATACATCAGCAAGAGTAGCAGCACAAAATCGGACGCTCTCGTCGATATTTTTTGCAAATCCGGCTCCATCTTCATCACCCGCATGGCATGAATCATTGTTAACGAAATCGATCTGGGTGCTGCACCCTCATATGCAACCGATGTGAAGTGCGCAAATCGCAAAATTTCCAATATCGATCGCTTCTTCACCATGGCCTACGAACCGCGCGATCACCCCGAGAAGGGTCTTGGATATGGCGCTGGGGTAGGCACTGGAGGTGGAGGCCATGATGGCCCTCCGCCGAGAGCTAGAGGCAGACGTAAGTTCACTGGCAGCGATCTCATGCTTTGGCCGACTCAACGCTGCATGGCCAAGTCGCATCAATCCATTTTGCTAGTGTCTTATGAGAGCCACGGCACGCACCGACAGCCATAGTCGTGACAAGTCGCCCATATCGCGCCTGGACGCATTACATCCGCATTGTGCGGTTTCTCTGGGCCTATCGGCTTTCCAACAACTGTCCCCATCACCGATTTTTCGTCATCTCCTCCTCGGCTACACCGAGATGGAGGCTCCGTCTCCAGTAGACTGGCTACTATGCAGTCCGGCGTTTCCAAAGACAAAGCTAACATCACCCAATGAAGGTCCTGTTACCGACTATGGTGCCACCATCGTCCACTGGGTGCGCCATCGCCAACCGCGCTGGAAGGGGTCCTACTGCGGAGAGACTGAGCGGCCCAGCAATAGCTACATAGTTGATGTGAGTCCACTCATCCCTTCTTTCGAATGGCTACTCACGAGTTGTTACAGATGCTTCCTCCCCATGCCAGGGTGACGAGCCCAGCCGATTCGGTGCCTTCGCGCCACTTGCACTCGTCTCTCAACAAGATTAAACATCCGATCAACGTGGTGCGCTGGACGCCAGAAGGTAGAAGGTTGTTGACGGCCTCTAGCAGCGGCGAGTTTACCCTGTGGAACGGCACAGGGTTCAACTTCGAAACCATCATGCAAGCGCATGACTCGGCTATTCGTGCCTTGGCCTACTCCCACAGCGACGATTGGTTGGTGTCTGCCGACCACGATGGCATCATCAAATACTGGCAACCCAACTTCAACAACGTCGAAAGCATCCGCGGCCACACGGACCCGATCCGGGATTTGGCTTTTAGCCCCACCGACATCAAGTTCGTCACAGCTTCCGACGACTCGACTCTGAGGATATTCGACTTTGCCGCCGGAGCAGCCGAGTCGACGCTAACGGGGCACGGCTGGGACGCGAAGAGCTGCGATTGGCACCCTACAAAGGGCCTCATCGTCTCGGGCTCCAAAGACCATCTCGTCAAGCTTTGGGACCCGAGGACGGGCCGGTGTCTGACCACCCTCCACGGTCACAAGAACACAATAACAAAGACTCTTTTCGAGAGAGTCCGCGGGCAGTGCCTGGCGACATCCGCCCGGGACCAAACCGCCCGCGTATTCGACCTCCGCATGATGCGAGATATCTGTCTTCTCCGCGGCCACGAGAAGGACATCTCGACCCTGACCTGGCATCCCGTCCACTCCAATTTCCTCAGCACGGGCGGCTCCGAAGGCTCCCTCTTCCATTACCTCCTCGACGAACCCAACACCCCGCCCGGCCACTCCACTTCCATCGCCCCCTACGACAGCGCCGACCCGGCCTCCACCCCGGCCCAAACCATCTACCCTGCTCACAAAGTCCCCTATGCCCACGACTTTGCCATCTGGTCCCTCGACTGGCACCCGCTCGGGCACATCCTCGCCTCGGGCTCCAACGACCGCATCACGCGGTTCTGGGCGCGCGCCCGCCCCGGCGAAGCCGACAACTTCAACGACCGCTACCACATCGGCGAGGCCGCCGCCGAGGCCCAGGGCACCTGGGACCGGCGCGGCCACCGGCACATGCGGCAGGTCGAGGAGGAGCAGGAACTCGAAGACGAGATGGACGGTTTGGTCGACCAGAAAATGCCCCTCAAGCAGCCTGGTGCTGTACCCGGTCTCGGCATCCCCGGCTTCTCACAACAACAACCACTTCTCCCGACCCTCCCAGGACTCGTTCCCCCTCCCCCTCCGCCTCCGGGCCTCATCCCGGGCGTCGGCAGCGCCGGCCAAGCACTGCCACAGCTTCCCTTCCCGCTGCCCGGCTTGCCAAGAGGTATCCCACCTCCTCCTCCTGTTCCCCTTCCGCACCTGGCCGCGGCGGGTGTGGTGGATTCCAACAACCCGCCCGATTTCGCTGCTATCGCCGAGATGATGAAGAAGCACGGCATTGTGCCGCCGCCTCCTCCGCCGGCGGGAATGTTACCGCCGGGTTTGATACCACCGCCGGGTTTGATACCACCGCCGGGGTTTGCGCACCTGCCCGGTGGGTTTCCACCGCCGCCACCGCCGCCGGCTCATATTGCTGCAGCTGCAGCTGCCGCCGCCGCGGCTGCGGCTGTGGGGGGTGGCGGCGGTGGGCATGGGGAGGAGCAGCAGATGCAGCAACGCGGGGGTGATGCTGGTGGTGGTAGTGGGAGAAGGAGGGCGCCGTTGCCGAGTCAGGAGGAGAGTTTGAAGATGGAACAGAATATGGGGAAATATACCAGGGCGAGATAAGAGCCGGATCTGATTGGGGTGGATGAATGAATGGGGACCTGTTGCAGATTGTGGACAATGGAATGAGCAGCAGTGTGAGTATAGTGGGGAAGGTGGTGGCGGAAATGGAGAGAAAAATGAAGAGAGAAGAGAACAAGGGGGTTGCGATCCGTTGACAGCGGGATAGAGGTGTCCAGCCAGAAGCCGCAGCGCTGATGTTGCTTCTGGCTTCGGATAATATTGTACAATCATCTAAGGTAAAATATGATACATCTCGTGCTCTGCTATGTGCACTCGTCAAAATACCTCAAAAGCTTGCTCTAAATTAACGCCCATTCACTTCTTCGCAAACGCCTTCTGCCTCTCCACATACTCCTTGACCACAATCGAGCAGTTCGTCTCGGCACAGAGCCTCTTCCGCCTCGCGACGGGCAGCTTGGCCGCGAATTCAAGCCCGCTCGCCCGCTCGACCGCCTCGAGCGGGACCTCGAAATCACTTAGCGGCTTGTCGTTGGGAATCACGGCATTCGGCAGCACAAACGCGCCCAGCGCCACCTTCCCGCCCGGCGCCGTCCCCTCTTCCGCATAAATGACCTTGTAGAAGTGCGTCGGAACCGCCACGCTGGGCGCAGAGCTGCCGATCACCTCGTACTTGACATACCACTTGCCGTCCGCCGGATCGCGCTTGGGCAGGTACAGCGGGCCGGTGACGACCCGCACGCTCGGATACCGCGTGGTCAGCCGTCGGCAGAAATCCTCAAAGTGCGCCCAGTAGTCGCGGTTGAAGCCTTCGCCGACCTGTGGGCACATGTTGGACAGGTAAAACGTCTCGTCCATGGCCGTCTGCGACCACTTGCAGTCGGCCGCGGGCACCTGGTGGCCGCGGTCGTAGCCCGAGCGGAAGTAGTCGGCCAGCTTGGCCTGGAACTTGTCTGGGATCAGCGGGTCCTCGAGGAAGGCGCTGTTCTTGCGGTCACCGCCGCGCTGCGCGAGCGACGCCGGCGTGATGTGCTCGGCTACCCAGTGCGGGTTGCGCGTGCGCCGGTCATAGGAGGAGATCAGGGCTTGGCGCGAGGCGAGGTCGGCCACGGGGCCGGGGAAGCCGTATTCGAAGAGGCCGGCCGGGTTGACGGGGGCGGTGGGGGAGGTGCTTGGGGTGGGGACCGGGGTGGTGGTTGTGGTAATGGTTGGGCTGCTGCTGAAGACTTGGGAGGCGGGGACCGGGGCGGGGACAGAAGAGGCGGAGGATGTTGTGCTGACGGTTGTTGTGGTTGTTGTCACGGCGGGTTTCTTGTCGGAGCGCATCGAGTACACGGCTGCCGTGGCTGCTGCCCCGGCGCCGGCGCTGACGGCCGCGATGACGGCGAGGGTGGCTTTCGACATTTTTGGTATCTCCTCCTCAACGAGTTTGTGTTATGTTCTGATGCTTCCCAACCCCACCGACTAGCTGCCGCAGAATGGTGACTTGGTGTTCGCGACGCGGCTGAAGCCGTGGTGTTGAGTTTCCTCTTCAGCCTTCCCCTAGAAATTTTGCTGGAGACGAGGAACCCTGCAGGGCACTTTGCCGGTGCAGGACTCCACTCAGGGTAATACGCCGTGTAAGATAACAAGGCACCTGGAAGCATAAAGCCACTAAAAGTATCCAACACATTGAAAAGCAACAGTCTGTGACTCTAACTACCTATACACCTCAAGATAGCTACTTGCCGGGAAAATCGGAATGTAATATTTACGAAGCATCTCAATCGCTGGTCTCCGGGCCGCCTGTCAGTCTGCGGCTGCGCTGACTGAGCCACCCGTAAAATTACCAGCCCTCAAGGTGCCCGTCGTAACAAACGGCCCTGCCCACAAGCGAGTGAGCCCGCGCTGATTTGCAATGATGGGGCGGTGAACCCCTGCCGCCGCCTGCGCGGGGGTTACACTCGGAGTCGGGAGTGGTGATGCCATCAACGGCTGCATTTTACCGCGAGCTCTATCACCGTTCATGGTTCCGGTTGTTCGATGACGAAACACGCAGTCAATAAATACCTAGTCAACTCTGACCGGTTGTAGGCCCAGAGCCAGGTGTTACAACTGTTAGAACTCAGTGTTGGCCCATTCTCCAGGCGAGAGAACCCTGGCCGTTGAAAAGGTCCTGTCCTTGGGTCACCTGCAAGGTTCCTTTTTGCAGCAACCACAGCGCCATCGAGGTTCTCACGCGGGATCACACTTACCTTTTCAGCTACCCTACCTTAAGGTGACTCGTCGCCTCGCCACCAATGACTTTGTCTACTCTTTGGAATTTTGTTCGATTCGTTGCTCCTTTTATTCAACCCTAATCCACACCAACGGATTGACAACCCGGACAGCAATATCGGCCGGCCACTCTGCGCCTCCCATACCGACTCCAGTACCTAAAGTTAACCAGGCCAGGGGCCGACGTCTTCACACGCCAAGCAGACAACAGCGCCTCGAGGCCAGGCGCCATCAACACCGGCGCCATGGATAACGACGCGCGGGGTTGGATCATGTGCGGCTTCAGCGGCCTCGCATGTATCCTCGGCGCCACAGTGGTTTGTGTGGACATCCCCATCCGCCTTCTACCTGGCAAGCGTAACTTTCGCATCCAGGAGAGCAACTCGTTTCTTGCCTCCTCCCTTAGCTTGAGCTTCGGCGTCATGGTTCGTGAATTGTTCCTAGTTCCCTGTGCCTTGCGACCTGGTACTGACCCGCGCAGTTGTTTTCGGCCCTCTACAGCATGTTGCCGTCGGCTATGCGCTATCTGGCCAAGGACGGGTGGGATGAGCACACTGCCGGCTTCCTGATGATGGGCTGCTTTGTTGGCGGCTTCTTTGGCATCCAGATTATCTCGCGCGTTTTGCATCAGTACATGCCCTCGCATGTCGTCGACTGTGATCATACCCATGACAACATCCATGATGACGAACAGGGCCACCCCGACGGCCATGGTCCATCGTGGGCCAGCAAGGGCAGCCGTTCTCGGTCGAGGACTGCTTCACCCCCGGCCGTCGTCGACCGCCCGCATATGGTCGAGCTACAGAACAGCATCACCGAATCCACGCCCCTGATTTCCACAGAAGTCCCGCGGAACGGCCACGTACATACCGAACTATACTCTGGCGACCGCGAGCCAGCAGCCGAGGCCGTCACTCACTTCCACGGCAGTCAACGTCGAGCTTCCGCCCCGGCCAGGCGACCTTCGGCGCACGTTAGGAGCAGGGTCTTGTCCTTTTTCAAAGACACCAAGGCGAACTGTGACGAGGACGGGCCCTGCTACGGCTACACCGACCCCTGCGGGCAAGAGTGCTTCAAGCACCTCGGCTCCCGCTCTGCCATTTCGCGAGCCGCCACCGCGCGCATTCTGAATGGCTCAGTACCGACGCCCCCAACCGACGGCTGCGAAGAATCATGCGACGGCCCCATCTTGCCTTCGCGATATGGCATCATGCGCACCCACTCCCACGATCACGACGAACACTCCCGCCACCACGGGCACGCTCACACTCATGCCCACGACAGCGACTCCGAGTGCGCCGAAGACTGCGAAGCCCAACACCATCACCACGTGCCCACCAACGCCTTCCTCTCGATCGGGCTGCAAACCGTCATTGCGATAGCCCTGCACAAGTTCCCCGAGGGCTTCATCACGTACGCGACAAACCATGCCAACCCCTTGCTGGGGTTCAACGTCTTCATGGCGCTCTTTGTGCACAACATCGCCGAGGGCTTCGCCATGGCCCTGCCGCTCTACATGGCGCTCGGCAGCCGCGTCAAGGCCATCCTCTGGTCCTCGCTGCTCGGCGGGCTCAGCCAGCCGCTCGGCGCCGCCGTCGCCGTCGCCTGGTTCAAGCTGGCCCGGCGGTCCAACGTCGTCATCGACAGCACCGCGTACGCGTGCCTCTTCGCCGTCACTGCGGGTATCATGGTCAGCGTGGCGCTGCAGCTGTTTGTCGAGAGTTTGAGTCTGAACCACAACAGGAACCTGAGCATTTTTTTTGCGTTTTTGGGAATGACACTGCTGGGGATCAGCAATGCGCTTGTCAGTCATTGAGGGAGGTCTTGTATTGTTACGGGAAAGCATTGTTTTTGGAGTTTGGCTTACTCGTCTGGTTATGATCCATAGGTCGCCAACGGTAGAAGCGAGGCATGGTGATCGGTGTTTTGGTTATAGGAGGTTCGGAGTCCTGGCTCGAGTTCCTGCAACGGGTTAAAGAATGGGATTCCTAGCGCATAGTCATGCACTACCGCACATATCACGCTGTGCACTCTAGCTACTGCCGTTTCAATCACATCCCAATGTGACACATAGATGTCTTGGAGCCGCGCATCGAGGAGATACCGGTCGAGGCAACCACGGATACACAAACTTCGCTACTCCTTTTCAGCGCACCACATCTCTCCCACCATACTTGCATTGCCGGCAACTGACTGATGCCCTACACTACAACACCATGACTCTCTACCTGCCGGGTAGAAACCCACGCAAAGCCCAGGAACTCCGCAGACCCATCCACAAACCAACTTTCACAGGTTCTGTAGTACGCCGCTGCAGAGCTGATCAGCAAAACATGCCTGATTAGCATAGTGGCTAATGCGTTGCACTTGTACGGACCCCCATCAGGGTCGCCTCGACGACATGCAAAGATCACAGGTTCGATTCCTGTATTAGGCATCATACCTTTTGCCGGACGAAGCTCCCTGTCTCAGACATACCGGATGTTGTGATGTTCCTCTTTCATCTTTTTCATGCGTAGGTCGTATGTCCCTCGGCGAGCGAAACAAATGGCGTGCCGGCCGGACAATGATTGTTATTTGTTGGAACCGAAGGGCAGAAGCAAACTCCAAACGGCCCTGTCGAGCCTCGCCATATGCGTTGACAAGGCGACGACATTGAACACCATGATCTAGGACAAAGCCGTCCGGGTAGTGGCCAAAAAAAGGGTTGACAACAGGAACACGACACTACTACCTGTTGAATCCACCATTACTTCGTTCACCAGACACAACCAACTGCTTAAGCAAGCAAGAAGCAATGGGCCTTTGGTTATAGCCCCGCTGCACGATCCAAATTAAGGTACTGAATATATGTAAACATCACATGTTATATAGCACTTCTAGTAAAGGCCACCAGGGGAAATGACGAGCCCTTCATCCTTGCGGGCTGTTCGAGTTTCCTTCATATCTTGGCGCCAATTCAAAGAGCATTCGGGGCTGAGTCCAGCTGAAAGACAGGGCTAAAGTTCAGGACAAACAAACCGCAAGCCTTCCAGGTTGGCCTGCGGCCATCTCGTAGGTGCTTTCCCATCCACATATCGGCGAAAGTAACAAGAACCGTTTTTGGGTTGGGTTGACGGCACACAAGATGGTTGCCAACATGGTTCAAGGGACTACGTGGTCCCTAGGCTGGGAAATGTTCACAGAAAGAAACCAACAATCTCACTCTTCAGCGTAGGTACAGTACGGATACAGATACGTGAGAAGTATCCCGGGCTTGGCGTGTAGTAGGCCCACCCCACTTGCGCCTGAAACACCAGAAGTGTGGGGCGATCTAGTTGTCTATAAGGATATTGTATCGGCGTACGGATTAGTAAGCAAAGTTACTTTGGCTAGGAGGTTTGGCGTAATTCAGTTGTACTGTAACTTAGCCATCACTTAGCCCGACACCGGGAACAAACAAAAGCTGCGAATCTCCGTCAAAAGGACCCAGTGCCTCTCGGTGTCCCGAGTCCTTTCCATTCCCTGGAACGAGGCAACACATTACCTACTCAACACCACACTCGTATTCTCCGGCAACGGCCCATGCTGACGACGACGGCCAGGAAACTAACCTCTCAGAGCCCGCTCCAGCTACTTACACGGCCGATGGACTGCATCGACGCCCCCTCCCCCCTCCCTTTCCTCCCCTGTCCGCGAATGGGGAGTCGGGAACAGCTGGCTTCCACTAACTACTCTACAGCGACGTGCAGACTACACATGAGGCGCGCCTCCCTGCCGAATCAGTTGTGGTGGTTTCTCGGTGTGTTTCGCATGGTGTCCACCGCCTTAAGCACGGCGCCGTCCCACTCAAGCGCTCCGGAATGGAATGCCCTGGATACAACCCCCGTTCCTCGACTGCATGCCGACGGAAACGGGAGGCCGGCCGCAGCAAGGGCGACAGAGAACGAAAACAAGCATTGGCTGCCGTTACACTTTTTTTTCTTTTGAAACTTTTGTTCTACGCCCGAGATCAAACAGGCGGACTACCTCACCTGTCCTAAACCATCAATAATCGACTTGGGTACTTGTACGTACCCTAATGGCCGACGGCAGCTACAGCCCGGTGTGCGGCAGTCCGTATGCGCCGAGATGGATCTGCTTGCGTACCGCATATGGCAGGCAAAAGGTGGCTGGCTGGCCGCCTGGGCGATCGGGACTGTCCGCACCCAGTCAACGAATCGGCATTTTTACGCAGCACATTTGGGACTGTCGTACGACGATGAGACCCAGGCAATTGGGCATGTGCTGATGGCTTTTGTATTCCCACACTCGCGGTGGCCAGCTCCACAGTTTACAAGGAGACCGGGAGGTCTCCGGCTGGCGACGGACTCATGCTCGCGTTCCATGATGTTGGAAAACGTCAGTGTGTCTCATCCCGTCCGATCCGGCAATACATCAGGATGCCCAGTCCAGACCGCCACGTTGCCAGCTCGGTAAATCGGTCTCTGTTGCCAATTGAACTGGATCTCAACCTGTTGAGAACCGCCTGGGTTGTGTAGACTTGGAAGTGTGCGGTGAGGGAGGGTTACACGTGCATTGTGAGCAGGATCTTTCCCCGTTTACCCCTCTCAGGGGCCGTCTATCAACACGCATTCCCCTTTGTAGGATGTTGACGTACCTCTGCGGCCCAAGCTGATGTGCCAGGTCCGATCTTGATCAAGCTCGGCGGATCGCCGTTGTCAAGGGTTTCTAATCCAGACAGGAGGAGGTGGGCGGTTACACCAGTTACCTTCTGTATACGTGTACATGACGGTTTACACGTAACCGTGGGTAAGCCGCGTCTTTAAGCTAATGCTGTACGGAGTAGTATACTCTTCCGCTGCCGGAGTCGATCTCACCTTACCTTCGACCATGCGTAAACCAAGCGTGCCCCCTCCGCACATACTGTGAAATGTTGTTGAGAACTTGGGGCATGCCCCCATTGGACATTCAGAAGGCCTTTCTAGATGGTTATAAGTCGGTCCCCCGGCGAGCATGCTTGCCTTGGCTTGGCGCGACTCCCCCACGGAGACGCAGATTTTTTGGGTTGCTGTTGTGTATCGACCAGCCAAGGCATGACTTATTAAACGGCCTTCCCGCTACCAATGAAGCCGTCCCCGCGCCGGGTTGCCTGGTTTGGATTGCTGCGTGAGAAACCGGATCCGGCCCGGTCTGGTAGGGCAACCTAGCAACTGCTTGGTTGCATGAGCTGCTGTGCGATAACCCGATTTTCGAGAACGGAAAAGAAGGGGGATTGCTGCGTTCGTAATTGCGCCCAGTCAATGTCCAGACCACTCACGACGGCCCGGGCAGCCACTGCTGGACTGCTGCAGCACGCGTCGGAGCATAACGAATCGGTAAAGCTGGATGCTGGGGCAGAGGAGCTGCAGCCATGCTTCTCTTGGCGGGGATTCTGTGGTATCCTCCTTTTCCGTGCAGCGATGATAATGCCCTGCTGCGTTGAGAGAGTGCTGGGTCCATCGAGGTGAGAATTGAACGGTCAGCAGGGAATCTGCCATAGGGCTATGAGGACACTAATACACGGTCACTGTCCTCTCCACATTCCGAGAGTCATGCAGGGTAGCGGGAAATAAGAGGCAGGAAGATACAAACGGAAAGAGACAGACGCCTGTTGATGAAACAGGCACTTGGCGGGTTAAAGAGAATGACAACCCGAAACGAGCAGGGATGTCTTTCAGGTCTCACTCACCTGATCGGTCGAGAACCTTTCGCGTTTGGTGAACAGGTACGCAAAGCTCCGAAGGTCCATTCCAGAACAGCTCTAAGAAGCCAGCCTCAGCCGAGAAAGGAACAATCGTGATGCAAACGGTCGCTGTAGAATCGAAACTGCGATGAGAAATTCGCGGGAGGCTTTTGCCCGCGGCGATGATTCAAATTAAATCATTTGCTGCGAGCCCTCGACTGTTTGGCGTGGATTGGGAACGTATGCAAGAAGAACGAGGGTCGGCAAGCCGAAAACAATGAGTGGCCAGAACTTCCCGTCAGGCTCTAGACTCAGCACCTCACTGACCCTGCTCGCCCTGTTACCTACCGCGACTCAAAATCTCAATGCATTAATTGCCTGCCAGAGTCAGTCGACGCGCTGGCTAATTATGAGACCCGCTTTTTCGGCCTCCGTCCACACATCCGGAAGAGCTTCGTCCACAGGGCGAGGTCCCTCGCACGAATGGCAGGACATGGCTTCCGGGGCTGGGATGACCTGTTCGGATGGAAAGACAAGATGAAACATCAAAACTGGCAGCCGATGCAGTAATGCAAACGGATCGGAATATACTAAGCACCCAAGGCAGATATGATTCTAGCAAGACCATGCGATCCAGCTTGGAATGCAAGGAGTCGGCCTTGCTTTCGACTTTGCCTGAAGTTAACGTTATTACCATACCGTCCCGTTGCCGACACAGTACACAGTAACGGAGGAGTGTACGTTGTTGAACTGTAATTACCGCTTAGCCGCATCCATCCTAGTGCCATCCCCGGGTGGAGTTGCAGGATGTCTTGGAATTTGGCCCACAAGGCGATTCTCGGCAAGAGGTACCGATTCGTTCCAGGGGCTACTCTGGCGTGGTGTGCGCCGCCGGTGCCCTGTCTCTTCGATTTCTGGCGATCCATCTTGCCCTTCTCTCGACCTCCTACGAAGTAGGCTCTCCATCGCTCAGTCTTTCTTTTCGTCCCGTCAGTTCACCACCTGTGTCCCGGTCTCCCACTTCACAAGGCCTTGTTTTTTCGGGCCCTCTTCTGCAGGTGTCACCAAACCCTAAACGTGTCTCCTGCCTCCGGGACAGCGTCGCGGTGCCTCGTCCTGTGCCTCGTCTCAATCAGATTATTTGGAACGCCAGGAACGCCGCTTTCTTTCAATTCTCTATCGGCCATTTCCCAGCAGACCTGGAATTTTCCTTGTTACCGCACCCTCCACTCCGCTCGTCTTTTACCTGCCTATTGCCGCCAGCTCATTCCCGCTCCTGCCTCCTACATTCGCTTCCCAGCTCGACGCGACGGGAATCGGCCGACCTTGGGTGTTCCTAAGTGAGAAGAAAAAATCAACTCGCTCCCTCTGCCCTGAAGTCATCACCTTACCGTCCGCCCGATGTCCTGGCTCCAATAGCGGCCCAATCTGCAGGTGTCAGTAATAGACACCGCACATCCTCCCTCCTCCAGCTTCCGCCATCCGACAGCGTCTCAAACCGACAGGCCGCCCACGGTAACAGTGGACAGTTTTTTTGAGACGACACCGAGCCACCTATCTGCTCCTCCTGGCCGCAGGCGTCCTTCTATTCTACCGTGCCACCGATCGTGGAAAGGTTTCCTAATACTGCATCCTTCTCTACTACTCGGCAGGTACGTATTGTTTGACGTGCCCTACCACCCATATGGTCGAGCTGCTGGCCCCGATCCTTCTAGCAAACGGCTTCCCAGTATCATTCCTTGCCCATGTTGACTGGAGTGCCCAACTTTTGTTGACTGCAACCGCTAATGTTGTGCCAGAGCGATCTTCCCACCGACTCCGAGTTACCTAATTCTTTTGCTTCCTCGCCTTGAGCACCGGCTCGCAGAACTCACACCTCGAATCCGGGGACTGCGTTTGTGACGCGGTCGCAGTGTCCATATTTCCCATTATGGCCGCCCTTGTACAAGGTTACCCCCAATCGGGCACAGTCACGGTGCTCCAGACACGACCATCATCAGCCTCGGGAATGTTGCAGTCGGTCCCTGTCCAGTCGACAACACAATTCAAACCTGGAGGCTCGCACAGGAACAGCATCCACGGTCTGCCAACCACAGCCACTGCGCCTGTCGTGTATCGCGGCGGCTCCGGCCTTGTCCAACAACAATATACTTTCAGAAACATTCCTAGTTCAAATCAGACAGCGCAATGGCAGCAATCCCGGACCCAGCGAACATCATCGTCGCCCGCAGTCCCGACCATGCGGAGCCTCGACTACCTGCAACCCGCTGTGCCTCATTCCCGGTACCCAGCAAGCATGTCGATGACCAACCTGCCCAGCACCGCAAATCCGGGCATGCACCTGGGCGTTGGTACCCGCGATGACTCTTCGCTGCCGGTGCCTGGCACCAAGAAGACCGCAACGTCGTTCCGCCCTCCGCAGTCTAACAATGGCACATCCTCGCACTCGTCGCTTGCGCCCTCCGCACCAATTCGTTCCCCCCCCGAGAGGTACCGGCGCTCAGCCCTGCGTACCGATTCGGCCGGGGCGCCGAGCCCGTCAACAACTGGTTCCCATCTTCGACCTTTGCATTCGGCCATGTTGAACAGGCCCAACAGCTTTGTTGGCTCGTCGTCTAATTCGGCTATTGATGACATTGAATTTGCTCAAGCATCGGAGGGAGTTAAACGAGTTCGCAGGCGCAGTATGCCTACGTTGGATTCTCCCGGTTTCCCCATCCACCTGACCCCGCACAACCTGAAGCAACCGGCAGAACCGAGGAGCCCAAGGAGCGCTGATAAGGATGGCAAGGTTGTCAAAATTGGAAATCACACGGTCCCGGACAAAACCAGTAACGATGAGCAGACTGGGAGCGGCCGAAGCGCTGGGGCAAAAGTGCGCCCCTCTTCTGTAAGTACCCCCGCAATCCGACTTTCTCCCATCATCGCCCGCACCATGCACAACAAACGCATTGTCCAATCATATGTGCCCCCTCTCTTTCCCACCGTACCTGGTCCGAACTGACACTCTTTCTTTCCGACGAGGCAGTCCGGCAACCGCGGCGGCAATCCGCCTAACCCCACCGCCAACCCCACCATGCCTCCTTCTGAGGAAGCTGTTGTTGTCCAGGGTTCTTCCCGGAGCGTTAATGTCCCGCCACGAAGCTCATCGAGTGATGGTTCGAACCCCCAACAGTCTCCAAGCCCGTTGCCGCGCGCGACGCCGGTGACCATGGAATCGGAGGGAGAGAGCCGTCAAGCCACGGATGCCGCTGACTCGGCGACTCAGGAAGCGGTGTTCACGCCTCGCTTCGGGAGCCCCGCTGTCAGGCAGCTGACGGAGATAAACGAAAGGCGAGGCAAGCCTAAGAGTAAGACATCGCGGCTTCGCCGTGCATTCTCGTTTGGCAGCGCTGCCGAGCTTAGGAAGGCTGCGCATGACAGCGACACCGCGGACAGTGGCACCGGCAAGCTTCACAAGGACCGGAAACCAGACGAAGCCTACGACGAGGAGCAGGCTCGGATTGCTAAGCAACAAGAGGCTGCTGGAATCGGTAACAACATCTACTCGGGTGGACGCTTCTTTCACGGGTCAACAGATAATCTCTCCATCTCGTCCACTGCATCCTCAGCTTCGATTATGATTCGGAAGATGGGCCGTGGCATGAAGAAGGGGACCCGGTCGCTTGTTGGTCTTTTCCGCCCCAAGTCGATTGTTGGCACGTCGGCCGCGGAGGCGGGTCCCGCCGAAACCACCCAGGCTGAGGTTTCTATGGTCACCGTGGAGGCTGAGCGGGAGCGGATCAACGTGAACCCCGATCCTAAGGCACAAGGGGGCGGTACCGGCTTTCCTCGCCTAGAGCGTAACTCGATCGACGCAGCGAAGGTGCCAGCGCTTGAGCCTGAGCGCCTGGGGAGTTCGGGAACAACCGACAGCACCGCGGCACGGAAGAGCTTTGTCGGTGGTGAGAAGGAGAGAGCCGAGGTTTTGGCTGCTGTTCGGAAGGGGATCCTGAAAAGTAAGTGCCTCCGCCAAGGCCGGGCCGCTGAACCACACTAACTCATGTCTGTCGTAGACCGCAGTGGCTCTTCCAGCCCATCACATAGGCCCTCGGAGACTAAGGGCTCCGCATTTGATCCACCCGGCGTCCCCTCCTCCACCGATTCTCCCAGCTCCAGCGCGCCCAGCACCCCTAACGAGGAGTCGCAGGCACACAGACGGGCCGGGACGGTTACGATTGGCAGCGAAGACTATTTTGTTTCGGCTCTCAGACTCCGCCAGGATTCTAACAAGAGCTCGCCTGGAACTCCCCAAGGGACGAAGCGCAGCGCGACATTCAGCCCGCGTATTGTCTTCTTTGAGACGTGGCCGAGCCAGGAGTACGACCGTCGCGGCGAGATTGCTACGTGCAATCGCCTGACGCCGATGCTGGCTCAGCAGATCAAGGAGGAACTGAACACCTTCAAGATGGTAAGTGACTTCACGGCATAAAGGAGATGATATTGGTTTCAGGTTGCTGACTGTTTGATAGGAGATGGAGGTTCACGAGAACTCGAAGATCTATACGCACTTTTTCTAATGATGCAGACAAATTTGGCCTCGACGTACACCCCTCGGCTCGTCTCTTTTCCTTCTTCATCCTTCGATACAGGGCCGGCGGCGGCATCGCGTCGTGTGTATTTGACCAGGATTTTACATATTCCGCTGGCGTTTCAGGTTCAGGCATTGGACGGTGTCACGGCGTTTTTCTCGCATTCCATCATGACACAGCTCTTTGCGGCTAGATTATTGCACAGCGCAGCACAGCGGTATTTTAATTACACGGCACCGGGTTAAGTTTCGCCTCGTTTGCTTGACCCTGATCGACGACTTTTGGTCGCCCCGTTGAGTGGTGTCTTGCGGGGGGAGATGGTTGGGGGGAAGAGAGGGTGCGGACATTGTGGGAGAACAGAATGGAAGCTGGGAAGAAAAGGTGGTGGGAGGCTTGGGCTTCGGAGTGAGTGGGCATGGAGCAACGAGCAGGGGACGACGACTGCGCAGGAAGGCTGACGCCCGTTCCTCCGACTTGCGTGGTTGGCCACGGAGGGGGGCCTTTTCGCCTGAGAGATGGGACACAAGAGACGAAGAAAGCGACAGCATCGAGGAGACAACAGCTTCCAACGTGTTCGTTACACGCGGCAACACTGTTCTGGTTTTATTATCCCTTCCAACTCGCTCTCTTGGTGTTGTTTTCAGCGACGAATATGGTGGTTTACCGCTCAACGTTGCTCGTGTTAGCGGAGGGTCGGTCCTTGGGTTCATTTATCTATCCATCTGGGAGGCTTGATTAATCATGATTCTCTCTTGTTCCTCCCATTTTTCTTGTCTGTTTCCATTCCTGCATTTCCCTTTCGGTTTGTGTCTCGTGGGTTTGTTTGTTTCTATGTCACATAAGTCTCTCTCCGCTGTTGCCATTGTCGTCGTCTTGGGTTCCTTGTTGTAGTGTTGTTCTGCGGCGCTGTTACTTTGTTCCGTGTTCAACTTCCCGTCTAATATTTATCTACATAACACAGCGAAGATATGGGAGTCTAGTTTTAACGTAAGATGGCGCAGGGAGTGGAAGCTGAGTGTCTGGGCCTGGGTTTAGGTGATACTGATTGCCTATCTCTGCAAATGGGTTGACGATTCTAGGCATTCAAGGGTACTAAATGAGGGAGTGGTAGTTCCATTTTTTGATCGGATCAGAGGTGCGTGAGGTAGCAGAGGCTCAGTGGAGAGGGTGGCAGTCGTCTCGAGCTTTCTCATGATGGTGATGATTCAGGAGGAGGTTGTCGTCGCAGCTCTCGCCTCGAAAGTAGGTATACAGGTGAGGTAATTGAACTGGCCTCCTGAAGAAAGTCGACTAGTCACTAAACAACCACCTTACTTCCCTGACGTTGTGAGCCACTGTAATTTACCGCAGTCTAGTACTTGCACGTAGCTTTCGTGGACACGTAATGAATGCAGTCCTTACAGTGAGCATCTTGTGATCCACCATGCTCAACGGTCGTTTCTTCTCTCCTCCCTCGGCTGGCTAGTCTGATGAACCGGTTGGTTAGCACCAAGTGTGAATGTATGACGTGCATTAGGGAATCCCATCAAATTCGGTACACATTGTAGAAGTGCCGATGCCTTGGTTGTTGTGCTAGTTGCTGTCCGCGTGACATGTCAAATGGTGTTCGATACAGTTCGACTTACTTCTTGAAGTTAACTGCCTTGGCCTTGCACCATTTCAGAAAAACGCAGGGAAGGGCGTGAGTTGACGCGCATTTGTCATGGCGGCAATTCGCGATTTCATGGTGCCATCGGCGATTTTAAATACGAGATTAAGCGTTGCTGAGCGGGTCCATTTCTCGTGGGGTGGTGGGGCTGTACGGCTGTTTCGAGAAAATAGGGGTTGCTGTCACGATACACGTTGAAGTATTTGCACTGTGCGGTGGAGCAAGGGCAAGCGGGAATCTCATCATCCCACGTTACAGTTCGGTATAAGCCAATCAGAACAAGGCAAAATTGAAAGATCAGCCTTGCAGAGAAGGCGGACGGAATTTGGTGAACGTTTTTCCTGGCTTTACTGGATTTCGGCCGAGTCGCATATCGGCACTCGTAACCTCGACCTGTATTCGGTTCACTATTGTGAGAACCACCTCGCACAGCGGTGACGAGATACACTGGCGCGCGGCTTGATTACGGGGTTCCGCGCATCGGTTGCGTTGGCGCGGTCGGTCAGGGCACGGCAATCGTTGTTCACCATGGCCTCGGATCCGGCAGCCGCAGCGGCGACGGCCAAGAAGCCGAAGCTTCATGGGCGGGCGTTCTATGAAAGCATCGGGTCGCCTAAGTACATCGTTGCGCCCATGGTGGACCAGTCGGAATTTGTGAGTCAAACCGTTCTTGCATCGAAAACGAGACTAACCACAGCTGCTGCCAGGCCTGGCGTATGCTCTCGCGATCCTTCCTCCCGGACTCCGAAAAGTCAAGATTGCTCGCCTATTCGCCCATGTTCCACGCGCGACTCTTCGGCGAAGACCAGAAATACCGCGACCGACACTTCCAGCCGACGAAGCCCGATTCTGACGCCCTGTTCCTCGACGGCAACCCCGCCATCGACCGCCCATTCTTCGTGCAGTTTTGCGCCAATGACCCGCAGGCGCTATTGACCGCCGCGAAACTAGTCGCGCCTTACTGCGACGCCGTCGATCTCAACCTAGGTTGCCCACAAGGCATTGCCAAGAAGGGCCATTACGGTTCCTTCTTGCAGGAGGACCAGGAGTTGATACACCGGTTGATCAAAACGCTCCACGAAAACCTCGACATTCCCGTCACGGCCAAGATCCGTATCCTCGACACAAAAGAGGCCACTCTCAAATATGCACAGAATGTGCTCAGCGCGGGGGCGAGCATCCTCACGGTACACGGCCGCCGACGCGAGCAAAAGGGCCACTTGACCGGACTCGCAGACTGGCAGATAATCCGCTACCTCCGCGACAGCCTCCCGCCAGAAACGGTTCTCTTCGCAAACGGAAACATCCTCCAGCACGAGGACCTCGAGAATTGCCTCGCGGCGACGGGCGCCGATGGCGTCATGAGTGCCGAGGGCAACCTCAGCAACCCAGGCATCTTCGCCGCCCCGCCGCCGCCAGGCCAGGAGCCGCGCGGGTATTGGCGCGGTAAGGACGGCCGGGGCGGGTGGCGCGTCGACGAAGTCTTCCGCCGTTATCTCGACATCATGCACCAGTACGTGCTGGGCGTGCCGCCGCCGCCGAGACGCCCGCTGTTCGTGCCGGGCGACGACACGGCCTGGCTGGTTGAGCCGATCACCCTGCCAGGCCATGAAGACGGCGACGGTGCCGATGCGAGGCCGAAGAAGCGCCGCAGCGACGTCGCCAAGGATAACCCGGTGCTTATAGCCGCTAATTTCATAGGCATGCAGCCGCACCTGTTCCACCTGCTGCGGCACTTCGTCTCGCGCCACCACGACGTGCGCGGCGCGCTCGCCAAGGCGCGGCTCGGCGACATCGACACGTACGAGGCCATCTACCGGATGGTGGAGAAGAAGGTGGCCGAGGGCTTGCTCGAGTACGAGCGGACGGGCGGCAAGAGTGTCGAGGCGGATGTTCCCGCTGCTGCTGCTGCAGGGGAAGAGGGGGGCCAAGAAGACCGGGAGAGCTCGGCCCGCGCGCTGCGCGAGTGCTGGCGTCCATGGTGGGTTGTGCAGCCGATCATCCGGCCGCTGCCCAAGGAGGCGATGGCCAAGGGCGCCGTGCAGATGAGTAAGAAGGAGAGGAAGAGGATGGCGGCCGAGATGGAGGGGAAGGAGGAGAATGGGGCGAAGAAGAGTAAGGAAGAGGACCGGGGAGATGAGCCTGCTGCTCCTGCTGTTGTTGTTGCGGAGACTGCGGTGGCGACCGAGTCCTTCGAGAAGACGACGAGTTACCCGTCGAGTGCACTGGTCAGCGGGTGAGCAGTCTCCTGGACAGTTTTCTAGTCAACCGCGGTGTCGGCCCCTGCTCTTGGCGAGATGAGCCCGCGCAAGGAGGGCACGGGCCCTGGACCGCCGTCACGGAGCCTCCGCGTTGCCGGGGGTAACTCAAGGGGTGCGCCCGGCAAGCCAGGTGCTGCCCCTTGAGCGACGGCTTTGGTGCGTCGACGCCCCATTGCACCGCTATCGGCTCCGGTTTTGCGATGTATTTGTGAACCTCAATGCAGTCGCCAAAAAGAGATGAAATGGGAGTTCTGGAGTCCGGGAAAAGAGCGGGGTGGAGGACATATACGCCAGCAACGATGTGCAGATGCAAGATTATAATCTAGAACAGCCTGACTACCGTGGTTGGTTCTTGGCAAGTTGACCGAAGACATTACCAACTGGGGTACCGTTGGAAAAATGAGCCATGTGAGTTGTTGTGGCTTGCCGCTGTTACACCGCCTTTGTTCTGCGGAATTCTCCCGCGTCTACTGTGTGGCCTGTCAGTTGTATATTTCTGGCTGTTCTTCCTCAGCTTCAGTAAGACGACGGCCATGCGAGTTCAACCCATCCTTCGACCTCCGACATGGTGCACTCTCGGCACGTGCGTGACTGGAACAAGCAAATTGACGAAACCTCGTGGCTGATCGGAAGCAAGCACATCATCCGCCACGTGCCGGGCCCTTGCGAGGCCAACTACATTTGGAAGAACGACAAAGATGGCTCGTGCTATATACTCTCTGAAGAGGTAGATCCCGTTCCTGATGCCGGCCCGCTTCCCCCCGACGGCCACGTCCGCCAGATTCACGACGCTGGTGACGCATCCGCGGTGTTCAGCTTCAGTGATGCCCTTATCCTCAAGTCAGGATTGCCGATGACGCACTCGGCGAGATGTTAAACTCTGGCGTTTCTGGCTGGAAAGCCCCTCAGCGTTGACATCAAGGTCTTTTTCATACCGAAGAGGCGGGAAAGGTCTACTTACTGGAGCCCTATGTTCCTGGCAAGCGGCTCAACGAGGCCTGGTGGGATATAGCCGAGTCCGAGAAGGGGCGCGTCGTAACCCGGGTCGCCGAGATTGCCTCGAAACTCAAGGCTTTCCAGTCCGATGCACTGACGAGCGTCGACTACGGTGGGATAGACCCCTTCCAGGAACAGAGAGACTACAGCGTAGAGGCCCTTCAACGACAATGCGAATCGCTGGGCATGGACTGTCCGGTGCTTGTGCCTTCCCACAACGATCTCGGGACAACTAACATCATCATCAACGAAGCCCGGATCGCCGTCCTCGACTGGGAGCTGGCTGGGTACTGCCCCCTGGCATGGGTGCGGACCAAGTTCGCTGTTTGCGCAGCCTTACATGTGAAGCGCGTCTGAAGCGCCGGCGTCGAGACAGACAGCGAGTACAGGGTGCGTGTCGAGCAGAAGTTGGGAGAAATGGGCTTTCCCGAGGTGAAGGAAGAATACAAGAAGATGGAGACGGAGCGTCTCCTGGAATAGCGGAGAAACCGGCCATAAATTCAGATGGAGGGCTATCATGCCGAGTCCAAGGACCTAATAGGCCAGGTTTTCTGACCTGTGGTGCGCAATGCCAGGGTAGAACGTTTTTGAATGCGAGACACGCTTCCGAAAACTATGGCGACAGCCTCTGGGTGCCTACTCAATACTCTGGGTCAAACAGACAACAACGGAGCCCAGATCAAAACCACCTGTGAGCAGACAAGGAGAGGAAATTTGGCGAGGCGGATCAAACGAGAGTAAGGATATCAGCGGGAGAAGATGCCCACTTCTCTGTCTCATCCCAAGCCTGCATTTCAACATACGACTCCCCAACTAAGCGGTGCAGAAGCAGTCCATCTTGTGACGATATGCCGGCATCGCGAACGAGGAACGGAAAGCCTGCCCCGGCAAACCTGTAAAGCTGATCTCCAACTTGGGCCTCGGGCCGGAGCCAATCCCACGTATCCCGTATCCAAGATGAAAAGGCGTCGCGAATGACAGTTCCGCAGCAGGGGTTGCACGCAGAATCGGCAACTTGGCTTGGACTCGTTCCCCGCCAGATGGAATGGTATCTCGGCATATGAGAGCGGGTCTTCCTCCCCCAGCAGCCCAGCAGCACGCATGGCAACCGAGGTCTTGTCCATCAGTGTTGTGAATTTGTCCTCGGGCGCGAGGAGACGTCCAGCAGCGGCTTCCCGAGGTGAGTGGCGGTCGGTTAAATATTCGGCTGAGAACATACGCAAGCTCGTGTTCGCGGCCATGTCAAAGTTCACCTCGATATTGAAATAAGGTGAATGGACTCCATGAACCTCCTGGCCCGCATATCGGAGCATGCTTTGCCACTGAAGCGGAAAATTTCCCCGGCCGGCTGTGTACGTCGGTCCAAGTTTGGCGACCCTTCCGGCCGGGTATCCCATCACTTGAAGCCCCAGCGGCCTCCGACCCAAACCCAGGTCAATCGGCCTAGTCCAAAGAAGCGAGTCGTCCAGTACCCGATCGACTTTCCACGGCTCCTTCTTCCAAACGCGGGCTTTGGAACAAGCAAGGCATGTTCTGGTGTTCTCGTCCCCAAAGACTGCACGATCCGGGGCGACACTCTAGTCAGGCGCCCACGAGGGGAGGCCAATCAGATCCGAAACGCCCTGCACAAAGGACAAGCAGCAAAGCCATCCGGCCCGATGAGTGCGGCGGCGCAGTCAGTAAACACCTTGCAACTGAGTCGGAATATGTCGGCTCCAGGTTTTCAAGCCGACCGTGTGCGCCGGAGGAAGCAGGCAGAGACATCAAAGCGTAGACCTCGTCGCGCGGTTCGAAGCCTTGCAATGTCGCGCTTGTGAGAGCGTGCAAAGCAGAGAAGGGTAGACGCCGGGCTCAGTACGAAGAGTTGGTACATCCTCCCCAAAGTCCATGCCTTCGTCCTTTGCGGCCGCGGAAAACAACATAGGGTAGCTTGGCGAGCCATTTCTCCGTCGTGTTCCATTGATAGAAAGTCTGGATGGCAGCAAAGGGCAGAGTGTTGCGGGAGCAGTAGGCGACTGCATCCCCCGCGAGGAGGACTTCTTGGATGACCCAGACGCGACTGAACCAGGAGCGGTGGAAGAAGCACCTCAGCGCGTGAATGAGTCTGTCTGCTTCGGGGAACACCACCTCTGCGCCCGTGGGGCTGTGGTTGTCCATCAGAAGTTCGACTGCCATGTCGCTGTCGTCGGCGGTTCCTCCCAGATGGAGACGACGATGTTTCACGCGCCGGAGTATATCCGCGCCATAAGCGTGACCTGGTGGTTTCTCTCCGCCACGTCGCTCTGGTTGATGCACATGGCGTCGATCCAGAGAGCGCGGGGGCTGTCAGGGAGTCGAAGACGGCGCAGAGTGCTCAAGCAGTTCGGTGTGATCGGAAGGGCCGGAATGGCCCGTCGACGGAACTCTGTGACACAGTCACCTTCTCGGACGAGTCGCCCCATGTGTACGACAAGGCTTCGTACGGAGGGGCGCTGTTGAGCTCGGCAGACAGCAGTTCTTGAGGACGATCTCAGCCTCGTCTACGACAGAGGGAAGAAGCGAGATCAGTCGGATCTGCTGTGGACTGGTCAGAGCCGGGCCCGGGTGGTCAGGTCGCAGTGCCTTCGTCATATCTGGGTGGCTGTTGATGATTCCGGTATGTATGTAAGGTAGGTAAATATTCCCGTCCTTTTTGCGACTTGAACGATTCCATGCAGTCTCAGCCACATACAAGAGGTGCTCGTTTTATTGGTGGCAAGCAGCATGGCAGCCTGGTACCAGTGTTTAGCACAGCTGCAGATGCGCCTTACCTTTTCCAAGGTACACTCGCCGAGTTGGAACGAGCCCCGCTTGGTTGTTACGATGTTGATGTCAGCACTCAATAGGCCTTTGAACATGTTCGGATGAAGTTCTAGATGTTTAGATGGATGAATTAGTGGATCACACTATGAGTAGAAATCAAATAAAGGAAGGTAAGGTATTTGTAGCCCCTCAAAAGGAAGAAAACAGCAGACACTGCGTACGACTGGCTAAATAGAAGAGCAGAGTGCGAATAGAATGCCGTTTGAAAATGTAAAGTAGAGGGGGCGACGTGGTTCAGGCATGATATATAGCTTGTGAAAGAAGTAAAGAAGTATTGAGTTATATCGTTATGTAACTTTCTAGTGTACCCGACCCTTTGAGCTGAGGTAATGTAGTTAATTGAACTGAGGCAATTGTTACTCACCGCCTCGGATTTCAAGGAAAATCAAGGGTAGCTCCTGCCGGTCCGAGCCCATTTCGGCACACCTTCCCAACATAAATAACACACGAAGAAAGGAACGATTTCCTCTCTCGCAGCCGCCCGAACTGAATCAAGCAGACATTGAGAAATCATCGACCATGGCTGCCCAAGATCAAACCACACCTCCAACTGGCAACCCTTCCCAACTGGAATCCGACCAGGCCACCCTCGCGCACATCACCCAGTACCACTTAACGCGCTGCACCTCCTCGCCCATCTACGCTTTTGTCCTCGGCGACGCCACCAATCCGTTGATCCGCTTCACCTCGGCCCGCAAGGGCATCTTCACGGCGCGCCTGCGCCTTGCCCCCCAGCACCTCAACTCCAGCGGCAGCATCCACGGGGGCGTGTCGGCGACGTTGGTGGATTGGGCGGGCGGGCTGGCCATTGCGGCGTGGGATCTGCGTGGGAGTACCGGGGTCAGTGTGGATATCAATATTTCGTACCTCTCCGGGGCGAGGTTGGGGGACGAGGTCGAGGTTGAAGGGCGGGTGGAGAAGGTCGGCGGGAGTTTGGCGTTTACGGAGGTGAGGGTGTTCAAGATCGATGAGGCGACGGGGAGCAGGGGGGCCGTGGTTGCTACGGGGAGGCATACCAAGTTTGTGAGGGAGAAGAAGTGAGGACATGTGAGTGCCTACCAACTAACTAGCTGATGGTGACATTTACCTCGCCCTTTGGCTCCTTCTCGGACAGCACCTCGGTGAAGAATTGCACCACCTCCTCGTCCACCAGCGGTTCTCCCATATCAATCGGCTCCCCCTCGTCGTCGTCATTATCTTCATACCACCCATTCCCGAAAAACCACAAACTCCCGCCGCCAGTATGAAAGTCAGTAATGAAACCGACCCCGTTCGCTGGCCACTGGTTGGGGGGTCGGCATTCAAAGTCCGAAAGCGCCGGCATCTGCGCTATGGCACGTGCAATAGCCTTATATAGGGGGTTGATCAACTTACGGACAGGCGAGATGCGGAACCTGTGCTTCTTGGTGTATGCTGGGTCGTCGAGCTCCGGATCAGGGTCGGTCGGACCGGTAGCTGCAGGTGCATCACCATCAGCACCGGAATTCTTGCCTTCTTTGTCCGAATCTGTTGCGTTGTTCTCGTCGTCCTCGGTCTCCTCCCACTGCTCCCGATTAATCTTTCTCGCCATCTCGCCTATGGGACGCTGAAAGAGCCATCGACCGTCGGGGGTCACGATCGGCCAGTCGACCCGCAGATCTTGCAGAGAGGCACAGGGCCATCTGTCAAACTCGAATTCGTCCACCCAACTCTCCACATCCGAGTCGTTATATTCCTCATATTTCTCTTCCCCGTCCTTATTCCCGTTCTCGTCGCCTTCCCGCCAGAAGAACTCTTGGCCGAGGATGGTATTGCCAACATCAAGCACCCGGGTGCTCCACCGTCGATAGAACCGCCGCAGGCTGAGACTGAGGGCGTCCTCTGTCTCGCCGGGGTCGAGTAGGTTTGGCGGGTCACAATTGTGATCACGCGGCGGCGAGGCAGAATACGCAAGAGACAGCTCCCGCAGCCGCATTGGCAGCCGGTCGATCATGGCAGCCAGCGCCCTGCGCCGGCGCTTCCGCTCCTCCAACACGCCCCGTGGCCAATCCATCACGCTCAGATTCAGCTTGGTCAGCTTAGTGCACCTGGCCACAATCAGCGCCGCCGAGTCCACATCCACGGCGCGCGGCATTTCCCTCCCGCGATACCCAAATCGCTGAATACTCAGCTCACCCACATCCTCCAGCTCCGTAAGATCCACCACCTCCTTCTCCTGCAAATACTGAATCACCGACCTCTCATACCTCCGCAGCGGCGACACCGGCCGCAGCCTCCGCACCAACCGCTCCGACTCCTCCGGCGCAAGCCGATCCACATCGCTGGGCGACCACACGTGCAAATGCAAATCAAGCGCCTCATCCCTGGGGCGCCGCCTCCGCCTGCGCCCGGGCTGCTGCTGCTGCTGCTGCTGCTCGACCTCCCAGCCGCGGAGCAGCCCAAACAGGCCGCGCACGGCCGCGGTGAACACCTCGCTGTTGCGGCGGTGCTCGGCGGGCGTCTCGGCGACGCGGCGGCGGGCATCGTCGTAGGGGTCTAGCTGGATGTTGAAGGTTAGTGAGCGGACAAGCGGCTGGCGGGCGGGCGTGATAATGCGCGCCGCGTCGGCGAGGTCGTGTTGGGAGAGCGTGATGGATCGGAAGGTGAGCGGTTCGATTACGGTTTGCCAAGCGCGTGAGGTGGCGGCCAGGGAGGCGAGGGAGGTGTTTGATTTGATAATGAGAACCTGTTCGTGGTCGTCATGGGGTTCTTCTTGTTGCTTGTTGGTGACGGAGTAGAGGATGTTGGAGATTATATCTCTGGATAGAGAGGGAGTCAGCATTGTGCATTTGTGAGCGTGTGTGTGCTGCTGGCCAAGGTATGTTGAGATTGTCCAACAGGTTCAATCAAGTCAGCACTGCCTGGTGACAGCATTGCCGGTCGTCATGGCAACTTGATTCAAGGATTTGAACCTCGAGTGAGGTGGTTGCCTGATGTTGAACCCCACTACTTAAGCCAAGACTCTTGCGCTGTTGCATTGGTTCTGTCAAATTAAGATACCTCTTTGGGCGTCCTGACATGAAACGTTGCCAATTATTTCATTCCACCATATACCAAACTAGGTGCGTTGCGAGCCACGACGCCTTAAATGCCAAATATGCGCATTTTGATGTAAACCTAATATTGTACAGGGGCACGGCATCAAACGTACCAGATTCAGCGTTCAATTTAGAATAGAACCTGCCATGAAGCCCTGGACTTGAAACGTACAGATCAGGGGGACTCGAGAAGTGTAAGAAAGCTCTTCCAGTTTCTTCTGGCACAGGCTCCATGTTCAACCTTTGTGAGGATAACCAGCCCCGGGCTAAGGTTCCATACAGCTCAATCGATTCTAATCTCAAGGGTGTATTTGAGAACATGAACGTGATCACACCAAGCCATTTTTAAAAGGTCGAGATGAATCGAGCGACCGATTTTGGATTCCTGTCCAACAATCAGTGTCCCTAACCAAAGTCTTTGTTGTTTAAACTAGAAACTAGAGGTCTCAGTGGTCATTTAGTTAGACGTCAAAGTTATAGCCAAATCGTAGTACCAAATCTTGCTGTTTGCAAACCATAAGCAAGGAGCTCGCCATCACCGCCGCTCTCACATCACCCACCAATCAACCTATCTATTTCCTACTCGTAGTACATAATACAAGTCTTCCATCATCCAAATCGCAAATCTTCCGAGACACGTTTAAATCCAGCCAACCCATTACTCGTCACACCTGACACACGGAACAATTCTGACATATCTCTCAAGCTCCGCCTCACCGACGGCACCTCCAATTGTAGCGACCATGCCAGAATCCAGCCAAACCCGAACTCCGCCGCCTTCGGTGTCGAATGCAGAGCCGTTCGCAGACGGCTCTCAAGCTGCTCCGCCTAGCCCTCCACCTCCGCCTCCGCTCCCCCCGCGGTTGGTTAGTGCGCGGCCTTCCCAGTCCGTCTCGCCCCGGACCTCTCATTTCCTGAGAAGCTTGCCGACATGCCGGAAGACTACCTACTTTAGGGACCGTCGGAGCCGCCGCCGTACGTGCGCAAGCAGTATACTACTCCTTTCATGGCACCTTGATGAATCCAGCAATCCTGAAAGGAGTTCTGGGACTCATATCCGAGCCGGTTCTGCGCAGCGCCAAAATATATGGCTATGAACTCGCTAATTGGGGCCAGTACAAGACCCTTTTTGACGGCAATCAAGGAACAGTGGTGACTGGTCGCGTCCTACATGGTCCAGCCCATCGAGGAGGAGTACAAGCTCGCATACTAGGAAACCAACGCGTACAGTCTAGCACCCTGCGCGATATACTTTACCGACGGTCCGGACGGAAAGGAGGACGAGGAGCCCACCATTGGTAAAACTTTCCGGTATGCCGGAAATGCTCGGGCACTTAGGGAAGGTCGCTTGACCAAAGGTTGTGGGAGATGCAAATGGGGACACGATTGCCGCCAAGTGGCATAGCTGAGAACGGGGTGTCCAGGAGTAGGAAGAGGCGGAGCAGGACATGGAGGACCAGGAAGTGAGGAGAAAAGCAATACAGGGAGCTTCTCTTCGAGACACGAGGACTTCCTGGCCGGCGGTACCCAAGGTCCTGCTTGCGAACTCAGAGACCGCCCTGTGGTAAGAGTGCAACGAGCATGCCAGTGCGAAGCCGAACGCTGTCATATCCAAGCCAGCCTCGATTGTCCATGACTCCGTTGCTCTACGGATAACCACCGCGCCCGTACCGTGTAACGCCGGAACCCAGCCTCTAACCCAGCAACCCCGTCGAAACCAGCACCATCACCAGAACCACCCCTATCGGCATCCACCCAACCACCCCGGCCGCGCCACTGACTCTCCCAGCGCCATTATTCCAGAGCATTACGGGCTTCCCGAGCTGCGGCGTCTGGTCAACACTACAGACCGCCCGACACCCACTCGCCTCCCCACCATCCCTTTTTCTGTTCTTCGCCCTACCCTCACCCTCCTCGGTACTATTATACACCACCTCAAGCCACTGCACCTGCAAATACGCCGCCTCCCCCCGCGTCATATTCCCCGTCCACCCTCCCCCGTCACTCCACGCATTCAAGATGATGTTACTCTCGTCCTTCGGCGCTTGGAACGCAATCCTCGCCACCTCGACGTCATCCACGTACCACGCCGTCACCCCAGGCGTCCAATCCATCCGGTGCGTCGCCCACTCGGTCCATACCTTCCCATCCGGCATGGTCGCGTTGCGCGTCGCGTCTGGGACGACCTCGTCGGTGCCCTCGTCGTACGCCGGCTGATTGGTGTAGTGGATCAGGCCCAACGGGTCGGCCGTGCGGATCTCGAGATCGGATTCCTGCACCTCGGCCAGCGTGGGGCCGTCGCGGTAGGTGAACATGGCCGTGACGGCGCCCGCGGCTCCAACAGTGCGCGCGCGCATGCGCAGCGAAAGGTACCGGAAGGAGGTCGAGGCGGATTCCATCTCGGCGGCGGTCTGGAAGGTGGCGAGGCGCTGCGTGCGGAGAGTGAGGTGGGTCTCGCTCTCTTGATTTTGGGCAGCAGGGTTGGATGATGATGATGATGATGGTTCGATGTAGAGGTTGTTGGGCGAGTTGACCATCAGCACGGTGGCGTCGGTGCGCTTATCGCCGTGGCTGTTGTTCCAGCTGCCGAGCATCCAGAAGCTGGTCCATTCCGCGCTGGTGAAGTAGGCGCTGGTCGGGTCGGCGCCGGGGCTTGACGCGGCGTCGTCGATAACGTCGGGCACGCCGGCGTACTGGGAGAGGCGGCGGAAGTCGAAGAAGCGGTGCTCTGTGAAGTAGCTGCTCTGGTTGCCGTTGGTGAGGTAGCAGTTGCAGCTTGAGTCCTCCGTCAGGGTTGGGTCTGCTGCAGCCAAGGGGACGGTGGCTGATAGGAAAAGGACGAGGGGGGAGAGAGAGGCGGGCAGACAGAGTAACCGCTTGCGCAGTTCCATTTCCGATCTCGTCAAAGGGAGGAATTGGTTCTGAGATGGTGGTATACGTCTCAATCTCAGGTCTCAGCACGGGCTCGTCCTTCGTTGGGACCGGTAAACGATGCGAAAGACCGGACTGGCAACAGCATGCAAGAGTACATACGGAAGCCGTGAAAAGGGCGGATATCTCCGCTTCAAGAGAGCGAACTCATATACGAGGGAACGTGTGTTAATACAAGGACGACGGGAGAGGTCGCTCGATATCAAACACTAAGGGCAAGTCGTCTTTCCCAGGCGCCGGCCCGGGGTGAGATGGTCGGACGGTTGTGGCTGTTATAGAGCCACCATGAACGGGTTACAATCTGTTCCAGAAGCTCATGCGAGTGCATCTATTGGTCAATGCCTTGAGGTTGCGGCGGTAATCCAGACCAGAGTTGGAGCGGACCGCTTTTGACGAAGTAACCCAGCGGGTCAGCGATGCTGGCGACCTGTCGGGCCGGAGCATGAGACGCATAGCCCAGCGAATCGGTGTCTGTTTGCAAGGGAGACAGCAGACAACGGCCAGCGACGAACATGGCCGCCGCCCAGGATCAGCATTTTGCCATACAAGGTGTACGTAGGTTGGCGGGACAGCGATATATCCGGCTAAAGAGCCCGCGGCCGGAGGGCCTAAAAATGGACCAGAGGACGACCGCGATATTGACGGAGACTCTCGCCGAACCTACGACAAACCCCAAGCCCAGGCTTACACCTGGAGTCTAGATGCTACCATGGCATGCCTTGAGTTATCGCAGCCGTTGAAGTCCCCCAACGTAAGTCTGAACGTGAAACGAGCTAGTATAAGGAGCGGAGGTTGTTTGTTCGATGACGCCCCTGTTTCCACCCAAGCGGGATATAACCGCAGGAGATCTGCAACTGCGTATGACATGGTCAACGGCGGCCAACCGAGAGATCAGTGGGAACAGTTATCAACCATTCCATATACCGGAGCATAAAACGGCTACGATGCAGTTCGTAGAGCGATTTCGGCAACTCGATTTTGAATGGGAGCGTGAAAGGATAATGAGTCTGTACATATTCCACCAAAGAATTGCTATCCGGGCGGACCCAGAATCGTCGCAAAGACTGGCCATCCTCTAATATGCTGAAGTCGCCGAGTTGAGGAACAACCTGGAAGCGAGTTCGATGTTGACAGACCAGACTTTGGTGAACAAAGTGGATTGATTTATTAACGTCATGTTTTCAGAAGCCTCACTGAGACGCCGATCTTACAATCTTGGCATGCAAATTCCCGATCAATATGCAAGCCGTAACCCGATTGTCGCATAGGCCCCTGAAAAGCATCACATTTTGCTCGCTAGGTGCATTTTCCTTCTCAAGTTCACATCTCCCACTTCGACCTGGTCTACCACATCTACAGAACTTCTAACGTCCAACTCGAGTAGATCTCAGCAACTTGGCGTCAAACTCTTACCTTATACTGCACGCAGAGTTGGTTTCTGTCGAGGAATGAGGGTTGCGGCCCTTGCAACTGGGGACCCGGAAGATTTGCGTGCAACTGCACTCTCCCATTGGGAATAGCTTCACCATGTCGGACTCCGACGTAACTAAAGCTTCAGCAACGCCTTTCAAGGGCACCGTCGAGGAATTAGAGAAGCACCTTAAGGCTGAGAAGGGGCAGAGACCTGAGCCAACTGAAGACCAGGAAACGACACCATCCGCCGAGGCGAACAACGGCGCTGCATCCCCTTCAGCCTCGCATTCCGAGGGCGAGTACTCCGGATCCGACGCCGAGGAGCGTGAGACCGGGATACCAGACAAACCCGCCGTCGACGGCGCACAACCGCCCCTCCCAAACGAACCGCTCCCAGACGAGGCACCTCCACTCCCGAACGAGCCGCTCCCCTCAGATCCCGCCGCGCCACCTCTCCCCGCGGAACCCGTACCCGAACCCGAAGACGACGGCTGGGAGTTTCACTGGAACCCCAACGACCAGTCCTACTGGTTCTACAACCGCTTTACCGGCGTCTGGCAGAAGGAAAACCCGCGGGTGCCCACTGCCACCACCATCCCCACCACCACCACCACCATCGTCCCTTCAACTTCAATCATCCCCGCCCCAGCCGCGCCCGGCACCGATCCCCAACAAACCATCCTCAGCAACCCGACCTCCATCGCCGGCGGCTACAACCCAGCAATACACGGCGATTACGACGAAAACGCCTGGTACGCGCAACCCTTCCGCCCCACCACCACCACCACCTATCCAGGAGCAGACCAACTACAAGACCAACACCCAGAATACATCACAGCAGCCTACTTCAACCGGCACACGGGCCAATGGCAGACGCCCGACCAGGCGCCGGAGCGGCACTCGGACGAGGCCAAAGCGCGGCGGCAGATGCGCGCCTTCTTCGACGTGGACGCGGCCGCCAACATGCACGACGGGCGCAGCCTGAAGGCGGAGCGGAGTGGCATCAAGCCGACCAAGGCGGAACTCAAAGCGTTCAAGGAGCGGCGGCGGGCCAAGAAGGAGGAGAAGCGGCGGGCTTGGTTGAGGGATTGACGCTAATATTAGTTCCCCTTCTTTCTTTCTTGGCCCTGTCGCTTCCCTTCTGAGGGGGTTTGTTGGCGGCCGATGCGAAGGAAAATAAGAAAAGGGGCGGGAGATATACGATTCCGCTGCGGTGCCTTTCGCCGTGGTTGTTGCTCATGGGTGGATGGTGGGCTAGGTGGCTCAGCAATTGGTCAGCTGGACCAGCTTGATGATTTGCAGGGTGAAGGGCCGAGTGTTTTGATATGGGCTTTGTTTTTGGCAGCATTCAAAGGATACGGGACAGTCTGGCGCGAACAGCAGAAGGCATGCAACTGGTCAAAGGTAAATGGTACAGGGGTTTGAGCGTTTGGCGCGAAATTAAAATAGGGGCTGATTTCTGGGTAACTGAGTATGGAGCGAGCCCCAAGCCTGACATCAAAGGGTGACGAAGCACCACTAGACGAGATGGCAGCTGGGACGCACACAGGCAACGTCCGTGGTGCGCATGTCGAATCATCTAAACAAAACAAGATACACAACCAGCAAGATTCTAGATGCATATTTCTCTTCCTCGCATTGGTGTGGAATGAAGTGACCAGGAGGGGCTTCATCCCACCCGGAGAACCAGATTGACCAAATCCGGTATGAACGCTTGTCATGACGCACGCTACGCAAGGCAAACTGCAATATGGCTCCGCCAGCTCATCAATGACGAGCAGGTTGACTATCCATCACTGGCCTTGCAGGCGACGGAATATACCAGCTCTTCCCGTCTGTTTCCAGGTCCCAAGCGCCGCAGGCAGCAAATCGCGGCATCAAGCCAAACCATGCGATCTGAATCAATCCATGATGTCTTGTACAAGTACAAACGCCGCCCCCTTCACCCCCCTTCCTCCCTTCTTTATCGCGCGCCTTGTACCACCTACCGCCCAACATTCGAAACCGATTCAAGGTATGACAAAAGGAAACTGCGGTCCGCCGGCGAAATGGGCGTTTGACTACCACGCCGCGATCCATCGGCAGCCGCACTGCCACTGCCGGTCGCGGGTTCATTGCCGCCCGCCGAAGCAAAAGACGCTACCCGCGACGACCGCGGCGTGTCCGGCAGCTGTTGGTGCTGGTCATACATACCAGCAGGCTCCTTCCCCTTGGCCTTCTCTTCGGCAGAGAACCCCTTGACTGCCGATGACGGCTGCTGCTGCTGCTGCTGCTCCTGCTGCTGCTCCTTGCTAAAGAGAGACAGCAGCTTTTGCCTCTGCTCCGGGTTTGAGTCTTTGCGGCGCTGGAGCATGCTCGTAGGCTGCTGGAAATACTGCTGGTGGTGCTGGGATAACTGAGCGGGATGCGTGTTGAACGGAGACTGCTTCGCGTAGGGGGCACCGGCTGCTTGAGCGGCGGCGTAGGTGAGCTGGGGTGACCGCTTGGCTTCTTGCTCCATCTGCTGCAGAAAGCTGCGCTCCCGGGGTGATGGCAGGCCCTGACGACCCGTTGTCCTGCTTTCTTGCGGGCCTACACGCTGCTGCAAGCGTTGCATCTGAACCTGGGTACTTGCGTAATCCTGCAGCTTCTCCGGCTCTGCCTGCTTCGGCCGACTCAAAATCTGGACTGCCCGGTATGGAAGGCTAACCTCCGGATTTATCCTCACAGGTGTGCCGTTAGCTTCCGAGGCCGATGCTATGGTTTCAGCGGCTGAAGGTGCCTTGTAGGCGGGGCTGCCTGGGTCGTTTCTCCTGCCAAAGCTGGGGCTCTCCTGGGTCGCCCCGGCTTGCATCCTGATCTCGTTGCTCAAGGGAGACTTGGGGCCCGATTTCTTGAATATATCCAGCAGCGCCGTCCGATGCGAGTCTGACGGCTGAACATGCTTGTGCCCAGGCTGGGCTTCCGCATGCTGCATGGTGCGGGGCGATACTCTCAGCGGCGCACCGTACACCATGTGTTGAGGCAAATACGGGGCTGCGGGATTCGAAGCATGTGTGACAAGAACATTTGTCCACGGAGGCTCTTGATACTGGTGCTGATTTCTGGCCTGCAACGACGCATTTTCCTGAGTATTATCTCCGGGCGCTTTGTTTTCAGCACTATCCCGAGAGCCGCTCTTGAAAGTGTTCAGTAGTGTCATTGCGTGGCCCGTCAACTGTTTCGGTTTTCCAGCTTGCTGTTGAGATGCGTAGGCGCTGTTCAAATGAGTATTCGATTGGTTTGGAGGCCCTTGCTGGAAATGCTGGCCGCTTGACTGCGGGTGTGGACCGGCCCGCTGGACATACTGCCCGTCTTGACCAGCTGTATCTGGAAGACCCGGTGTCGGTATGATATCCCTGGTAAGAATGGACTGCTGAACCTGGGGCGGCAACGGTTGCGGGTGCAGGAGGACGGGCTCGTTGCGGTGCTGCTGCGGAGAGTTCATGAACTGATTCTGGCCGTAGACGTGGGTTGGGACTTGAGCAGATGCCCTGCTTCGCTCGTGATACCCGGGAGCTGCATTCTGCACCGAGCTAGGTGGGAGTGGAAAGTTTGGTGGCGGCTGATGATCGTGAACCGGCAGCCGCTGTGCGATATGGTGGTGATGCGGACTGTGCGGTTCAGGAGCATTGGTGTAAGTGAGATCCAACGGTGTATGTGGATTCTGCGTCGGCATATCTGCACCCCGTTGCAGAAGCGCCATCAAAGCTTCACCCTTGCCTGCATTCGACGCCGCCGAGCTCGTCTGTTGCAAGCCCTGAGTGGGTGGTCGCACCTTGAGGAGACGCTGAAGCTCACGCGTTGCGCCCTCCAGCGTCTCGATGGCAGGCCTGCCGTTTGAAGGTGGAGGGACCGGCTCGGTCTGGGTCCCAATGTCATCCTCGGTGAGAGGCTCCTCGACTTGGGCCTGGATGGCCAGCTGAGGATTGTTCACCGCCGCCCGGGCGGCATCTTTCTTCTTCTGCTGGACTACCCACTTTTTCAAGGGGACCAGGAAAGGCGCGACCATGTAGAACTTGTTCGCGTTCGACGCGGCGGCTGCATCGTCGTGGGAGTTGTTGCCCTTCTTTCGAAATGCGGGCAGCTCCGAGAGTTTGTACCATTCAACCTTGCTAATCTCCTTCCGCGTCTTGGGTTCGAAGGCGGTGTCCATCGGAATGTTGCGGAAAACATAAAGGCGGATCTGCTGCTCCCGCATGGAAATTTGAATGTACTTGACCTCATCGGCCTTGGGCACTAGCCCGGCCTGCCTGATGTCGAAGCCTGTCTCCTCGTATACTTCGCGGATGGCACAATCGAGGTCGTCTTCGTCCTTGTTGATCTTGCCCCTCGGAAAACTCCAGTTTGCGCCCTTCTTCCAGCCCTTGACGAGCACGGTCGAGTCCATGGCCTCATTCAGCAGGATGGCGCCCCTGACGGGAACCCGTGTCTTGTATTGCATGAACTCGTCAAACGCGCGCATGTGATTCTCGGCTGAGAAGGGGGCCAGCAGCGGACAATGCTGGAATATGCGAAGGCAGAAGCTGCGGAGGGACATAGACGGCAGGGTGGGGTCCAGCGGGCGGATGAAGTCTTCGTAGAACCATTGTGCTTCTTCAACTTGGAAACAGATGCGCGCGACTGATGAGAGGTCCTCCTTGGGGAGGTGGATGATGAAACGGACGCAGAGGTCGTCAAGCCCTGGCAGCGAGTCAGCAGGCAAAGACCAGGCAAGGAAGGAGAGGGAACCTGCAGTCCTCGAGTTGCATCTTGGGTTCTGCCATGGCGAAGCCTTGTATCGAGCATATCCACGGCAATGTCTGATATTTTGAAGGGTTGTTACTGGAGTGATGGGAATAGAATGATATGGCTCAACTCAATCTCGCGCAGGTTGTCGGGTAACTTGGTATGTGGTTGTGATTCGGGTCGCAGAGCGGGGCCGGGCAGCTGCGGGTTCTCCACCAAGGAATGTCGGAACTGAGCACAACAGTGACAGGATCAACGCCAGCTCACCGATGCGCTGTGGTGGGGAGTTCCAGTTCAGCGCTGAGGAGCGAGAGAGAACAGTTGACGTTATTAAATGTCGGATATTTTGGGATCTCAAAGCTGACGAAGTCAACTTGCAGATTCTGACAACGCCGGGCTGCGATGTGTGCAGACGTGGATGGTGTTGATTTGCTCCACCACGTCGAGTCTCTACTGTGTAGAGAAATGACGGTCGTGTTTCGGAGAGGTGGCGGGAGCTGTCGCCACAAGTTTACGATTGCCGATTCATGTGTGGCGGTGCAGCAATCAGTGCCCCGCATTCCAAGACGGGAGAGGGAAGGCCACCAAATGCGCCACTCTGCCGAGACCTGCCGGGGCACGTCATCGCCCAAGAAACCAAGCCAGGGGCAGCTGCACAAGCCAGCGACACAGCGCCTGTTTCATAGATCACTAGACGCAAGCATGAGACCAAGGCATGGCATAAATGAAAAGAGGTCGCGCCGGGCTGACCGCAAGCAAACTCTCACTTTCCATTTCCTCCCCACAGAAACCAGAAATAAGACGACAGGGTTGACGCTCATTCGACCAGCGCCAAAAGTGTTTCCGATCCAGGCCTCATAAGCGCGCACCTGAAACCGACAAAGCGCGCTCGCGAGCCAATACCACGGTAGATCGCCGCCAACCCGGATCGACAGCAGCCAGCCCAACACGGGGTACAAGACTGCCCACAAAGCAGCAACTGTTTTATATTCTGTTCGACTGCACTTGAATCTCCGGTGTTTCCCTGGTTTTGTCCCACTCCTTTCAGTCAGCAAAACAGGAGAACACGTCCGCTATAGTGACTGAAAACCCGCAACATGAGCAGCATAGCTCTTAAGCTTTTCAAGAAGCAGGCTGAGGCAAAGCTTGGCAAGCGAAACACCAATTTGGAGGTATGTGCTGTTGCCAGTCCTTGGATGGCTCGAGTACTGACTTGCGCGCCTGCAGGACCCTTACTATTATGAAAAGCAAGTCGAGGTAAGGGGCAAGACCACGACTAAAAGAGACGAAAGGCCTCTCCCGGAGGGTCTGTCAGCAAACGACCGAAAAATCCTCAAGGACGTCCGAAAAAGGGCCCACCGATTGGACCAGTCGTTCAGTTTCTGCGGCTTCCAGTTCGGGTGGTCCGCGTTCATCGGCCTGATCCCCGTGTAAGTGTTCCTTGAACTGCCTTCCCGGACAAGATCAGCCTTTTTGACAGTTTCTTACCAGTATCGGCGATGCCATTGATCTGCTAGTCGCGCTCTCCCTCATAAAAAAAGCGGCCAAGGTGGACGGCGGCCTGCCGAAGCGACTGTATAGCATGATGTTCACCAACATCATGCTCGACTTTGCTGTCGGCTTCGTCCCCATTCTCGGAGATCTGGCCGATGCCTGGTTCCGCGCCAACACGCGCAACGCGTGGCTGCTCGACGCCTATCTGACCGCAGAAGGCGGAAGAATCCAGACGAACGCCATTGTTGATCCAGAAGAACGCCATTGTTGATCCACATACCGGGGAGTCGGTTCCGGTGCCCCAGGAGTTGGTAGGAGCCCCGCCGAACGGAGACGTCGAACAAAGCGTCCAACATGCTCAGATGGCCGAGTCAGCACGCGCGACTCCCGCGGCGGCATCACCCGCCCCGACACCAGCTCCGAAGATGTACAAAGCGCCGCAAGGGCGCAGTCTGACGGGCCAGAGTGCGGGCATCCGGCAGGTACAGGACCCTCGATATAAGACCGGTCGAAAGTGGTAGGATCCGTCGAGGAGCGGCTTGAGCGGCTTGAGTGCCTTCCGGGGCTAGTATCCGGACAATGGGCATGAACAGAACATGGCGAGGGCATGGAGTTGGCGTTTCCTTGTGTTGCGGATGTACATATCCTCAACGCTTTCGAGTTCTCCTTTCTAGTCGACATAATCTAGAATGACGCGAGCGCTGAATTAAAGATCATGAGCGAAACTATTCTGTGAAGGCAGTCATGGGAAGGGAGGGCTCAGGACTGCCACCAGTGACCGCTAGGTTGATGTTGATCTTGTCCCTCCGGATTCGCAGCTCCTTCAGACCACCCGGATGTCCGCATGCCGCGATTATGTTCGGATTATGCTGCGATGACAAACAACAGGGCGGGCCATCACTTGTCCAGCCTCGCCCAAGGTGGGCCATGCGAGAATACCTCGAATCATTTTGTGGATGAAGAAGTCAATCGAAGGCCAACAAGACCCCACCGAAAACGGGCTTCGCTTTTCAGGATGGAGACGTGCAGAGAAACTCGGGCAAAAAGGGGAGAATCAGTTTGTGACAAAGTACCACATGAGAATGGTATCAGGCGCCATCATCAACCAACGCCCAGTCACTCCCGTTGTCCTCATCGGGGACCGCGTCGCATCCGTCTGTGGAGCTTGGCGAGAAGAGCAGTGTGTCATGGTGGGGTCTGAATAGCTTGGGCAAGCATGACCAAGGTTCCCAATGGAGGAGTTGCGTATGTTGATAATCTCCGCCGAAGATCTGATAAAAGCGAGGGAAGGCCGACCAGGATTCCAGGGATTTGTGGATCGATGCCTGTCTGAGAGGTGGTTGGCGTGTTGACGTCGCTTTTTGCCTGGGTCCAACGGGTCCAAGTCGCGTCGACGCGAATCCCTGCATTACAGATTTAGCGGGACCCGCTTGTAGAAGACGTGAACCCATTTAAGGGATCGCGGTTCCGGTTCTCCCACTCTCCAAACCCATTCTTTGTCTATACAACGTCCAGCCCGCCACCTTCATCATCACCAGCACTGTCTCTGGGACCTTACATCAGGTGGCGATTTTTCATTTTCACCATAAAGTATCCAACCTATTCAACACACACAATGACTGCCCAGGTCACGCCTTCTAAGCAGGTTAGTGCCCCGCGTTCCCCTCTACGCGTCAGACGTGTCTGAAGCTGACTTGCTCGATTGTGCAGGCTGCTTCCGCGATTGAGGCCCTCAAAATGGAATCTCCCGTCAAGAAGCTTGACTTTTCCGCCTCCAACAAGGAAAACGCGCCCTTCGACGCTGACCTCGCCACCCTCGAGGCAGAGATTGACGCCAACCACAAGACAACCATGAACAAGACGGAGGAGCCAAAGGCCCCGGTGGCTCCAACCATCAAGCCCGAGGAGGCCGACGAGCCCCTCCTCCAGGAGAACCCGCAGCGCTTCGTGCTGTTCCCCATCAAGTATCACGAGGTACGCGACGCGCTCCGACGCGTAGAGTGGAACGTTTACTGACAGGACCTTAAAGATCTGGCAAATGTACAAAAAGGCCGAGGCCTCCTTCTGGACTGCCGAGGAGATTGACCTCTCCAAGGACCTCCACGACTGGAACAACAAGCTCAACGACGATGAGAAGTACTTCATCTCTCACATCCTCGCCTTCTTTGCCGCGTCTGACGGCATCGTCAACGAGAACCTGGTGGAGCGCTTCAGCGGCGAGGTCCAGATCCCCGAGGCCCGCTGCTTTTATGGCTTCCAGATCATGATGGAGAACATCCACTCCGAGACCTACTCTCTGCTCATTGACACGTACATCAAGGAGCCCTCGCAGCGCACTCACCTGTTCAATGCCATTGACACCATCCCCGCCATCCGCAAGAAGGCCGACTGGGCGCTCCGGTGGATCACCGACAAGAAGTCGACCTTTGCCCAGCGTCTCGTCGCCTTTGCTGCCGTCGAGGGTATCTTCTTCAGCGGCGCCTTCGCGTCCATCTTCTGGCTCAAGAAGCGCGGCCTCATGCCGGGCCTGACGTTCTCCAACGAGCTCATCTCTCGCGATGAGGGTCTGCACACCGACTTTGCGTGCCTGCTCTTCTCGCATCTCAACCACCGGCCCAGCAAGCAGGTGATCCAGGACATCATCATCGACGCCGTCAAGATTGAGCAAGAGTTCCTGACCGAGGCCCTCCCCTGCGCCCTGCTCGGCATGAACTCGAACCTGATGAAGCAGTACATTGAGTTTGTCGCCGACCGCCTGCTCGTCGCCCTCGGCAACGAGAAAGTGTTCCGGTCGACAAACCCCTTCGACTTTATGGAGAACATCTCGCTCGGCGGCAAGACCAACTTTTTTGAGAAGCGCGTCGGCGAGTACCAGAAGGCGGGCGTCATGGCCAGCACCAAGAAGGTCGTCCACGAGGACGCGGACGAAGCCAAGGGCGAGAACAGCGGCGACTTCAACTTCGATGAGGACTTCTAAGCCCGTCGCCGTCTCGCACTCTTATCTTCTCCTTGTCCTCTAATACCCCCCTTGTACTCAGTATTCGCTCTCTCTTTTCACGCAGCATCTTTTCGCGTGGAAACAGCAGACTTGTCAGGTCCCCCCGCCTCCTTTCGAGGTTGGATATCTCTCACATGTAAACAATGCTGCGCAGGCGGGACTGCGTTGACATGATGGTGTCTGGCGTTGGCGGTAACTTACGGCCTGGTATGGTCTGTTTTATGACGGCATGCGATGGATTGATGGAAAACATTTCGGGGCATGTATGAGTAGATTCTCATGCTAGGAATCAGACTTGCGAACATGACTGGTGGTTCATATTCGAGTGGTTGATGTCTGTGCTCGCTCAGCCATGCGCAGCAACTTGATGATGCTCGGACTCTGACAAACACGACACGGTCTTGAGTACTTCTTCCGACAGCGATTGCCCAGCGTTTGTTTGTCGAAGTCTCATATGTCGTCGCCCCCAGTATGTTGTTCACCCGACCCATCCACTGCAACCTGCGCTACTGTATCTATTCCCCTTACCTCGACCTGTATCTCCGTCGTCTAACTACCACAATTCTCCTCCTCTCCCTCTCACCAGCGTCTGCACCCCTCCACCATCTCACCTCTTCCCCTTCTTCTTCTTCCCCTTCCCCCCCCCACCACCACCACCACCATGCTGAACCGACGACCCCTGCGGCAGCTGCTTTTCAACAGCATGAGGCGTCTGCATCCCGCTCCCTTCCCCTCCCTGAGAAGTCAGCACACCACCACCACCACCTGCGCCCGCACCACCCGAAACATCACCCATGACAACGTCCTCCTCCTCCTGCTGCTGCTGCCGCCGCTGCTGAGCCTGGGACATCTTCAAACCAGCCATGCCCTTGCCCAAAGAACCCAGCATCTGGACCAGCCTCCCCACCTCGGCCGCCTTGGAGGTCTTGTACTTCAGTGTGATGCCGCTGTGGGGGTCGAATGTTTTGAGGACGAGGTGGCCCCGCGGGGGCTTTTCCTTGTTTTGATCTTGTTGTTGTGGTTTTGATTGTTGTTCTATTGTTGTTTGGGAGGCATCTTGTTGTTGTTTCTTGGACTTGGGGATGCGGCGAGCAGGTTTGAGGTGGTAGCGTGTTGTTACGCGTGTCTATTACCGCGGTGGTTGGGGCATTGCCCCGTTGTGTTAGGGGGTGCGTTGGGCAAGAGATGAGAAGGGGAACACATACGGTTGAGGGACGGGCTTGGAGGAGAAGGGCGGACTGGTGCAGCCAGTCTTCGGCCTTTTCGTAGTATGGCATTTTTCGCCGGAGAGCCCGTTTCGGCGGTGCGGATGTGAGATGAGAAGGTCGTTGGGTCGACGGCCGGTACGGCGGATTGCTGATTGTGAGGTGTTCACGAGAGAATCAGGCGGCGTTGTTATCCCTTCGTAAGTTACCCAATGGTGGTCTGTCTGCTTTGACTTTCTGGGCCGGCAGTTTCCAGTCGATGCTTGCAGGTTAGAGTTTTGGTGCTCCCCGTCCAATGCTCGGCGGATTTTTGGTGGGGCCAGCGGAATGCGGGGAGCTTCCGAGATGGCTCCACACCTTAATCAAGCGCTTGACAAAGATCCGTACCACTGCTTGGAAGCTTCACGTCCAGAGCTTCATTGCTCGATTGATTCACTCGATTTGTGAAGTATTACCCGGTAGCATAGTCAATTTATTCACAAAACGCCGCAACATGCAAGGGTATCTTGATCCGTCCTGATGCCGTCCCCCTGACCAAACACATCGCTCCCTTCAGATCAGCCCAACGTTCTTTTCCGTCTATAGATTGGGGTCAGGCAGCCAGAACATGAGGTCCTGGTCAGCCGTTGCAAACATGTTATACCGCGGGTTGTAAGCCACCACCGCCGTCTCCCGCTTGTCCTCCAAGACGTGCACAGGCTCGAGCACCTTATCGCTTCCCGGCGCCATCAACGTGTCCCACACGAGCAGGTCGGACTTGGCACCGCTCAGGACGTAGCGGCCGTCCGGCGCAAAGCAGCACTCGCCGCTGCTCTCCACGTTGCCTCCTTCTGTCTCCCCCGCAGCCACCCGTCTCGTGCTTGCGCCGGGCTTCTTCAGATACGCCTTGAGGCTCCCGTCGAACGAGTCAAGCAGGAAATGGCCGTCGCCGCGCGATCCCAGAAGCAGGTGCTTCCCGTCGTTGGAGAACTCGAGCTTCGTCCAGCCCTTGAAGGCAGCCTCGGGGTCGGCCCGGCCCCGGGCTTTGAGCACGTCGAAGACGGAGAATGGGGCCTTTCCGTAGTTGCGATAGTCGTAAAGCAGGATGCTTCCGCTGGACGGTGAGGCTATGGCAAACACGTTTCCTGACGGGTCCCAAGCGGAGAGGTATGGCGTATTCAGAAACAGCTTGCCGGTCCATTGCTTTGTTCCAATGTTCCATATCAGCACTGTATTGTCGACGCTGCACGAAATGAAGTTGTCGGCGCCGGGATGCAGCGCCAAGTTGGTGACGGCGGCTTCGTGCCCTTCAAAGTAGCGGATGAAGGAGTTGTCGTGCGTCGCAAGGTACCGAATCGCGTCTCGACCAGGTCAGCCCTGGCACTCGGCCAATGCTCTTTGCAGCACGTACCATTCTGTTGTGTGCTCGCGTAGATGATGCTTGAGCTCGCGTGGGTAAATTTCGCCAGTTTGACGCCATATTTCTTGCTCAGCAGGCTCTTATCGTGCCGGCCATCCTTGACGTTGTAGATCTGGATGGTCTCGTCGCTCTCCGACGTCATACAGAGCTCGCCCGGGTCGTCGAAGTCGATGGACAGGACATACGGTTTGGGCTTGCCCTCCTTAAGGTCATCCCGTTGGAATAGCTGTAGAGTGTCAGTAGATGGGCTGACAGAGACCGAGATGGGCACCGACCTTTGTCGGTCTGAACGACGAGATGACGTCGCTGACAGCCGTAGTGCTTGGGACATTGACTCCTAGCGTCCGCATGATGTTCAGTGACGGAATAGCTGCCGCATCGTCGATATCCATTGGGGTGGAAGCCATGTTGGGTGTGCCGGCGCGGGCCGGGTTGGCGCTAATTGATGTGGAGGGGATTGGAGCTTGAATCAGCTTGGGACTTCGACAAGCTCCTGCAAGTCACCATTACTGCCGGGCGGTGAGTGTAACAATGGGGCTGCAGGGCCCGATTGCCGGAGACAGAACGAGAGCGACGAGGCACCGATTGCCGGAGATTGGCTCGTTGCTGACTGAAACGACAAAAAATGCCCACTTAGCGGCTGCAAGGGCCGGGAACGTTTGACATTGAACTTATCGGTGCGCTGACACGCTGCCCGAGTCAGCGCCAATGGGGCGGATATAAGCGGCGTTGTCATTCGCAGCCTCACCGGCAGCTGCTTTCTCGCGCTCTGAGATATACCCATCTGTTGTTCTACTGATCTCTTCAATCGTTTCTTTTGTGTGCATGTTTCCGGGAAGGTGACGCTCGGCACCCAACAGTCTCCGCCGAACGTCGAGTGTAACTCGACGGCACAGCGTCCCTAAGGGCCGATTCCGGCGGCCTTGATTCCCGACGCCAGAAACCAGCACAATGTCGACAACAGCTGGGTAGGTGTCATCGCGCGCATCCATATTAGACCCCTAATGACTTGCTCGGAGACTGACATGGCTGTGCCCCCAGCGCCTTCATAGCAGGCGGCATCGCTGCCTGCGGCGCCGTGACGGCGACGCACCCCTTCGAGACGGTCAAGATCCGCATGCAGTTGCAGGGCGAGCTCCAGGACAAGGGCCACCAGCCGCACCACTACCGCGGGCCGCTCCACGGCGTCTCCGTCATCGTCCGGAACGAAGGCCTGCGCGGCATCTACCGCGGCATTGGGTGCGCCTACATCTACCAGGTGCTGCTCAACGGCTGCCGGTTGGGCTTCTACGAGCCAATGCGCGACGCCCTGACCACCCTCATATTCAAGGACGGCAAGACGCAAAGCCTGGGCGTCAACATGTTCTGCGGCGCAGCGTCGGGCGTCATGGGCGCCGCCGCGGGGAGTCCCTTCTTCCTGGTCAAGACGCGCCTGCAGAGCTACTCACCCTTCCTGCCCGTCGGCACGCAGCACCGGTACCGCAACGCCTGGGATGGGCTGACGCAGATCTACCGCGGGGAAGGGGTGCGCGGTCTGTACCGCGGCGTGGGGGCGGCCATGATTCGGACCGGTTTTGGGAGTTCGGTGCAGCTACCGACGTACTTCTTTGCAAAGCGCCGGCTGCAGCGGCATTTGGGTATGGAGGAGGGCGCCCCTCTCCATCTGGCCAGCAGTACAGCCAGCGGTTTCGTAGTCTGTGTCGTGATGCATCCGCCGGGTAAGCTCCGCCAATCTTGCGTTTTCTGCCGTGTCATACTGACTTGGATAGACACGATAATGTCCCGCATGTACAACCAAAACGGCAACCTCTACGCGGGCGTCTTCGACTGCCTAGCGAAGACCATCAAGACAGAGGGCTTTTTTGCCATTTACAAGGGCTTCCTGCCTCATCTGGCTCGGATCCTGCCGCACACCATCCTGACGCTGACCCTGGCGGAACAAACGAACAAACTGGTCAGGAAACTCGAAGGCCGGTTTCTGCCAAGTGCTGCGCTGAAGACGGTGTGACGGGTCTAGACATGTTGCTTTGGCGTTAGGTAGAAAAGTGCATCGGGGGCGCCTTCTTTTCGGGTTATACCAGCGCTTAGGGCTGTATAGAGCGAGCGAGGGTGGCTGCCCTAGAGTTTAAACTGCTTGGAGGGGACGGGCATCTTTGAAGCTCGAGCTCATCAAAAGACAATTCCGCCAATCGCGGATGATTGACATTTCATTCTATCCGTTTCCGTGATCATCCAGCAGTCGACCTCTCACAGCCATAGCACAGTCTCCCCAACCATGTGGCCGTCGCTGTCCCAGACCTCTTTTGAATGCCCAACTCGCCCCTCCACCGCTCATCACCGTCCTCGTCAAGGGGCAACCCGCACAGCCCACAAATCTCCGCGCCCTCCTCCCCAGCTCTCACCAGCTTCCCCGTCGTCCGGGTGACGTTGGCCACCACAGACGGGTAGCTCTCCTCCACGTCGGCGAAATACCTCGTCATGACCTCCTCAATGCTGAGGTCCTTGTGCGACACCACAAGCCCGTCATCCTGTTTATCCGCCTGTATCAGCTCTGTCAGCGGTGGCTCGACCAGCCCCGCGTAGATGACGAGCTCCTTGCGCAGTGCGTCCCGCAAGGGGTGATACACTAGCAGCCTATCCTTATCCTTGTCTCTCTGGGGGTCTTTATTATCCACTTGTCCCATCCCATTCCCGTTCCTTCGCCCCCCCGCTTCCGCACCATGATGATGACGACTTTCATAGTGTTCATCCTCCTCACCGCCTCCATCCCCATCCCCCGGCTCACCTCCTTCACCACCCAAACTCAAACCGATACTCGCCGGAGGAGCAGGCCCGTCGCCCACGACCCAAGGCAGCGCAAACCCCCTCCCCTTGGCCGCCTCGGCCAGCGTCAGCTCCGCCAGCGCCGTCGTGCTGTGGCCCAACAGCAGCGCTTGGCAGCCGCGGGCTCGCGCCTGGGACTGCAGCGCCCGCCGCGTCAGGTGGCGGGTCACATCCTCGCGGGAGGCGGCCGTGGTGGTCGTGCTGCTGCTGCTCGTCTCGAATAGGTATGGTAGATCGGGTTGGCGGCGGTCGTCGGTGGTTGAGGTAAAGGCGGAGGCGGAGGAGGAGGTGAGGGCTGAGGACAGAGGGAGGGTGATGAAGGTGAAGCGCGGGTAGCGGGCGCGGTAGGCTTCGAGGGTTTTCTCGGCTACGTGGCAAAGAGATGGGGAGGGGGTGGTGGAGGTGGGTTGCTGGGTCTGGGTTGGGAGGGTGGTGGTAATAGTGGTGGTGGTGTCGATGTGGACGACGGTGAGGTCGAAGGGGGCGTTGCGGCCCTTAGCGAGCTGGAACTCGACATTTTCGTTGAGGAGGTGCAGGAGGACGGTGGAGGAGACGCCCAGGGAGAGGCCCAGCAGGTAGTGTCGGGTGCCAGTTGGGCGGCCGCCCGATGATGGGGCCGGTGGACGGGTCTCTTTACCTAGGAGGCCGATCTGCTTGATGCATTTGGTGCCGATGAATTTGATGAAGCAGTCTCTGGGGAATAGGTAGTTAGGTGTGGACTTCTCAGTAAAAGAAGGGGGTTAGGTTGTTCGGCTTACCTGCAGACAGGGTGCGATCTGCTGTCAAGAGTGGCCTCCTGGATACGGCATTTCTCGCAGGGCCGTGGAAGTGGCTCACTTGACTTTGACTCGACCATCACTGTCTGATGATTATTGGGTTTTGATAAGATGAAGTCAAATGAAACTGACGCCTTCTGATGTTTTTGTAATGGTAATAGGGTTGGATGATGCGAGATGGCCGATAACTGAAACTAATTATGGATTTAATCGACGGGCCAGGAAGTCTGTGAGTACAAGGTCACGTCGTCAAGGTCGTAGATTTGAGTCCTTGAGTCACTAACAGAACTCGAGACTGAAGTTTGAATTCCAGGAATTGGAGGACGAGTTAGGGTTAGGGTATCATCCAGTCCTCGATCCGCCCCGACCACCTACCATACATACCCCTTGAAATATTTAAATGAACCTCTCACGCAGCCCTCTTCCTAGACAACTCGGTCTTTCTGCTCAATACCAGTGCCCCCACCCTTCGCACGCGCGCCCAAAACGTGGTGTCAGATCCACGACAGCCACCGATCAGTCATTCTCATCCTCATGTCCAGCTGGGAGACTATTGTAGGGATTGTCTAGCCTCCATGTTGAGATCGGTATGTCAGCACAAGGCGCAGATCACGAGAGCCCTCGGGCACACAGTAGAAACGAATAACGGAGTCTTCCTCTGTGGTCTGTCTCCAATGGAACGGCGCGAACTCACTGGCCGCTAAACAGGCAAGCCAGATCGCTCGCCTCAAACCACGCGCGGTCCTTATGCCAGGCGCGCAGAATGATCTCCTTGGCCACGCCAACAACCTGCTGTACCTGCGTCTCGGAGCCCCAGCCCGGCACTCGCGTGCCCCAGGCGATGAGATGGGTCCCGACGTGAAGCGCAGTGCGAAAGGCGAACTCGGCATTCACATCACCATAACCCGCGGTGAACCCTTCAATCAGCCATTTCCCCTCGTCCATGCCCTTGAACAGAGACAGCTCGTACAGCTCGGCAATCATCTGCCCCAGGTCGAGGGGGGGGAGGCTGAACTGGCACACCTCCCAGTCTACGATGAAGACAAGTGTCTCGGTTCCTTCTCTCAGCGGCCAATCTGGCAAGAGGGCGCTGTTTCCAACGTCAGCCTACGGAATATGAAGGGACCTGGCTACAACTGGCAAGCCACTTACTTTCCGGTCCAAAAGTCTCCGTGGGTGATCTGGAGGTCAGATCTGTCGAGTTCTGCAGCCGTCTCCTCTTGAATTTTCTGGAATATCCCTTTTGCATCACCAAGAATGGACGGGAAGTTGGCGACTGTGTCTACCAGCGTCGCGTAGTTCGCGCGATGCTTAATTTTCTGCATGGGCGCGTTCGCCTTCATCTTCTCGCGAAACGCCGACTGCTCCGGAAGCGACGCCCAACGGTGGAAACCGCGGAGCCAGGCACCGAGGTTCCGCCCGAGTTCAAAACAGAGCGGCTTCCTGGACGGGTCTCGAGGCGAGAAGTGCTTGAGAGCATAGTCCTTGAGACTCAGCGCCTCGGGGAGGTACTCTTGGACCTGGGTGTTGGTTTCCGGGTTGAAGTGGTAGAGTTTGGGCGCTCGGACGGTGTATGTGCCCACAGTCGCCGGCAGCCCGCCAAGGGCTCTCAGGCATTCCACCTCAGCTCGCTACACGCGACAGTTAGCGACCACAGGCTGGCTGCGTAATTTGCGAGAAGAGGAGACTTACGCAGCGGGTTGTGGGGATCTGCCATTCGGGCATCGACGCAATGAAGTCCTCGCCATGTTTCACAGCCACCTCCTTTGTTCCGTCCGGAAGGGGGTTCGTGAGAGTGCCCTTGAAGATGAAATTGGCTGTCCCTCCCGAGAGCGGCTTCAACGAGGAGCACGCAAACTCTGTGCTCTTGAGCTCTTGAAAGATCTGTTCCGAGAGCTTACTAGGTTGCGGATCTGCCATGGTTGGTGTCTGGGTGTCAAGCACGAAGACCGGAGTAGAAAGCACTGGCGATAGAAGTCAGGTAAGAATTTGGGCAATATTGGATTTCTTGTGTCTCAGGCGGTTGCAGAATGAGTTGGCCAACCTATTGCGCTCACGTCCAGCACCGGCATTTTATGATTGGGACGACACTGTCTTTGTGATTGGCGATGTCAAGGTCCTGTCTCCAACGAATTCCCCTTACACGTTCCTTCCATAACTGGTGAGAGATTAGAGCAGTGGCGGGTCCTCATTGCAGCTGCACAACGACGAGACCGAGCCAATGATCAGCATCGTGTGGACAGCTCCTCGAAGCTGTGACTCTTCGCCGACCTCGCCAAGACCAAGCAGCCATTTCCACTTGGAACGAAGTCCGCCAGCAACATAATCCAAGATGGTAGAAGCAAAAGAACAAGTGAGTCACGCTTGCAGGTTTGAGTTGTGCATTCAAGTACGCAGAGTACATGGATACCAGGCACTCACTCATCTATTACGCCGCTGAAAGCGAACACCGCGTTGAAGAACCACTTATGGAAATCATTTTGCTCACCGAGGCATTTAGGCTCGACGGATCGTCGATAACCAGAGCAACCTGGAAGACGAAGAGTGTGGAGGAAACCTGCAATGGATACCGAGATGAAGTCATGAAACGAGTGGAGTGGTTAACTTACACTATCAACTCCGCTACGTGTCTGCATATTCGACTCTTGCAGGATTCTCGTACAAGTATTCGCAGAAGCTTCAACAAAGATATCCCTTCGAAACATGGCTTAACAGGCGCAGACAAAGGTTGTGAAGAGAAATGGTTTGGGCAACCTGATATGCAACAAACCTCATCACATCGCTTCAGAAGAAAATTCTTGGGTTCCCCAGTTCTACCCCGGCATCGGCTAACGGTTGAACTAGGCTTGGCACGCTAACGATAATCGTGTACGCTAAGCTCTTTGCACCAAGTCTCCCTGGAACGATTCAAAAGGAGGAAGCAGCCAGGGCACTGCCGGTGGGGATCCAAGCATGGCCAGTTCTGGAATGTCGACACTCGCTTCTGAAACAGGGCGAGCTTTCCTCCTCCACCAACACTTGAGAGCCGCATGAAGAGCCGTCTCAAGTTGCCCGACTGCCATCCAATGGCTAGATTCGGCTCCACCATCTCGTACTATCCCGGACTCGTCCCGGCAAAGCAATTGATCCTCGGCGGTCCAAACTCTGCCACAACGCGCCTAGAAGTCGAACGTTCCCGCAGGCTCCGATGCTTGTTTGCTGCCGCCTGAATGCCAGCGTTATCGCCGGCTGCTGACCGTTTGGCGATTTGAGGTGCGGCCTCACCACCTGCGGCCAGCTCTGCGGCACCAGGCGCAGCCACTTCCTTCAGTCTCACCATTGCCTCTGGTCTCTGGTTTTGGGTGCACGCCTGGGAAAGGCTCAAGCTAAAGTATTCTGGGCCAAGCAATACCACCGGCCCTTAAACCAGCGCGACCCAAACATAGCACATTCGACGTTCTCCCTGGGTTAGGGGCATGACACTGCCTTCTTTCCAGACGAGAATCATTCAGCACTGGCTCCTACATCTTCACTTCTACCTAGTCCGCAATCCCCTGCCTTGCCCTGCCTGCTCATCCGTCGCCGGTCACCTGGACTAGATCACGCCCAACGACCCTCAGGCCTCCTTCATACCTCAAAGGTGTGCCTCGTTCAAAGCACTATTCATTCCCTCCCACCTCTGTTTGACTCAGCATCATACCGCTATCACATCACCGCCGTGGCTACTGTTCAACACTCTTTGCTGCTTTGCACGGACGCCGGATTCATGGCGGAAGTACAAAGACAATTGGCGGCCTTGTCCATCTCGGCCGACCCGCGACCCGATGAGCGAACTCCCAAGCCAATCCCCGTGCTGCCACAGACAACAGCGCCTGAGCAAAAACGTCGGAGTCGCCTGGCTGTGGACACGTACTCCCCCGTGAACCAGAACGGCAGCTTTGAGTTCGACCGCGTCATCAAGAGCGGCTATGTGCAGAAGCGCACGCAAAAGACAAAGGTAGGGCTCGACTCTGTTAACGAGAAACTGTGAGGGGCGTCCATTCTGACCGCGACGATGCAGACATGGCGAACCATTTACATTGTCCTGCGACCGAACACGCTCTCCATCTATAAGTCGGATAAGGAGGAGAAACTTCGGCGCAAGATTTACCTATCCGACTTGACCGCCGTAACACTCCTAAAAGACCCCAAGAACAAACGACAAAACGTGTTCGGCTTATTTTCGCCCTCCAAAAACTATCACTTCCAGGCGCCAACACTGAAGGATGCTGAGGAGTGGGTCAACCTAATCCGGCTGGATGCCAGAATAGAAGAGGAGGAAGAGGAGATGTTCCTGGCCAGTCCTGTTGTCCGATCACCGCCGTTCCTCCCTGGGGTCCAGCTGGGCAACGCCGACTCGAACCGCTCAGTGGTGGCATCAGCGGACCATTTCTTATCGACCTCTCCCGAACCACCCGAGCCTCCGATACGCAATCTTGGAAAGCCGCCCTTTGCCCGGAGGGCGTCGCAGTTTGATTCCTCGGGTCTTTCGGGCACCGAGCTGGCAAGCCATTCGGATTTCTCTGACTCGGACATGCACCGGATACCAGGCGCATCTTTTGAGAGCTTGGCGGTCCAGCAACCATCCACCTCGCCAGGGCCATCCAGACCCAGTTTAGGAGGAGGGGCCACCGGCAGCCGGGTCAGTGGGACACACCACCACGAGGCCGACCCGGACCGCGTCATCTGGCAGGGTTGGATGTGGTTCCACCGCAGCAAAGGGGGGGTGCGCCAGTGGAAGAAATCGTGGGGCGTCGTGCGGCCAAGGAACCTCATCCTGTACAAGAACGAGGCCGAGTCGTCGGTGCTGTTCGTCATGTACATGTCGTCGATCGTCAATGTGGTCGAGACAGACCCAATGAGCCGGACCAAGAAGCACTGCCTGCAGATTATCACGGACGAGAAGAGCTACCGCTTCTGCGCGCACGACGAGGAGGCCTTGGTGCAGTGTCTCGGTGCTTTCAAGAGTCTGCTTGCGAAGCGCCGGGAGCTCGAGGCCAAGGCGGGGACTACTTCGACCGCGAACGCGAATGCCAACGCGGCTGCAACGGCAACAGTCACAGCCGCAGGGGCGAGTGCTGAACCTCGCTCTCCGCCGTCCTGAACAACATCACTCCTCCCTCTGTTAGACATGAACGTGATTCCTACAACTTTGAGGAAATCACAAGCGAACCTTGGAACTTGGACATGGACATTTTGAGGGAACCATAGGGGTACAGCGCTCCCTTGACCGCCAGCTTGGCCATATGCGCCTTAGTGGCGCCTGTCATTGCGCCTTCTATGTTCGTTTCTGACGACTGACGATGACTATATGATGAGTATGCCTTGTAATTACTACTTTTTGCCCAGCTCTGGGAGCAACCACCCGGTGAGGCTGGCATAATTGAATAATCCGATGTTTGTCTTAGAAGCGTTTAGATTCAGTTGTCTTTAGCCACACAATTACCAGTCAAGTGCGTTGCCTGTTGAAGCATGGCGAGAGTTGAGAAGCTGTGTAAGATTCGACGTCCGGGAAGGGATGTCATACGGTGCCCTCCCGGACAATGCACCCGGCGGCCAACGATCACAGGGTTCCCAGTTGGCGGTAGTACGGATACTCCAGAAACGGGAACCATGACCACACCCGACGGAACCCATAGTCACCAGAGACTGACGCCACTCTCTTGGACTTGGGCACTCGAACAGGAATCTGGGAGGCTGCATTGGTGATCTCGAGATGCGACGAGATGACCACTCAGCGAGACAGGCTCTGCATTGCGCGGAACTCACCAATCCCAGCCAGCCAAGTACCCGTGATTATCGTTTGTGACGGCCCTTCAGGCGTCATGACGCACCACCACACAGCAAGGCCAGTGGCGGGCAGGGGTAGTGCGCCGCTGATGTCCTTTCGCCTTTTAAGTTTGTTGGCTTGGAAAAGGGACAGGAGCACAGATCATGAGGCGAACTTGCACTCCCGGCACTAAAACAAATTGGGCCTGGTCGGGGTCCGGGTTGGCACCCCAGCCCACCAATACCGGCCCGCGCCTCTGGATTTCACCTCTTTGCCTCATTAAATTCCCAATTCGGACGACTGCCAATCACAAGACCAGACCACGAGTCGAACTTTGAGCCCCATCAATTCTCAGTTATCACTTGTCCTTTTTCCCGGTCCCGTCTTCGTCTGGCCGCTTAAACTTGGAAGGTTGCTTTCAGCTGAGATCTACACAGCACTACCAGTGACTAACCTGCCCCTGACCTCGTGCGGCTGTCGAGTGAACCAAAACCATGAGTAAGATTCAAGGTGGCGGGTTTGTTTAGGCGGCGTTGCATTCTTCGCGGTCCTCTATGAACTACGGTACCGACGACTAAGGTGAAGCCCCTTTTTCGGAAGAATCAGCTGTGGCTCTACACATGGCACCTTATAAGTCCTGTTTCTGGCACCTGCCCGCGCCTGACTTGGTTGAAGTTGAGAAGTGACCTTGGCACGGCCTTGAATCAAGAAGAGGAAGTGCCGCTCGTTTCCCTTTGTCTTCCTTCCTCTCATTGACTTTTGACACTTTTGACAGGACGACCCTCGTTTATTGTCTAGTTGTCGCTCGTTTCATGACGTCGTCCTGAGGTGCCAGTTGATCCCCGCCCACTGCTTGCTTGGATATATCACCATCTTCCCACATCATCGTCCCTCAGCCCTGCCCGGAGTGAAGTGACCATGGCGGTCCTCCACCACTTCCTGGCCGTCCTCGGCCTGCTCACCCCTGTCATACACGCCGCCGTGCCTCCTCCCCTTCCCCTCCACTCGTCCAGCCGCTGGATACTCGATGCCAACAACAACCGCGTCAAGCTCCGCTGCGTCAACTGGGCCGGGCACATGGAGACCAACGTCCCCGAGGGGCTGCAGCACCAATCCATCGACTACATCGTCGACTGGATCGCCGCCCAGAACTTCACCTGCGTGCGCCTGACCTACAGCACCGACCACGCCCTCAACCCGGACCTGCCCGTCGCCTCCTCCTTCGCGGCCGCGGCTACCGCAGCCGGCGTCCCGGCCGCGGACATGACGGCCCTGTACAACCGCGCCGTCTCCCACAACCCCTGGATCACGCCCAGCACCACCACCCGCGACGTCTTCGCCGCCGCCGTCGACAAGCTCTTCGCTCGGGGGGTCCTGACCCTCCTCGACAACCACGTCAGCAAGGCCTCGTGGTGCTGCAACATCAACGACGGCAACGGCTGGTGGGACACCGGCTTCGGCTACAACCCGTGGAACAGCCGGTACTTCCACACGCAGAACTGGCTGGACGGGCTACGGGCCATGGCGGCCTGGTCGCGCTCGCACCGGGGCGTCGTCGCGATGGGCCTGCGCAACGAGATCCGCGAGTTCCTGCTGCAGGGCAGCCTCAACGGCCGCGCCGACTGGTTTAGGTACGTCAAGCAGGCCGGCGACCTCGTGCACGCGACCAACCCGGACGTGCTGGTGGTCGTCGGCGGGACGCAGAGCTCGACCGACCTGCTGCACGTGCGTGACGAGAGCAAGATGCTTGACACGAGCGGGTGGGCGGGAAAACATGTGTGGGAAATGCATGCGTACAGCTTCACTGTGACGTACCCGGACGTGTTTGAGAACTGCGACATTGTGAAGGCGCAGTACGGTGCCTTCGTCGGGTTTGTCTTGGAGCAAGGCAAGGCGTACACGGGCCCGCTGATCTTGAGCGAGTTTGGTGTCGGTATGGAAGGCGGCGAGGTTCAGTACCAGGGGCTGAGCGAGAAGGACGATCGCTACCTCAAGTGTTTGGTGTCGTATATGCGGGGCAACGACGCCGACTGGGCCGTGTGGGCGATCCAGGGGAGCTATTATGTGCGAGATAAGAAGGTGGATTCTGACGAGACGTGGGGGTTGATGAACCACGACTGGACCGACTGGAGGAATCCCGCGTTCCCGGGTATGCTGGGGGATATGTGGAAGATGACGCAGCAGCCGTGAGGGTGGCGCAATGGCGGTAATGTTTCCGAATCTTTTCACTTGTAGATACTTTTGGGTGTGGTTCTGGCTACCTTTTTGCAGGACTTAAGGGGCATGGCGAATTTCGGCAGTATTATGATGAGTTCTTGAATTGCCAGCATCTTCCGACTGTTCCAAAGCCAAAATGGTATCTACCTAGACCATATATATCCCATGTGCCCGAAACTCCTGCCACATAACGGCAGCTGGTAAACCCTCCCTACCATGTCCCGGATCACCCGATCACCCATTCAGGTTGAAAAATGCATCGTCAAACTCGCCAGCCCCGCTGTTACTCTCGCCCCCGGCAAAGTACATGTCGTTGAAGTTGCTGTTATCTCCGTTGCCCATGTCGTATTCAAGGTCCATGTTTTCGATGCTCCCGGGCCCCAGATCGAAGAGGCCGTTGATCTTGTCATCGACGTCGGCCGTGTTGGCGTTCTCCCCGGCTTTGTCACCCTGGACGATTCCTAGTCCCATGTTGGCCACATCCGCTGGACCTCCCAGGAACTGGTCCACGTTCAGGTTTGGCACATGCCCGGCTTCCGCGTTCGGCGTGTGAGTCGCTGGCGGTTGCAGTGATTGCTGTGATGCCCTTCGTTGCGTCTGGGCCTGTGCGTCGCCAGAGGGAGGCGCAACCGAGAACGTCATGTCGGTGAAGAGCTTCTCGTTTCCACTGGATGCTGGGGTAGAAGTGGCCGTCGAAAGTTGGCCTGGGGCATTGCCAGGAGTTGGTGTAGGTGCCTGTCTGTTTAATACTGGAACAGAGGCTGATTTGACTTGCGTTTGATGGTGCAGAGGCGTCTGCGGAGCCGTCGCTACGACAACCGGTCTGGGTACCTGGTGCGCCGGGGCTTTGGCGTCTCTCTTCGGGGGCGTGCTAGCAGGACTGCCCGTTGCTACAGCGGCAGCGGTGGCAGTAATGGCCGGTCGATTTAGGGCATTACCATCCTTGAGCTTAGGGATCGTCTTGGGGTTAGGAACTCCCGCCACCTCAGGCGATGCGGGATCAAAACCCATGTTTGGGAACGGGGCGACCGGCCTGTTGGTCTGCGTCGCGGGCTGAGGATGTCCCGCCAAGCCTGCAAAAGGGTCCATTGTCGGCATATTCGCGGAATCAAAGTCGATGACCATCGGTGCAGGGGGAGCAATCTGCTTTGGCTCTGGCGGCGGTGGTTGCCGGCTTGCTCTCAGTTGCCTTAGGTCTCGCTCGAGGACCGCCTTGCAGATGAGCTTCGCGAATGTTAGCCTAACTCAAAACGCCAGATCTTTACTAGCATGCTTACAAGCTCACACTCCAATTCGTCCAGTGCACAGTTGAACTTCTCAATAGCAGGAGGAATGCGCGCCTTTATGGCCGCGGAGGCCGCGGCGGGGTTCCCCTTGCCATCTCGTCGGCCAGATCTGAAGGCCTTGGCTACGGTGACCAACTTTGGAAGCATCGAGTTAGCGAAGATGAACTGCCAGGTCTGCAGGTTGTTTTTTCTTTTTTTCTTTCTTTCTTTCTTTCGTTTTTTATTTTCCAGAGTTGACTTGTTCACTTACCACATCATTGACCACTTGTGGCAAGACATCAAGCGGCCGCTGACCCGCCATATTGAGTGGCCCTCCGATTACGAGGCCGAGTAACTTGGAAGGTCTAGAAAATGGCGTCTGAGATCTTCGCGAGCCAATGACCCTTGCTCGAGAACTTCGGTGACACGGGAGGGATCCTGCGGGCCAAAGTCGATAATGGACGGTTGGGAGCTGTGCAGACCGGAAATCGGGGATGTTTCCAGGCTGGTACAATAAAGGGTCAAGGCAAACGCACAGCTGACATACGGCAAGCGATTGGGTAGACCGTATCCAGAAAGATGTTTCAGTGGTGTTCAATGATCGCAATCCACCAGGAGCTGTTTTTTCGTTTGTATTCCAGAGCTGAATGGAGATGAAGATCGTTTGGTGATGGAATCGCGAGTACCTTTAAGTCATTAACGCGTGATGCGCCACCATTGGGATGTGCGTGGGCTCGGGTGGTGGCTTGTGGTGGGTCACTTTGGAGCCTGGGGCCGGGAGCAAAAGAGGGTCCTGGCTCCACCGTCGGCCAATCAGCTCTTAAGGTTCAAGCTCCCTGCCGTCTCGCTCACGTCCGTCACGGCACATCAGATGGGTTCCAAACGAACCATCTCAAACTTCCGAGTTAAAGGTACCGTCAGCAAATTTCTGAAAGTACAAGTGATTCCAGGTTCTGGAGACCCAACCTCGACCTGTCTCGGGACAACAGTTCGTTTTCTGCAGCTATATCAGCGCACTTCAATTTCACACAGTGCATCGCTGCCGCCACAAGTCAAGTTACTCTAATTCCTACATGTAAGATGTGGGGTTTGTACCTAGATTCTTCAAGGCGAGAGGAAGTCATCAGTCTCATGGCTGGGGCCTAGGTACGCTCTGGGGCTGCAGTCGATTGGTCTCATCGGGACCCTGGTCACGCCTCGTTCAAACGGATCTGTGCGTTGCATCACCACCTCAAGGGATTTATGGTACAGGACAGCAAGGCCTCTCCTCATCTCTGGCTGAGGCGACTTGATATCGAACAAGGATCTGTGAACTTTCATGTGAGGAGGGGCTACCACGCTATGACCACTATGAGGACCGTGTCCTGTTCTTTCAGCGCCCAGTGATACTCGCCAACAATCCAGTTGAATGGCACGATCAAAATTCCCCTCCTCTTGGTGATGCCTGCTCTCTTGCATCTCCTTTTTCCCTAGCCTCCTTTCAACATCAAGGAAGGTTGTCACGTATCCTCTTGGATCGGCCGGCGCTGTTTTGATTTTGGGGGCTCTCCTCCTTTAACGGCCGGGTCTTTTCCCTCTTCTTTTGTTGTTTCTCTGCTCCAATCTCCTTATCATCATCGCCGTCGTCGTCAATTCGGGGTCTGTCTTATTTCCTCGCCATCTCCTCGTCACAGCTCCAACGCAGCCCGGGTTTGAGTGTCTGCTTCTGTGCTTTTCGCTGCACGACGACTTCCTGCTCCACTTATTGTCCGGCTCCTTCCATCGACCGTGTGACGCTCCGCTCCGCTTTCCGACGACATCATACGGTAATCAGTACAGATTACGGGTCTTCAATCCCAGCTTGCATTGACCACATCTGTCAGTTCCGGTTGGTTTCAAGCTGCCGCTTTCACAAAGCGAAAAGACTTCGCATTTCAGCTCCAAGCTGTTTTCCGCTTTCTCGTCTCACCTGCAGTGACACTGCGACACTGCTTGTGGGATTGCTTAAGAGGAAAACTCTGGGATACGTCGCAGGTTCCTGCTCCTTTTTGTCTCCTCCGCGAGGCAAGCATTTTACCCTGCAGAAGCAGTCTCCTCAGTGGAGTCCCCGCTGCCCAAGAAAGGGCCATCTTCCGCTCGTCGCCATCTTCTTTGCTCCAGCAGCTGAGACTCTTTCCAAACAGCTCTCGCAAACATGGCTGACAACGGTCCCCCCACGACTTCTGGCCAACTGCCTCCTCCTCCGCAGCCCAACGCGGGCGCACCTGGCTACGAGAATGGTCAGAACGCCGGCTCTGGCCCGTCGCACTTGCCCCCGCCACCTCTCCATATTCCCCAGAACACGAACCCGATTCCAACCGCTATCACCTCGCCCATGGGTGCGGGCGGCGACAAGAGCGGCATGATGTCGCCCGGCAGCGGTGGTCCTTTCGGCCGCCGTGCTGCTCCGGAGCCGAACAAGCGTGCGCTGTATGTTGGAGGCTTGGACCCTCGCGTCACCGAAGACGTCTTGCGCCAGATCTTCGAGACTACGGGGCATGTTCAGAGTGTCAAGATCATTCCGGACAAGAACGTAAGTGCTGGCTTCCCGATCTTTCTTGGCACCTCTGTCCGCTGACCCTTGAGATAAAATCAGGCCAAGGGCTACAACTACGGCTTCGTTGAGTACGACGACCCCGGTGCTGCCGAGCGCGCCATGCAGACTCTGAACGGCCGCCGTGTTCACCAGTCGGTGTGTTTGGCCGCGCGATATCATGGAAAATACAATTGGTCGTGCTAATTTGCATTATTTAGGAAATCCGCGTCAACTGGGCCTACCAGTCGAACAACACCAACAAGGAGGACACTTCCAACCACTTCCACATCTTCGTCGGCGATCTCTCCAACGAGGTGAATGATGAGGTCCTCCTCCAGGCCTTCTCCGCCTTTGGCTCCGTCTCTGAGGCTCGCGTCATGTGGGACATGAAGACTGGTCGCTCTCGCGGTTATGGCTTCGTGGCGTTCCGCGAGCGTCCGGATGCCGAGAAGGCGCTGAGCTCCATGGACGGCGAGTGGCTCGGCTCCCGCGCCATTCGCTGCAATTGGGCCAATCAAAAAGGACAGCCGTCCATGGCCCAGCAGCAGGCCATGCAGCAAATGGGCATGACCCCGACCACCCCGTACGGTCATCACCATTTCCCTACCCATGGCGTCCACAGCTACGATATGATCGTCAACCAGACCCCGGCTTGGCAGACGACCTGTTACGTTGGCAACCTGACCCCGTACACGACCCAGAACGATATCGTTCCGCTGTTCCAGAACTTCGGTTTTGTCGTCGAGTCTCGCTTCCAGGCCGATCGTGGCTTCGCTTTCGTCAAGATGGATACACATGAGAACGCTGCCATGGCCATCTGCCAGCTGAACGGCTACAATGTGAATGGCCGCCCGCTCAAGTGTAGCGTACGTATCTCTTACTCGGATGTCTGGTGGTAGCACGAGACTGACAAAGTTCAACAGTGGGGCAAGGACAAGACGCCGAGCCATCCGCAGCACTTTGACCCCAACCAGCAATACAGCCCTCAGAGCGCGCAGACCCCTGGCTATCCCGGCACTCCCTCAACTTATTTCAACCAGTACGGTGGTAGGTATTCCCGCGAGGCTGTTGCTCCGAGCGCGGATATTAACGCTCCCGTAGGTTCTTACGCTCCGAGCCAGCAGCCGGGCTACGGTGGCCCTCAGGCTCAGTCGCCTGCCGGCTACGGTGCCCAGCCCATGGGCTACAGCCCCGGCCCGCCGAGCGCCGGCGGCTACGGCCGTGGTCAGCAGTCCAACGCGCAGTGGAACCAGCCTCCCCCGGGCCAGAACTTCAACAACGGCTTTTCTGCTTACCAGGGTTAGGTGTCCAAGTACCGTCGTCGTTGATTGATGGGGCACCTGGAGACTGGCTTTGAGACCTGCATCGTTCTCTTTCTCAGTCTGAGAAAGCTGTTGGGACGTTGCAAGTTCTCTCCAACGTCGGAACGTCTCTTTTTATGATCTGAGGAACCTATGGCAGGCGGTCATTCAAGTTGATTTTCGAGGGAATCTGGACAGGGAGATTGGAGCCTTCTTTGCTTCTTCATTCGGTGTACTATGGTTTTTCGCTGCTCAGTCCATTTCTCATCGTCGTCTCCTGCTTCGTCGCCTTTGTCTTCTCATCTTCTTCATCTTGGAGTGATTCCCTAGGGGGCATGACCTGATATCTATTGGCTACCTCGTTTTTTGCTCTCTGCTCTGCTCCGACTTTTCAGATTCTCAAGTGACTTATGCCTCTCGTGTTCTGCCTGCTTTTCTCTTGCGCTGCGCTGGATACCAACTTGCTCAAGTCCTTGCAGAGTTTTCCCTTCTGATTTACCATTTTCATTTCCCTTGGACGGAACGAGATCACGATCTTCTGATATCACTACCCTCGCCAGGTCTGCTTACACCGGAGTAAACAGGTGGTCTGAGGTCTTATCTTTATCTCTATCTCCATTGCTAATGACGGGGTCAAGGGCCGTTGTTTTTCACTCGAGTCAGACTGACACCGTCGGGTTGGGTATCTCAAGTTTTGCTCAGAGTCCCGCCGGTGGCACTAGTTGCCAAGCAGCGGAGCCGGATTTCACTCACACCGAGGCGTCATCTTCTCTGGGGAGTTCAATCCATGAAGTGAGCATTTGGGACTTCTTTTTGGAGTGGCCAATTGACTGGGAAAGGGTAGAAGTTTGGTATCAGATTAAAACTGGTGTTTTGGGGCAGGGGAGAAATGGAACATCATCGGTCTTGCCATCGTCCTGCCACTTGAGTGACGTTTTACGAGTGAGGGAATTGACTTCTAATGACGGTTCCCTGGCCTGGCTTGGCCGGGGCCTCAGCTGACTTCGCTGGCAAACTTCATCGTTTGCGGGAACACGGATGGATGGATAGGTCGCACCCGGCAATTGGGTACGCTGTTGCGATGTGCCCTCTAGTAATGTCTGTTGAACTTTGGATTGGCGGGCGTATCATTGATGCCGGGTGGACTAAGGGTGAAACGGGCTCAACGGGCCAAACGGTGCGGCTGGTTGATGCCCGATGTTCGCCTCGTGTTTGTTGGTGTGGAGACGGCTTTTCTATCGTATCTTGTCTCGATTCTTCCAGGTTGCTGCGTGCGGTCACAATACGATGGATTGGCGGTTGACCCCGAGGTGTTGAGGGTGAAATGGCGCACATCTCCTACACTGACGTGGTAGGGCAAGTTGCATGCCACATTCTAACTATTAGATACCTTAGGGTTTGGATTGACGCACGATTAAGTCATGCAGGGCCTGCAGACTTACACTATCGCCATCGTAGTGGAATGACTGTTTGACTGATGGGTTGTCAGCCGCGGCGGTGCAGTAGGCATTATGAGACGCAAAGGTCAAGAAGGTTGAACAGTGAACTCAATCTTCAACGCAAGAGCCATCGTCTCCCAGTAGCTATCGAAAACCTCCCAAGAATCGGGTCGGCCTAGCGGCGTCTTTGAAGTTGACTTCCTTGTACCGCTCACGATGGCGAGACACCATGTTGCACTTGACAACAGCCGGTATTCTTACCTGCAGTGTACTATTATTATGCTACGGCGTATGGCGCCACCTAAACAGCCTGGTAAGTACCGTCGCGTCGCAGTTGCTGGCGTCAATTGGGACTTGCAAACAGGGAGTACAAAGTACCAGACCAGGTCAGGAACCCAACCCCATCGCGCAATCGTCATCATTTTTCCATCGACAGCCCTGCATGATTTTCAACACTGAATTCTGAACGATTGCACCTCAGAACCGCGTTCGATTTGTTCTACCTACTTTCACGCGGAAATAACTTTATTACGCTCTTCTCTGCCGTTTCTTGTCCTTATCCCGCCTGTCAAAGAAACTGACCCTCCCAGCGGCGTGCGGGTTCCCCGCCGCTCCTGCCAGCGACCGAAGCGCGCTCAGCCAAGCGCCAGTCCGATCCCCGGTCGATACCTTGGCAGCGCAGGCCCGCCGACGACCCGCTTTCTGGCTCGAGTGGGACCCCCCTCCGCCGCCGCAGCAGCAGCACCAGCAGCAGAGCCCAAGGCCGAAGCCATTTGCAACCTTACTTTGCTGCGACACATTCGACACAACACCACAACGTCCCATATACGAAGCGTCGTCGCTTCGTTGTTCCATCAGCAGCCATGGAGCAATGGCAGGCGTACAGCGACCCTGCCGGCGCCGGCGGCCAGCGACGGTACAATGGAAACACTGCTGCGATGGCTGCGTCCTCTAGTCAGATGTCGCCGCGAGACTTTGGCATCGGCGGCCAGAACCCAGCGCAACAGCCCCCAGTCGGCTTCAAATACGACAGTTACCAGGGCAGCCTGAAACCGCACCAGACTTCGTCGGCGGCAGCATCGCCCCTTGCTAGCCCCCATTTACGCGACGGCAATGGCGACGTCGCAATGCACGATCCCCACGACTCGTACGCCGGCCTGAACAACAGCGCCAAGTACCCGATGAGACCCCATCATCAACACCACCTGTCAAGCGGCCGAGCGGCCAGCCTCCAACAAGAGCCATCTGCCGCCGCACAGCGATACTCGCCAATGGAGGTGATGACTCCCACATCACCCTACAGCTCCAAGCCCGGCAGCGCAGGCCAGTATTCACAGCAGCCCAACCAACGCCAATCGCCCACACGTTCCTCCGATTACGCCTCGCAACAGAGCGCGTACTTCGACAACCGCCAGGGGCCGCCACAACTACCGCCCATCAACCCGTTTGGTTCCGGCCAGGAGACATACTCGCCGTCGTCCTTGACGCCCATGGACGGCGCTTACATGGACCCTAAGTCACCCAAGCGTGTCCCGCTGCAGTCGGCCATGCAGGACAAAGGACCGGTCCCCGAGTTCAAGAGGATCCGCGCTGCGGCAGACCTCAAGCCCAAAGTCAATGACCAGCCGCCATTTCGGCGGGCTAATCCTGAAGGTGGTTTCATCAGCGTAAGTAGCCCCCCCAAAACCAGCATCAACCAGCTGCCTGCCCTCGATTGTCGCTCAGATTACTGACACGTTGCGATAGCCCCTCCAAGCGCTCACCGTGCATCTCCCTGCCACCTACCGAATCTGCAACCCGGGCTTTAAGTACGAGTCGTCGCGCAACCCTCGCCGTGTGTTGACCAAGCCCAGCAAGGGGGTGAAGAACGACGGCTACGACAACGAAGATAGTGACTACATTCTCTACGTCAACGACATTCTGGGCTCTGAGGAGGCCGGACACAAGTATGGTCTCCGTTTATGCCGAAAGGTTGACATACGGGGCTAACCGTTTGTCCAGGAACCGATACCTAATTCTGGATGTCCTCGGCCAGGGCACCTTCGGCCAGGTGGTGAAATGCCAGAACATGAAGACTCAGGAGGTGGTTGCGGTCAAGGTGATCAAGAATCGCACAGCATATTTCAATCAAAGTATGATGGAGGTGTCTGTGCTGGATCTTGTAAGCAGCCGAGCTTGCCTACTCAAGTCACCTGTCATGCTGACCCCCAGTCTAGCTTAACACTAAACTGGACAAGAACGACGACCACCATCTCCTGCGACTCAAGGACACATTTATCCACAGACAGCACCTATGTTTGGTGTTTGAGTTGCTCAGCGTGAACCTTTATGAGCTGATCAAGCAAAACCAGTTCCGGGGTCTGAGCACCACCCTGGTCCGCGTTTTTGCTCAGCAGCTTCTCAATGGGTTGGCGCTGTTGAACAAGGCCAGGCTGATCCACTGTGATTTGAAGCCTGAAAACATCCTGCTCAAGAACCTCGAGAGCCCGATCATCAAGATTATTGATTTTGGATCCGCATGCGACGAACGGCAGACCGTTTATACCTATATTCAATCGAGGTTCTACCGGTCACCTGAAGTCCTACTCGGCCTGCCTTACTCTTCCGCTATAGATATGTGGTCGCTGGGGTGCATCGTGGTCGAGCTGTTCCTCGGTCTTCCCCTGTTCCCGGGATCGTCCGAATACAACCAGGTATCGAGGATTGTCGAGATGCTCGGCAACCCCCCAAATTGGATGATTGAGATGGGCAAGCAAGCCGGCGAATTCTTTGAGAAGAGGCAGGACGAGTTCGGGAGGCGCACGTACCACCTGAAGAGTATGGAGCAGTACTCACGGGAGCGTGGCGTCAAAGAACAGCCCAGCAAGAAGTATTTTCAAGCGAATACTTTGCCGGAGATCATCAAGTCCTACCCGATGCCGCGGAAGAATATGAAGCAGTCAGAAATCGATAGGGGTAAGTTCAAAAGACAGGGCATCGCATGACGCTGAGCGGAGCTGATCGGTCTGCAGAGATGAATAACCGCATCGCCTTCATCGACTTCGTCAGAGGCCTGCTCACTATCAATCCACTCGAGAGGTGGTCGCCGCAGCAGGCCAAGCTGCATCCCTTCATCACACAGCAGAAGTACACCGGACCGTTTGTGCCGCCGATGAACCTCAAGTCGAGCGCCCTCAACCGGTCACCAGCTCCGGGCACACAACAACAAATACAGGCCGAGGCGCTGAGCAAACAAAGGGCACAAGCGGCCCAGGCCCAAGCCCAGGCCCAGGCTAACACAGCAGCCCAAGCGGTATACTCGCCAATGGTTGCCGGACAGTACCAACAACAAGGCCATGCACAACAGCCGCCGCTCTACGGGAACAACAACATGTACAATCCCAACAGCGCACATCCAGGAGCGCCGCCCCCCTACAGCGGCCAGCAGGGCGGATATGGTCAGATGGGCATGTCGCAAGCGCCGGTGCAGATGCCGCCGGCCAACTACGCCCAATCCAACATGTACGCCCAACAACAGGGCCGGACAAGGCAGCGGGCGTCTACCATGGAGCAGCAGCAGAGCGGCATCCCGGCCGCAATCCAGAGGGTGGCCAGCCACCTCGACCCCAACCAGCCCATCCGGCTCCAACCCAGCCCCGCGTACTACCCGCCACCTCCAGAGGGTCTGGCGGGCATGGACCACGGCCAGACGACGAGCCGGCAGCCGAGGAGGGGGAGCCGGGCGCAGCAGACGGGACGAGGGGGGAATAACCGCGACTTCATTCGGAACCTGGAGGAGCGGACGCTGGAGGAGGGGTTCATGGGCAGCGGCCAGAGCCCGTGGCATTAAAAACAGGGGCCAGGATAGAATGTGGGTGGTTGGGAGGGCTGAGGGTGGGAAACTGACTTTTGTTGGATATAACCTTTATGGGCAGAGGCTTGGTCAGGAGAGGGGAAGGGGGCAGGCTATGATGTTATGGTTTGTTCCCATCATTGCAACTTGCAATTGTCGGCGTTTGAAACTTCGCTTGGCTTGCTTTCCTTTGCTTGCGTTTGCTGCCTAGTTTTGTTGAAACTACGTCATCATCATCATTTCGAGTCACTGACACCGTTCTCATTGTATTTTGTCTTGGTCTCTTGCTCTCGGGGTTCGAGCTTGCGTGGGTTGGTAAGGTAGAAGAAACAGCATGATTGATTGATATAACCAACCTGGATGTGTGGCCCCGTCGGCAGAACGTTTTCTCAACGCACATACCACTCACGGAGGCATGTGAATGGGGCTGGATAGGGTTGGCTTGTTGGGTGACTTCAGATTTCCCCTCCCTTACCAGGGTTCCGATCTCTAAGGCACCGATTTACTCAAATGAGCAAGAAATGGAGAGGAGGTGGGAAGGAAAGGAGGTGGGTAAACCCGGGGGGCGGGAGGGTTGTGAGACCAAGATGATGGTGACCCCTCTCGGCGGGTTTGGGTGCGGATGGGAGGTTTTAGGGGTAAGGAAAAAAGGAGAGTCGAATTTACATACAACTGCGGGAAGAAAGATGTAGCCGCAAGGAAGAGAGACTGTTAGGTACGCATGAGATGGACATCCGGAAGACAGACGGCAAAGGAGTAAGGGGTATGGGAACTCATTCTAACCTTTTTTTTGTTGATTCGAGGGAGGCGAGAGGTTGAGGGTAGTTTGGGTTTGTTGTTCTTTATCCTTCCTTTCTGTCGTTTCTTTTCAAATATGCGTTTGAGAGGGCAGAACATGGTGTCCCTGGCAATGGTCCTTGTCTTGCGCTCTTCCTACCCGGGTGGGTGATGACCGAAGTAGGCCGATTGAGTGGGCGAGCAGATGGTAAGTACCTAGACCCTGGACCAAGGTAGACATCATCGGTTCTGCGCTTGAGGTTTGAGGTGTTTGAGTTGCTGTTTAATTTCGGGGCAGTGTACCCAAGACTATATGACTGAGAACACGTTACAGTACTCTGGTAAGTCACGCTGTAGAGGCCTTGATGCACAATGAGCGGTTGAGCAATCACCTGTCTGCCTGTCCCGCAAGCCGGTCGCCACGATCCCTTCTTTGTTCCGTTTCATAGCGCTTTTCGCTATTATTCTATGGCAGGGCATGCAAGGTACAACAAAGTACGTGCCCCTATTGCATGCATGCTGTGTCATCCCCATACCAGGATCCCCGTTCCCTACTCATCCATGAATGAATTCCGCAAACGCCGATTGTACGCCTCCCATTCGTAACAACGATGGCGCTCCACATTGTGCTCCAATCCATCTAATTACCCTATCCCATCAACCAGAACCGGAAAGGCAAGGGGGAAAATTGAACAAGTCGTACATAACATCGATCCACGCTGAGCTCGAGGTAGACTGAGCCTCCTCGCGAAAGGCGATTCGGGCGAGAAGCTCTATCTCCCACCAAACTGCCCGGCCCTACTGAAGCCCCGGCCCCAACGGTTTGTCTTGACCAGGCTGTCGCTGTACAGGCCACCGCCGACTCCCGCGGCGGGACCGGTGGGGGGTTGTCTCGAGTTATTGCTGTAAGTTGTGTCCACTGGGTCATCAAAGCCGTAGGAGCCGTCCACCACCATGTCGGTATCGAGAGACGCGCGATTCTGCGTCTGCGTGGAGAGGGCGCTCGAGTTGTTGCCCACCTTGGGGTACACGCTTAGTACGCGGCCATCGGCCTGATCCAGTTGGTTAGCCTGAGGCAACTGACGTGGAGGTAGGATGGAGAGAAGCGGCATACGGTCTGGTTATTAAAAGTCGCAATCACGTTGTCGGCCCCCTCCTTGCTTTCAAAAACAATCTCGGCAATTACGATGGGGTGCGTCTTCACCAACCGGCAGGTTGTAATGATGCCGCCTACCGGCGTCATGGCACTCTCAATGTCAGCCGCTGTCGTACCGGGGGCAAAGTTCTGCGCCATCACCACGAACGGACCAGCCAGGCCCCTGATCGTGATACCCGGGTTAAAGGTCTTCTTGGACGCCGCCAACATGGCCTTGGGCGCTGTTGGAGCTGCGCCATTGATAGCAAAAGATCCCTGCTGCTGGCGCTGCTGCTGGCCCTGGTGCGCTCCTCGAGGCGACTGCAGCTCTGACCTTATCAGGGCCTGCGCCACCTGCGCTGCGCGCCGCTGCTGGCGTTTATGGCCAGCAGGACCGGTCGGCGGCGCACTGGGGTCGGTGATGCGCGCGGCGAGGGAGCCGGCTCCGCTGCCGCTGGCCTTGCCGTTTGCCTTGGGTCCTCCTCGCGACTGCGTCTCGTGCAGGTCGTGTGTCCATTCGCCGTCGATGTTGCTTGTGCTCTGCCGCGGGCGGGCGCGGTTCTGGGGCTCAGCGCGCGGCTGCAAAACGGGGATTAGCGATATTTGATTGGTGAGCAGTCTTGGTCATAGCTGGATAGGAGTCGTACCTTCTTCACACCTGCGCGACTGACGAGGGTCCCGGCGGCGGAGGTGGGAGTGCGGTCTCGGTTGAAAATCTTGGCGGCAAGGGCTTCGGCCTTCTTGCGCTCACGAGCTGTAGAGCGGTCAGTTTTATACTTGAGTTTCCTGGGTGAGCGGCGGGCAGTTACAAACCCTCATGGATCATCTTCTCAAAGTCGGCGGCAACCTTGCCACTGCTCTTGCCGTTGGCTACCATGGCGCCGGGCTCGCACCTTGAACAATTGAGCGATGTCGGGTGTTGGGCGTCGAGGTCTCGAAATCACAATGCAATGCTTGCGTCAATGATTGAAACCCCGTGTGGGAGCCTAGGTGCTGCAGAGCAAGTCTGGACTGGGGCGATTCTCCGATAATGAAATGCGGTGATGCTCACAACTGAACGAAGCCGTGTTTCCAGCGCGTCAACCAGGATTTTGTTCCACCGGGCTAAAGGACCGCACGGACCACGCAGGATCCTTGGTGGCCACCTCACTTGAATCTCTCCACATTGCGACCATTCATCACGCCCAAACTGCAACTTTGCAAGTAGGAGATGTTTGAAGGGGCACAACTCGCCATCGTTTGATTTCAGACAAGACCGGAATCCATGTTGATATTTTGCTTACACTGTCAATTTTTCGGCAATGAAGGTTGTTTCACGCAGAAGTTGTCGATGACCCTACTAGGGGTCGATTCAAGAACCCTCGGGCCACAGCAGTCGTTACGCGGAGTCTGAGCCCTCTTGAAGACTTGATGACTGCAGCTCATTGACGGGAATGGTAGATGCCACGACTTGGCCTGCAAGAAGCTCACATCTTGCATGGCTCGAGTTGAGGACAGTCTCGTTAGAAATTCACACAATTTCGACCGCACAGATCGTTGCCACGGACAATGACCATCCTCCAGCCTCCCATACCATCCTGCCTTGAGCTGGAATTTAACTCATAGTCTGGGTACTAGTAGTCGAAGAGCTCGGACTGCAGGTGCCGTTTTGGTGGAGGCATGTTGTCGGGGTTCAGGCCGGATTGAATAACAGCCCACCGCGCGCCCTCCTTCCCAACCTTATTCCTCCCTCGAACATGCACTTCCCTTCCAAGCCGTGATGATGGAAGAGCGCCTTCCATCACAATACAGCTTGCCCATGACGTTCCAGACTTCTCGAGGATGCCGGACCGTCCCCTTCTCCCTCTCCTTTTCTACGTGATGAGTGTCCGGCTCCGAGTGTTCCCCCATTATTTCGCCTTTGGTTTGGGAAGAAGCCAGCCAGGCTCACATTGCTATTCTTACTCGGAGCTTTTTTAATTTCTTGATCCAGGCTTACTATCGAGTTTCCAGTTCAAGAGCCCATTCCACAGCCATGTCGAGTCCTTTGGGTATGGAGCTCGATGTCATGCCGGGTGACGAGGCAAGTCTCAAGACGAACAGCCCCCGCCGGTCGCTCGTCGCATCACTCCATCGCAAGACGTCGCATCTCTTGGGCCGTAATCCCGTCATCACCAACACTGCTGACAACACCCCCCTGCCCGTTCACCCGGGGCCTCTGAGAAGCAAGCCCAGTTGGTTTCACTCGGTTGGTGCTCGCTTACAATCTAAAAGGCACAACCATGCGGTCATCCAGTCGTCGGACAGCTCTCAAGAAATCGAGGTCGAGTTGGAGGAAGGCAGTGGCATGATCAACCCGCCTTCATCTCCAGAGATCTCTCCAGAGACCTCGCGATCCCGCTCACCAGAGAGGCGCCGGACATTCAGCGGCCGCCTGAGGCTTCGTTCTCTCCCTGCCAAAATCCGTCGCCGGAGTGCCGCCCTCTTCCGACGGACATCATCTTCGAACCCCAGTGACGAGGATAAAGAGAACCTTTCGCTTCTCGAAACTCCTCCTGCAGGCCCTGTCAACTCTCCCAATACGGGGAGCTGGAGTTCTTTCCGGTCTGGCGTCCAGAGAGCTGTCCGGGGTAAGTGGCTTTTGTCCCTGAATCACGGGACTCCAGACCATGGAGTAGGCATGCTAAATGAAGATTAGAAATGGTTGACGGCAACTTTTGCTTCCCCGAGGACCACGGCGCCCGAAGTGAGTAGTCCGTACCACGTCCTCTCGTACCGGTCTGTTGACCTATCCTAGGGCCGCCGCCTCCTCCGCGGTCACCTGCCAGAGTGCCTCTGAGAACACTCTGGACCATCATGTCAGCCGATTCGTCCGAGTCAGTCCTCACTCTCTTCCCTTTGATGCCCAACACCCCAGCTAACAACAGCCCACTTCAGAGGCCAAGCTTGCGCAACAAGCCCGCCTTCAGAGCAAACCAAGTCATACCACCTGTCCTCCCCTGACCTTTCCCGGGAGTGGTCTCCCACATCATCGTCACGTTACGACGCGGAAGTATCACCTTTCAACGGTAGCGGGGAATCAGCGGAAGGCTTGACGAACGCCGGCTCGGGCCCTGATTTGTCGCCCATTTCGACCGTCCACAGCCCAGCAGAGAACCAGAGGGCGAGCCACGACAGTGAGAGCTTGCCTGAGAGCCCCGTCGACGAGGAGAATGCGCCCGAGCTACCCCTGCGAGCGGCAAATCGGCCCTGCAAGGGGTCGTGGAGAGCGGTCGATGGCGAAGTTCAAGGTCGGCAGTTCGGGGTCGAGTTGATGAAGGAGAATATCAAGGCGCATGTGGTTTCGCATCCTGCTGGGTCGGTGTGATGACCCCGCTTGAACTTGCTTGCAAGTGGAGGAGCAGGGGAGGATCGGGCGTTCGAGAAGGGAGGATTATATGCTATTCAGTATTGATAGCGATGTGCTTCTGGACTAGGTACTTTAGAAGTGTCTCTCTCTTTTTGCAGCATCGATAGTGCGAAGGTAGATTAAAGACACAAGTTTGCAACCGATTCACAGTTGAAGTCAACATGGTAAAGTAGTTTGATGAGATGCCTTGATTTCTTTACATGAGAGTATGCACTTGCCGCCTGCGTGCTGTTGCCTTGTACATGGTATAAGTTCTAATACTTCGCACTGGCTATCTCACATTCCGCAACACACACGGACTGTCATCCTAGTACGCATTCTCAGATGTCAACCGGCTGGCACGCTTATTCCCAATCGTGATGGGTTTCCCAGTGGAGTCATCCTCATCCAACACGGTCTGCCTCTCCTCCAGCGGCCGCCCGTCCGGGTAAATCTTCCTGATCCACCGCTCGACCGCCTTCTGCAGCACGATGCGCCGCACCCGCCAGAGCTTCTGGGCTTTGAGGTCACACATGTCGTTCCCCTCATTGAGCACGCGGTCGATACCCGCGATCATGCGCCGGGCCGTCGCGAGAATCTCTTGCATGTCACCGCGCTTGCACTCTAGCTCTTCTTGGGGCGACCGCGCCGTTTTCATCCCTGTTGTTGTTGCTTCGGGGGAGGGGTAGGATAGAGAGCCCGACAAGATCCGGAAGGGTTCCCACATGCGGTCGAGAGCGGCCAGGATCTGGGCGCCGTGCGCGCGCTTGCCGCCACCGACCGAGGCGTACTCGTCGGGCTTGGCTTCGTGGAAGTGCCGCGTGCTGGCGCGCGCGACTTGCAGGAAGAGGCGCATCGCGAGGGCGTCCGGGTAGCGGGTGCGGGCGGTCATGTCGTCGAAGATGCGGCAGGCGTGGCCGAAGGCTTCCTTGTTGAGGTTGTCGTCGATGCAGGCCGTGAAGGCGCGCCGGAAGGTTAAGGGGGAGAGGAGGGTGGAGGGCATCGAGGTAACGAGGTTGGCCACCTGCGCGCTGGCGTGGCCGGCTGCGAGCGTGCGGAGGTAGACGTAGTAGTTCTCGGCGTCCGGGGTGATGTTGACGGTTTGTGTCAGGTAGGACCAGTACTTGGGCGCGCTAGATGTCTTGCGGGTGTTGGTGAGCACGGTGAGAACGAGGGAGAGGGTCTTGTTGCCGGGTTTGGCGTATAGGGGGGAACTGTTCGCTCTCGAGGTCGCCAGCTCCTTTCGAGCCTTTGCTGACATGTTGGATGTGTTGGGGATTTGATCTCCTAACGTTGCCAACCCGGTCGTGGAGCTGGGATCGAAGGGGGCTGGAAGCTGCACATTGGGTTTGTCGAACCTTGGAAGCCTCATGGTCTGCTCGAGAAGTAGCAGGACGCTCTCGTTATCTTTATAGTCGCCCGCAGTAAGGATCCTGCCCATGGCAAACACTAGGTGCTCATCAAGGATCAGCTTGGCATTCCTCCAGTTCGCGACCACGTCGCTCCAGATCGCCCTCGCTCGCTGAATGTTTTTCTGCATTTCTCGTCTGACCTCGGCGTCGACCAGGCCAAGATTACTATTTTCCATTTTTGAGACGTCGTGTCTGAGGGCGTTTAGGACAATGGTGTAGGTATGGGCGTCAGGAGAGCGCAGATTCCCATTGGCAGTCGACAGGACAGTGAACAGACTCTCGAGGTCACCGGCACGTGCGCAAACCTCGAGCACGGCGTTCATGTGAATCGTGTTGGGCTTGAGAGCGCCCTGCTTGACCATGAAGTTGTAGATCCTGGTAGCCTCGGAGACAGCCAACTTAGGATGTAGAGAGAGTGCGCAGCCACGGAAGATGATGGTGTACGTCTTTGCGTTGGGTATCTGGGCGCGTTTCTTCATCTGCGAGGGGGTCAGTTGAGATTCGAAACCAAGGCGGGCAAGAGAACAAGCGAATAACGCACCTCGTTATACAGCTTGACGGCGGCATGGAGGCGCCGGTTCTTCATCTGGTAATCGATCAGGTGGTTCCAGCTAACCTCGACCTTTTTGTTGCGGCTGGCCATGCGTGCCATCAAGAGGGCCTCGTCAAAACTGCCCCTCTCAAGGGCTCTGCTAACATGCTGGGCGATGTGATAGGGGTCCTCGGCGAGGCTCAGTTGTTTTTTGACGGCGGCCTGCAGCTTCCGCTCATATCTCTGCTTCCCCAGATCGCCGCCTTTGGCGTTTACGTTTTCATATGCCAGGTCCCCGTCGTCCTCGTCAAGGGCGTGCTCCTTGATGGCGCTTTGTTCGCTTTTTCTCTTGGCTATGAAATGCGGCGCCTCCTGTTCGAGAGGCTGTGCGAGAGCGCTGCGTAGATCGACCTTGATGCCTTTGCCCAAGTACGTCCGCCGGCTGGTTATTGGCCCCGTCGTCCTTTGCAAGGAGCCCAGCAGGCGTGGCGCAAACGGGCTAGTCCCAAACCCCGCCAGGCGTCGGAGACAGCCCCGACAGATGAACATGGCCCGGGTGTGTCCAACCTCGTCGTCGTTCAGGACAAGTTCGCAGGTCGTCGGTATCGGCAAAAATATCGTGTAGTTTGGCTGATCATATGCAGTGGTAACGCAGTACTTTTCAGGGGTGACGGCAAATGTAGCTGTCGGGTTTCTCCGCAGCCCTTTTATCTTCGCAAACGTAGACGATGTTGGTGGTTGAGGTTGGACCTGCACACTTTTTGCGCTGCTTCGCTGAAGCTTGGCCCGAACTTTTTCTTGTGTTTGCCTGCCGGATGTGCTCCTCGTGGGGCCGCCAAGCGCTGCAGGGCCAGGGCCCGTCCGTAACAGGTACCTTACAAGGGTGCGCGTTATTGAACGCGACGGAACACGCGAAACACGCTGCCCACTAAACTGGTAATTAACGAATGAGACCCGCGTTCTGCACTTACCCTTTCCCCTTCCTACAATCCCTCGGGATATTGTTGATCTCAGATTCAGGACGCATCGCAGACATTCGGCAACAACTCCAATGCCCCAAACTTGAAAACAAACCACTGTCAGGTTCAAACACCGACCTTTACGACAGGAAGAGGAACAGTAAACGGAAAAATGCCGAAATCTAGCAAGCGCGACAGGTTCGCCGAGCTGCGCGCTCTGCGGCAATCGGGCAAGAAGGTCTTCGACACGTACGAGGTTGAGGAGGCTGCAGATCTGTACGAAGAAGTCGACGAAAATCAGTACAAGAAGATCGTCCGAGACCGTCTCAACCAAGATGACTTTGTCGTCGACGACAACGGCGAAGGGTATGCCGACGACGGACGCGAGGAATGGGACCGGGTACGGGCGTACGAGTCGGAGAGCGACAATGCTATGCCAGTCGCCGGGAAGGACCGCAAGTGTAGGAATCGCTTCTCCGAATACCCCTGGATGCTTTGTAGCGCAGGCTCTCTGACCCCTCCACTCCTCTGCAGCCAAGAAGCAACAACGTGAGGAGGAGAAGGCAAAACGGGACGCCAATGACCGGGACATCTCCGAGTACTTTACAAAGGGTGCCACCAAGGCACAGCCCAAGCCCAAAGTCAGTTTGCGTGAAGCCAAGCTGTATGGACCTAACACTGACACGTCTGCAGGTCGTCAAGACTGAAGATGACGACAAATTCCTGGCAGACCTCCTCGGCGAGGTCGATGCGAACGTTCCGGTACCCCTACCGAGGATTCCAAAGAAGAGAGACAGATCGACCGAGAGGAGAAAAACCCGTCCCCTCTCCCCAGCACGAGAAGCCCGGCAGCCAGCTCCCAAGAAGACAAAGATGCTTGACGGCAGCGCATCCTCTCCCATGGCTAGTGATATTGCCATGGCCGACGACGACTTTGTGCCAGTCGTGGAAGACGAACCTGCCGCGCCTGTCGACGTGGCTATGAGCGACCCGGCCCCCTCCTCGCCTGCAGCAAAGGTTGCTGAGCGGAGAACACAACCCAAGTCGGAATTCGATGTCGATGATGATGATGATGATGATGATGACGATGTCATGATGGAAGTGGCTCACACCGGCGCGGTTGCTGCTGCCAGTGTCAACCTGTCGGCCTCACGGCAGATCAAGAAGATCGTCAAACCAGAGCCCTTACCAACACCAGTTAGCTCATCCCCCGCCAGAGGTCCAGAGCCCCCCGTCGACGCGTCGGCATGGAACGGCATCAACGAGAAGCTCAACGTGGTGAACAGCTCGCAGCCCGAGACCCGAAGCATGGGTAAGATCGACTACAAGGACGCTATTGAGGTGGACGGCAGCCTGAACATGTTCTGGACCGACTACACCGAGGTCAACGGCTGTCTCTGTCTCTTCGGCAAGGTCCTGAACAAAAAGACCGGCCACTTCGTGAGCTGCTTTGTTAAGATTGACAATATCCTGCGGAAGCTCTACTTCTTGCCCCGCAAGCACCGTGTGCAGCGCGGCGTGGAGACGACGGAGCAGGTCGAGATGATGGACGTCTACAACGAAGTCGACGCCATCATGACCAAGATGAATGTTGGTATGCACAAGATTAAGGCGTGCAACCGGAAATATGCATTCGAGCTGCCCGAAATCCCCAAGGAGGGCCAGTATCTGAAGCTGCTCTACCCCTACACGAAACCCGTCATCGAGCTCGGCACCACGGGCGAAACCTTCTCGCACGTGTTTGGCACCAACACCTCTCTGTTTGAGCAGTTTGTGCTCTGGAAGGGTATCAAAGGACCGTGCTGGCTGAAGGTGGAGGATGCCGACTTTGGCGCTTTGAAGAATGCCTCGCACTGCCGGCTCGAAGTCCTTGTCGAGCATCCCAACATGGTTGCACCACTGGGCGATGGCGAAGCCATGGACGCCCCTCCGCTGACCCTCATGAGTCTCGCCATGCGTACTATGTTCAATCCGAAAGCCAACAAGCAGGAAATTCTGGCCATCAGCGCAAGAATCTACGAGGATGTCTCGCTCAGCGACACAACCCCTGCCGATAAGCTGCCATGTCGAACCTTCACCCTCGTCCGGCCCCAGGACACGGCCTTCCCTCTCGGTTTCGAGAAGATGGCCAAGGAGAGGAGAAAGGGTTTGATCAAGCTGATGAAGCAGGAGTCGGATATCTTGTCCTTCTTCCTTGCCCAAGTCGATCTCGTCGACCCAGATGTCATTCTCGGCCACCAGCTCGAGGGTGTTGACTACAGCATTCTGCTCAACCGGCTTTACGAGAAGAAGACGCACCAGTGGTCTCGTCTTGGGAGATTGAGGCGGTCCGCCTGGCCGTCGTCCATTGGCAAGGTTGGCGGCAATGTTTTCGCAGAGCGTCAGGTCATGGCCGGGCGCCTGCTCTGCGATCTTGCCAACGATGCTGGCAAATCTGTCATGTTCAAATGCCAGTCTTGGAGTTTGACCGAAATGTGCAGCCTATACCTCTCGGGTGATAACCATCGACGGGATGTTGACAACGAGTTGGCCCTCAAGACCTGGGCTTCTTCCAAGGAGGGCCTGATGGATTACCTGTCCCACGCCGAGACAGACACCTACTTTATCGCTGCCTTGGCTCTCAGGACCCAGATCCTCCCGCTCACCAAGGTACTCACCAACTTGGCGGGCAACTCATGGGCAAGAACTCTGACCGGTACACGTGCTGAGCGTAACGAATACATTCTGCTCCATGAGTTCCACAAGAACAAGTACATCTGCCCGGACAAGCAACCCTTCAAGGGACGGGCGCGTCCCGACGAGGATAACCAAGAAGAAGACGGAGGCGAGACCAAAAAGAAAGACAAGTACAAGGGCGGTCTGGTTTTTGAGCCCGAAAAGGGCCTCTATGACAAGTTCGTTCTGGTCATGGACTTCAACTCGCTTTACCCGTCCATCATCCAGGAGTTCAACATCTGCTTCACAACCGTTGATCGGTCGTTTGTTGTAAGTCCACTCGTCGCGTGTTCTCAACGGCCTCGCACTGACAAGTGACCAGTCGGATGATGAAGATGCAGTGCCTCGAGTTCCCGAGGAGCAGGATCCTGGCATCCTTCCGCGCCTCATTAAACAGTTGGTCGACCGCCGAAAGCAAGTGAAGAACCTGATGAAGGACAAGGGCGCCACCCCGGAGCAGCTTGCGACCTGGGACATCAAGCAACTTGCCTTAAAGCTTACCGCGAACTCCATGTACGGCTGTCTTGGATACACCAAATCGCGTTTCTACGCCAGGCCTCTGGCCATGCTCACCACCTTCAAGGGGCGTGAGATCCTTCGCAGCACCAAAGACCTCGCCGAGAGCATGTCACTGCAGGTTGTCTATGGTGACACTGATTCCGTCATGATCAACGCGAATGTAGATAACGTAGCCGACGCGCTGAAGGTCGGCCGCGAGTTCAAAATCGAGGTCAACAAGCGGTACAGGCGGCTTGAGATCGACATTGACAATGTCTTCCGCCGCATCCTCCTCCAGGCGAAGAAGAAGTACGCGGCCGTCAACCTGGTCGAAGTCAACGGCAAGTGGGTCGAGAAGATGGAGGTCAAGGGTCTCGACATGAAGCGCCGCGAGTACTGCCCCCTCTCGCGCGAGGTCTCCAAACGCATCCTGGACGAGATCCTCTCGGGCAATGACACGGAACAGTCTATCCAGCGTATCCACGAGTACCTGCGCGAGATATCGACCAAGATGCGCGAGCAGGCCATCCACCCCCAAAAATACATCATCCTCACCCAGCTCGGCAAATCTCCCAAGGAGTACCCCAACGCCGACAGCATGCCCCAAGTCCAAGTCGCCCTCCGCGAAATGGCGCGCGGCAAGACGATGCGCAAAGGCGACGTCGTCTCGTACATCATCACGGGCGACAGCAAAACCACCTCGGAGCCTGCCGCCAAGCGCGCCTACAGCCCGCAGGACGTGCTCAAGTCCGACTCGGGCCTGACCCCGGACGTGGAATGGTACATCGGCAAGCAGATCTTCCCGCCCGTCGAGCGCCTCTGCGCAAACATCGTCGGCACCTCGACCGCCCAGCTCGCCGACAATTTGGGCCTCGACGTCCGCCGCTATGCAAACCACTCCTCCTCCAACTCGTCCTCTTCAAGCAGCAGCCGCGACCTCGACATCCACCCTCTGGAATCCCAAATTCCAGACGCGATCCGCTTCCAGTCCTGCACTCGCCTGTCCCTCCGCTGCCGCGCTTGCAAGACCTTCGCCCCCTTCGAAGGCCTACTCGGCTCGGCAGACCGCGTCACCCCCCGGGGCGTGTCCTGCGCCAACCCGGCCTGCGGCGCCGTCCTCCCCACGCTGTCCATCGTCGCGCAGGTCGAGACGGCCGTACGCGCTGCCGCGGCGCGGTACTACGAGGGCTGGCTAGTCTGCGACGACGCGAGCTGCGGCAACCGCACCCGTCAGATGAGCGTGTCCATGCGGGGTTCCGGCGGGCGGTGTCTGGGGCCTAAGGGTTTGGGGCAGGGCTGTCAAGGCAAGATGAGGTACGAGATGGGGGAGAGGGATGTGTATAACCAGCTGGTGTACTTTGCCGGGTTGTGGGATGTTGAAAAAGCCAAGGCTAGTGCGCTGGCTGGCGATGTTGCCCCTGCTGGAGACGGGGAGGGCGTCCCTGCGGGGGAGATTAGGGATAAGGTACTTGCGTTGGTGGAACATAACAGGGTCAGGTTTGGGACGGTCAAGGGCGTGGTAGATAAGTACTTGGAGAAGTGTGGCCGGCAGTGGGTGGCGATGGATACGCTTTTCTCGAAGCTTGGGTTCATCGCTTCTTGACTGGGGACATAATGGGTTGGAGCCTGGGTGTGAAGGCATGATGCTCTGTTGCGGTTTTGCTTACTTCCGTTGTTGGCTTTACGTGGGCTGTTGGTGTTAGGATGGCTTTCTCGTGGACTTTTATGTATGAAGAGCGAAATATCAAGGACAAAGAGCTTCACACATCAAAATTCACAAATACTTACTCGCGCCTTGTTACTCGGGTGATTAACGGCTAGCTTGTATAACGGCCCCAGCTTAACAATTATTGTAAAGCACTTGTAGCGAAACAAACTGAATATAAGACCTTGAAGCCCGAATTACTGATACCAATGAGTGCCAAGCAAATACAAATGCGAAGCAACGATCACGTAGACACAGAAGTCTGCCCCGACTGTCTATACCTTCTCCCATCCCATGTCCCTCAAACACATCGCCTCTTTTAAGAGCCTCTGGCAACTGATAGCAAAGTGTAGCCCCCCTCCACTGCTGTGCGGCCCGAATATCGCCCTTCAGCCATGTTGCATACCCATACCCCAAACTCATTCCAACTCAAACCTCCATCAGTCACCGTCGCATCCCTCGCAGTCCGTATCTCCCACAAATTCCACCTCTTCTTACGCCTCCAACCCATTCGTCACTTCCCATAAGTCAATCTAGAAAACTGGAACAGGGACTAGAAATGAATAAAAGCCGAAGCCAGGCACACAGATGAATCACAAGCGCAAACACGAAGAACAATGAAGTAGGAAGGCCCTCCACCGTGAGCAAAACATACAATGTAGTCACAAAGACCGCTGGCGAGCTGCTGCTCCTGGGTTGTGCCCACACTCCGCGCTCTGGTGGGTGTCCTTGGAAAAGAAAAATGGGTTCTAAGGGTGACTTCCAATATGAGATCCCAAGATCGGGTTAAGGGATATGCAGGATGGATGGTGCGGAGATATTTGAATGGGGGTCAGGTTCAGATGTTGGAACCGTTATCAATCATCCATCCACATCCCGTTGGAATATGGCCGAAGAATCCATGAAGGACAAGAAAGAGCGCACGATAATACACGCATGACCCGAGACGAGAACAAGGCACAATAAGTGACAGTTAACACATAAGCATGCATGAATCCATCAACAGAGATAGGCAGGTTATCTCCCCCCTCCTCCAACCTTCAGCCAGTCACCCATTGACCCATCCACCACCACTAAGCCAGCAATGAGTAAGCAGCAAGCAACCAAGAGGCAAGCTAGCAGCAATTGGTATGCTTGAAACTTTTGAAGTTGTACAGGGACAAACTCAAAACAACAGAAGTCAGAAGAAGAGACCAAGTAAAATCGATTTGATTTCCCCTCCCCGAGACGCCCGGTGAATAGATAAATGAAAAAGCACAATTGACAACACAAAAATATCTCCGCTGCTGGTCGTCTCTCTCTGATGGGGTAACGTCTATCGAGATAAGAGGGAGGAGGTATCATGAGGGGCATCCCAGCTTTAATGAGAGAGGCAAAGGGAAAGGAAAAGCAATTTTGGTGAACAAACCACGCCGCAAATGCAAATGACAAATCCCCCGCCCGGTCTATGCATGAGTTCATAAATGCAAGACTCCGTGTAATTGATGGAAAGAACCGACCCTTGCACTACTCCTTATTGTCGTCACCTGCCGCCACAGTGTCGAGAGTCGCCTTGGACAGCGCTGGTGACGCGTGGGTCGACGGAGGAGAGCCCGGGTGGTCTCCGGTATCAGCGAGGAGTCTATGTCCATGGTTAGCAGATGTCGGGCGGCCGCAGGGAGTAAGCTGGTAGGACACGTACCCGAATGCATTTGTGTGCGCAACCGAGTCGCGGTCACGAGTGGGCGGTGTCCCAGTGCGTGAGGACGCGCCGGAGTCCTCACCGGCACGACCGAAAGCACCACCAGGACCGCCCATGCGACGTCCACTGTTGCTACGCGAGTTGAACATCGACGTTGGGCCGAACGATGGATTCTGGCTCGAGGTACGGCTGGATGACCCCTTGAGACGCCTGAGATCGTCAATGCCAACTTGGTTGGGGGGTGCGCTGGTGTACGAGAAATTTCTCGACTCGCCCCGTCCACCCATCGGCCGCCCGCCAGGAGCGCCGCGCTGGTTGTTGCGAGCATTCTCAGCCGCCTTCTGTGCAGCCGCTGCCTCAGCCTGGTTATGCAGGTTAGTCTCGATACCGCCTGTGAAGTAGAGGCACAAATGAAATAGACATACCTCCGCTCGCACTTCCTCCAACGTCTTGGGCCCTTTGTTCGCCTCCTTGGAGACCCAACCGGCCTTGCGCAGGTCGACAACGTCCATGAGCATGAACTTGAGACGGCTAGGCAGGCCCTCGAGGTTGATGATACTATCGATCCTCTGGAAGTACGCCTCCATGAATTGACGGCCCTTATCTGTGCTGTCCAGGTTGCCACCGATAGTTCTCAGGAGCTTCGTGAGGGACTCGATCTCAGCCTCGTCGGGAACACCAGTGAATTCGAGCAGCTTCCGCACACACTCGTGCATGATGCGCTCCGTGAGCATACCGAGCTTGTAGAGCTCACCAATGAATTGCACGAGACCCAGACCACGACGCTTGGCTGCGGCGGCAATGTAGTACTCGTCAGACAGGAGCGCTGCCTCACCTGCCTTGCCTTCCTTGGGTTGAGGAAGATCGACCTTCCAGCCGCGCTCGAATTCCTCCTGGCATCTGTTGAGGAGGTACTTGCGGAACAGGGCACCACCACTGACAACATTGCCTTGCTTGTCGAGGATGTTCTCATCGCGGATCTCCGGGCTCATCATCTCCAGCATGCGCTTGCAGAATTTCGCATACATAGATGCCCAATGAGCCTCGTCAGTGGCCTTCTCAAACGTGAGCTGGATGACTTGGCGCAGGGTGCGGCCATCCTGCTCGTTCTTGGACTGGCCGGCAATCGTGAGGATCTGGTCCGAGATCCTGTCGAAGTTCTCGGGAGTCATCTTGTTCAGGGCCGCCTTTACCTTGCGCTGCACCATCTCGGGGTCGAGATGGCCACCTTGGGCAATAACCGCAGTGGGCGCTTGCAATTCCTTCTTCCCAATGCTTGTGGGTTTCCAGCCTGTCGCCGAGATGGTAATTGGCTTGACCTCTTGGCCTGCGGTGAGGGGCATGGTCTTAGCAGCCTGAGCCTCACCCTTGCTAAAGTCCTTGGCTCTGCTGCCGCCACGCCTGCTGCCGGTGCGGGGAGAGGGAAGACCACCGGGACCGGAAGAAGGAGTCCGGTTCATCTGGCCAGGGAAGCCACCGCCGCGGCTGAAGCCGCCCATGGTATTCATGCCACCAGGTCGGGGCATGGCGCCTTGAGACATGGCAAAGCGTTCTGCCGAAGTGGTTCCAGCAGGCAATGTCTTGGCAGCACCAAACTGGCCCATGGCGCCCCCAGGCGGGAAGGCGGAAGCGGCGCCGGAGCGCGAACCTTGCCTGCCAGAACCGGCACCGGGGGTGCGGGCCGAAGCAGAACGAGAACCGTCCGAGTCTCCGATGAGAGCCTTGACTTGCTGGTGAAACTCCGGCGACGGTTGCTCTGTGAAAACATTCTGGAACTGAAGCAGGAATTGCGCATCGTACTTGAAGATCTTGCCTTTCTTCTGAACTTGGGCATTCAGGGCAGGGTTGGGCGACGCAATGCCCGCAGGGTAAATGCTGTACTCCACGCCGGGCAGGAAACGGGCAGAGCGGAGAGACTGCAGTGCCGCACTCGGCTGGGGTGCTTCAACCGGCGTTGTCTTGAGCGGGGCCAGGTTGAGAGCGGCAGGCTTGCGGTTAACTTTGTCGGCGGTTCCGACCTTTCCGTTGGCACTGGCATCAGGGGTGGCGCTGGGTTTCTCGGCCAAATCCTTCTTGTCATCCACCTTTAGCTCCTCCATCTTCTTGGTCAGGAGATCGCTGACGGACACCTGGACACCCTTGGCCTCGTTTTCCTTGCGGCGGCGTTCGCGCTCCTCCTCCAGTCGCTCCATCTCCGCCTCCTGCTCCCTGAGCTTCCTGTCGTTCTCAGCAGCGGTGAGCTTGGCGGCCTCGGCGGCGCGCTTCTTCTCTTCTTCCCTCTCCGCGGCTTTCCTGGCAGATATTTCGGCCTGCTCCTTCTCGCGACGAGCATCCTCCTCCTCCATCTCACGAATCATACGCTCGAGTTCTTCTTCGCTCATCTCGTCGGGAGACTTCTCTGCCTTGGGCTCCAGGGCCTTGGCAGACTCAGCAGCAGCGGAAGCAGCTTCCGCCTCTGCCTTTGCCTTCGCCTCGGCCTCTTCTTTTGCCTTGGCCTCCTCGACCGCCTTGGCTTCTTCAGCGGCCTTAGCCTCCTCGGCTGCTTTCTTCTCAGCCTCGAGGCGTGCCTCCTCCTTGGCCTTCTCCTCGGCAGCCGCCTTCTCAGCCTCTTCCTGTTTGGCTTTCTCTTCAGCAGCCGCCTTCTCAGCCTCTGCCTTCTCAGCAGCTGCCTTCTCCTCGGCCGCGGCCCTCTCTTCGGCAGCCTTGGCAGCCTCTTCATCCTCTTTGGCTTTCGCATCCGACGGGGCATCGGCCTGCTTCCGCACAGCGTTGATAAACTCGTTCCGGACCTGCTCGGCTGTCTTGCCAGTAGACGTGCTGTCGGTTCGACCGTGAGAAGGGGTCGAAGGCTTGGGTGGCGGCGTGGGAGTCGAGACGATCGCCGGCGGTGTCTTGGACTGCTGGATGGCAGGGGCCGGAGACGCGGGGCTCTTTATGGCGGCAGCCAGGTCGACGACTTTACCTTCTGAGTCCTTGATGACGATAGCGGCACTCTTCTTGGGACGGGCAAACGCGGGGGACGACACAATAGCGGGAGCCGCTTGAGCGGGTCGCTGCTGGGGTGTGCCTTGGGCGATGACTGGCGCTTGGTTCTGTCCGGTGCTGGAGGCCGGTCGGTCGGAAACCTGTGAAGCATTACGGGACATCGGCTGAGCCGCCGGTTGTCCAGGACCATACGAAGGGACAAACCCTTGGTGAGTAGGAGGGCCAAACTGCGACGGCTGGCCCATGTAGGGGTTCATGGGTTGGGGTTGATAGCCATAGTTCATGCGGTAGCCATCCATCGGCGGCGGCATGCCATAAGCACCGCCCATCTGCATCTTGTTTGCGGTTAGCAGCTTCTCATAGTTTCCACTCTCGGGTGACAGGTCAAGGGTTCCCAAGAACTGAGGGGGAAGCATGGGAACCGGGCGGCCTGGCTGGAATTGGTACGAAGGAGGAGGGCCATCCGAATACTCAGGCGATGATGAGCCGCCGTTGGCATTCTGATGACGCTCGACCGTCGGGTCCCAACGTTTGCTATGACGCCGCGGCTTTTGAGAGTGTTCCATGCTTGACTGATTGTAAGAGCCGTTGGGACCTCGCAGATGGTGCGCTTTCTCCGAGTCCCGACGGCCTGCCTTGTTCTTCTTTTGTGCCTTGGATACGGGGTAATCGCTGTTAATGGAAAGGGACTTTACTTGATGAGCGTAAGGGGGGATGGCCGGATTCATGCCGCCATAGTAGTGGGGCTGGCCTGCGGTGCCAGCCAGGGAGGCAGGTGGCATAGTAGGAGTGACGTGCGGCATGGCCGGAGTCGTGGCTGGGCTGGCACGGTGTGGTTGCGGCGAGTTGGGGTACTGCTGCATTCCGCCGCGGCCCTGGTGGTAAGGAGGCATACCTCCTCGGCCAGCGTTAGGACCAGAGAAGTTCCGGTTGGGGGGGTAACCCATGTTAGGATTGTTGTACTGCGGGTTGAAGTTGCCGCGCCCGCGACCCTGGCCCTGGAAGCCACCTCGGCCATGCGCCGGACCGCCGTGGCCAACTCCTTCGCCGTGAGTGGAAGCCTGCGAATCACGTCGGATGTGGGGGCTCTGACCCATGGCAACTGAGTTGTGCTGCTTCATGTGGCGCTGGAACCGGCGGTCAGTAACAGAGAGACGAGTGTGTAAAGAAGAGCAAAAGGACTTACATCGTTATCGCCTGGAAAACTGCCAAACGTCAGGGGAGCCGGGGGCATCGATGGAGCCCGCTGGCCGCCACCGCTCTGCTGTGGCATCTGAGGAATGGGCGACGGCGAGTGGGCAGGCGACTGAATCCTCGGGTTGCCGCTGCCGGGAATGGGAATTGGCGCAGCGCCACCCATCTGGGGCGTGCTGTGGGCGATAGCCGGCGACTCAAAGCCGAACTGAATGTTCTTGTGGGCGCCAGCGGGACCGCCATTTGCCATCGCCGGGGCATTGATGGTAACTGAGCTCTTGCGGGAGTGGTCTGCTGCGCCACCATTGACGGAGGTGCCACGCGCGACAGGGACCGCAGGGGTGATGCTGGGCCTGCCGTTCACCGGCTGGGGAGCGGAAGGCTTGCCATTTTGAGGGGCTGGCGCAGAGGACGCAACCACCACGGGCGGGTGAGAGCCCGTCGCAATCAGCGGCGAAGATGTCGGCTTCTTGTTCGCACCGGCGGCGGAAGCATACGACGGAGCTGCTACGGGAGCTGCGGGGGTATTGGCCGGGTTTTGGTTCGCTTGACTTGCAGTGGAAGTCATAGAGGGTGCTTGTTGACTCGAAAGCCGCTGCCTTTTGATGTTTGCTGTGGGTTCGTGGCGAGCTTGGGAAAGGCGAAAATATCGGGTCGGTCCAACTCCACGGCGAATCTCAAATCCGGCGTGTTGCGCAGACAGAAGTGAATGATCGATCGTCTATCGACTTCTAACTGCGCACTATGTACCAGTCGGTGAAGGATCGCGAAACACTCGAAGGAATCGGGTGGCTGAGCGACGAAAAAACTCTATGGTGAAAGAGTGTGGTGGGTGGGTTGTCGCAAGGGAACCAAGGAGGCGACCTGGCAGCGACCGTGTTGGAGATCTCGCGCGAAATCCAACGTCTTCGCAATTGAGAAGCAGAAGAGTGGAGATGTATATCTCTGTTCTCTGGATGCGAAGCCCCTGAGAAGGAGAGATACCGGCGGAATTACGTGTGAAAACAAGGGAATCTGTCGGTAGAAGACGATTCCTCCTTGGAGTTTTTCACAAGGTGGGTGTGAAATGGTGGTGGGAAAGGGAAAGCAGGAACCTAGAAAATTTTTGGGGAGCTGGCTTTCTGATGGCGAAGGAAGGGGGGTGCGGGCAGCGCCGCCTGGGTTTCGCTTGCACACCAAAAAAGTTGTAAACCTCTTTAGGTTTGCGCTTTGGCCACAAATCAACGCAACTGTGATTCGCTCCCCTCCGCTGCTAACCGGCCCTGCAAGGCCCAACTCGAACTTCATCTGCCTTGTTGCATCTTACATGACATGAGTCTGGTGACTATCTTACGGATCCATGTTCACATTAATGGGTGGTTTGGGTCTCCTTACATGGAAGCTGTTGTGGCTGTCCAAGACCCGTGCTCGCCATATTAGTACGGAGTAACGATGGGAGGATCGGTTCCACAATAAGGTCTGGTAAATATTTGATCGATACAATAAATGCGGCATGAAGTTCACCGATTGAGGTATCGTGACTCTGACAATGCTTATCTGTGCGATTCTAAATGGACAAATATCTACCAGAGCTGATTCCATTTCTCATTACTGGGCAAAGAAGCCCTGATCGATATGGATTGTGATTGCGACAAACGAAACACCAAGCCGCCGTCCAGCTCGAGTGTGATGTCCCACGCCACCGGCCTGAGGGGACCCACTGCAAGGCTGAATCGATTCATCAGTCCATGTCTTTCGGTGATATGGGAGTGTCTCCGTGTGCGCGAGGTATTATTATGGCTCAGTAGATCTTGGCTCAGTGATGGCGTCGAGCTCTTAAAACTGCCCCGGGTTTTGTGCAAACTCCGTGTCTGATAGTCCGCAGTGTTGAGTGTTGAAACAAGGTAGGGCACTTGACTGACAGAAGTATCGCAGCCAACAACAAGAGTGCCAGTTTGGAAGACCTGGGTGCCTTAGGACGATTGCAGCAAAAATATCTTTGATCGGCTCATAGACTAATTGTGGATCCTACCTATTGTTCTTCTTTGGTTGACCCTCTAGGTTGGCCGTCTTTTTTACGTTGCATCCATTGACTTGGTCTTTTGTTTCTATCTCAGGCCGAGGTAATTAGGCACTCAATCTACAGGCTTGAAGGGCAATCGATATATTGCTTTTTTCGCCCCTATTCTCGTGCATGTTGAATTTTCCTTTTTTCCCTTAGAATAAAAATTCCATATTCCTGCCCTTCCCTTCTCGGTTCTCTTGGATAGGTCGACCAAGTCTTCTTGACATAGCAATCCTCTACCAACGTCACTCAACATCGACAGAAGCGCACAGTCCAATTAAATACCTGGCATATTGGACCTTCGGCATCCGTACTGTGTACTTCTCATTGCCTGGAGAACCAGCTGCGGGTGCGGGGCTCTCTTCTCCACATCAGATCTCGAGACGGCGCTGTTCAGCCCAGCATTGTGGTTCTCCAACCTTCGCAGACCATAAGGCGGGAGATGTCAAATCTCATACATTGTATTCGGAACTCACTTTGCCGCATATACGTAAGTCACTCGATTTGCATGCACGCACTCGTTCGACCCCAGATTGAGAGGTTATTCGTTCAAATCGGCTTGTGCTCAGATATGATTTGGTATGTATGATGTTCATTCAAGAAGGCTCGGAAAGTAACCTGGAAGTATCCTTCATTACGGGTAATACGGTTGGAAAGCTGGCTCCTCTGTCTAGATCCCGGAGCATCTTGGCCCTTTCAAACCATGCCTGAGCCACTTCGCTCTACCTTTACGGGTCATGTTGTTATTGAGTGCTCAAAGTATCGTAATCATCTTCAGGTGATGCGGGTGGACCGATGTAAGAATCCGCAGCTTGGCTCGCAGTTTAGAGAGCAGATCTTGAGAATTTCATTGTCGCATTCAGGTAAGACCTGCTCGTCCCGAGAGAGGCACACGGAACAGGGCTTTGTTCCCGGTGTTTCTCGCTCGTCTGACAAGCCGTCTCACACATCGAAATGCAGCTTGGCTAACCTAGCTAAACTATCCTCGGGCTTCTCGCGCATCCAAAGGTCCCATCAAACCAGATGTTGACGATGGCACTTCCAAGGCTTGCACAAGGCCCTTGCCAGTGTCACCACACTGACGAGCTGGAGGGCGACCAAAACCACATGTCGCAAATGACTTCGCCGTCTGACTCACCGTGCCCAGTGACTGTTCCCGTCCAATAATTGTTTCCGAGTGCTCAACACCTGCCTGATATGTAAAAGAGTGACTGTGCCCTCGTGTCTCGGAAGAAGACGAGAGGCTCGGGATGATCCTGATACCTTTTTATCGATAGGATATGGGCAGCCAGATTGGACGTTATAATATTCAAACACGTGATGCCTTAAGATGGGAACCAAAAGAAAAGAGGAAAGGGGAGTAAGGAGTCGAACACCTAGACTTAATAACGTGACAAAACAAAGCAGCCAGACAAAGTCTGAGAAACAAAAGAGAATCGGAGAAATATGACCCCAACCCGATTTGAACGGATAACCTTTCGATCTGGAGTCGAACGCGCTACCATTGCGCCATAGGGCCCCAGAAGTTTTGAAATAGTGTTTAAAGTAATTGTTTCTAAAGTGCAAAAGCATTTGACCAACTGTGGACGAGCTCGATTATCGTCCTCGTCACCTTTTTTTTTGTTGTGCACATTACATAAGCGATTATTTGGTATTTTCGTGTCACTGCATTTTACACTTCACTGAAGAGGTTTATTAGTCCATGATGTAGCGTGCTTCCGTCGACATCCGGACGCAGACTCCTTGGATGCCTGTACAAGTACGATGCAGCCCTGCAAGATGACGACACCGCTGAGATGAGTGCATGTGATTGCTGCGGCCCCTTGATAATGTCGCTGCTCAACCCACTGCACCTTTGTATGAGTTGATGATTGAACGTCAACGAATTGGATGTAGTTAGCGTGCCAAAGCCCTTTAGGCTTCGCGCCTCCGGGTGAAATAAATTCCATCCATCCATCCAACCCACTGTACCTGCAGATCACCCAGTTGGCCGAAATTCTTTGATGCAGCTCTTCATTCAACGACCTCCAAAACGACCTCCAAGGTCCTGTTTCAGAGCCCTAGCACTACAGTCCAATCCAGATTCGTTGTTAGCTTGGCACATAGGAGGAGGGACGAGAAAGTTCAAGGAAGGAAGTAGTGATAAATCTGAAGATGAAGGTAAGACATATTGACCTCCAAGCCGAAGCCTTGGAATACCCCGACAACCAGCTCTTTGTCTCGCCCAGTGCTGGTGGCAAGCCGGGGCTCGGGATAGGCTTCCACACCCCCCGAGATCGAGATTCGTCGAGCTGTGTACGACATCTAGTTGGATTTGAAGCCACGAATATCTTCCCATTAGCATACGAACGTCAATGGGCAGAGAACAACTACAGCCGTTCAATCACGATTGATCCGTGAGACGCCTCAAGGAGACAAGAACAACTCTGTAACCTCATTTTTACAAGAGCGAAGGAAGAGGAAAGGAAAGGGAGAGGATGAGGAATATGGAAGATAAAAGAGAAAGGGCAGGAAGGAAAGGAAAAGTGAAAAGGGAGAAAAAAGGGGAAGAAAGAAAAAGGGAAGAGGGGAGGGAGAAGAGAGAGGTAAACGAAAAAAGAAAATGAAAGAGAAGAAGATGGGGGAGGGATACAGGAAAAACAGAGTGGTTAACAGAAAAAAGTAAAGAAATAACGTACATGATAAGCGAACGTCCCAGACAAGCGAACGTCCCACAAAAACACATCTGCACAACAAATTTCAACATGATTCAACCAACACTGACAAAAATGATTGAAATTACTCGGAATGGTCTTCCTCGGGCACTT